GGACACGCCGGCGAGACGGAAGCGGGCGTCACAATCGCTCAGACCAGCGGGGTACACGATAGAGAAGGAGGCTAGGGGCTCCGAGTGGATAGGCAAGGCGAAGGAAGTCCCGGCCGCCCTCCTAGACCACTGGGAGAAGAGATGGCTCTCCGGGGCAGCACAACACGACCGCCAGCGACGCGCTATCGCCGAGGAGCAGGAGGGCCCCTCGATGCGAATGCCGAAACAGGGCAAGTACTCAGACCTAAACCGACCGGAGGCGTCTACCCTATGCCAGATCAGGACCGGAAAAATAGGACTATCAGCTTTCTTATTTAAGATAGGAGCCTTCAGTGTGTACTCGCCGTTATGCCGCTGTGGAGAGGCCCCCGAGACGGCAGAGCACGTAATCCTCTTTTGCGGCCTGCTGGAAGAATCGAGAGAGCGCCTACGGGCCACTATCGCACCATGGCCGCTGCATACACGTAGAGACCTGGCAACGGCGACGGGGAAACCAGTAGTCAGCGGGACCATCACAAGGTGGCTACTCAGGACTGGCCGGATAGCGCTTAGGCCCGGATAATATCGATCTTCTCAGGGGGACTTTGTTAGTAGGGTGAGAACTAACATAGTATTGTGGTGGACGTAACGCAGTCGCTAATAGAGCGAACCTACGTAGCAGCGTATGTATTTAGTCCAGCCATTAGGGCACGGTTTGACATACGGGAGCACTTGTAAAGGTACCGGGGGCTTCGAGCCTACGGCGTATTTAATAATAAAAAAATAATATTAAATACGCCGTAGGTGTTAACCCTCGGTACCTCTACAAGTACTCCCTTAAGGGGCTATAGATGATATAGCGGGCCCTTAAGCCGCGTCGGGCGGTTATACAGGTAAACTTGTAGCCAAACGACTACTAAACCTCCTGTCCCTCCCTAAGTCTGTGCTACAACCCCTGCCTGAACTACCTATAAGTGTGGTAATGTGGCACTTAAATTCGTCCTCAGGGGTGGGATGCTGCTGATGTGCAGAAGATGCTCGACTATTTTTTTTGTCGCGACAAGTCGTAGTATCTGCTAATTGGGGTTCTCGTCGAGCGTATACATCTCAACCATACGCTCAAGTGGATAGACCGTAACGTGGTCTAGACGCTCGCAAGAATCGCGGCGAGAGGGCGTGCTGCGCGCCTTCTATCGTGAGGGGACGGGTTCGCCGACGAGCGTTATCGGATAGGCGAGGTCCGATAAGGGGCCGGATTAACGATTCGAATTCTGGACCGGCTGTCGAGTTATATTCCGCCGACGTAGTGCTTGACGGTCGACTGGCTAGGATGCTCGTAATCCTAAACTGCACCAATCTCCCTATTATCGCTAGGTAGGCGAAGTCAACAAGGTGGGCAGCGCGCCATAAGGGTTGACTAAACCCCCTTGTGTGTCAGCTGCAGGATTCGAACCCGCGACTCGTCACCGACCCAAGTGGGCGAGGCTGAAATCGGGACTTATCTACCAGCGAAGTGACCAACTACACCAGCCGACCGTATTTAATAATAATATGTAGGACTTCCTTTTTCGGGTCGTTAATATTCGATACTTAGGATAACTCTATTCTTATAATTAGCGATCGTAATACGATAGGCTTAATATTACTACTAGATAGCTTAGCGCCCGTAGTCCTATTACCCCGTAGCCTAATTATAGTCGGCTGCTTAGTATAATTATAAAGGGGATAGAACAATTATAAGATATAATTACGGCTATATACTAGGGAAGATAACTACGGTTAAGCTATTACGGGATTCGATTCCAAGAAGGGAGGTATTTAGGAAACTTCTATCTACCGAGCTAGGTTCTAGCGTCCGACTCCTTTTAGGGAGTTAGATCTCCGATAATTACCCGATTGCTCGGCTGCATTTTAGCCACAGTCCCACTATTTATTGATCTCAAATATAGGTTTTACTAAAACGCTAAGAGATTGTTATGATTTCGTCCGCCTATCGGGGGTAATCCAATTTAAGTCTCGTTTACCGTTTTATACTAACTTTTGTGATATTATCTTAGACCAGACTTTAGCGTTACGATGAACAATCTTACTATAAGCGCTCTCTCGGTTTAAACACGGGATACTCGACTACTAACTCTAGAACTACTACTACTAGAGATAGTAAATATAAACTCCATCCTTAGTCCCGAGGCACGATTAGCCGGTATTCTAGTTACTAAGATGCTTACTAGGTCGATAGTTAGAGTTACGGGCAGCACGGATAAGGCTACTATCATATTCATAGAGAAGCGACGAGGGTAAGAATAACTACTTTAATCGGCGAAGAGTACTAAGTATCTTTTTCTAACGAGCCTTAAATTAAACCGACTTTATAACCTTTTGATTAGATGAAGAGGTACGATACCAACGAGACTACCGATACCGAGAGGACTACTATCGACACCAAGAAGATTAATACGAGAAGTCCGACAGTCCTACTTTTCGGCCCAGAAGTAAACGACACTTGTCAAAAGAACTCGTTAAGGAAGAAGATTCGTAAGCTACTGAAAAGGACGAGGAAAGTATCAGACAGCTAGGTAGAATTGAGAGAGGCGAACCCTAAAGACCTCTTTATTTCGTTTAGAAACTTGAACTAGCAGGAAGATAAGTAGAAGGAAGCGTAATCTGTAATATATACTAGGAAGGAGAGATATATTTCATTCTAAGGCTACGCGAGGAAGGAAACTGTAGTGCCTCGGACACATAATTCGGACACGAGTCGTCTAATCAGACTATCCCTATCCCCGGCTAGGCCCCTAATGTTTTTCTTTTCTTCTCTTTCTCTTCTTCTTTTCTTTCTCTTGGCCTCGGCCTTAGTGGAATTGAAGACTATAATATGAAGTATCTTCACATGTTAATCCCAACATACAGGAGGGAGATACTGCTATCACGGTCGGAGGATGTCAGGGTACGGCTAGGCCGAAGGCAATAGTACAGAGTGATGGGGAGTAACGGGCGTCCCTCCTACGTAGCACCGGGTGGTCACTGGCGGTCTCAGGTAGGGGTGCCCACGGTGATGCATTGATCTCTGCTCCTTCCCTATCCTACTTCGAGATGGTCCTTATATAGATAGCTAGGCCGCCGCTTGGACCCGGCATAACAGCAGGGTCGGCGATGCCAAGGATCTTGACTCTCGTCATCCCAAAGCTTCACATAGATTGTAATCATGACTCGGGAGTCTTTTGTCCGAAACACCCCTCCGGCGCCCCACCGGTGTCTTGCGTTCAGTGTCCTGACACCCACTGGTGCCTATGGCATTCTGTTCTCTGACAGAGGAAGACCTTTCACCTTATTTCCCGGATAGATAGGAGGGATAGGAAGCCTACGAGGCCTAGAGAGCCGACGACGAGCAAAGTACCAGGGGACAGTCTTAATCTCAAGTAGACAAGCGAGCAGCAACTACACGGAAGATGGAACGGAGCCTAACGCTAAGATCTCTAGGTGAAGGGGAGTTTTTATAGTCATACAGGTTTGACTATCTCTAAGGACAGAGAGACGAACCTAAGGGAGGGATATAGTAGGTCAATGCCGGGTCATCAGAGTAAATAAGTGACAGGAATAGTAGGGACGTTTCTTTCCCTTTCTTCAAGAAGTATGCAAAGACGGATTATCTTGATCACCTCCTTCGTTATCTTCTTCTTCTTCACCTTCTTTTCTAGTCAGTTAATCAGTTAGTCAGTTTTTCAATTCATTCATTTTCACTTATACATACATTTAGACAGCTATTTTGAGAATCAATCCTCCTACTCTCACCTTAGCCTTAATAACTATAGAAGGCTTCATTTCGCTCTAATCAGACTAACCTTACGCTAGTAATAGCTTCAATTAGACTCCCAGAGGTAAGCGTCCTACTTTGAGAATCACCTTATCAGAGGACATATCTAAACAACTTATGTATCCAGAGTCACAAGGGTTGTAGGAGCTTCGCTCATACAACCAGCACTACGAGCTTCGTCTGATCAGACCTCAGGTGGAAGTCGTTAGTGCTGGAGCCGTCTTGTCAGTGTATTAGGTAGTGGGTATATCCTACTGACCACCTGACCCCGTTTTAATAGCCTTTGAATATACGATGAGAGCAGCGTTTGAATTACTCGCTAAGCCTAAAAGTAGCGGTTTGACCCCCTGCCGGACCCCCTGCTAACGCAGTGTGTCGAAAAAACGACTATTTGTCATTTTTGATCGTACTTCAAAATGCTACTAATCTGCACCAAATTGTTAGTATCTCCACAAAAAATCTGAATATAGCATAGAACGATGTATGCATCCCAATTCTCTCACACCCTATAAGTCAGATTGGAAGTGCGGCGAGTTTGTAAGTGCTCTAGGGCTCGTACGTGATTGCGAACAAGAGAACATATTCTCGTGACAGAACCAATAAAATCAGATTACTGACTTGCTATGTTCAAGCTTATTGTTCTCGGCCAAATCCGAATATAATGAGTATAATTGATAAATTGACCTTCAGGGCCCTGTCCTAGCAATATGCTCAGTAGGGAGGTTTTGGCACTAACGTTTAAAACCCTGGAGGAGGTGTAGATGCTTCCCCAACCTGTCGCACGATATGAAGCATGAGTCTTTCCAGGCAGGGAATCCCTGCCGTAGCTGTGTCAGTAACTCGTATAAAAATGGAGCCTGGGGACAACTATCACTCACTTCGGTTGATCTGTACCCATTGTCAACTGGTGAAGTTTCTTGTTTCATCAGGTCTTGTTTGGTCTATGTCGCCACCGTCGTGGTTCTGGATCTTATTGGTCTGGCTTGTCGTGCGGGATGCCAGGCCACACAGGTGGATAGGATGGGGAAAACGAAACAGCCGAAAGATGGCAGCCGACAATTGGCTGACGATGTTGGCCAGAAGGACTCCCTTGGGACGCAAAGTTATTTACTTGGGTGTAGCCGCTTTGATTTTCACGTGGTGGCTCTGTGCATCTTTCCTGGATTTGAACGACTCGGACTCGGGGTTGAGGATAGAATCGGTCCCCATGGTTGAAGGCGTGACTGACAACAAAAGGAGCTCGTTGACTTTAGACTTTGAACGGATAAACAACGCTACCTTGGGGTTTGAGAAGGTGTTTGTCGTCAATCTTGCGGAGAGGACAGACAAACGTGATGGCCTGTCGCTGACGGCAGCATTGACGGATATCAAGCTTGATTGGACAAGAGCCATGCGCGGCTCGGACGTGGGCGACAAGGCACTGCCGTTGGGGGTGGACAGGAAGGAATGGAGGGACGGGGGGATTGGATCTTGGCGTAGCCAGATGAATGTCATTCGAAGGTAGGTGTCCCTGAACCCATAGACCCTGGGACATTTCGAAGGGCTGGCTGTAGAAATGTTATTGGGCTCTAACATTTCCAGCATTGTCGAGGACAGCATAGCCAGCGCACTGATTCTCGAAGACGATGCGGACTGGGATGTGCGTCTGAAGGAGCAGCTGGTGCGTTTCGCCGAGGGCTCGCGGGTGTTGCTAGACCTGGCCAAACAAGAGCCCGCATTTTCAACGTCTGGAGACAGGGATTCCATCAGACCAACGATGCCGCACTCGCCATATGGAGACGGGTGGGATATTCTCTGGCTGGGCCATTGTGGCGACACCTTTCCCGAGCGCATCCCGGGCCACCACATCATTGACACGGACTCGGCACGGTACAAATACTATGCCGTACATAATGACGAGACCATGCCTCCACCAGAGCACACAATGAGCTGGATAAGCGGCGACTTGAAACGCCACCCGGCCACACGTTGGGTGCATTTCAGCGGTGGGCCAACTGTGAGTATCTTTTATTTTCTCTCGAAGGTGCTCACTATCTACTTCACGGTGTCGCTTAACTTCGGTGTACATGTTCTCCCATATTCCCCTATGAAACTTCTCCCCGGCTTCTAACTTTTGTAGTGTAGCGCTGGATATGCCCTATCCCAGGCCGGGGCCCGCAAGGTACTACTAGCCCTAAGTGTTGGCGGCACCTTGGTTGCTCAACTCGACAACGCCATTTCCGACCTGTGTCGTCACCATACACCCTGGGATGCCCCTGAGGATATTGAGGGTCCCCCAGGTTATCCAGGCGCCCGGATGCGTTGTCTTAGTGTCACGCCTGCCCTTGTTTCACAGCACAAACCCCGAGGTAGGAGAGCCGCAGACTCCGATATTGAGCCCATATACAACGTTGATGCAGTCAGAGACGTCGGCGAGTCCCCAAATTTGGTCTGGAGTGCGAGATTGAATGCCCAGAACTTGATACTGGGCTTGCCAATGCAGCATCAATTTGTAGCCCACGAGGAAAAGGGGGCGATGGACTATAATCTTCATATCCGGAATAGCTGATAGATTGGGACCCGGGCTGTTATATCTGCCCTGGCATAACTTCCCTCTGCACGCATGTTATATATGAATTTGTACCATTTTGATTGGTTTCTGTATGTGGCCCACTGTCGTGAAAAATGTCCTTGGTAATAGTTAAGATTCAATGCGGAGGCTCGAATGCGCTAATTACACCCAGTTCATATTATGGTATCCGTAAATACCCAACCTGGTAGCGACTACCCGCAAGTATCAGACGGTCCGGTGAATGTAAGGGCGGTAGTATTAGAAATATTAGCAATGGCGTGGGGCACCCAAAAATGGCTTATTAACACCGCTAGCCCCTAACTTCAACCTTCTTTATCTTTACTAATATTGATTTAACGTAGTCCACGGTCCAATTGCACACTTTGGCAGACCTTATACGACAATGTATAAGTTAATTCAACCACAACGCCTATCACCAATTGAAACTACTCAGAATCGTTATCTTCAGACGTCTCTACATCATTTCCACAAGTGCGCGTATTATGTCCGGGCTCGCCGCAGATTCTACAGCGCCGTAAACGCGCAATTCGCCGCCTCGTACGACCACCAATTTGACGAAATTCGTCATGTAACTGCCCATCAACCTCTCGTTGAGACTGTATGTCCTGTCCAGCTTGTATACGAAGTTACCCTCCACTATGTAGCTGTTTTTTCTTCGCACGGCGACGTCGACTTAAGGTCTCATTTGCCTTTCGAAGTGATTCGACCTCGCCTTCTAAAAGGGCAAGCCGATGCATAACCTTCGTTGTACCTCGCGCAATCTGATCTATTCCAGCAAAAGTTGACGTTGGTGAGCTATTTTGATGTCGTACAATCCTATTTTTCACATAATCGGTTTGTGATTGGGCTTCGATTGGGTTGTTCGGAGTCTTTGGTCCCCAAGGGACGGGGAGACCAGCCGAGCTACCCGGAGGTGTTGGCGTATGTAATTTCACATCGAGCTGTGATATGACATAATCTGCATCGTACGGAACTATTCCTACCCCTCGGAAACCTCCTTGGATATTTGAAACCGTAAAAGTTGCGTTGTACGCGTTTAAAAACGCCGGTAAAAAGTCTTCTTTCGAGATACGACTTATATGTGCTCGCATGAGATCTTCGATTTCTTTTCCGTACGCTCTTTTTAACCCGCGAAAACAACCAACATCAAGAGGCTGGAGCTTATGCGACGAATGAGAAGGCATAAAAAGCGTGACGATATTGTTAGCTTTGCAATATACCTCGAAATCGGTCGAGTGATGGCTTTCGTGACCGTCGAGGATCAATAGGCGATGAGTACCTTTCGTACGAGACTTGGTGTGATGATCGAAGTGTTTTATCCAATCTTCGCCTCTCTCGTTCGTAGTCCAGCCATTTTTAGTAACTGCGATAACCCAATCAGGCGGTAATGGGCTGTTTTCGTACCATGACGAGAGGTGGGTTTTGCCGGCGAAAATGATGTACGGAGGGAGGGCATAACCGGACGACCCAACGCCTTGAATAACTGTAACCCATTCCCTATTTCCTTGCGGGGCTGTCCTAGGCCTTCCGCGCCGATCAGAAGTCGTCACGACCATTTCGGGCGAGATTTGGCCCATCACAAAACCGGTCTCGTCGAAGTTGTAGATATCCTCCTCCTGGATCGCGTATTTCGCAATTTTATTCTGTACCAGGTCAAACCACGCGTGATACGCATCGGGGTCTTCGCAGAGGACTCTCTGATAGTCGATCTTTCGATTTAAACGCGTCCCGCGTCGCGACTTCGAAGTAATCGGTTGGCCATATCTTCAATACCACTCAATCGGGGAGGAAATGCTCGCGAATCTAAGTCGGTTATATGTCGTACGATTGCCTCTTCTTCGGAAGGAGTCAACTTTTGCGTTGGCGATTGCGTAATCGCTCGAGCGGTTTTACCGTCGCGTCGATACGCAAGGGTTCCAAAAGGTACGTTATAGATCTGACCAGCGCGACGTACACTTAATTTTGGATCAGATTGAAGCGCATGTAATGCTAGAATCATATCACTTTCATTCCAAGAACTAACCATAGTTATGTGGTGAAAAACCGCAGGTCAAAGTGGTAGCGTACGAAAATCTGCCGAAGTGTGCAATTGGACCGTGGACTACGTTAGTTATTACGAAATTTTACATACGTCTCCTTTATACTAATATATTATTATTATGGTCGGCTGGTGTAGTTGGTCACTTCGCTGGTAGATAAGTCCCGATTTGAGCCTCGCCCACTTGGGTTGGTGACGAGTCGCGGGTTCGAATCCCGCAGCTGACACACAAGGGGGTTTAGTCAACCCTTACGGCGCGCTGCCCACCTTGTTGACTTCGCCTACCTAGCGATAATAGGGAGATTGGTGCAGTTTAGGATTACGAGCATCCTAGCCAGTCGACCGTCAAGCACTACGTCGGCGGAATATAACTCGACAGCCGGTCCAGAATTCGAATCGTTAATCCGACCCCTTATCGGACCTCGCCTATCCGATAACGCTCGTCGGCGAACCCGTCCCCTCACGATAGAAGGCGCGCAGCACGCCCCCTCGCCGCGATTCTTGCGAGCGTCTAGACCACGTTACGGTCTATCCACTTGAGCGTATGGTTGAGATGTATACGCTCGACGAGAACCCCAATTAGCAGATACTACGACTTGTCGCGACAAAAAAAATAGTCGAGCATCTTCTGCACATCAGCAGCATCCCACCCCTGAGGACGAATTTAAGTGCCACATTACCACGCTTATCGGTAGTTCAGGCAGGGGTTGTAGCACAGACTTAGGGAGGGACAGGAGGTTTAGTAGTCGTTTGGCTACAAGTTTACCTGTATAACCGCCCGACGCGGCTTAAGGGCCCGCTATATCATCTATAGCCCCTTAAGGGAGTACTTGTAGAGGTACCGAGGGTTAACACCTACGGCGTATTTAATATTATTTTATTATTATTATTAAATACGCCGTAGGCTCGAAGCCCCCGGTACCTCTGCTAGTACTCCCGTATGTCAAACCGTGCCCTAATGGCTGGACTAAATACATACGCTGTGTCACGACCTGGGTTGCATCGCATGGGTATAGACCTCGATTAGGTGCTATCGACCAAGATTCTACTCTAAGGAGCGAAGGAAAGAAGATGACAACTTAGGTTTGAGGGATCGCGACTAAGTCATCCACGCTTGGCGGGGCTCCTACAAGGGTTATGATTGGCTTCCCATCTGACACTGCCACGGCAGGTGTTCCAGCTGTAAGTCACCTGGTTGTAGTGAGTCTGCGAGGGTTGACCGTCACACGCTGCGTCGTCGGTTCGCCCTATTGGCGACTGCGTTGCGTTCACTACCATACTACGTTGGTTCTCAACCTACCAACAAAGTCCCCCCTGAGAAGATCGATGCTATCTGGGCCTTGAAGCTGTCCGACCCGTCCCTAGCAGCCACCTTACAATAGTCCCACTAACTACTGGTTCTCCTGTTGCCGTTGCGAGGTCTCTGCGAGAGTATAGTGGCCGTGGTGCGATGGCGGCCCGTAACCGTTCCCTCGGTCCTTCCAACAGCCCGCAAAAGAGGATTACGTGCTCTGCCGTCTCAGGGGCGTCGCCACAGCGGCATAGCGGCGAGTACACGCCAAAAGCCCCTGTCTTGAATAAGAAGGCTGCTAGTCCTATTTTTTCCGTCCTGATCTGGCACAGCGTAGACGCCTCCAGTCGGTTCAGGCCGAAATACCTGCCCCCTTTCGGTATCTGCATCGAAGGGCCCTCCGGTTCCTCAGCGATAGCGCGTCGCTGGCGATCGTGATGCTCTACTCCGGTGAGCCATCTCTTCCTCCAGTGGCCGAGGAGGGCAGCCGGGACCTCCTTTTCCTCACTCATCCACTCGGAGCCCCGGGCCTCCTTCTCCATAGTGTACCCTGCCGGTCGGAGTAGCTGCGACGCCTGCTTCCTCTTCGCCGGCCTATCCTGCCGGAGTATATGTGACGCTTTAGCGCTCGCGCTGTGAAGCAGATTTCTCTTCCCGCTAAGCCGTAGCCGTTCTTCAAACTTAGCAGCCCGGGCACTAAGATAGAGGTCTAGTGGCGGGATTGCTGCTTCTGCTTCCAGGTGGCGCATACTAATATAAGTTAATATACCGAAGATAATATTTACCGGGCTCGTTAAGTAATAGCTAACGGTTAAGCCTCCGAAAAGCAGTATATTAGTTGTCAGAGAACAGAATGCCATAGGCACCGGTGGGACACCGGTGGGGGCTCTGGTGTAGGAATGTGCGAGTCATGACACGATATGGAAGTCTTGGTTTGCGGAACAATCGGGGAAACTAGTGCTCCGCGGCTCCGACGTCGGGTTCTAGCTATCTATGTAAGGGGCGGAGGCCCGGGAAGAAGATAGAGGGAGAGTAGAGATCAATGCATCACCGTGGGCACCCCTACCTGAGACCGCCAGTGACCACCCGGTGCTACGTAGGAGGGACGCCCGTTACTCCCCATCACTCTGTACTATTGCCTTCGGCCTAGCCGTACCCTGACATTAGTATGGTATCCTAAGGTCTACGCTTTCACGCTAGATTTAGGGAGCCTAATTAAGAGATATAGCCTTCTCTAACTACTAGAGGCTCTCTCTAGTTTAGGAAGCCTATCTAGCCGTATAGGTTCGAATTTAAGCTACCCTAGGCCTCTTACTAACATATTAATAGCTTAAAGACCTCACTAAGCGTATCCTATAAATCTACAGAGATACCTAACTGCTTAAAAAAACTAGGTTTAGGTTTTTACTAAAAGGAAACTTTTAATTAAGGTCTAGAGAAGTAGAGCTATAGAACCCTACCGTATTAATAGAGCCTCAGCTAATATAATCAGGTAATTGTTACGAACCGTTGGCCCTGAACCAACATTACAGGCCCATCGGCAGGGGATCAGTGAAGGAGAGATGGGCATATAAGGGACAGGACTCCCAGGCATTTCATAGATAGACAGTCTCTACTTCAGTGATCAATCTAAGCATCAATCTAACCCATTGGTGAGGCAAACTGCCTTGACGACTCTATTCCCAGTTACCCTACTTGAATACTTCGGTTACCCAGAGCCCTATACTCCATACGTCAGACCCCGATATTATTGCTAAAGGACTCCTCAGCAGGACTTACTTACTAGCACAAACCCTTACAGACTCTTTAGTGGTTTACGCAGCTAGACTATTAGAGGTTTCGTTACAGTAATAGGGTAAATACCAAGCTATCCCTAAGATTAAAGCGGTTAAGACCTCTAATCGATATAATATGGATAAGATAAGTATTCTAGAAGGTAGAGGATCAAATAGTCTTATTCTAGGATTATCTAGGACATATCTATATTGATACGTGACCCCATGGGGGGTTACCCTACAGCGATAGATAAGATAGATAAGATAAGATAAGAGCTATAAAAGAGCTCTGCTAGGCCAGAATTGTCACGGTCTATGACCGGTATGTGGCCTCTGCGACGCAGAAAGACCCACGGAAATCTCTGAATAAGCTTCACTCCGACAGCACTTGGACCCACGGAAAGCTCTGAATAAGCTTCACTCCTACAGCACTTGGACCCACGGAAATCTCTGAGTAAGCTTCACTCCTCGAAGATTCCTGAAACGACGAGACGGGAGGACAAAGGATAAAACGGAGAAGGGTTCACCACACTGAATGTATCTAATGTTTTTCTCTTCATAGATGGATAGTACTCTTAGAGTAGGCTAGGCTAATTGTCGAATATCACGTGTGTCCAATCGAGTAGTCAGCAGTGCGTAAGATTGTATATGAATGAGGTGTGTTCTTCTCTCTGTCTTCTGTTCTCGCGAACTCCCGTTGCTCTGCCTTTTATAGATGCTTTAGAACATGTCGGTAACTTTGGTGTTACTTTTGAGAAGAGGAGTTCCTTTCGCCTTCTGAACTTTAAGTGACAATAGTCTTCTCTAGTGCCATATTATTTCTGAACCTAGGAACCAGGTGCCCTATCTGACACTAATTGCATCGACATTACCCTTGACCCTTACAAACGGAGAGCGATGTAACACGGCAGAGGCATCGTGACCGGCGTCACAAGCGAGTATATCGCCTTTAACGCCGGTAGTAATACCGCTTAGATCCGGAACTTCTTTATAGAACTAGGCTATACGGATAGACTAATAGTTATCCTTAAGGATAATTCCGGTATATTTAAGTAGTTAGAAGATCTCACTATAAATAAGTAGAAGCGATATATTTGTAGGAATTAGACCCTAGAGCCTATAGTAGCGATAGGGCGTATAGGATTAAGCGCTACAGTTATGCCTTAGGCCGAAGGTAGTGTAGCGATAATTATAGTCTAGTAGGGTTAACCCCTTCCCCGTAGATGAAATAGCTACGTACACAGCAAACAGAATAGTAGAGAGATACACTAGTTAAGATAGGATCACCACAGAGTTATTAATAGAGGATTGAATCCCTCAACACTTATTTATATGAAATAGCATCAATAATTTCGGTTAATTCCGATGCGGTTCAATAGGGGGTTAGTTAGTTAATACAGCTAGTGCTCCACTTGACAAGAAAGAATAGGTGGGGCCAAATTCCAAATATAGTGGGGTATACCTTCATAAATTTTCAACCAACCAAATAGCAACTAATACCGATGGTTAAAATACGGACGTCCGGCTGGCGCAATGGTAGCGCGTCAGACTTCTATTCTTAAAAGATTAGAAGATTATCTGAAGGTTGTGGGTTCGACCCCCACGTTGGATGACACCACGATCTGATTTTTGCCATTTTTTATCCCGAGCTCTATCTACTCTAACTCGTAGGACATGATCTGGAAATAATGATGGGATACGTGCTCGTCAGAGACGGAGTTCAGCACCATGAAAAACTCCGTAATTCATTTAATTGTTCAAGTATTAGCAAATGCGCCGCAGCGGAGTCATGTCGCGAATTATTTTATGAATTTAATATATCTGTCCAAGATACATGGTCGATTGGCAAGTTTGAGTAATGAGAGTGCAGGAGGCTTGTTCTTAGCCACGTAGTATCAGCTAAAGACGTGATTTAATATTGGTTTCAGGGACCGTGTTTGGGTTTTTTTGGGGTAGCCTGCAGCAACAACGCAAGAAATGGAATGACGCGTGGTGTGCTGACCGAAACGAAGAAGCCGCACTGATAAAGTTGTAGTTGGGACAGCAGCTACGCTGCTTTGGCAAAGTTAACCTTGCCGTCCTGATCTAATACGCCAATGCGGTCGTAGAATGTCCTGGCCCGGATATAAGGATCGAGCTGCCAGTAGTTGACACGCAACTTTTCTGCAAGTTCTGCCCGTTTGGATGCCACCTCTTTGGCAGCCTGTGTCTCTGGGTCAAGCAACACCCACTCGGCAGTGGCAGTCTCGAACATGTGTATGATTTCGTCTCGCTCCGCTTGAATTTTGTCTCTGGCATCGTGGTCATCAAGTTTGCCGTTTTCCCCAGGATTTGGCTCTACGTATCGGTACTCCCAGGATTCATCGCCTCCGTACTCAACCTGGAGACTCTTACTGGCTATATATTTTGTCAGATCTGCTGTGGAGCGGGTGAAAACGATCTTCGCAGCTACAACAGGATCAAGCCACCCCTTGATGATTTTCCAGATACCTGTGACTACGGTTAGCGTCTGGATATCCGCGGATGATAGGTTGTAACGATATACCTTGGAAGATGTACGGAGCGTTATGGACCAGAACCACCCCAAGCGTCTCAGGATATCTTGCCTCGAAGACATTGACGATGAAACGGACGGCGGCAAAGTCCATGTTTTTCAGCCCGAACCCAGTTAAGTCGAATATAAGGCAAGCTGTGTCATAGGGATCCCTGACAAGAACTCGAATGCTCTCAATGGTGTGGAGAATGTACGTTTCCATAGCCTTATCCGACTGGGCACTGGGATTGTGTAGTCTCGCTTTCACTATATAAACAGGGCGGTAATGGAGGTCAAGTCCTCGCACGTAGCTCTTGCCGGACCTATACTGTAGCATGAAGCCGTTCTCGTCGTCCGTCATGGATTCCTTGAGGGCGACTGCTTCTCCTTGCAAAGTAACATTATCCTCAATGCGCATATCCTGTCGCCACTTTATGGTCGATACGAGCATGATGATAGCCTTGTTAACATGCCACTTACGGGCCCGTAAAAATCGTAGAACAAGAGAATCCGGGTGGTCGCATTTGGTCATGGACCAGATGGTCTTGCGGATTCCTTCGGGTGGCTCCTCAGCCAGGTACTGTTGGAACTCTTTAGTTTGGCCATACTTGTCATTGTCGTCTGTAGCTCCATCGACGGTGCTCGTTTTGATCCGGGAGACATCAATGCCTTGAGGTGGTAGCACACCGCAAATAGCACCAAGCTGCAGCCATGCTTCCTGCAGCTTCTTTTCCTGCTCGAAATTGAGACAACCAACGTGACCTTCGGGTATTTGTTGCGACATTGTTTTTGTTGTAGACAGTTATATTCCTTTATTCGAACAGTATGCTTCGGAGATAGTGGAGGCGGGAGACGTTGTTTGTACGTAAATTGTGTCCTCCACTCACGCTGACACCTTTGTGTAGGATGAGTCTAGGTAAACGTACGATTATATAAGGAAACTTGCATCTCTCACGTGCAGGGCTTCTTTCCACATGTGTACCTAGGTCCAATTTGAACGGTCTCGGGACAATTATGTGCTGAAGTTCGGGATGTCATGCGCGCCTGAAGATGGCTGAATTGAGTTCCCGCATGTCTCATGTCAACTTTACAAGTTGGGACGACCCCCAAGAGTCCAATTAGATGGTCACTATTGACTTCCCTACCTCTCTACATTGAGGTAGTACCTACCGACCGCAATGACTTCGAGCGGCTGTGCTAATAGAGTGGGGGAGTCTTGGTGAAGCTTGTCCGAGGCCCTGTGAAGAAGGCAAATATGGACCAACAACTTACAAATACGTCAATTTGGAGTAGGAAAGGAGACCTCGGAGGGTATTGATTGGATACAGATGCTTCGTTCTCAACCCTGATTCTGTGGATAGACCAGCCCTCCTCAGGCAGAGGGATCAATACTTCAATTACTAAACCACTCGCATGTCACGCCGCTCCAGGGGTTGCAATCCTTGCCACTACGCCACCGTACCAGATGTCTTCACCAAAAGAGACCAATACCAAAGTCCCTGACTTTGGTATCTGCAACCACTTATCAATCTGTTCAGACCAGTGTGGGTTAATCACGTGACAACTGTCACATCGCAGCCAAATGGCTCGAAACTCAGTAGCTACTGTACTCCACCCCCACATATAAAGAGAATCGCGAGATCCTACACTTGGAAGAGTTTCAACGATCGATGGGCCACTACCTGCCCTCAACAGTATCGAGATCTAGGGATCGCTATCCACCCGCGACCCCCCGAACTTGGCCTGCCCCGGCAACACCTAGGCAGATTACTCGCAGCGAGGTCGCACCACGGGGATTTCGTGACCTACCACGAGAGACTCCAGCATCGCGACGCACTGCTCAACTGCGGGTGTGGAAAGACAAAGACACCAGTCCACTTCTACTTTTGCAAGCGCGGCCGCAAGGCCACGCCCGGTCATCTAAAAGCGCATATGGCCAAGAATAGTATAGATTCCCTCCTAGGCACGGCCAAGGGAGCTCGCTTGTTTTGTCAATGGGCGGAGGAGACCAATTTCTTTACTGAGATCTGCCCATCGCACTGAACAGGAATGTTAGATGAAGACAGTCCCCTGTAACATAGATTCGACTAGCATAGACCATGCCGGCACTGCGCCCGGCACGTCTCACGTGATGAGACGTTAAATTTCAATCAATCAATCAATCAATGTACTCCACCCCTGCTGTGTCTGTGGGACGGCACTGGTACTAGCATTTCGGCTATATACAAAGGTGATGTAGGGAAGTACTAGTGAGGAGGTCCAAGCCGCACAAGGGCACTAAAGTATCTCGCGTGTATCTCACGTGACCTTAGGCTACCGATTCCACAGTGTGTATTAAAACCACTTTTAAGTCACCTGTTAGCAAATTCTAGAAGTAATAAAACGCATTGACCGCCTTCTTACGGAGAAATCACGTAAATATTGTAACGAGGCAGAGGCACATAGGTACGAATCAAGGTTGCATATCAGTGCATCTCTATTGTTGAATACTAAACTAGGGAAGAAAGAGAAGGAAAGGGTTACAAGTATGTCTGGCCGTTCTCCTATTATAAGGGGAACGCGCTCGTCCAGATCAGGGCAGGCCATGTCAGGATGTCCCTGCTTATCGTCCATGTGTCAGTCGTCACACTATCTATCTATAAACTACCTAGGAACTCCGTCCCTTATATGCCTATCTCTCCTTTACTAGTCTCTACTAGATGTATTTATTAACTAACATATCCGTCCCTATTGGATATATAGGGTATGTTAACTATCTAATATATCCACCCTTATTCTTTCTTTATTTAGATATATATTGAAACGGGGTCAGGCGGTCAGTAGGATATACCTACCACCTAACACACTGAACAGACAGCTCCAGTACCAACAGATCCCATCTGTTGATCTTATCAGACGAAGATCGTGGTGCTGGTTATAAGAGTGAAGCTCTTACACGTCTGGTGCGTGAGTTAGTCTGATATGCCCCTGATACTCGTATCGTAATAGTAGGATCTCGAACGTAAAGATAAGCTGAATAACTAAAATAACTAAATAACTGACTGAAAAGCGAAGGTGAAGATATAGATAAGAAGGAGATGATGATATGAAGATGAGGATGATGATGCGTGAAGATGGAGGACTCGTGTCCTACTCTGCCTCTGTGCCTCTTAAAGAAGAGAAAATAAACTTTCTCCTAGCCCCGTAACCTATTTCCCTGATGTCCGGTCTTACCCCGTTACAATATTTGTAACAGTAGATACTGTAGAAGGAGAGGCCAGGCACAATCGTTAATTCCTAACGCTAGTAGTAATAAGATACAAAGAAGGAAACTTGCCCCTCTAAGTTACCTTAGTGCCTTAAGCACTATTTGAGGGTCGCAGAAGGTTTTGTTGAAACGCTATCGGATCGTCATAATTTCGCCCGCCTATCCAGGCGGGCCCGATCGTGACCTTCTAGCCTATTCTAATTCTAGCTTGTGGCAATATTAGCCTATATATCTACCCTAGCCTCTAGGTTATATGACCCATCGGTCCTTTGGTTTCTCCGAAGTTGGGACATCCCACGTGATCCTTGTTTCTTTCCTGTAGTCCCGTATCCACCTGGCCTGCTAACGGGCCTTTTGTGTTAGTTAGGATCGTAGATTCGTAACATCTCGGCGTATCGGTTACTCTTTTGCCCTTTCCCTGTCCCTATCCCTACCCCTATAGTACCTTATTGATGCGAGTGCATATGGGGTGTGAATTGTTGTATTGGAGAAGGATGCCAGGTCAGCTATTCTGGCCTGGCAGAGCTCTTTTATCGCTCTTGTCTATCTTATCTATAGCTATAGGGTAAGTCCCCATGGGGTCACGTATCAAAATGCCGGGCTACACGGAAAATGGTACTGTCCTCAGTACGTTTGGTGCAGCGGTACTTGCCAAGGTGTAGAGCTGTTAAGTTGGCCAAATCGCTGTATTCGGAGGAGACTGCTCAAGCCAAGCTCTGTATAGCGGGGTCTCCGAAGGCATTGTGTCGATGGCCAGGCCAAAGTACTGTTGCATCATGCTGCCAGCTGCTGTATATCTGACCTTTGTGACGGTCAACCCTCGCAGACTCACTACAACCAGGTGACTTACAGCTGGAACACCTGCCGTGGCAGTGTCAGATGGGAAGCCAATCATAACCCTTGTAGGAGCCCCGCCAAGCGTGGATGACTTAGTCGCGCTCCCTCAAACCTAAGTTGTCATCTTCTTTCCTTCGCTCCTTAGAGTAGAATCTTCGTCGATAGCACCTAATCGAGGTCTCTACCAAGGCGATGCAACCCAGGTCGTGACAACATTCTATCTAGTCCTATGGAGCACGAAGGTTGGACTTAGTGCCGAAAGGCTAAGTCACGTGGTAACCTTGGTGGTCTTGGAAAAGCCCACCAAGGTTGCCTAACAGTATATCGTCGAGGCTTTTAAAAGGAGTCGAAGAGCGTTTAGGATAAGTTTTTTAGTAAGCGAATTACTAGATTTCTTACTAGCCGAACTAATCAACTTCTAGGGAAGAATAGCCTAGCAGTCTATTTAGCTTTCTAGACTGTCGAGATCCTTCCTATAGGGGCAGGGATCGAAGTCTTTTATTCGTCTTTACTATATTCGATAGGATCTCGACTACGATACCGGATCGTATTAGATTTGATCCGTAGGGACGTCCGTATTCCAGATTAGGTAGACTAGGTGTAGGTTCTAGTAGTAGTATAGCCGATCGTCGAATCTCATCAAATTCTATCAAAGGAAAGACGCCGGACAGATCGGGGAATAGCCTATTTGAAGACTGCGGTATTACTCTGTAGCGATTTGATGCGCGTAGCTGTAAATTGGATATACAATAGAGCACGTTAAGAGTTTCTGAAAGTGTACCGAGGATACCACACGTCTCACAATATAATAGTCAGGTAGTGCAAAGGGTAGCTAGAAGTAGGCCAGTGTATGGGTGCGTATATTGCAAGACTGATTCTTGAAGAATCTAAACTAGGTGCGAGCGTCTCGAGTTCTCCTCTTAAGCTGGGCGGTTCCGGGGTTCTACCGGATCGGGGGGCGAACTCAGCTTGTCAGCTGAGACCGGCCCGCCACAACGGCTCTTTCCTTACAGAAAGGTAGTAAGACCGTTCGATTTGAGCTTGTCTTCGCTAAGTTCCAGTATAGGGAGAGGGGAAAGAAGAAGAGGAAGTTAGGAGATTAGCTATATCTTCTACCTACTTATTCTATTACGTATATTAATTCTAGTATGTTATAGATAGTTATAGCCTTACGACAACCTAATTTTAGGTCTTTTTATATAGTTTAAATAGTTAAGTTTAAATTGACGTCTTTTAAATTAGATAACGTACCCCACGGTCCAATTGAACACTTCTTAAGACCTCGTACAATAAGATATAAGTTAATTCAACTATAACGTAAAAAAATAATTAAAACTACTCGGAACTATCTTCTTCAGATATCTCTTTACTATTCTGACAAGTACGCATATTATGACCGGGCTCTCCGCACGTCCTACAGCGTTGCTGAAGTATCTCTGGCCTCCTCGTACGACTACGACTCCAGCGCGATTTATTATCTAACTCTCCGTTAACTAGCTTCTGAGACTGTAAATCTTCTCCAGCTTGTATACGAAGTGATCCTCATACTGTAAACGTTTTTTTGTCTCGTATAACGCCGCCGGCTAAGTGTCTCATTTGCCTTTCAAAGCGCGGCGTTCTCACCCTCTAAAAGAGCAAGCCGGTGCATAACCTGCGTCGTACCCTTCGCAAACTGGTCAAGTGCAGTAAGTGTAGCTGTCGGAGAGCTATTTTGATGTCGTATAACTCGGTTTTCCACGTGTTCGGTCTGGGATTGTGCCTCAATTGGGTTATTTGGGGTCTTCGACTCCCAGATAATAGGAAGGCCAGACGAGGTACCCGGAGGTGTTGGAGTATGTACCTTCACATCTAACTGCGAAATCACATATTCCGGATCGTACGGTACGAGTCCTGCCCCTCGGAAACCTCCCTGGATATTTGATATCGTAAAAGTTGCCTGGAACGCTTTTAAGAACGCGGAGAGGAAGTCCTCCTTCGAGATATGGGTAATATGTGCCCGCATAAGATCCTCAATTTCTTTACCGTACGCTCTTTTCAGTGCACGAAAACAGCCGATATCGAGAGGTTGGGGCTTATGCGACGAATGAGCAGGCATACAGAGTGTGATAATAGAGTTCTCTTTACAGTAGAGCTCGAAAGCGGTCGAGTGGTGGCTCTCGTGGCCGTCGAGAATTAAGAGGCGATAAACACCTTTCGTACGAAGCTTTGTATGTTGATCGAAATGTCGAATCCAGTCCTCGCCTCTTTCATTTGTAGTCCAGCCATTTTTCGTAACCACGATAACCCAATCCTTTAGTAGTAGGCTATTTTCGTACCACGAAGATAGGTGAGTTTTACCAGCAAAGATGATATACGGAGGGATAGTATAGCCGTCCGATCCGATGCCCTGGATAACTGTAACCCATTCCCTATTCCCTTTCTGTACTGCTCTAGGTCTTCCACGTCGATCAGAGGTCGTTACAACTATCTCGGATGAGATTTGACCCATAAGAAACCCAGTCTCGTCAAAATTATAGATATCCTCCTCTTGAATTCCATACTTATTAATTGTAGTCGGCTGGTGTAGTTGGTCACTTCGCTGGTAGATAAGTCCCGATTTGAGCCTCGCCCACTTGGGTCGGTGACGAGTCGCGGGTTCGAATCCCGCAGCTGACACACAAGGGGGTTTAGTCAACCCTTACGGCGCGCTGCCCACCTTGTTGACTTCGCCTACCTAGCGATAATAGGGAGATTGGTGCAGTTTAGGATTACGAGCATCCTAGCCAGTCGACCGTCAAGCACTACGTCGGCGGAATATAACTCGACAGCCGGTCCAGAATTCGAATCGTTAATCCGACCCCTTATCGGACCTCGCCTTTCCGATAACGCTCGTCGGCGAACCCGTCCCCTCACGATAGAAGGCGCGCAGCACGCCCTCTCGCCGCGATTCTTGCGAGCGTCTGACCACGTTACGGTCTATCCACTTGAGCGTATGGTTGAGATGTATACGCTCGACGAGAACCCCAATTAGCAGATACTACGACTTGTCGCGACAAAAAAATAGTCGAGCATCTTCTGCACATCAGCAGCATCCCACCCCTGAGGACGAATTTAAGTGCCACATTACCACACTTATCGGTAGTTCAGGCAGGGGTTGTAGCACAGACTTAGGGAGGGACAGGAGGTTTAGTAGTCATTTGGCTACAAGTTTACCTGTATAACCGCCCGACGCGGCTTAAGGGCCCGCTATATCATCTATAGCCCCTTAAGGGAGTACTTGTAGAGGTACCGAGGGTTAACACCTACGGCGTATTTAATATTATTATTAATTGTATTCCCCACGAGATAAAACCACGCGCGGTACGCGTCGGGATCTTCGCAGAGAACTCTCTGGTAGTCGATTCTTCGATTAAAACGCGTCCGGAGGTCTGGTTGTCGTCGTACGAAGCTCGAAGCCCAGTTAATACCGACGCGTCCTGCGTCGCGTTGGTGGAGTAGTCGATTCGTCATATCTTCAACGCCACTTATTCGAGGAGGAAATGATCGTGAATCTAGGTCGACTATGTAGCGTACGATCGCGTCTTCTTCGGAATAGGTAAGCTTTTGCGTTGGTGATCGTATATCCTGTCGTGAAGTACCGCCGCGATATCGGTGACGTAAGGTTGTATGAGGGATATTATAGATCCGTGCTACGGATCGTACGCTTAGTTTGGGGTTATTTTGAAGCGCTTGAAGCGCTAATTGAATATCACTTTCTTCCCAATTACGTGCCATTGTAGAAGGTGGAAAATAAGGGATAAAACCTAGGTTGTACGGAAATGCGCGAAAGTGTTCAATTGGACCGTGGGGTACGTTATGAAATATATCTTTAATCCTATAAAAGGGCGTACTGTATGTGTACCGCCAAGATATTATCTAGAGACAAATGTATAGTAAAGTGCCGTTCAGTATCTTTTCCCAATCGCTCCTTGCTGTACACCCTTTTAACACTGCCACTGCGTAGATAAGAAGAAGGCAGAATCAACCATGTAAACTTTCTTTCACACTGAAAAGTTACCACTATACAAATCAATATGCGCCCTAGCAAAAGACAATGGTCGCATTTTCGCAATTATGAGACTGATCTGGGAAAGAGTTGCCCTGCCGTACGTTAGTTCAGATAAGTGACGAGTATGATTTGATGCAAGTGAGGCAATTCACAGTCGTATCGGTTTTGTGTTTGTACGGGAACGATGGTAATCCATGTTTTGAAACTTATATAGGATGATGATGGGCCCATCTGGAATTCTAGGCTCCTTGTTCGAAACACGACGTGGTGTGAGCCGAGGCTAGAAGAGGCTTGGCGTCAGGCCATTGGCAAATGAGGATCCGTGCCTTCGCAGCACAATGGTTTCGTGCCCAATTAGGACGACTTCTAGAGTTAACTAGTGTAAAACCGACCAGGAGCTCCATAGTTGGCCTCCAAGTAAACGTATCGGGACTTCATGGTCGCAGTGCTCAGGAGCTTTTATATAGAGCCTAAGGTCCGCCACTCTCAAGACAAGTACAACCCAATGTCGGGTCCCGGTAGATCACATTCAAGTTTCCGTTCGACTTCCTTTTTCATGTCTTAAGAAAAGGCTGCAGTTCCACTTCAGACGATGCCCGTTGTCAACGCCGAGTTGATCAGCCGCGGGCTGTATGAGATTAGCACCCTGTTGCCACGAGAAGGTAACTTACAAACCCGAGGTGTGGATCATCGTGCATTAGAAACACTGGCTGTTGGTAAGCTCCCACAACTGACGCAAGATACCGCCATTCTATTCACTCAAACTAACTTAACTAGCGGCTACATGTATCTTTGGTGTCGGGGGCTTTATCGTATGGGCCATGAGACAAAAGTAATCAACTCACGTGAAGCCATACAACCTCTGTCTCACCTCGCCATACCATTGCGTCAGAGCATGGAGCTCACTTGTGGACGTGATTGGCCATGGGTTCGTCGGATTAGATTGTAGGACGCGGGTGGCAAGCTGGGATTGTCGCCTTCCTCAAGAGCACACCAAGACGACGTTTGGATGCAAGGCAAATGAGTAATACCAATAATCAGATGGTGTTCAGGTGAAAAGCAGTGGATGAGGCAGGAACGCAATAGATCGATAGAGTCAGGATACCCATTCCCACATAGCTTCAACGCACCCCTAATTTTACCTGTTTTGCTTTATTTTTCTGTCGCCATTTTCTTTATGTTTACCGACTTTCATACGTTTCCATTACCGGCAGGGTACACTATGGAGAAGGAGGCCCGGGGCTCCGAGTGGATGAGTGAGGAAAAGGAGGTCCCGGCTGCCCTCCTCGGCCACTGGAGGAAGAGATGGCTCACCGGAGTAGAGCATCACGATCGCCAGCGACGCGCTATCGCTGAGGAACCGGAGGGCCCTTCGATGCAGATACCGAAAGGGGGCAGGTATTTCGGCCTGAACCGACTGGAGGCGTCTACGCTGTGCCAGATCAGGACGGAAAAATAGGACTAGCAGCCTTCTTATTCAAGACAGGGGCTTTTGGCGTGTACTCGCCGCTATGCCGCTGTGGCGACGCCCCTGAGACGGCAGAGCACGTAATCCTCTTTTGCGGGCTGTTGGAAGGACCGAGGGAACGATTACGGGCCGCTATCGCACCACGACCACTATACTCTCGCAGAGACCTCGCAACGGCAACAGGAGAACCAGTAGTTAGTGGGACTATTGTAAGGTGGCTGCTAGGGACGGGTCGGACAGCTTCAAGGCCCAGATAGCATCGATCTTCTCAGGGGGACTTTGTTGGTAGGTTGAGAACCAACGTAGTATGGTAGTGAACGCAACGCAGTCGCCAATAGGGCGAACCGACGACGCAGCGTATGTATTTAGTCCAGCCATTAGGGCACGGTTTGACAGACGGGAGTACTGGTAGAGGTACCGGGGGCTTCGAGCCTACGGCGTATTTAATAATAATAATAATAATAATACGTTTCCACGTGGGTGTTTTGACATGGCACATTTGATAATCCACGCATTCGTATATAAGATAGGGAATCCTCTTCATCCAAGCCTCACACGTGGCACATTATATCAAGCTGCTAGTCACGGTACAAGCACTTATATTTGTTAGTTTGTTAACAGTCTGCATGCTACCCCGTTAGCGACTCAAATGCTGGTTGAAACTTATCCGTCTTAGAGGCGTCCTGATTTCCTTCTATGTGCATATTGTTATGAATCATTGTCGCTTTATAGGGATAGTGAGCTTAAGATAGGAGGTATTTCCGAGTAGCAAGGCCCTCGGGAATAACAAGAATGATCTCTATAATCCCTCTAGGATTAAAATACTAGGTTCAATTCTTAGATCGTCTAAGCTATGAGACTCTTCTTCTTTACTCCTAAATACCCCTATATTAGTCTATATATATAAGGAAAGAACCGTTATAGCGGGCTGGTCTTAGCTAATAAGCTAAGTCGGGAGGGATTCGCCCCCGATCTGGTAGAACCCCGGAACCGCCTAGCTTAAGAGGAGAACTCGAGACGCTCCTACCTAATTAGATTTCTTAAGAATTAGTCTTATAATACACGTACCTATATACTAGCCTATTTCTAGTTACCCTTTATACTACTTAACTATTATATTATAAGATATATAGTAACGTGATCCACAAGTCATTTTCGCACACAAGTCACTTTCGTACCTTTTCAAATATTTCAACCTTTTAACTTAGCTTGCACTTTTCTTCCCTCCCACAACATGCCTCGTAAATCCAAAGAAGCCGATCTTCAGCTAGCTATCCAAGCTAAAAAGCGCAACCCTGAAATTTCATGGCGTAAGCTTGGCCGTATCTACAACGTTTGCGACCGTACACTAAAGAATCGATTCGACGGCGACCAAACGCGACACGAAGCTAATATGTTAAAACGAAATCTAACTCAAACCGAAGAGGATACGATTGCCCGACGTATAATTGAGCTAGATGCGCGAGCATTTCCTCCTCGACTTCGATACGTTGAAGAAATGGCGAATATCCTACGACGCGTACGCGACGCGCCCCCCGTCGGCAAGAACTGGACCACGAACTTCGTTAACCGCCGACAAGACCTCCGAACGCGTTTAAACCGTCGAATTGATTACCAGAGGGTATTTAGCGAAGATCCTATCGCGTATTACGCGTGGTTTGAGCTTGTTAGGGACACAATCGCTAAATACGGTATCCTACCGGAGGATATCTACAACTTTGACTGTAAGTGTTACACGCAAAGGTGGTCAAAGATTGTGAGGTTGTAAAAGCATGACATTCTATCTAGTCCTATGGAGCACGAAGGTTGGACTTAGTCCCGAAGGGCTAAGTCACGTGGTAACCTTGGTGGTCTTGGCAACGCCCACCAAGGTTGCCTAACAGTAAGGGTCAAGGGTATTGTCGATGCAATTAGCCTAGCCTACTCTACGAGTACTATCCATCTATGAAGAGAAAAACATTAGATACATTCAGTGTGGTGAACCCTTCTCCCTTTTATCCTTCTGTCCTCCCGTCTCGTCATTTCAGGAATCTTCGAGAAGTGAAGCTATTCGGAGATTTCTGTGGGTCTTTCTGGCCGAAGGCGTCGCAGAGGCTACATACCGGTCATAGACCGTGACATTGACGAGACGGGCTTCCTAATGGGCATAATCACATCCGGTATGGTTGTAACGAGTGCAGAAAGACACGGACGGCCTAGACAGGCTACACAAGGAGGTCGGGAATGGGTTACGGTGATCCAGGCTATTAATTCGCAAGGTTGGGCGGTACCGCCGTACATCTTCGCGGGCAAGGTTCATCTTGCTTCGTGGTATCGCGGTAACGACCTACCGGCCAACTGGAAGGTCGACCTTTCCCATAACGGTTGTGAGCACGCGTTTTATTAAGAATATCCAAGCGTTATAACTATTCGAAGCTATAGATACTTCTAAAATTAGTGTGCATTGGTGAAGTTCAGAAGTAACGGTTAAAAGATAACATATAGTTGAAAAAGGAAATAGAGGTCCTTAATCCAGAGGTCCTTGATCCACACCTAACGCAACGGATTTAAATCGCTGTTTTTAGGCTTGATGAGCAACGACGCAGAAGGCGAAGTAACATGTAAATGTGGAGCATGCTTTGTAGGTGAATCCGATCCAGGCAACTGTGACGGTTGTCACGTGATTGACCCATACTGGTCTGAACAGATTGATAAGTGGTTGCAGATACCAAAGTCAGGGACTTTGGTATTGGTCTCTTTTGGTGAAGACATCTGGTACGGTGGCGTAGTGGCAAGGATTGCAACCCCTGGCGCGGCGTGACAGCAACCACGACAACTAGGCAACAAATTAAACGGCGCAGCAGGGTGGAATAACGTTGAGTAGTAGGATAGCGAGATACTCTAGTGTAGTAGACCTGCTATAATATAGTTTGTTAATATAGCTTGTAGGGTACCTCGAAAGGGTGATAAGTGAGTAACCTGCAAGTCATATTTAGGTGGAACACGGAAGCAACAGGTGGCCCATGAAGCACCGCCCCACTTTCGGCCTCCGTCGCCAGCTGCAACTTGTCCATATCGGTGCGCATTAGTTAAAGTACTACGTAGGCATCTGGGAAGCATCCTACGACATTGCCTTGATAATGCCCCGTGCCTCCTCAATACCAAAATTTTATTCACCTGCCTGCAATTGCAACCGCCAGACAGGAAGTCGCTTGTATTTCCCCGTGTTCACACCCGAACGGGACAACGACACAACAGACCAACCGCCACCAAACCACCACCAAGACTACTACAGTGAGCGTTTGCAATCTTGGGAAGCTCCCAATCCGGCAACATGGACTACGAGGCCCTCAAGGAGCAATGGAGCGAGGTCGAGGATCGCGATGGAGTCCGTCTCAGCTGGAATGTATTTCCAAGCTCTCGCATGGTAAGTCAGCTTTCACACACCCGATCCCCAAGTTGTAGCGACTGAACCTTTAGCAGGAAGCTTCACGTCTCGTCGTCCCCATCGGCGCTCTCTACACCCCCCTCAAGGAGAAACCCGACACACCTATCCTGCAGTTTGAGCCCGTTACCTGCAAGCAGCCATGCCGCTCTGTATTGAATCCATTCTGGTATGCCCCACCCTGCTGCACCCTGCCAGTGTATCCTTCTCGCCGCTAACGTTACTGCTCGCACACAGCCAGGTAGACGTTCGAGCTCGACTGTGGATATGTCCCTTCTGTCTGTCGAGAAACCCCCTACCGCCGCACTACAAGGACATCACGGCGAACGCAATCCCTCCAGAGCTGCACCCCTCCAACACCACTATTGAGTATCGGCTCTCTCGCCCGGCCCCCAGTCCCCCCATCTTTCTCTATGTCGTTGATACGTGCCAGGAGGAGGACAGCCTCGCTGCGCTCAAGGAATCTCTGGTCATGAGTTTAAGTCTCCTCCCGGAGACTGCGCTCGTCGGCCTGATAACCTACGGTACAATGGTAACGAATCCCCGTGACCCAGCGGACTGAACCCTATGCTCATAACCCTCTCTAGGCCCAAGTCCACGAGATCGGCTACACTGAGTGCGCCAAGTCGTATGTCTTCCGCGGTAGCAAGGATTACTCGGCCAAGCAAGTACAGGAAATGCTCGGTTTATTGGCACCCACCATCAGACCGGGCATGCCTCAGCAACAGCCCGGCCGCCCCATAATGCCAATGGGCCCGGCCTCTCGATTCCTCTTGCCGGTGCAGCAATGCGAGTTCCAGCTCACCAAAGCCCTGGAACAACTGCAAAAAGATCCCTGGCCTGTTGCCAACGATAGGCGTAACTTGCGCTGTTCGGGAGTTGCGCTGAGCGTTGCCGTCGGCCTGCTCGAGTCCTCATTTCAGAATGCCGGAGGCCGTATCATGTTGTTTGCTGGAGGCCCTGCTACCGAGGGTCCTGGAATGGTAGTCGGCCCCGAGCTGAGGGAGCCAATCCGGTCCCATCACGATATTGACCGTGATAATATTAAGTACTACAAGAAGGCCCTCAAATTCTACGACAACCTCGCCAAGCGAACCGCCCACAATGGTCACATCATTGACATCTTCGCCGGCTGTCTGGACCAGGTTGGCTTGCTAGAGATGAAGGGGCTGTGTAATTCTACCGGCGGCCACATGATCCTGACGGACAGTTTCACCTCGTCCATGTTCAAGCAGTCCTTTATCCGCATATTCGAAAAGGATGCAGATGACAACCTGCTGATGGGTTTCAACGCTGTGCTCGAAGTTCTTACCACCAAGGAGCTCAAGGTAACGGGGCTCATCGGACATGCCGTCTCATTGAACAAGAAGTCGACTTCAGTGGGAGAGACAGAGTGTGGCATTGGTAACACATGCTCGTGGAAGATGTGCGGCATCGACCCAACCGCCAGTTATGGCGTTTACTTTGAAATTGCAAGCCAAGGTGGCCCCGCCCAGCACCAGCAAGGGCAACAAAAAGGCATGATGCAGTTCCTGACGTATTATCAACACTCGAGCGGCCAGTTTCACCTGCGTGTAACCACGGTGGCGAGGAATTTGAGCGGGCCCGCTGGCGATCCCGCCATCGCTCAGTCTTTCGATCAGGAAGCAGCCGCGGTGCTCATGTCCAGAATCGCCGTCTTCAAGGCCGAGGTCGACGACGGCCCGGACGTGCTCCGCTGGGTTGATCGCATGCTTATTCGCCTGTGCTCTAGATTTGCAGACTATAGGAAGGATGACCCCTCGTCTTTCAGATTGGAGAAGAATTTCACTTTATACCCCCAGTTCATGTTCCATCTCCGTCGAAGTCAGTTCCTCCAGGTTTTCAATAACTCACCCGACGAGACGGCTTTCTATCGTCACGTCATGAACCATGAGGATGTCAGCAACTCCCTCGTCATGATCCAGCCCACGCTGGATTCCTACACTTTTGACCAGGAAGGCGGCCAACCGGTTCTTTTGGATTCGACGTCAATTCAACCTACACATATTCTGCTTCTCGATACCTTCTTCCACATCCTTATTTTCCATGGTGAGACCATTGCGGAATGGAAGAAAGCAGGCTACCAGGATCAAGAGGGCTACGAGAATTTCGCAGGGCTACTCGAGCAGCCAAAGGAGGACGCAAGGGTAAGAACAATTGTGACCTACAGACCGGCAAGGATGCAGGACTGACAACAGAAACAGGACCTGATTAGTGACCGGTTCCCTCTCCCTCGATTCATTGTTTGCGATGCGGGTGGCTCGCAGGCTCGATTCTTGCTGTCCAAGCTCAACCCCTCCACAACTCACACGACAGGTGCCTATGGTGGTGTAGGAGCTCAGACGGCGCAAACCATCTTTACCGATGACGTGTCCCTCCAGACTTTCATGGACCACCTGATGAAGTATGTATCCATACGGCCTGAATAGTGTAAAGCACCCGCAGCTAACAATCTCCCAACAGGCTGGCGGTCAGCGGCACAAACTAGATGGTAGCTGGAGTGGAATTAGGCTTGAGATGCATTCCTGTTAAAATGCGGGGGAAGTGAGGGGGGGCTGGTGCTTGGCATGATTATGATGGATGGCACACAGCTCAGCATCGTCCTCGAGTGCCTAGGTATTTTAGCCTAGTTATATGCAATGGACAAGCCGGCCCAGCGGTGGGAGACGATCTTTCGAAAGTTTCAAACCCCTACACTGATTGAAACCCCCATAGTAGGCAAGCATCATTGCCGACTATCCACGCATACTCTGGGGGCCTATGAGTAAGTCCTTTGGGAAATCATAATGATGGGTCTATGTAACGGCATTGTTAAAATATATGAGAGCTGAGAAAATTGAGAACACCATGAACCCCGGCCTCCAACGTTTACTTGTCCAGGTATGAGGCATGTACTTTGTGTTTCAGGAGAGCGTATGGCGTTCCAAGGTACCTAGGTACTTGAATTGACGTCCAGCCAAATCCAAGCTTTGATGCAGCTACAAAGCACAATGCACTAAACCGTGTTCCTGCCTCAAGAAGCCCTTCCCCGATAAGCCCACCCCACCTTCGGCCAATGATCGCTTACCCTCTAGGGCTGCTCTTTCCGTCAAACTCCCCACAAGCAATTTTGCGAAGCCTAGACGTTGCGAACTTTTTTCCCTGTGAACCTGCTCTGCTTGGATCGAGGCTCCGGATTCTTGACAGATAATCATCCAACACCCGACCGACAGAGCCCCCTCCCCCAAGAAAAGTCAATATGCGTGAGTTACCAATTTCGACCGAGCGAGGCTCTGATGGTTTCGGGCTTGACTGATTGCTCCGATAGCTCCCAAGTTCGACCCCAATGAGGTGAAGGTCATGTACGTTTTGCAACAAATCACTATACCCCGAAGCACGCGCACGAGAACAATCACGTTGGCTGCTGTCATCTGGTCATAAACTGGGGCTGATGGGAATTATCTATTTAGCACCCTCCTCGCTACCGGAGGTGAGGTCGGTGCCTCGTCGGCTCTTGCGCCCAAGATCGGTCCTCTGGGTCTGTCTCCCAAGAAGATCGGAGAAGATATCGCAAAGGCCACTGGTGACTGGGTAGGACGCCCTCCCCTCGGCAGCGAATTCTGTCCGAGCTAAAGTTCTGCCTGTCTTTTGGATGTGCTGGGAGCGGAGCTGACTAAATTGGGGATGAACAGAAGGGCCTCCGTGTTACCGTCAAGCTTACGATCCAGAACCGTCAAGCCGCCGTCTCCGTTGTCCCCACCGCTTCGACACTTGTCATCAAGGCACTCAAGGAGCCGCCCCGTGACCGCAAGAAGGAGAAGAACATCAAGCACAGCAAGTCGATACCACTAGATGAGATTATTGAAATTGCACGAACGATGCGATTCAAGTCTTTCTCCAAGGACCTTAAGGGTGTTGTCAAGGAGGTTCTAGGAACCGCTTACAGTGTGGGCTGCCAGGTTGACGGTAGAAGCCCGAAGGCCGTCAGTGACGACATTGGAAGTGGAGCGATTGATAGTTCGTTCAACTCAAAGACCCCCCCTTACATATCTATGTACTGATCCCTCGTCTAGTTCCGGAAGAGTAGAACGGGTGAACGAACGTCCAATCAGTTTCTCTTTCCGCATGTTTCTAGGCGTTCAGGACTGGCTTCCCAAAGGCTTGCCAACCATCAACGAAGAATAAACAAATGACACCGCATGTTAGACTGGGCATAGTTAACACGTGCATCCTTGGTTGACCTGCCGCGTGCCTCCTTACCCTGCTCCCCGATCCCCCATTTCCCAACCCCTTGCCTACACTCTGAAATATACCCAGTTCCTCCATGGTTTATTTCTATTTATGTGTCGAGGAAAAGCAAATATCGACCAATTACTCACCGCAGCCTCCGGTTTGTTACCCGTGGAGGTCGAGGTCCATCATCTCTGGTCAACATGAAAAACTCTGCCGTAATTGCGTGCCATGCTCTGGGCGTGTTCGCGTGATCAGGTTCCATGATTCCAGTGCACATGGATTTCAACCCATCCGCATTCGTCTGATTCAAATGAAAGGATGATATCCCACCAGAACGCCCGCGGACGGTTCGAGAATTTGGGTTGCAGCTCGCGGATGACTCGCGTTTTCCGCGATACCGATAAGATCACTCCACCCTCTTGCCATGTTTGGTTCCAGTTTACCAGATTATTCGGTGTTGTCTTCTGCTTCTTGATCTTGCAGGGAAAGTCTTACACGAAGGCTTCAATCGTGCGGCGCGCGTCTCGGGCAGGTGATGCAGGCATTCATATCTTCGCCCTCTTGGACGCTTTGATTTCCTAAGTATGTAATCAAACATGGGTCTAGTTTGGTCAGCAACTTATTTCAGTGCTGGTATTCGCTGCTGGCTGGCACGCTAACCCCTTGATGCTCGTCATAGTATGTTGCTCGTATCAAGGTCCTACTTCACTGTAAGGAAGTCCAACTCGTTGGCCTTATGTGGCTGTCACGTATCGTATTCCTCGGCCGTCGCAGTGTCCTCCACTGACCAGCAATGTATACCAAAGCTGGATCGACACTTAATATCGGTCTCGTTAGAGAGGCGAGACAAAGTAAACGGCGTACCCACCGACTGAAGACCAACAATCAGCCTACGCCTGTATTCAAATGTCAAGTGTTGCTACCCTGGAACGAACAAGTTCTACACCATTTTCCCGGTGTACAATGCCACCCGGTGCGCAGTTTACTGTTACCCGTTTAGTGGCTACACAAATTGTGCCGACTCTACCGATGCCGTTTCAAGCCCCCGCCGATCTTAACGGCCAGAACACATAAGCACATTAATTACCCCCGAGAAGTTTGTAGAAAATGCTACAGATGCTGGCGCCCAATCGCGGATCATATACCAGTATTTCACAACTCTGAGAAGCAACTAGAGGAATGAATCTCAAATTGGACCATACTCGACCACGTTGCAGCGCCGTTCCATCGTTTCACCGCCGATGCTGTTGCAACATGGGCAAACAAGATCGAGGAAGGGTCGCCTTGGCCGCCTTGACAATTCACCTTATGGTAGCTGGATCGCAGACGAGCAGGATTCCAGAGAGCGCTTGTGATCAATGGTGGGGACGTTGAAGGTCTTTGGTAAGTTAAAGCATCCACAGACTATCATGGCTGCGAGTGCCAGGCGCTGACTGAAAATTTTCGACTCGCTCATCAATCAGCACAGCGATATCTTACTCATGATCATGATCCTGCCATCAAATCTCAGTGGCTGTACCTGACCCAAATTGGAGATCCTCGCGACTGTAAAAGTGCTGCATAAAACCTTTTCCTGCTGATGCGTCAGAATCAGTGATGTAGTGCAAGTGGGCCAATCTGTATAAATACTAAATAAAAGGTAGGCTGTGTTGACTGGGAGCGCCAAGGTTTTTCTGCTGCATTAGCACTTGACTGCAGGCTCGGAACAGGGTACCCAGGCGACTTGATTTGCACGCTACCCAAGCACGCCAGTAACCTGAGAGCTACTCGGGCGCGGTGAGTGCGTACCGTTGACAGCCAGGTACCCGACGCGTACCTCCAGATGCGACTTGCTATTTTCGGGGCCATTCCTGGGGCTGACAGCGTGTCTGGTTCTGGGATAGAGTCCACAATCCATCCATCTGAGTCGACCGGAATCTCACTGACCTACTATTTCCCCACGTCTAGCTCACAAACTCTAATAGGGAGCGACTCCAACCCCGTTCAAGCCGTTATTATTTTATACACTTTGTTGATTTGAATTCCGCTTCTGCTTCGCTCCTTGTTTGACACGCCCACCGACCTTCGCGACGGAGACGCGGTACCTCTCCCAAGCCCACTCTCTCTTTCGTCGCTAGGTATCCATCCCTGACCCCTCCTCCGTCTTCCAGGTAACCGCCGCGATTAAAAAACCATCAAGGCGGACAGGGACAAACCGTCCAGGACAACGGCTACTCGCACGACGACGAGGACGAGGACGAAGACAAGGAAGTAGGCGACGGTAACGATCACGTCGGCACTATATTCATCTCATTCTCGTGGCGCCACTAACAACGGACCTAAAAGTAGTCACCGGTCAGAGGTCAGACTCGCGGCGACCTCCCGGAGACACGGTCACGGCCTGTTGACTGACAGTCTATCTACGTGATCAGCATCATCATTAACTATCGCTGTGCTCCCCCAAATTGGCGAGTTGCTGTCGCCGGACGTAGGCCTCCAGCTTCCAAATGTATAGTAGCCAGTTCTCGTCAGCCATGCTCTAATCAGCAGGCTATGACGAAACTGGCTTTCGACCACGACCACGACTCGGCCGTCTTCGCACACGCTCCTTTTTGGAGATACCAAAGTCGTTCCTTGCCCCTCATCCGCCTTCCATGTTGCCTCTTGTCCAGATGCATCCGATGGTACCGCCGTCGGCGCATCTCGCCCCATCTCATGTCAAGCCCGATCTCTACCCCTTCCAGCAACATCATCACCATACGTCCAGGTCGTCCACGCTCCATGGTCTGGCTTCTTCGCACCAGGACCGGCCGTTCTCTACCCGCGCGTCCCAGCTGCAGTCGGCCCACCCAAGATCGTCCGCGTTTCACCACCACGATAACCACGAGCACCATCTCAGGAGGAAGACGCCGAATGGCACAATCGACGCTGGATATGATGGGACCCCGGCCCAGCTTGCATCCGGGCCTCCGCCGCTGAAGCACATGATATTACCTGCTGCCGGCAATGCACAGCTGGCGCGCGAATACAATACGGCCTCGTCGTATCGGTCTCCCTCCACTATTAATCCGGCCGAGCCGAGGGGCTTTGACGGTTCCGACATGAATCTGCTGCCGTACGCACGAGGCTGGCAGTACGGCATAGACGGAGTTTCGCGCAATACCGCCATGGCTATGGATTGTGCCCCGAACACGCCCTCCACCGTTTACTATCCTTACAACAACGGCGTCAGAGTACCAACGGCCCTCCAGCCAACCTATCACCAGTCGCCAGGACCTCCCGTTTTCAATAATGGCGGGTTGCTACCACCGCCAGCATGGCCGGACGCTAACCTCCCTGGATATCACCACGCTACCCTTGGCGGGCCGTCTTACTATGCCTTGAATCGAAACTCAATGTTGTTGAATCGACCGTCTGACCCTATCATGCCCTCAACGCCGCCTCTGGGTCTTGGGGCCGGTTACGATACGATCCAAGGAATACTTCAAATACCCGCGCAAAGACTAGAGTCTCTAAGCCTAGAGCAAAATCATTACAACGCACCATCGGCTCAACTTCCAGAGACCGCATCCCCCGTTAGATTCCGGGAGAGGGCTCTTGCCAACGCGCACCGTACATATGTCGAGTTGCTGGCTTATCTACATCAGAGCAAGAAATCACAACCAGGTCGCTCGTCCGCAGGCTCCCGGTCATCGTCGAAAATGATGATATTTCCAAAGCTCCCCAAACCCCCGCACGGTTCTGTTGCAGCACCTGATCGACGCCATTCCAAGAACCTGCGTGATCATACACACTCGGTCGATGGCATACATCCTGGGGCAACTTCCTACACAGGCGTTAACCGCTATGGCTCATCGGATACCTTCCTGCAGATGCGCAGCTCAAGCCATCAAATGTCCGCAGGAGGCCCCGTAGCCAACACGTCGTACTATCATCTTCTCAACAATGAAGGCTCCCGGTATGGTAAAGTAGCCCATCCTCTACTAACCAAGTCACCTTTGTCAAATGCCAAGACCGCTGTTGAGATGCTGAATCACTTATGCGAGCAAAGCGGCTGGAGGTGGATAGATGGTATGCTACTTGGTGGCTGTCTCTATTACGGACTCGAGCGATACGAGCAGGCACTTGAATGGTTTACAAGGATAGTTACATTGGATGACAGGTGAGTCTCGGTGGCGGCATGGATGGGTTGTGTATAGAGCTAACTCGCGTTACAGCCATATTGAAGCTCTGTCAAACGTTGCTGCGACTTTGTATTGCCTCCATCGGAACGAGGAGGCCGAGAAGCATTGGCTCCAGGCTGTTCAGCGGAAGCCAAGTTATCTAGAAGCTGTTGAGCATCTTGTGGGACTCCTTTGCTCCACTCAAAGAAGCAAGGAAGCGGTCGATATCATCACGTACGTCCAGCGCTCTCTCCGTCTTCACGACCAAAGAACTGCGGGGGAATGGGACAAAGAATCGGGTGGGGAACGCATGGGTCAATCCCACATTCCCCTGGAAATGGCAGACATGGGCAACTTCATGGAAGCAGTGTCGCATGATGCGGAAATCCCAAGCCAGGCCGGTTTCGGTTCCAGTGGTTATCGCATTCCCGCCAGCGAGAACGGCCGGATCATCGCTCTGATCCACGCCAAAGGCAACATGTTGTACGCTCTCAAAGACATTGAGCGTGCATCTGAGGCATTTGAGGAGGCGGTACTGATTAGTGCTGGGAGGAGGCTTGGATGCATCCAGTCGCTTATACGAAGGATCCAGTCGGTCTTGTCGACCCCTGAGATGCAGCGCCGGGCTAGCCGGCCGAGCTTGCAGGAATCTTTGTCGGGGCCTCTCTTGTTGCCGCCGGAAAAGGCACGACATACGGCTCAACTCGTGTTTGCAACGCGCGGTGAGCTACCCGGGCTGCGCCAGGTCCCTGACGGCGTCCCCAGAAGATCTGCCGTCTCTACCACCAGCAACTCGCTGCTGTCATTGGCGAAAATCTTCCAGGACGGCATGTCCAACGGTGGGTCTTCTACTGGGCTCATGCGGCGACCTTCTGGCGTTGGAGATATCCTGGCTCTCTATTACCTTTCTCTCTCCCTCTCGGAGAGCCCCTCGACAGCGAACAATGTGGGTATTCTCTTGGCCAGTGTCCCACAGTCCACTCCCACACAGCCAGTCCTCATGGCGGAAAGCTCGTCTAATCCACCGATACCCGGCATAGTGCCAGGAAGCGGCCTGGACCTGGCGTTGGCATACTACAAGTATGGTCTGCAATTGGATTCAAAGCATGTACATCTGCACACGAACCTCGGGAGCCTCCTCAAAGACATTGGGCAGCTCGACCTGGCCATCTCCATGTACGAACAGGCCGTGGCGTGCGACGGAACATTCGACATTGCTCTCACGAACCTAGCGAATGCTGTCAAAGATCGCGGCCGGATTTCCGAGGCCATCATGTATTACAAGCGAGCCGTGGTTGCGAACCCACACTTTGCCGAGGCGGTCTGCGGCCTCTCTACCGCCCTGAACTCGGTGTGCGACTGGAGAGAACGTGGAGGCGTGGTGCTGCACAGTGGCAAGTACGACCGGTGGCACGTTAACGACAAAGGGATGCTGCAGGACGGAAGGGCCCAAGCAACCGGATTCGGACTTGTAAGCAGGGTGGTGGACATCGTCTCGAGACAGCTGGCAGATTCCTCCCAATGGGGCACCGGCGTTCTCCACAGCGGTGCGCTCGAGGTCCTCGTGCACCAATTCAGAGCGGCAGGCGCCAATCGAACAGATCAGGGTTTGAATCTCGAAGTTGAGTTGCGCCGGTGGGCGGGGCGTTCATGGGAAGGCTCGCGGGTCCTTCGCCTGGTAGAGCGCTCCATAAAGGCGGCCATGCGCCAGTGGTACCAAGACAATTATGTTCACGGCCAGAGCGCCCGGGGGGGCTATCCACGGCCACGACTGCCCGTAACGCTTACCGTGCCCTCGGCGCCGACGGTTCTGCCGTTCCATACCTTCACCTGTCCCCTCACCGCCAAGGATATCCGCATGATCTCCCAGCGGAATGCTCTACGAATATCTTGCTCTACTCTGCGATCTCCCTGGTTGCCCGATTCCGTATACCCTCCGCCGCCCCCTCCCAAGCCGCATCTCAATATCGGCTACGTCTCGTCGGATTTCAACAATCATCCTCTGGCCCATTTGTGAGTGTCGAAGACCCCATCGGAAGGCGTAAAGCTATTTCACTAACAAGATGATGCAGGATGCAGTCAGTTTTCGGGCTGCATAACCCTTCAAGAGCCAAGGCTTTCTGTTATGCCACCACAGCGAGCGACAAGTCGATTCATCGACATCAGATAGAACGCGAAGCGCCAGTCTTCCGCGATGTGAGTAGTTGGTCTGCAGAACGACTCGTTGACCAGATTATTCAAGACAAGATTCACATCTTGGTGAACCTGAATGGATATACGCGAGGCGCCCGCAACGAAATTTTTGCTGCACGACCGGCCCCTATCCAAATGTCCTTCATGGGGTTCGCTGGTACTCTGGGTGCTGAGTGGTGCGACTACATCCTAGCTGACGAGACGGCCATCCCACCATCAACATTGAGACCATCAAGAAAAAATGTCAGCCTCGAGGACGTGTTCCGCGACGAGGAAGCGGTCGAGGATGAGGACTGGATGTATGCCGAGAATATCATCTTCTGCCGAGATACGTTCTTCTGCTGTGATCACGCCCAATCAAGTGAGCCCGCGGAACGAATGGTAACGTGGCATGAGGAGCAATCGCGGAGGTGGAAGATGCGTAAAGAGCTCTTTCCGCATCTCCCAGATGACACCATCATTCTCGGCAATTTCAATCAATTATACAAGGCAGGTCGGCCCCAGGTCTCATTCAGTTGGGGCATTATGTGCTAATTTGGCATGATTTCAGATTGACCCCTCCACATTCCGCACATGGCTGCGGATTCTTTCCAATGTGCCCAAGGCCGTACTTTGGCTCCTCCGCTTTCCCGAGCTGGGCGAGAGCAATTTGAAAAGAACGGCTAAACTATGGGCATCTGAAGAGGTGGCATCTCGCATCATCTTCACGGATGTGGCGCCGAAGCAGCAGCACATTTCACGGGCGCGGGTTTGCGACCTGTTTCTCGATACTCCAGAGTGCAACGCACACACGACAGCGGCAGATGTCCTTTGGTCCAGCACGCCGTTGTTAACCCTACCGAGGTACCCTTACAAGATGTGCTCACGCATGGCAGCGTCAATCCTCAAGGGTGCACTCCCCAAGAACGCGAGAGGCCAGGACATGGCCCGGGAACTCATCGCAACGGATGAGGACGACTACGAGGCTATGGCTACCAAACTCGCCAGCAGTCTAAATTATCGTTTTACAAACGGACAATATGGCGAGGGTCGGGGGAGGCTAGCCGAGATGCGCAAAGTTCTATTTGACGCAAAGTGGACCTGTGCGCTCTTCGACACACGAAGATGGGTTCGTGATCTGGAAGATGCTTACGAGGAAGCGTGGCGAAAATGGGTTGCGGGGGATAGTGGTGATATTTATCTATAGACGGCCTGCACCTCTAGCGCTGGAGAACATGGCAACCTGTTGCGCTTGTTATGACGACGGGCCGGAGAAAAAGGGGTCTGACGAGGTCGACATATTTCGTGATTTTTCGTACCACGGGATGGGGACTTCGACAATTGGGCAGCCAAGAGTCCTTGCGGGTGTTTAGTATGACTTCATTTTTGCATCTCTGCGTCTACTTTTCCCTATCTACAGAGGTTGGGGTATTGGGACAGCATATGATATAGAAAGGTGACGGCCTAGGACCAAGTGCTGGCAAGGGTTTTGTTACTTATGTTCAGTTAACGGTCGGCCAGCGACACGATTACGGGCACAGGCGTTAGACATGGGTGGTTTCGACTTTTTTTCTTTCTCATTGGCGAAGGGAGTAGATATACCCGAGTCTCACCACTACGGTTTGGCTCCATGTTCTACAGGGAATTTGAGGTTATACTAGTCCGGACTCGGCCTCGGGAGAGAGTGTATGTCTGTCTCTTTCTTGGTGGTGGGTTGTATACTTAGCCTGTGGTTGTGACAGCTGACGAGCCAAAGGGGTCGGACGAGCTAATGCGTGAGGCTCGTGTCAGTGTTTCAAGCTGTGTTCACTTATGACCAAAACAGAAGAGGTTCCGTATCCCGACCAATGAGAGCCACGCCTACAAGCAACTGGTCGGCTGAAGATGAAGCGGGTTCGCTGTCAGAAGGTTACAGGATCGAGAGCGGATGCGGAGAGTCGAGTCGACCAATTTTTGTTTTCTTCATCTTAAGCAATAATCTGTAATTCAGCTAGTCCCGGGGTGGAAGAAGGGCCGAGAGGAGCAGCGGAATTGGCGGAAACAGGACATTATGCGAGCCGGGAGTGAGCTGGAGGCTATCAGCTGAACGGTGTCTGGGTTTGTGTGCCCTCCAGAGCGTTTCGGCCGTTAGAATTTGATTGACTCAACAACATGGGTCGGTGCGCGCTAACTCGACTCAGGCTGGGACACAGCACAACGGCCTAGTCGGACATTTTTGATTTACTTTTTACTTCACTTTTCATATGCTGCGTCGCATGTAACATTTTCAAAGGCTCACCAGCTAATAACCTGAGATTTGTGGATAACCTGGGTGGCCAACTCGCTTGTCTTTTCCATACTCCGATTTGGGGAGGTTATTGTAGTAACAATCGAGAGTCCCCCCACGCGATGTGGCGATCCAGACCTCTTTGGACCTCGCAAATGGTTTCGAGAACTTTGACGGCATGATTGACAGTCGTGCGCGGGAGATCGAACAAGAGAGCGAGAAAGTGACTGAGGACAGAAATATTGGACGGACTCCACTCAACAGAGTTTCGTGAAGCCTTCCGGGAGCCATGGTTACAGCCGCCGCCCGAAACTCTGGAGGAAGCTTTTTAGACAAAGTTCAAACCTATACTACAACAAACCTTGTCGTCAACCGCTTAAACCGGCATAGGAGGGGGGTTGTTCTCTGCAGCACTCCAGCGGTTGTTTCGTGGCCAAAACCATATGCACGCACGCACGATTGATAGGAAGTCAACGTCAGCCAGCCCAAGTCAACGAGTCGACCTGCCAGCTCCAGTTTCAGCTAGACCCAAGGCCACACTAGCGCCACCGGTGATCTGGCACGGCGTCCCGAGGCCTTGATTGGATGGTCCGCCCAACAGTTGTTACAAACGGTCCATCTGCGTCACAACGTCTTTTCCTATTCGCCAAAGCCTTTCCCCTTTCTGCCGTTTCGCGATGTCCGTCGAGCTGCTAGCGTCATCGTGGGGCCGTCGATAAGCAGACGCCATGTCATCCAATGCCATCAACATGAGCCAAGATGTAGGTAGGCTGAAGCTTGCATGAATGTTTGGTCCCGTAGCCTTTTATGGCTCAAGATAACCACTCATTTGTAGACAGGAAGAAGGAAAACATGACTATATGCAAGTTGTCGGCTTGTTTTTTTCTCTGCAACGCTATGGAAAGGCGTATGAAAAGATCTCGGTAGGGTTATAGTGAGGCTGAAGAATATTCCCAATGGTCTCATTATCCCTGTGGCCATCATGAAAATCCTCAAGGGCCCTGAGGTTGATGACGAAGCTCGCAGTCTGCAGATACTGCTTGCCGCTTTGACGCGCCTAAGCAGCCACACGACAGTGACCATGATGGCATACTTGGGCATCGTATGCAAACTTTGGCGGCGAAACGCTCCCGCGACGATATGGCTAGGCACGACGGCTCTTGCACGTCGAGCCCACGCCATCTTGCTCAGTAGGCGATGCTGGCGCAAACTGGGTTTTCGATACGGGTCTGCCAAGGGCTCTCCCACTTTCAGTCTCTCAGAGCCCTCAGACTTGAAAAAGTCACGATTGAAGTCAATCCATACTTGTCATCGGTATTAAATGTGAGAGGTGCAGAAATTAATCAGCTCGGTTGGTTGACCAAAAGCAAAGATGGTAAAGGACTCGGTTCAATGAAATCAATAACTTGGTTGGGGCGGGGGGAAGCAGAAACAGCAGCTCCATGCTGGATCACTACATTTCAGCCGGAACCCAACCGGACGGTCACTGGAGAGCCACCCGTGAGGATCTTCCAGCTGGGCGCTGGGCGCTGGGCACTGGCCCTGGCCCCAGCCCTGGCACCCACATCTGACATCTTGCTGATCCACATGCGCCGATTCATAACTGAAAAAGGATGCATCGACCCACCTTGAGCCATCGAGCAGAATGGTACTAAGTATTGTTGACCTGTTTGACCTGGTACAGCGGTACGCCGGTACGGAAGAAGCTTAATAAACAACTCCAGATTTCGGGAGCTGACTGATTTTGCCCGCCCGTGCGACACCTCATTACAGACAATGACGAAACCAAGAAGAGAAAGGAAGGAAGGGGGAAGTTTTTGAGGAAGACAGGAAGCTAATTAAGCAACGGACTCGTTTGTTTGTTTTGCACATTGAGATTGTCATGTTGTGCAGAATCCATGCTGACGATGCAGAACGTCGCCATAACATACACTCCTCGAATTGAACATGTTCAGAGCTCTCCTCACAGTCCGAGGCGTCCTGTCAGATGTCTTCGGAAACACCCCGTGCCGCAGCGAGCGCCCCGTTCGGCCTGGGACAACAGTACCATAATGAAGGTGTTTGCCAAGAAATAGTGCAGGCACGTAAGAACAATCAAACACTCATTCTCAATGTTGTCAATGGCCATAGATCAGGTACCTGATAAATAGAAGGCCAAGGTTGGCTACTTAGATGAGGTGAGAAGGAAGCTGGAGATCTCCGAGGCGCAGGAATTATTCCGATGATTGTCTTCAGGAAAGTTGCCAAGTCAACTAGTCATTATGCACCCGCACAATGCTGTTGCTCGTCTACCGTTTTCTGCTTCCAAGTCACATACTATGGCATGTGGCTGCTCTACTGATGCCGCTGGCGACTATCTGGCCGCCTCCGAATGGGACCATGAGTCCCTTTTGGGGTTACTACTCCACAAGTATCTAAATACCTACCAAACCTTGGACAGTACTTTGTGCATTGCACCTTCACCACGACTCTCCACACATCCACGCGCATTCCGTTCTTCAAGGGCCGACTCGGGAACTGCATCGCTCGCGCCGTCCAGAAGTCAAGAAGAAGGGAATTCCTGAATGCAACTACTCTAGGTACTTGCGTCAATTGGCTCGCCTTCTCTAGGCGTTCATTGGCTCTTCTCATTGTACTCTATTGATCACGACGTCTTAAATCGCCTGTCTCCACACACACCCCCCTCCCCCCACCCCCACCCCGCCCCCATTCCACCTCCCGCTGTGGTCTGGTCTGGTCTGGTCTGGTCTGGCATGAACCAATTCCCAGGTTCCCATGCTACCTTTTGGGTGTACGACATACCCAGTACTCGCTCTTCCTTTTCTTTTCTGCACTCCCCCTTTAGCCCGTGATGCCTGGATATACCCTGCCATATTTTCCCCGGTCTTTGGACTTGGGACTTGCATCCATCTTGCCCTGGAACCCTGCTCGCTACTTTGACTCTCTACTAGGCACTGCACTGGTATTGGTTTAGACTGGCAGTTGTTCTTGGCACGTCGGCTCGCCCAGACGGGGTATTGTCGTCCTCGTCCGTGCAGCTCAGGTACGCAGTACCTACCTCAACAGCGGCCAAGGTTTCTAGCTTCTCTCGGGGAGGCCCTGCCAGCCTGCTGTTTCGAGTCGGCATGTACCACATATGGCAGCAGACTGGAGAAAAAAAGAGTCTAGTTCCGTTGGTCAATGGATGGGGCCCAGACAGAGACACACCCAGCTGGCTGCGCTAGAGAACTGGTAGGTGGCCGCATTTGCCTACACCCCTGCCAGAAGCTTTCTTTTGTGTCTTGTCAACTTATTGCAGGCCCAATGCCCAAGACGGGCCTGATACCATTGACGCCGACTTCCACTTCCCTCAGCCCCGATCTAGTTTACAGGCGTCCCGATTCATATATCTAACATAGACATCCACCAACCCGAGCTCTGTGTCATCTACTCCATCTGCCCTGCCATCGACAAACGTCACCTACATCAACACCGATACTCTGTTACATCTCATCATCACAGTTATCACTTCCATATTCTCCAATCAAACTTTATCCACCAGCAATATTCATCGGAACCAGAGGAATCTGCTACTTAGCCGCCAGACCACAAAACCTACACAAACCTGGAACTGAACCGAAAAAACAGAAACGTAAAAGACTGACGTTGAAGAAACCACGTTGTCGGCCGTTTCTATCGTTCGAACTTGGGCCTGTCCCGTGTGAATTACTGTCATATTATCATTCTTCTCATCACCATCATCCTCCTCCTCCTACTCGTCGCTACTGGGAAATTGGTAGATCATGGCACAACCACAGCGGAGAGGGCCGTGGTCACAGAATGAGGACAAATATTTGATGCACCTGGTAGAAGCGCAGGGACCCCTCAACTGGGTTAAAATCTCGCAGATGTTGGGATCGAGGACGCCCAAGCAATGCCGGGAACGATTCCATCAGAACCTCAAACCATCCCTTAACCACGAACCCATTACGGCGGAGGAAGGCTTGCTGATTGAGACGTTGGTGGGACAGCTGGGCAAGCGATGGGCTGAGATTGCTCGGCGACTGCACAACCGGAGCGATAATGCCGTCAAGAACTGGTGGAACGGAAGCATGAATCGGCGAAGACGTCTTGTGCGCAAAAACAAACCGCCGTTCCACGATGGCATCGAAGGCCACTCGCCCTACTCGAGAGTACCGGCGCCCCTGCGACTGCCGCCCGTAGCTGGGCCGCACTTTTCGGCATATTCATCCATATCGCCCACATCGAACCGCTTTCCCGGCCACAGCAGCTGGAATTTGCACTCTGGACTGCCCTCGCCCTCGACGACGTCTCCCGGTACTGACTCTCTCCGGGATGGGGCGCCCTCGCTGGTTTCTGACACGGGCTCATATTACTCGACGTCACCCACCATAGGCGGCCATCCAGACTCTCCACTGGGCTTTAACCTGCCGCCATTACGTATCGATGTCGGCGATGGCTCGCCACGGCACAACGACTACGCTCACAGCCCCAAGCTTCCGTCGCTGTCAACGTCGACGAGGCCTGATCCGCGGCCAAGCCAGCTTCGCCTCCCGCCGATCCGGGATGCTGTACCCTCCAGATCCCCCTACATGACGGCGCCTAATTCGCCGGTGGGGCTTGCGTTGACATCGCCGCGGATGCCGCCTCCTTCTAGAGGCTCAGATACCTCAGCCGATAAGGACGCAAGGATGAAACTGAACAATCTTTTGTCCTGAAGACAAGCTGACGCATGAAGAACAATGGAGGCACTGGGACTCTCACTAGGTTGCAATTTGGGCGTTTGGAGCGGCCTCGATGGCCGTTGTTCTCGACATGACTTGTATTCTACTTATGGGAGCATGCATCACTTGACTCGTACAGAGACAGCAAAGAGGATTCAGTATGGGAAAGGCGTCCGGGAATATATGTTGGGATGCAATATCTACTTGGACTCACATCCTACACGGGCCAGTAGCTACACTGCTGTGGCATGTTTAATGAAAACTAGCGCGCGCTGTCGCTATTCAGCAACCTCTTTTTTGTTCAGTCAAGGCTTAGTTTTAGTTGGCTTGCCATTCTCGGCTTCGCAATTGTGAAACAAAACAGATGGAGAACGATTAAGGGACGCGCTATGATAACCAACCAACACCCCACTTGCCAGTATAGTACATTTCCCATTTGGCATCTTGAGGTAGATCTAGATTCGCTCTGGTGTTTCGAGGGCCAACCTTAAATTGCCATCTGACTTCTGTCAGAAAAAGGACGAGAGTTTGCCGTGGGTGTCGCAGAGTGGCAGTGCGCAGGCGCAGAGACAGAAAACTGACGGCTAGCGCACGTTACAGCAGCATGTCTCTGCGCTTTGGCTCTGGCCTTGATATGCAGCAATCACCATCCATGGTTGTGCTAAATGCCCCTATAGGTATGAGAAACCTTGGGACTGACGTGACCCCTGAACATACTAAAGTAACGACGGCGGCCTGCCAGCCCGTCATGATGGCACCTACCCTTGGGTATAACACAAGGTAGTATTCCCTCAACAAAAGTCCTGCCTGGTTGGAACATTACAATAAATATATGTTGCTGCAATTCCAAGTCTGAGCAGAAAGATGGATCGATCGACACCAATTAGCTGTTGTATTGGTCACATCTCTCTTTTTTCTTTCCTTTTTGGATAGGGTCATGGAGATGCGCGGGCAGATCTCCCATAGCCCGATAACGGCCCAATGAGAAAACATCCCGGTACCCGCAAAGTAGGGTCGCCCCATGAAGAGAGGAAACCCCTCGGCCACCCCTGGCTCGAACATTTGATGGAGATCAACGGCAGGGGGATGGATCCAAACATTGGGATCTTGTGCAGCCCATAGCCCGGGCGCCGACACAGCGGATCAACAGTTTTTTTTTGTTATGGAATCGAGTGCAGTGTTACCAATCAATTCATCGTTTGCTGTGGTGAATATGGAATCGGAAGCGTCCGCACGCAGCATAACACACACACTTATACACACAGCATGCTCGTAAGAAACATCATTATTTTTCACTTTCCCCCAGTTGCCAATCATAATGCAAGTACCAAGACACTGCCTGTCCTAAGAATTATTAAATATACTCTTGTATCCTTTTCTCTCTTCAGTATCTTATTCAAGCAGGGCCTGGTCTCACTGATACTGTCAATGGCCCTGGCCCTGGCTCTGGCCCTGCCCCAGCTCTTGTCCCAGATCCAGCAGACATTTTGGGGGGTGATAGAGGGTTCTGGACCAATCGTCAAAACGACCTGGAAGGTCTTCCCTTGTCGTCATAGATTGTCACCACTTGTTGATTTCACGTAAATTCGCTGTTGCTGACATTGGTTTTCGCCCAACTGCCGACCGTTGCGTTTCTGGCCACTCTCAAGAAATCAGCTCGTCCATGCCTAGGTATCCGCATGGAACCTGGGCAGCACCAAGATACCTGCAAGATCCCACAAAAGACGCCCCCCGCCACCGGTTATACCAAAACCGCCAGGGTTATTTCATGATTACTGAGCAGCAATTTGGACCCCTGCTTTCATGCCATTCCCTGTCACAATCCTACAAATTTTCCTTGTTGTCCACTATTCCGCGCTGTGGCCTTGCCGTGCTCTTTCCAATCCTGTCATGGTGGTCAAGGGTGCTACCATTGTCAATATATTAGAGCTAATACGAAGCACTCGTTCCCAAGCCTTGGTTGCTTGCAAGGCCAGATACTAAGGGGTATGACCGACGTTGCGATCCGTGGGAACGGATCGAGTGAATCCCGAGTGAGGAACTTTAGCTGGGTACAAAGTACGAGCCAGGTATGGAACCCCTCCATTCGGTCGCTGGCAGTTGCACGACCAGGATAAGTCTCTATCGGCACGGTGACGGCATGATGAGCTTGATCAATCATCAGTGTTAGCTTGCTACCACATACCACACAGTTGGGTCGTTGCACCCATCTTATTCTCTCTTTCACTCTTTTCTTTCTCGACTGTGCCTCGTCCTTGCAGCCAACCCAATCAGCTGGCTGGCTAGCGTCCAGGCATGAATACATTAAACTGACCATGCTGAATACCAAAATCAGCAGCGGTTGTGCTACGGCCCCTGGTCTCACCGTCTCACGGTCTCGTCTTACCGTCTCACCGTCTCGAGGATTTGGGTAGCTTGGTGCCCGACTGTTGGGATGGGAGTCGCCGTGGTACCAGGACTTGGTACGATGCATCCAGGGGAGAGTACGAAGTGAGTTGTTCCAGGGCTGGAGTCTTGGCCCATCTGACGACGTTCCCGATATGGCACTGCATGGAACGTCCAATCGCTCGGGTGTCTGCAGTGTCGTACCGGCCGAGTCCAAACAGATCTCTCCGTCGCCCGCGCATGGCGGGTGTTGTCGTACGAATATGCGCAGGCAAGCAGAATTCCCCAAAGTGGCCACTTGGGGGCAGGGTGGGGGGGGGAGGGTTCACTTGTTCTTGGAGTACCCCCTGATCCCTGAGTCCTACCTTTTGGGTAGCAAACAAGACATGCGTTATGGCTATTTGAGATCGACATCTGTGGACCCATCTTAACAGACATCATCGGTGCAGGTCAGTCGTGGATGAAATGACTGATACTAGAGTAGCATGGACAACACCATTAGAACATGAACCAAGTTGGTATGCAAGGATCCGGACGTGGATTATCACACACGCCTGAGGCCCCGAATTGATGCAAGATGGCCGACGAGAGATATTACAGACTGGGAGGGGGGATAGAACCCGAAGTCGTTTGTTTGGATAGATCATTCACCTGCTAACATGCAACGGGTGCCCGCGTCCCCCGTCTCTTGGTTTCCGTATTTGTACGGGAAACACGAGCTCGATGAGTCTCGTATCTCAAGCACTGCGAGCCGTGGCGTGTCCCCAAGGCAGGACGAATGACTTCGACAACGCTGAGTCCTCGTACCTTCTACGTCGTGTTTCCCCACGCTTCCCGATCCCAGAGATCTGGCATTGCACTTCGGCTATCGTCCTTACCACTACTATTGGAAAGCAGTCCCGTTGGGCTCTCGGTTGGGCGTCGAACCAAAGTGTCGGGACCGTCTCTCTCCCCATGCCGCTAGCCAGCCAACCGCACATGTTCTTGTCAACGTCTCCCACGACCCCTCCTCCCCCTCCTCCCCCTCCTCCCCCGTCTTCCCGTAGTTTCGTCTAGTCGATAATGGTAGAAAGTGGTTGACCAACTTCGGGCCCGTTTTTACCTTTTCCCCGACAGAACTCAGTTCTCTGTCTGATGTTTCTTTTCTGCTCCTGTCACCGTCACCTCAAAGTTTGGACGGCCTGCCAAATGGAAATCGAGAACGCAACTAGTTCCGCTCCCCAGGAAATAGTGGCGGTCGTAGGAGAATTGACTATTAAACTATCCAACCCATGCCGATTCCAATTGACTTCATTAGACCACTGCAAGGTCCAAACACGAGCTACATCTTCGGTTGAGCTACAGTTGACTTTAGAGCTGCCACCATCTTTCTTGGTCAAGTCACACATGCGTATGCATCACTGAAGCCTGTAATGAGGGTTGGAGCGAGAAAGAACGATGTTATTTTGTTATGATGAAGCATTCCTCAAAGTTATACCGCTCCTTTTCTACTTACTCGTTGTGATGTCATCGACCTATTGCGTCTATCCCCTTCCCACTTCCATTTTGCTCACTTTGTATGTATGTCTGTCTCACCGTACAAGTGTGTGCAGGAATAGCCGTCGGCTTTGGCCGGCCACGAGTTCTGGTCCAGCCCTTAACCACTACCATCTCGATTGCGCCCAGTGGCGCTCGAGTACAGGCGCCGCGCCACGCCATGAGGCAATTCCGAAGTTCTATGTAACGGCTCAAGCCACCGTAGTCGGTATTCTTTCGTGATTCTTATTTGGTGCACTCCATGAGGTTGCCATCAGTATCGGGAGCGCCCTGGATTAAAACCACGCCGCCGTGGCTGTATACAAGCCACCGTGGTGAGCCATAAGCACTTCGTTATCAAGCTCCACGGTGAATATGGATGATTCCAAGTAATAGCTACCAATCTGGACGCCCTAAACCCTATGTACTGCATTTCCCATTCAATGGTGGCATCCTCTGGACCTTGACTGGCCGACGATATACAATCGACCATTCGTTGAACCCTCCAAGTGTCTGCAAGACACGAGCTTCCCGGCTGAGGAACGGCTGCGTTTACAGTTGGAACTCTATAGATACATTGTCCAAAGATTCCAGACAGCGTATTCAACACCTGCCAAGCTGCAGGCTTGAAGTCTCAAGTAGTGGATCAATATCTCAATAGGAGCCAACATCAAACCTTTGCGCCAGACTCCCGTTGGCTGCTTCTCGCTGCAGCTCGAGCGGCTGCAATCTGGGCACTGGTCTGTCTCTGTATGGGCTGCTTGGGTGGGGGACTCATTCGCTCGGCATGAGGCTCCGAGATGAACCCAAGACTTTGATCTTTGATGATGGTGTTTTTGCTGCTGGTGGAAGTGGAAGTTTGGCTATGGAGGGCCGAACCTTCGTCGTCACTCCCCGGTTTCCCCAAGTGACAGGTCCTCCTGCTACTAAAGGCGTCCTTGTCGCCTGAACGTGGCCGACGATTTACAACGGTGCGAGGTGCCGCCATTGTGGCGAGTTTGGTCATCTCCAGCGCAGACCTCGATGACTCATCAAGACGCTGTTGTTGCGAATCCTGCTCATATCGCCGCAACCCTGTCTTGGCGACAGGTCGGCGAGGCTCTTCCATGGGACCATCTGTAGCCACTGGATGATGTCGGAGGCCTGGGTGAGGCGCCGCGGGCAACATATCGTCACCTGGAACAAAAGAGAAGCGGCTGCCTGAAGAAGCAACGTTGGAGATGCGAGGCTCGTCTGGCGTCTCCATCTGGCTTTTGGTTAGGGTTCTGGACACTGTATCGTGCCGCGTCTCCTGGCCATCGGTTGCAGCCAGGTGTCGCTGCTGCAAGCCGTCACGCTGGTCGGCATTTTCCGTATGCCCTCCTTCAAGTACAGTAACGTCGGGCTCGCCGTCCGATGACGAAGAACTTGAAGTAGTAGAACTGGCCACGGATACTTGCACCTGCCTAGGAAATGGGTCGCCTGTCGCGGAAGCGACGTCGCTATCTTCACCTAGCAAGTAAGCATGCGGATGCCGCGCTTGGCGTCGTGTTCTAGGCGCAGCCGATGCATTGGCGGCGGCATCTTTTTGTCGAAATCTTTCACTGAGCATCAAGTCGTTGTGTTTGTTGAGGATTTTTGCTCCAGCACTTGTTGGTTGCGTGTCCGCACTGTCCGTCGACGATGCGTGCACCCTGTCAATGTGCTCGAGGTGTTTCATGACGTCGTCGCCTGACGAGGATGTCTTGCCGAGGAAGACTGGAACGTCATGATGTGCATCGGATTGCGAGCTGAATTGGTGCTGGCTAGAAGCGGCGCGTAGCTGCTTCAACTTGCGAATGAATTGCCTCGCATCAGGTTCTCTTCTATCTACTACGCTTTCAGCCCTGGCTAACGCAACCGTCTCTAAACCATCGCGCGATGTCCTCGCAATGAGAAGCTCGAGTCTCTTGATCTCGGCCTTGAACTTTGCCTCCCGCCTCGACCACTCGTCGGCCACCGTCTTGAAGTCCTCGAGGCCCTGGTTGTGGGACTGTCTGGCCTTCTCGCGGGCTGCATTAGCGTCGTCGAGGTTCTCCTGAATGCCGTTGAAGCCCTCGATGAGGTGGAGAACGTATGTGTTGTACTCGACGGGGATGGGCTTCAGCACACCGTTGGTCATCATGATGACTTGAAGGGCCTCTACCATCTGGTCGAGAGATGGATTGTGCCAAATGCGGTCATGGTCATTGACTAGTAGGTTGGTGGTATTGGCTGGAGTGAGTAGTTCGGGCGAGAAGGACGCGCGACTGTTGAGGCTCAAGTAACTCGACACTCGCGAAGGCGTCGGTCGTCGCTGAGCCTCGACTGGCTCCTGAACACTTGCACGTTCTGAGGAAGTTGGCGAACGTGGCACGACCGGTGTCCGCGAACGCTGTCCCAGTCTTCCCAGCCAGCTCAAGTCCGCCATGGGTTTCCTGGCTACTTCATTCAATACGTACCTCCGCAGGGCCACGCCTACTGCTCACAATGCAGAAGTTTGCAGAAGGAAAAGGAGAACAGTTCCCAGTTTCCCACGTCGGAAGGAAGAAGCAGAAAAAAAAGCTGCGTCGTCGCCAGCAGGATGACGGATGAAGGAGTGAAATACCTTGTGCGGTGACGGTTATAGCAATTGCAACTCTACCTAGGTAGGTGACATTGACGTTCTAGAAATGGCACCCATGGAATTGGTAAGTTTGGACTTGATTCGATACAGAATCAAGTGCAAGGACCTTCTATGAGTTCATGGGAATTTGATGGGTATTGGATTGAATAATGGGTACCTAAAGCTACTCGGAGTGGAAGGCGCGTTTGCGGTAGTGCCTTCCCCGTAGATTTCATGGCCTATTACTAGCAGAGATACAGATGCCCTGATGCCTACTTAGTACCTGTGTTGACCACTTTGCCATTGGGAGACCTTAGAGCCTATGCCAAAATCAAAGAGCCAAGCCGGTATACACAACCTTTGGAGAAGAAAGTCGTGGTGTCACCACCAGTCGCGTCAGCAGTAGATACTGACACCTTGGATGCAATCTGTAAACCGCAGTACATTGCGGTATCATATCTATAGTGGCCACCGTTGTGTCTCTGCAAGCTCCGAGGTAGTTACTGTGCGAGGTTGACGGTAAACACCAACTTGGCGCTGGGCTTTCAGTCGATTTTATTCCCCGCCCATCCCCCTTCTCAAAAGAATATGAGAAACAAACAGGGGCAAGCGGCACATCTTGAACGGCAAGTACAGCTTCCAGAACATATGGTGACAAGCACTCAATGAAGCATGCAAACAGATTGCCAAAGAAAGATGTGACATGACAAGTAAGTTGACTCAAAAACAACCTAATGGATTTCTTTCTCATGTGTGGTCAAAATATCTAGGGTATCTATGCACCTCGGGGTCTTGACCCGAAGGCACAAGCACTCAGCATCGAGATGCCAAGTTATACGTCTTCGAAGGCCATATCTTCATCTTCGCTATCGTTCTTATTGGTAGGCTCCTCGACCTTGACCTTCTTTGCTGCCTTCTCGTCCGAAGCTGGCGTGTCTGCGGCACTGGTGTCACCACTCGAGGGCCCTCGTTTCTCGGCCCCTGTCGAGCTCTCGTTTGTCGCTGTGATGTCCTCAAACTCCTCTTCTTCCTCATCGTCTTCCTCATCCTCATCGTCCTCTAGCGCCTTGCGCGCGGCTTCGGCCTCGGCCTGCCTCTTAAGGGTAAGCATCCACTCGTTGAGGTCTTCAGCATCTTCGGCAGTCAAGTCCTCGTTGTCGGCTTTGGTGTCATCATCCTCCTTCTTGAAAGAAGACGCGCTGGCGACCTCGGCGAACGTGATCCCAGACACTGTGCTTGTAGTGTGCCACTCTGGCAAGGCGTTCTGCTGAGCAATCTTCTCTTTCCTGATCCTTTCAGCCTCCTTCTCCGCTTCGCTGGGGCCGTCAGCTGCGGTGATGTTAATGGCGATGCTTTTGGGTCCCATATCTGCCAATCCCCGCACGGCCGTTGGCTTAGCCTCGGTTTCTACCACGGTGGACGCGGCAACGCGGTTGGTGGCATCGCGCTCCACTGGGCGAGCTGCTGCCAAGGCCGCCTCGAATGTGTTGTCGGGAATGAAGACACTGTCGAGCTGTGGCAGAAGATCGGTGATAAATTTCAGCTGGTTGTTCAATCGCGTCGACTGCACATGACCTCCAGACTGTCGCTCCGGATCGTGAACGAGGAGACGACTGCAACGATGGCACTTGAAGCCCTGAATTGACCAGCTGTCCAATACCTCCATCGTGGTCCATTCTGCATTGCAGAAGGAACAAAAGTATTCCTTCTTCTCTTGCGCCGGGATTGCGTTGCCCTGTACGGCCTTGTCGAGCGCGTAGACCTTCCATTTTATGGCATCAATGGCTTGCCGATAATCGATGTAGTAGTAGGTCCGGTTCGTTGGACGTTGCTGGCCTTCTCGAAGTTCAGGCCTGACATGACTGCGTCAAATCGAAAATAAATCAGTTCAAAAAGGGCATTAAGCTGGATAAATCCGAGGGAAGAGCATCATACACCTGAATGAAGCGATCCTCCTTCAGTCGACCGCAAATCTTGTGGAGATCCTTGGTGTTCTGGGACATCAGATAGGCCAAATCATCGTCGCGTAGGGCCGAGTGAATAATCAAGGCATCGACAATCACGATATGTCTTGTGTCCACGGCTCTTGGATCGTAGAAGGCACGAGCTACCGACCGCACCAGAGTCTGTGCCAGATCCATGACGGCGGCGGGGTATTTATGGGAAAGGTATTCGAAGGGGATGGGACGTTGCGCAGTAGATAATGAGATTGTGTAGAAATCCGTGTCGCGACGGAATTCAGCGTAGGATTTGTGGCTGAAAGAGAGATGTGCAAACCCGTCACGGACAAAGCCGAGAGGAAGTAGAGGGTCCTATTGGAAATCGATGCAGCTTGCAAACGTGACGAGCATCCCCATTGTTCGCGACTCCCTGGCGTCGGAGAAGGCTGTATATCGTAACTACGACGAAGTCAACACAGGCCTAAGCTGATGCTTCAAGTCTGCGATCAACACCCCAGCATATTGAGCTCGAGGTTCTCACGTATAGTACGAGACCACCAAAAAAACTAGTACGAGTCAGTGGTGCGCGAGCTAAATACCCTTGCGCACTTCTTTGGATGCTGACAGAATTCCACGGTAATGGTGAAGTCCAGTTGATGTTGTGGTGGCTAATTAACTATCGTCAGAATGGCAGGGGCAAGTCGACACTTTCGTTGTAGGCAGCCGTGGACGCAACGGGCTTTCTCAAGCTCCGTTTCCGCCATTTGGATCGTCCAAGTCATCAAAATTAACTACAAGCTAACCGCATTGACCACCTTTTTGCATTCACCCCTATTTTGCAGGGTTCGACTAAATTAACCTAAATACTTCGTCCGCATTTATTATATCAAAAAGTCGGCTGGTGTAGTTGGTCACTTCGCTGGTAAATAAGTCCCGATTTGAGCCTCACCCACTTGGGTCGGTGACGAGTCGTGGGTTCAAATCCCGCAGCTGACACACAAGGGGTTTTAGTCAACCCTTACGGCGCGCTGCCCACCTTGTTGACTTCGCCTACCCAGCGATAATAGGGAGATTGGTGCAGTTTAGGATTACGAGCATCCTAGCCAGTCGACCGTCAAGCACTACGTCGGCGGAATATAACTCGACAGCCGGTCCAGAATTCGAATCGTTAATCCGACCCCTTATCGGACCCCCTCTCGCCGCGATTCTTGCGAGCGTCTAGACCACGTTACGGTCTATCCACTTGAGTGTATGGTTGAGATGTATACGCTCGACGAGAACCCCAATTAGCAGATACTACGACTTGTCGCGACAAAAAATAGTCGAGCATCTTCTGCACATCAGCAGCATCCCACCCCTGAGGACGAATTTAAGTGCCACATTACCACGCTTATCGGTAGTTCAGGCAGGGGTTGTAGCATAGACTTAGGGAGGGACAGGAGGTTTAGTAGTCGTTTGGCTACAAGTTTACCTGTATAACCGCCCGACGCGGCTTAAGGGCCCGCTATATCATCTATAGCCCCTTAAGGGAGTACTTGTAGAGGTACCGAGGGTTAACACCTACGGCGTATTTAATATTATTATTTTATTTTAATACCTTGCTAAGATCTTATCTTATTTCACGTATATATTAAGGTACTTTTGTTGCCCCTATATATCTGCTTATGCCTGTTAAGGCTATTGTTCCTATCGTTTACCTACTAAGGTGATACGCTTAAGGATCTATTAAGGCCCTTTTCTTCCCTAGCCTACTAAGGCTCTAGTTGTTAGTACCTATTAAGGTACTTATTATTCTGATCGGAGTAAGATAGCTTCGATCTTGTTATTCTTTCTACCTCCCGGATAGTAAGGTCTTGTTAAGGGTCTTGTTGTCCGTTACTATTGTCATCACACCTTGAACCTTCGGGCATTGACTGCCCGTCGTCAGTTGATGCGAGTGCATATGGGGTGCGAATTGTTGTATTGGAAAAGGATGACCAGGTCAGCTATTCTGGCCTGGCAGAGCTCTTTTATAGCTCTTATCTATCTTATCTATAGCTATAGGGTAACCCCCCATGGGGTCACGTATCATCAGTATATAAATATTAGTATACGAAAGCGTTTAATCAGTCAGTACGCGATAGATATACTAATATATCTAAGCTAGAGTTCCTCTATTATCGAAGATATACGTAAAATAACCTTTCGGAGAAGTACTATCTAATCAGCCTTAAGAAAACCTGGTATTTAGCCCTTTTACCCTTATCCGATATTATAAGAAATTGAGGTACGTATACTAAAAAAATCTTTACTATTATCGCTATCTTTATCCTTGTTATACGAAAGTACGCCTACTACTCTCCGTTAATTCAATAAGATAGCTAGTAAGATCACTAATTATATCACTAATCTAGAGCTTAGTGTTAGTCTAGATCTTACTAATCGGCTTAGTCGCTTCGTTCAAGGTTTGCTCGTTAACGCGACTGAACTTATATAGACTAAGCGCGATCTTAGCCGTACTAAGTACGCCTAACGGATATTAAAATAACGGCGCGCTACGAAGAACAATCACCTTTAATCTAGTAGAGTTTTATCGATTATAAATGGTAGAGAGATAATGAAAAACAAGGTCGAAGATAAGGTAACGAAAGTATAGCGAGTTAGATAATTATTACTAAGGACTACGTACTAACGTCACCCACAGGTCAATGCCCCACACGGGTCTTTGCCCAACTTTTCACGACCTCCCAACCTTTAATCTTAGATAGATCAACAACAACCCGTATTCATCCAAGAAATTAATCAGAATTCTTTTCATTATCTGTTTCTACATCTGCCTGACAAGTTCGCGCATTATGTCCAGTTCCTCCGCAAATGCCACAGCGCCTAGCACCCGTTGCCCTCCTCCTTGTAGGACGACTACTTCCACCCTCTTCCTCACTTTCTAAACCCGTATCACCCCTAATAGCCCGTAGAATTTGTGCATCTTCTATATTAAGTGGCCCACCATACTGGATTTGCTTGTTTTTGGTTCTGCGACGTTTTCTTAGCACATGGTTAGTCTCACGAAGCTCTTCGTTCTCGCGACGCAAGATAACATTCTCTTGCATCATTGCATGCGTAGCCTTTGCAATCGAGTCAATTGAATGAAGAATATGCGTCGGAGAGCTGTCTTGATGCCTCTGAACGCTATTCTTAATCAACGTTGACTGCGATTCGGCTTCAAGGGTGGTAGTAGGTGTCTTAGAAGTCCAAATAGGGGGTAGGAGTTCTGGGTCGGCAGAGGGTGTACGCGCGACTTCTGCGACATCCAGGGCAGATATAACCCTGTCGGGGTCAAAAGGGACAATTCCAGCTGCTTCGAAACCAGATCTGATGTTTTGTTCAGTAAAAGCAGCGCCAAACCCCTCCAAAAAACCGGCAAGGAAATCCTCCTTCGCAACGTGGGTATGATGCCGTCGCATCAAACTCTCAACAAACACACCGTACGCCCGTTTCAAAACACTAAAAGGCACCAAGTCGAGAGGCTGGAGCTTATGGGACGAATGGGCAGGCATAGGAAGGGTAATGATGCCATGGTCCTTGCAGTATTGTTCGAAATCCATCGAGTGATGGCTTTCGTGACCGTCGAGGATCAGGAGGCGTTTGACACCCTTCGTACGATCGCGTGTGTGCAGATCGAAGTGAGCTGCCCAGCTGAGACCAATATCATTCGTTGTCCATCCGTTGTGGGATAGATCAACGACCCAATTGCCCGGTAATGTGGTGTCGCGATACCACGAAGCGAGGTGAACTTTGGCCGCGAAGATGATGTACGGCGGCACCGCCCAGCCTTGGGAATTGGCCGCCTGAATGACAGTAACCCATTCCCTATTGCCTTGCTGGGCTTGCCTAGGCCTTCCACGTCTTTCGGTACTCGTAACGACCATGCCGGTTGAGATCATGCCCATTAAAAAGCCCGTCTCGTCAAAGTTGTAGATATTCTCCGGCTGGATGCCGTGCTTCGCTATTGTGTCCGCAACACGCTTAAAATAACCGCGATACGCGACAGGATCTTCGCAGAATGCCCGCTAGTAATCGATTCGACGATTTAAACGCGTCCGGAGGTCTGGTTGTCGCCGTACGAAGCTCGAGGCCCGGTTCTTGCCGACGGGTGATGCTTCGCGGTCGCGTCGGAGGATATTCGCCATTTCTTCAACGTATCGAAGCCGGGGAGGAAAAGTTCGCGAATCTAGCTCAATTACGCGTCGGGTAATCGTATTCTCTTCGGTTTCGGTCATTTTCCGTTTGGACATGTTAGTAATGTGTAATGGTTGTACGCCTTCGTAACGGCGCTTCAATGTCTTATGGTCGACTTTGAAGATTTTACCAAGCTTGTTCCAACTTAGGTGAGGATCGCGTCGTTTAGTTTGGATGGCTAATTGAAGATTAGCTTCACTAGATTTGCGTGCCATGTTGTGGAAGGGAAGAATTGTATAAGTAAAGAAGGAAAGTCAAGATTTCTTGAAAAGTTGGGCAAAGACCCGTGTGGGGCAATGACCTGTGGGTGACGTTATAGCTAAAGAGTCGTTTTTATTATACCGTAAAAGAAGCTAGGAGACGACGATTAGTAGGCCGACGAAAGCTAGCAGAATTTACCGAAACTGGTTCTGTATTACGGTTATTACGCAGATTTTGATCTAATGTTGAAAATACTACTATTTTCTGGCCAAATCGGTGTCCAGCACCAACTTACGTTGATGAGCTCAAGCGAATCCGTAATAAGTGGGGTGTGGCACGGGTAGTTCATCTAAGCAGAGTTCAGGCGTTATAGTACCTCATAGATGTTGGCTAGACTTCGAAACTCGCTCTTCAATTCATATTAGACCCAAAACACTGAATATTGAAAACGCTGGCAATAAATTGCACCCCGAGCCCACATTCACTTTTCTATTTTTCCTCGCCGTAGCCCGTGATAGCTGCCTGCATATCTACCTTAGAGCCGCTTATTTCAGCAACTACATTCTGACACGTACCACTGTACTCTGCTTCTCATCTCAAACCTAGGAGGAAACTACTTGTGGACACCAAACGCTGCTGTAAAATCTGCTCTTACCAAGTGTGGACTTGCTGATTCACCATGAGCCAATCAGTTTTCTGCGCAAAGACCATGCCTGACACTGAGTGAAGATGTCTCGGCTTGACTTTCCCACCATTTTCTTACTCCCAACGCACATTGAACCTCACAAGCTTCTAGAGCTCGAGAGTCAAATTCCATCGTTGACGTACAACATCAGTGAGGCGGAGGTAATTCTAGGCTGCATCAGCAAGAGGCAACGGGCGATATTTGAGCTGAGACGACTCAAGCTCACCATCAAGGAATTGCCACTGCAGACAAACAGCAGCGGACTGCCACCAGCTAAGCGTCGAAAAATAACCAACGACCGTGCATCTAGCACGACTTCAGACAGTGATGTCAACGAGAACTCTACAACTCATGCCCAGCAAAAAGTTGCCAGTACCTCTAATTCGACGACAGCATCTTGGGATCCTGGTTCTTATGATGCAACGGGTCATGTCGTTAAAGTAGTCAAACTGGCCTGGTTTACGGATTCAGTAGCGAAAGGGATGGTTTTACCAGTGGAAGACTACACCATCTACAAAGGCCTGAAGGAGGCACGGTCTATGGATATCTCCACCCCTCCAAGGACAGTGGGTGTCCTCGAGCGTGCCCGAGACGACGATGACACTTCTCCTGCATCACAGCGTGTGACGCACCATAGGCAGGCCGCCAGCACCCAACGCACAAGAACATTGGTGCTAGAAAATCGGCTAGCACTGATACGGGAGACAACCTCCGAGCATGACATAGATCGGAGTTTACTACCAATCCCAGACTTTCTCCATAGTATGTACTCTTGTCAACGGTCAACTCCCATCAACCCGCCAAACGACGCCTTCATTGAGCAGCTTAAGAAGGTAAGAGTTCTGAGGACGCTGAACGCCGACAAGGTTGGCGTTCGCGCGTATTCGACGAGCATTGCCTCTCTTGCTGCCTATCCACACCTGCTGGTCAACGCGTCAGGTGAGTTGTTGAGATTCCACGTGATGATAGAGGTCTTAATCGGGCTAAACAATGCGCAGATGTTTCCCGGCTTCCTGGCTGCGGCCCCAAGATTGCCGAGCTTTACCAGCAATGGAAGAGTAGCGGCTCCTTGGCTGAAATTGAAAATGCGAACCAAGACCCTAGACTCTCGGTTCTCAAGCGTTTCTACGACATTTGGGGCGTGGCGGAGACGACAGCCCAAGACTTCTACAACAGGGGCTGGCGAGATTTGGATGACATTGTAGAGTACGGCTGGGAGAGCCTGACGAGAGTTCAGCAGATCGGCGTCAAGTATCACGACGAATTCCTGTCTGGAATCCCCCGTGCTGAGGTCGAGTCAATAGCACAGATGATTCTTAAGCAAGCTAACAAAGTACGTCGGGGCTTCCATATGGTCATCGTCGGTGGATACAGGAGAGGCAAGCAGCAATGTGGGGACGTGGACGTTTTGTTGAGCTGTCCTGACGCGTCAGCTACACAGGACGTCATCGAGGAGATTGTCGAAAGTCTCGAAACAGACAAGTACGTAACGCATACCCTGTCACTCAGCACCAGGAACTCGGAACGCGGACAGGCACCACTGGCGTGGAAAGGGGAAGATAGACAGGGCTCCGGGTTTGATACCTTGGACAAGGCTATGGTGGTGTGGCAGAATCCCGAATGGGACAGGGCGTCTGCTCCCAAGAATCCAAACCCACACAGACGTGTCGACATCATCATAAGTCCTTGGAAGACTGCCGGCTGCGCTGTCATTGGTTGGAGTGGAGGCACCACTTTCGAGTAAGTTCATCTGCGCCTATCTAGTCATCCACTGACATAGTATACAGACGGGATCTAAGGAGATATTGCAAGAAAGAAAAGTCACTGAAGTTTGACAGCAGCGGCATAAGAAATAGGATCGACGGCGCCTGGGTCGATTTGGAACACGCTTCCAACGGAACACCAGCACCCGACATGTATACTGCCGAGAGGAGAGTCTTCGAAGGGCTTGGGTTAAAATGGCGGCCTCCAGAAGAACGGAATACGGGATGAAGTGCTCGTAGATGTTTCCCCACTCGCACTAACGGCGTGGTACTAGATAGAGTATTGACAGCTTGGAGGATCTACACGAACCGCCTATAAACTTTATATATCAACATGGATATGTAAAACGACCTGCTTGGCTGAATTATTCAAGGGAACCTAACATTTAATCTGATATCTTCATTCTATAAGGTGTATCTTTCATTACCCAAAATGGACAGGCCAGCCTCGGAGAATATATCTGAATGAATCATGACGCAGGCTGCCCGGCAGTCGGCCTTTGCAAATACAGCGTCCAATTCCAATCAATGTTAAGCTTACTAGGGCATTCGGCTTCGTTGTATTACAATAGTTCGTTACATGGATCTCGGTCGAGTTTTTGTCCGATTGGAGCTCTCGAGTGGACAGGAGAGCCTTCGAAGGGCTCGGGTTAAAATGGTAGCCTCCAGAAGAACGGAATACGGGATGCAATGCTCATAGATATTTCTTCACTCTCACTCACGGCGTGGTACTAGAGTAGTAACAACTTAGAGGATCTACACGAACCGCCTATAAATTTGATATATCAACATGAATATATAAGACGACACGCTTGGCTGACGCTTGGCTGAATTATTCAAGGGAACCTGATATTTAACCTGACATCTTCATTTTTTACGGTGTATCTCTCATTACCCCGAATGAATAGGCTAGCCTCAGAGACTTTATCTGAATAGATTGTAGGTTATGACGTAGGCTGCTCGGCAGTCGGCCTTTACAAATGCACCGCCTAATTCCAATCAATGTCAAGCTTACCAGGAGCATTCGGCTTCGTGGTACTACGATAGTTCGTTCTGTGGGTCTCGGTCAAGTTTTTGCCCGATTGGATCTCTCGAGTGGACAAGGTGCCTGCCTCACATTCTTGCTCAAGCTGGATCAGAGTGGAATACCCTTACTACCAAGCGCGATAACAAGCAGATGAAGCCTCGCCCTGCCAGCTTTGCATTTGTCCCCAACCCTTTGTTCGGACTTTTTCACTTGAACTCAACTAGGACCACCACATCAATAACACAACCTGCATAATGACTTTCGCACTGCAGCTCCCAAGTGAATACGGGTTAGTCCATAATGCCTTCAACTGGATAGGCGTAAAACACTTCATTGACACATCTACCAACCATCATCCTGAAATATACCAAGTAATTGGAGACTAATGACAATGCGTCACTACAGCTACGTCCTGACGGTGGCCTCGGCCTCGCTTTTCGTCAACACGTACCATTTCGTCCTCAGTGGGAAGGCACGCACAGCGAGTGGCCTTAGATACCCCATCCCGTACGCCGCCGCCGAGCACGCCGCTAAGGACCCGGCTGCGTACAAATTCAACTGCGTCCAGCGTGCCCACGGCAACTTTGTCGAGAACTACACACCTTTTCTGGGCGCCCTGCTCATTTCTGGCCTGCGCTTCCCCGTTGCCAGCGCCGCCTGCGGCGCTGCCTGGGTTCTCGGCCGCGTTTGGTATGCAGCAGGGTACATGCGCAGGGGTCCCGAAGGTCGGGTGAACGGCTTCCGCCTGTCTTTTTACCCAGATCTGGTCTTGAAGTTTCTGGCTACATGGACAAGCGTACAGATGGCCATGGAGGCGGCATAGATTGATTCCCAAACGACAATGGAACTATATGCATTAGTGTCTCAACGAGACTTATCTTTCCATCTATATCCGCAAGTTCAACTTCATGGAATGTGCAGTCTTTGGGAATGTCATGTCCCGACTCTAGACTCATGGTCCCGGACTTTCAAGCAAGTAGTTCGACTTGTCACCTCTTTGGAAAAGCCACTAGTGGCTGAAGCGATGGGCTGCGTCAGAATAAAACCTGGGTAGCATCACATCTATGGCTCCCACCAAGAGTATGAGTCTTACCTACCGGTCCCGGCGCCAGCCTCCCACGCTGCAAATGAGTGCTGCTCATGTGAAATCTATGTACGCTGTTGTCGCATTTGCAGACACAACCCGCCAGCTTTGTCTTCCTTGCCCCTCTCCAAACCCACAGAATTAGACATCGAATCGCTTATTCACGCAGACCAAATCTAACTTTTTGATACATGAATCCACCAACTCCTTACGCACTGACAATTTGAATAGCCGGACTGGTCAGGCGGTCAACATCTTCCGTTATCTCGTCGTGTTCCGGTCCCTCCTTGCCCCCAGTCTCCTCGACTGGTGAGCTCGATGCGTCTGGTGTGAAGAATTGCGCCTGCTTCGGCGGAGCTATGCTCAATGTCGCCTCGGCCTCGTCCCCCGAACCATCTTCAAGGGGAGGCAGGGGGGTTCGATGACCGTCGGAGAAACTGAGAGCCGCATCGCTGTCCTCATCCGAAGGCACCACAAGGCCGCCACTGCGTGCAGACGAGTACTTTCGATGAAGCTCCCGGAATGACCTGGCCGTGGCGGCGCTGGCTACCGACTCGCGCCGCTCACGTGTGGGCGATGGGTCCCCCAAAAAGGACTGGAAATCGTCATCCGTCGAAAGAGGAGAGAGTAGCTGGTCTTCAACCTGCGACAGCTTCCGCTGGCGGAGGCGTTCCTCGGGCGACATGTTCTGTAGTTCCGAGCCAAAATTGATGACGGACGCCTTCTTGCCATGCACAGTAAAGCTCCCGGTCCCACGGGACAAAACCTCCTCGCGGATCGTCTCGTCCGACATTCCTGTGCTCGAAGCAGAGTCTTTCCCTTTCCTACTGCGGTGGTGCGAAAGATGCCCCGCACTGTCCCTAAGAGTGCGTTGCAAACTGCGGCGCAGTTTGTTTCGGTCAAGTCTCTCCTTGTCGGCAATAGCGGTGCTAATTCGTTTAGAGCGCTCAAAGGTATCTTCTGATGCCATGGGGGATGAAGTGGGGCGACGGTCTGATGTGCGTGACAGCTCAATGTCAAGAAGACCTGCCTGCTCGAGCACTTGCCGTTCACCGGCATCCTCCTCTGAGTGTTCATCGATGGGGCTCCGGTCCTGGCCCGATGCAGGACTCGACACTGCGCGGGGCGGTGAAGATGGCGTCGGGGCGGTTGATGATGCAACACTAGATACAGAGGGTTTCCGCAATCCTGCGTGGTCCGGACCTAGGGGTTGCACATCTCGAGGTTGTGGCCTCTGGAAGGTTGGTGCTGTCGCACTGGTGGGTGGCGTCTGGAAAACATCGCTGTCAGGAGATTCCCCATCGACCTGATGCTTCGCTGACCCAGACGATCGGGACAAGGACAGCGGTGGTGGCGACCGTGGGCTTTGCTGCTGGGTCTTGTGAGAGCTTGCTTTGGAGTCTAAGTGGAGGAGCGATGGTTTCTCGGACGAAGTGTCCACCTCGCTTTGGAGGTCTTCCAAGTCCCCATTGACCGCCTTCTCCTCCTCGAGATCCATGACGAGGATATCTCGATGACATTTTAGTCTCCATATCTCGGTTCGCGACCACTTCAGCTGAGCAATCACCTTGGCAGCCCCTCCCCGGACCTGATCACGCGTCTTCTCCTGAATAGGCGCCAATATCAAAAGATGGCGAGCATTTCTCAGTTGCGAGTCCAGATGTTTTTGCGCTGCCTGGAGCTTCTCATCCGCTTCCGAGATCCTCTGCGACATGATCTCACGCCGCGCTGTCAGAATGTCTTGCGCCATCTTGTGGTCGATGCGGCCCCGGTTAATGCTCACTTCCCCAGTTGGTGTCTGAATGACTTGAGTAACCTCGCTACTGTCGAGTCGTCGGATGGCCCGGCGACTTTGACCTTCGTAGTTGCCACCCACGACGCCTCGCATACGGACACCCGATGTTCTGAACGCTGCAGCGTAGTTCAGCTTTGCAAGCCAGTCGTTCCTGTCCTCCTCACTCTGGGCTAAAAGTACTTCCTCGAACCCGCCGTGACGCACGTACACAAATGCATTCTTGTGCTTCTTGTAGGATGCGTCAAACAAAGCAACTGCGCCCTCAGTTGACATTAGAGCATCGGGCTTGAATTGCTCAAGCGGAGGCTTGAAAATAAGGGGGATCCCCTCGTTGCCGTGCTTGACGTGGGTCTCGTACTGGTGCATAAGATTCTTGACCCACGCCGTGTTCCGGAAGAAATACAGCTGGGCCCCTGTAAGAATTGCGCCCCATTCTTGCCACGGAGACCTCGTTTTCTTTTTCTTTTGATCTTTCCGCCACAAAGTCCCAACCTTGGTGATTTTGATGTCCACCACGCCTGGATTTGCTTCCTGGGGATTTGAGACTGTCTTTTCAGACATGAAGGCGTCGGGCCGTGACCGCGCTGAGACGATCTGCAAGACGCCAGTTTTGAAGAACGTAGTTTGCAGCTCCTTCAAGTCTAGATCCGTAGCAGTGCCCAGATAGCTGTAGTGCTCTTCAAGTGGGATCTGATCTCGAAGGGGGGGCCTAAGCACGTCCAATTTGCCATCCAGAATCAGAGTGTATGGATCAATTGGATCCTTGGACTTTTTCAGTGGTTCTGTGGCTCCATTTGGGAAGATGGATTTCTTCTTCATCTTGTGCCCTACGAGGCGCTCTCCATTGATATCCAGATCATCCTCGACATGTATGAAAGGTGTGTATGAGATGTTGTCGTAGAAACACTCGAGTACATCATCAAAGATACCCTCGCCTCGGGTGTTTTTGAGATAGTCCGGCTTCTGCATCTTGTGTTTGTTGTTCTTATTGAATACATCGGTGTGAAGTATAAGAAGAGAAAATGCTATGAAGTAGGCTTGGTCTGGTGCTGAGTAGATACCGGGGTTGCATTCATGATACCGGTTTGCAAAGGCTTGTAGGCATCTATCGATCTGCTGTGTCTCCTTGGGCAACTCGGCCTCCATCAGCAGCTTTCGGATGGCCATGTCCATGGGCTCCTCGAAAAAACTGAATTTGCGCATGTAGCTTCGTAGTACAGAGGCGGAAAAGGGGTCAGCTCCTCTGGACAATGCGCTTGCTATGACACCGCGATTGAGAACTTCCTCAAGCCGTGCCAAATATTTAGCTGGCGTGTCATCTTCTCTGCGGTCTGGCAGAACTACCGGTGGAACCTCTCTCGTCAACTGGAGCGAGTTGTTCTTGGACGCATTGGACCCTGGCGTTGCTGGTGTTAGACTTCCATGACGGAGACCGTCCTGGTTTTGGCGTAGGCGGCTGAGCCCGAGGAGATCACCAAAGCTTTTGCGACCGGTGGACGAAGACGTCCGTATTGTTTCGGGAAATTGATGATCGTCAACCGAGTTTCGCCCCAGTGAACTCATGGTTGAAGACCTTCCTCTGTTAGCCAGATGAGTCCTGGTCGGTGAGGATTGACCAGAATTACGTGATCCAGGTCGGAACAAAGCGGTGGCTGGAGACCCAGACGGCCGGTTCAAGTAGCTGGGACCATGTGTTGGTGATGCGACAGGAGTAGCTCTATCATAACCAGTGGATGGGCGTGCCGGATCTAGGGTAGTCCCATCTGATGGTGTGGCCGAGGCGGTTGAGTCTCGAGGGGCTAGAGAGGAGGTCGAGGCTGCAGATTGCAAAGCAGGAGTCTTGGCTTTCTGTGGAAGATGTGACATAGGGAACAGCGGCTCACGCTGTTTCGGCTTACGTCGCGGTAGGCGGAAGAAGGTTGTCGTGGATACCGTGTGGGTCGTAGTTGTCGTGGTCTGGTATACACCGTGTTCCCCTGAGCTTCCTTCCGACCTTTCCGATTCAGACAATCGGTTTGTAAGCACGGGCTGCTGTGAGTTATGTTCGTTGCTATGGTCTGGCGGCATTGGTCCTGGCTGTGATGCTGCCGATGTCTGCGGCCGCCGCCTCGGCTCCTCAAAGGTCACCATCTGCTTGCCATTTTCAGAAGACTGTTGGGAAGAATCCTCGGACAGACCCGTCATGGTTTTCCTCCGGTCCTGCTTATTGGTGGAGATGCGCATTAATTTAGGCGTATCTTGCTCCAGCCTCGGGAGGTCCGCAGACTTGCGCATGCGCATCGTCGCAAGTTTCATTCGAGACGGCTTCTTCTGGGGCATGAGACTGCCGTCTATGGTTGGAGCGGTGGTTATGATAGCCGGTGCTACTGTGTATTGTACGCGTCAGCAAAACCTAGTCCATCTGCCTGTGTATGTACAACTTTGACTAGAGACCTATTGCTTAATGACATGCCCGATGTTGTAGCAGGCATTGAAACAAGAGTCGCCAGAGTAAAGGGAAGGAGAAAACAGGGGAGAGGCTACTGTAGCCGCATGCGGCATCTCCAGGCAGGAAACGAGAAGGTACCTACGTCGTGGCATGGGCGGAGGCTTCTCAACTTGCTGCTGCGCCTTTAACCTTGCCGACAGCTGCGAGTCGGAGGCATTCCGGAACCTCAGCATAGAGAAACGGCGATGCTTGGGTGTCTCATCCTGGACCGGCGGGGATTCGGGTCGATCGTAGGGGTCGTCACTGGGCCGGCCAACAGAGGCGGATGCAATGTTGGAATCAATCGACGAACTTTCACCATTGCCATTTCCGGCGTCATCGGTCCTGTCCGTCGACATGGGGGTGCCAAAATTGGGCGATTCCGGGCTGAGGAAGCTTTCTGCCATGGACTTTCTGGGTGCAGGCTGCTTGGCCAAGATAGAATTGGTGTTGGAGCCGGAGCCGGGTTCGAGGAAGCTGTGTCGTCGCCGCATGTCTGTCTCGCTAGCTAAGACTCCGCGACGGCGTAGGAACGGCATCGTTGTAGGGAAACGTCGGTTGCAGTCAGATGCAGTAACGGCGATGCGGTAGCAGTAGCAATCACAGCAGCAGCAGCAGCAGTGAAACAGGGTGCAAGGTCAGATCAGCCCGAGCTGATGGTGGTTACGTCAGGTCTTCCAACGACGGACGCCCATTGTCGTGCTTGCATTCCCTGCCGTGCTTGTTGTCGCTTTCCTGGCCAGATTAAAATACGAGGTGTGGGTGTCGGGTGTATAGATGCCGGTGTGGGCGTCGCAAAGCAGTGGCAGGAAGGGGAAACGCTGTGCAGTTCCTGGAGTTGGAAGAGAGGACTTGGGTTATTAAACGGATCGACTAGCACGGGATGGATCACGACGCAAACAATTACAATTAAAGGTATCGACTAGCACAGGAGCAGCATGGACTTTGACAGCACGGCGCCCATAGCTAAGAATTGATTGCACTCATGTGGTTTAGCGTCTGAGACCTCGAGCTGCTGAACAGAGGAAGCGCGGCCCAGTGGGTCCATGTCCGCCAAAAGAATAATTTATCAAATGGAAAGGCCCACACAATTAGACCTGTGTGGTTTAGAGTTGGGTTGGCCAGCTTGCTGCTATCGACCTCCAAGCAGCTCCAACAGTCCGAAAGGTTATCAGGATCTAAGAATTATTGAAGCACTTTTGATCCAGTTCAAATATTCAATGAGCTGTCTTCGTCAAATAGCCAGGCCAAGTGGTGTCATCTTCCTCTGCTACCCTTCTCTTTCCTCTATTTTGAAACTCTCCAACGATAGAGGTGCAATCTTGCAGAATTGGACCTGAGCACGGAGGTAGCGATGGCCTGGACCACGAGTACATCGTTTCAACTGCAAAGAGTCAAATGGGTCAGCTGTGGCCTTCAACGCCGACATCAACTCCAAAATTTGTTGGAGTTGATTCTTTTAAAGACGGTCATTTGAGCTTGACTTGTCCGACATGAACCATTATACAAACCTTGAGCTTAGGAAATTGGTGCGAGTGGGAGCAAGCAATTTACAAGCCTCAGCCACGGCTTGCGGAGCACTCGCTGGTTTTTGTCTTTGCACTTGTGCTACTAATAATTCCATCGAAGACCCCGTTGAGCGCGAACGCGATTTCAGCCTTTCATCATACTTCAGTACTTATGTACGTTTCAAAGTTTCTTCACTTGCTGGTTAGTGCACAAATAGCTTGGTTCATACAGCCCATTCTCATCAGGGCAGAGAACAGTGAATGCCACACCAACGGCAGGAATGACACCAAAAACGCCCCGGACCTTATCTCTATCTCGATGTCCATTTGTACCTGCCGTACTTGTAGTTTTGCTAACGGTCACCCGTCCGGCTTGCTCAGTTGTCTTTCGTGCCAATATAATAGTATGACATATTCCTAACCCTGAAATCAAACCCTCGTTGGAACAAACGCGTGGATCTCGTTGACTGTTTCGTCGTCTGCTGGGAATACTTGACATGGTTGTTGCTCTGAGCAGTGCCAGGCGCAGCTAGACATTTAGGGAGTGGGAGAGGCACGTACTTAGCTACTTCGTAATAAGCTACAGTTTACCCCACACACCCGCCCACGGTTTCCTAGCCAAATGCGCGAGCAGGCAGCCTTTTACTACATTGTACTCGACCTCACAGCATCGAGGCCACGTCCTCGGCAGAAGCGATATTATCCATCGACATTAGTATTGACACATCTCAATATTTGGTTCACATCCGTATTTCAATCCATACACTTGTTAGGATGCGATGCTCCAGCCGCCTTTTTCTTCTCGCCGCCTTGCTCCTCCTTCGCCACCAATCCTCAGCCGCCGGCCTCCACCAAGCCGCCCACCATGGCACGACGTCACACGCCTCTCTATGGGGTCGTTTGAAGGACCTTTGGCCGTTCAATTGCAATCAGAAAAATTGCAAGTGGACCAAATGGACGCCAGAACGTAGATACGAGGACCAGGTCGTCCTCCGCTTCAATGTCTCGACCGTTGAGCACGAAGCTGCTCTCCGCAAAGCCGTTGACCAGATGCTTCTGGACGTATGGGACTTCACCATCAACTATACCGACATTCGACTTCCCAACAGACGCATTCGCCCCTTTTTAAGTCTTCTTCCAGAGCCACTGAGGACCGAGCATTCGATCCTCATCCACGATGTTGCCCGTGCTGTCGCCGCAACATACCCGTCCACCTACAAGGGTGACACTGAGTTTGAGAGTGCCATGAGGGAGCGCGGTATCACACCGAAGACTGTACAGTGGAAGTCGGGCCGTAGGAGGCATGACGTTGACGATCTGTTCTTCAAGGACTATCAACGCCTTGCCGTTATCTCTACGTGGATGTCACTGATGGACAACATGTTCAGAGGCCGTGGCCTTGTCCAAATGTTCAACGTCGGTCAGTCGTACGAGGGCAAAGCTATTCCAGCGCTGCGTGTCGGTATGCGCCCCGCAAAGCCTACAAAAGAGCCTCGGAAGACCATCCTTATTACTGGCGGCTTGCACGCCCGTGAGTGGATTGGTGTCAGCTCAGTCAACTTTCTGGCCTGGTCCTTTATTTCCGCGTACGGTGATGACGACTTGGCCACCAAGATCCTTCATGAGTTCGACTTTGTATTCGTGCCCGTCCTCAATCCGGATGGCTACGAGTACACATGGAACGTTGACCGTCTATGGCGAAAGTCTAGACAGCGAACAAGCATGCACTATTGTCCCGGTTTTGACCTAGATCATGCCTTTGGCTATCAATGGGATGGTTCGGAGCACCAGAGCGATCCCTGTTCCGAGAGCTACGGCGGTGACGAGCCCTTCCAGGCCATCGAGGCATCACAGTTGGCTCAATGGGCCCTCAATGAGACAACACAGAACAACGTCAATTTTGTTGCCTACGTTGACCTCCACTCATACTCTCAGCAGATTCTCTGGCCGTATGCCTACTCATGCTCGGCCAGTGTTCCCAACCTTGAGAACATGCAGGAAGTTGCCATGAGCATAGCCAAGTACATGAGACTTGTTTCCGGCGAGCACTACACCGTTAGCTCCGCTTGTGAAGGAGCCGTTACGAGCGATTCCAGCGTACGCCGCCTCGAAGCCAGCGGAGGTTCATCAATAGATTACTTCTTCCACGACCTTGGGGCCAAGTACAGCTACCAGATCAAGCTTAGGGACACTGGCAGCTACGGATTTCTCCTACCAAATGACGGTATAGTGCCAACGGGGGAGGAGGTTTTCAGTGCAATGAAGGGTTTTGGCGATTACCTATTGGGAAATAACGGAATCGAGCGATCCTACCCGGCAGCCATCACTCCTGGACAAGAGGAACAACACGTGATGCAGCAGACATGGAAGGCATGAGCGCAATTGGCTGAGAGTAGTACACTTGCTTTGCAGACTGCTCGATCCAACTGCAATAAACTCATCTGGCAACTGTTCTGTGAGGGTTTCACGGGATGACCTATGATGAGCACCGTGGGTTTGCTTGATTGCGAAGTCAGATGAACAAAGCTCATGGTTATTCAAGCGATATTTGGGAGTTATAAAGGGTAGCTGCTGTCTATTGTATCTAACATCCCCCGGACTTAACAGGCTCCCGCATATCCCCACATTGACACCCGTTGTCATACCCCATATTTAATCTGGGAGGAGGGAGCATGGCCCAGGGACGAACAGTTACCCGTTATCCTCATTGATGGGTGCGAATTTGCTTTAGAGTGACTCTTGTGGGAGCTCGCCGCGAAACCACACGAGCAGCTATTATTTAGGCATGAGGACTACTCGGCAGGTGCTTCCGCGCTACTTCGCTGAGGTCATATTCAAGTACGCCTCACGAAGACAATCGTGCTTTCGGCAGTAGAGGTGAAGACGCCGTCTTGACGACAATCTTGAATACACAACAGGTTAGCTTTCATCTGGCAGGCTAGGCCCACTGTTGCACATGTCAGATAGGATACATCAGCATTGTCCTTTATCAAAGCGTATGGTTGTAGAGGTTGGCTATTTTCGCATGTAAATATAGGTATGTTTGTAATGAATTCCAGCTGGTCAGGGCACAATGAATTGGTCCTTCATGTATTTTCTTCTATAACACGTCTATAGCTATAATATTCGTACGGGTCGACTCAGTAATTATGGTCAGTTGTATCAATTGTGCTCGGTGGCAATTGGCATGAATATTTCTACCCAAGCAAGCTTATTTGTACTGTCTTCAACGCGGTCGTTAGCCCCAAAGTGTCTCATGTATACTACATAGTACCTTCCAATTCCATTCCAGTCGAGGATATGCAGAAGCTGGAGAGTATTCATCTATTGAGTCCACTTCTTTGTTCCTTAGCGGAACCAACCCACGAGCCGGGCCCCACCACATATTTGGAGGCCAACTTTAGACGTAAAAGACCCCTCCCACGTAGGCTACGCCGACAGATTCGAGTGTGCTCCTGAGCCATCTGTCAGAGGCCGAATCAAATTCTCATCTTCACTGCGTTGATTACGCGGAACATGTGGCGCTGAGGTACATTTCGAACACCCTTTTTGAATGCTGCTTTAACAGCATCAAGCGCTCTGCAATGTCGACCGCTGCCGCTAACCTTGCGTCGCTCCTCCGCGCCTCGTCAATTGATGACCATGAAGAGGTCCTGAAAGCAGCAAATGCAGCTATCAAGGCCTCGAAATCCGATCTCGAAGCGCAGCACACACGAGTGGTTGCCCTCCTCAAACTCGATCGTTTCGAAGATGCTCTCCGTGCCATCGCAGAGGGTGGAGACAAGCTGGAGCAGGAGTGCATCGTAGAGAAGACATATGCGCTGTACAAGTCGGGGCAGCTGAGCGATGCCACCAAAGTCCTCGAGTCAGCACCACTTTCCTCGCGTGCTCTTCGTCACCTCGCCGCCCAGGTCGCCTATCGTGCCGAGCACTTCCAGGATGCTGCCGCCCTATACCATGAACTATCCGCGGAAGGCGAAGGTCGGCCTGGGGAAGAGAATGATTTGAGAATCAATACGCTTGCAGCCAATGCCCAGCTTGAGTGGAATGGCCTGGGAAACCTTGTGGATGAGAAAGAGAGACAGCCCGCAGGAGAAGATCTCGAGGCTTTCGAGACTGCGTACAACGCGGCTTGCGCCTGCGTGGCACGTGGGGACTTAGGCAAGGCCTCTTTTCTGCTCAAGCGGGCAAGAGATCTATGTGAGGCCGGCGAGGATTTGTCTGAGGACGAAAAAAAGGCCGAGCTTCTTCCCATCATGGTCCAGCATGTCTACGTCCTGGCGCGGCTTGGGAAGGAGACCGAGGCAGCAGCATTGCAGAAGGCCATAACTGTCTCAGAGTGAGTCTAAGCTGGGACTGTGGGAGCTCCAAGACGGCAGAGGTGTGCTAACATAGAATAGGATACCCGAAGCACCAACGCGAGCAGTGGCGCAACACAACCAAATGACGGTCGGAGCCGACGCCCGCAACCCCTTCCTCACCCAACGACTTATGCAGTCGGCCACCAGTCTATCTGGAAACGATGTGCTTTTCGAGATCCAAGCATCAGTTCTACGACGGAACCGACATGCTTTGGATCTGCAAACCCAGAAGTTCCGTGGTGTAGCTTCGTCCACATCCACCCTCATCTCGAAAATAGCGGCACCCACTGCATCAACCGAGATCGCCGGGCTCGGTGTCATAAACGCCGCATCCCATGCCCGCCTAGAGGCTGGGAAGACGGCCATCACCCAAATCCTGCCAATGCTCGAAAAACGCCCTACTGACGTTGGGCTTCTCTTAACCATAATCCAGCTTTACGTGCAGACCAAAAATCTAAATCCTGCTTTGAGTCTGCTGGAGACATTCCTGAAGCGCTTAGAGACGGCTTCCACCCCGGATCATGCTGATGTACGGTTTGCGCCCGGCCTAGTAGCGATTGTAGTGGCTCTTTACCGTCTTCAGGGACGCCAAAACTCTATTCTGACTGAGCTCGCCAAAGCATCAGCGCACTGGCGATCAAACCAGAAGGAATCAGCCACGTCGCTTTTGCGCGAAGCAGGTGTACAACTTCTCAAGTCTTCAAATTCGGATGACCTGGCATCAGCGGGCGCAACGTTTGAGAGCCTGGTGTCCAGTTCGAGACATGACACTACTGCAATAGCAGGGTTGGTCGCCTCCTTCGCAACGAGCGACTACACCAAGGTCGAGCCATACCTGCAAAAATTGACGCCGGTAGAAAGGCTCACTGCCGGCACCGACATCCACGGGCTGCTCGACTCCGGCGTGGCTTCTGTTGCGAACACGGCATCGCAGTCTAAGAAACGAGCAGCCGAAGCAGAGCCTGAAAGGACTGCCAAGAGGCGCCGGAAGAGGAAATTACCCAAAGACTACGTAGAAGGGAGGCAACCTGATCCGGAGCGCTGGCTTCCTCTTCGCGATCGCAGTACCTATCGTCCAAAGGGGAAGAAAGGGAAGAAACGAGCTCAGGATGCTACTCAGGGCGGTGCGGTCAAAGAGGAAGAGACACTAGAGCTCGTTGGTGGCGCTGGTGCCGTGAAGGTCGAGAAAGCAACTGCAGGGGGTAACAAAAAGAAGAAGAAGAACAAGAAGTAATCCAGCTATCCGACATGAATTGATAACATGTTGTTGTTGTTGTTGTTTGGGGGGGGAGGGTGGTTGTTTGCATCAAACCCATCAGCCTATGTGGCAATAGACTAAATGTGAGGAGACTGGATTAGATCATAAGGTCGGAGCATGACACCAAGCCATTGTATTGTGTTTGGAATCGACCCGTATAAAATTGCGTATCTGATAATCCATATGATCTAGAAAGCCTAGGTAACATACGATGTTGCAAAGCCCACAACAATGTTTCAGAGCCGCAGCCCCTGGAACGGTCTGAGTTGTTTCGATTTAGTTCATTATGGTGTCGAAAGTGCGTTCCACAAGCACTTGCATGCTCCGAAAGCATCCCTTACCAATGTAGAAATAACATTCCCCCATCAGTAGAGTGAAAGCAAAGCCTTGGGGGTGGGGGTCCCACTGTGGCAAGATGTACAAGCCACCGCCGACCATGATTTCCTGACACCCTGCTCATGGCTGCAATTTCTAAGTATAGACGCATGAGGTCGGTTGGCAAAGCAAGGCCCTCAGGGGTTTTGGTGAGCCCAACACCCACCTCCAACTCGGCTTCCTCACAGCCATACGTGAAGACGTAACTTTTTCAAGAGAGTATAGTCAAGCCACCCGTTGTTGGGCCTTCTTCAGAGGCGACACAAACATGTGGATGGCACTTGTGCGCCTGCAGGTTGCCCGTCAGACTCGCCATGTATACAAGGTTTCGATGAGATACCTTCCAGGTCCCATCCGACCGTTTGGAATAGAAGTCTCGGGACTGGTCCCGAGTTGTGGCAAGTTCACCCGCATCATCACCGGCCAAATTGGCTTCCAAGGTGGTCTGGATGTGGCCAATCCGGTCAAAACGTATATAGGGGGTTAGCAGTTGGCGACAGCATCTTGGGTGAAGACCTTTCTCAGGGCACTAAACAGTATGGGTCCAGTGGCATTAGTCGTGAATGAGGGTGGAATTATATGTCAGATATCAACTATTGGAGCAATGGCTACCCTTGCGTATGACAAGGCCCCGATACAGGAGGTTACTACCAAAGTCAGACATGAAAGACAAGAAACAGACATGTCGCAGTGCGTAATACTGTGAGCGGAGATACAGATTGCTAGGCAGAGTATACTATATACATAGTGTTTTTGTTGGTCCCTCTGGTTGTTTGGAACGTCGCCGTCGTATAAGACATAATTAGAATACTGGAATTGAAGCTCATCTCTAGTGGCTGGATACAGTGACTAACACTAGTTAACTCAACGCAATTTTCTGATATCATGTTAAAATTTCCAGTTTGTACGTTGTCTAATTTGATATCAAGTTATGACGCAGTCACGGTGTTTCCAAGGTAAGATATGGTTATATATATATATATAAGTAAGCACTGGTAGTGTGATTACGCAAGGTTTATCCAATGATGCAGGGGAGTGAAAGTCACATTTGGGGCCATGCCTGGGGGATGGCTGCTGACACTATGTTAGTCCTTCTCACGGTTTCCAAATAGTCGTCGCAGAAAGCTCCTCTCCTTGGGCGGAGTTCGGTACGGACGCAGGGGGTATATGGGCTGCACATCGTATTCGTCAGACACAGTGTCTGGTAGTCGCATCAAACGTGACCGTTGATATGGTATTTCGCCGAGTTTGGTGCTGTCTGACGATATCGACACGAAGGAGATGCGATTGGGGTCGTCCATGGGCATGGCAGGTGAAGCCGTGGCTGGGCTGTTTTCACTGTGACTATGAGTAGGTCCCTCAGCTTTCCTAGTCTTTGCCGTTGTCTTGGCCTCTTCACGCCGCATCTTCGATCTGGCCGTTTTGCGGCGTGTATTGGTGGATGGTGAGGCTGCATGCCGTGCAGCCTCAGGATAGGCTTCCACTGTCGAGGCCAGTGGGCTTTGCTTTGATTCCCTGGTTGTCTTGGGTGCCCGTGGGGGTGAGTGATGGTGACTGCTGTGTCGCCTAGTGCTTTTGTTGCTGCTCTTGCTACTCTTGCTGCTGATGGGGCGGCGGTTTTCGCGCAACAGACTCGAGGAGCTACTCAGCCTGCGCGAGAGCTGGTCCATGGTCTTGATGGCATGGACGCGTGACGAGGTAGACAAGGACAACAAGGACTGGTAGTCCATAACGGGCCGTTGTTGCGTCTTGGCCATATTTAGCAGCTTGAGAATGGCCACTTTTAACCTGTCGAGAATGCGTCGGATCGCAGACCTCGAGCGAGCTGTGCTTGCTATGCTTTAGCTGATCTTTTCTGGCATGGATTTGGAATATGTCGAGAGCACATGCACAACTTACAGTCGCCCTTTTCTAGACGTGATCCATTCTTGTAAAGTCTCGACGAATAGGCTCGCCGTACTTGGTCTCGGTCAGATCGAACTGATCTGCGCAGACGCGAGTAGTCCTTTGAGAGGTCTGGATCCCCCTTCCCATTCCCATGCCCGTCACCGGAGCCCGTCCTGGCTTGACCGCCCTTGAATGCTTTCAATAGTGTGAGACATCTCGAATACATACTGACCAAAGCCGAGACATCATCTCCAAAGTCGCCGCCCATTGTAAGGATAACGAGGATAATTGTTGATACTGATACCTGCCGTTGTCGCAGGATGTGACATGTCAGTACTCGAGACGGCAAGTTGCTCGAGCGATTCTGGTCAGAAGTAGGCGTTCCTGGATCCGAATGCGGGGTCGCCCACGTATTCGACCACCGCATCGTACCTTTGCCGCCGCCCCATTTCCACTTAGAAGCAACAAAGGATGCTCTAGAGCCAATCGTTGCTATCAACACGAACCAATCAGATGGAGTGGGAAGAGAACATTGTACTAAAACATGTGAAGCTTACTAATGGGTTCGAGTTACTTGAGTATCCATCGCAAAGTATTAAGGCTCAAGCGACTAAGTATTAATAATAAAAAATCCTCGAACCAGATCTCCTTCATGTGTTTCTCCATCCTTGAGTGTCTGGTCGGCGCGTGGGACGAATGAGGCAAGATCCGCCTGCTGTATTATAGATCTCGGCTATACTGAACGTAATCCACCTACAAGCGGGCCACATCCCTTAGCGAGCCATCATTTTTAGCACAAGAAGGGGATGATTAACAACAGCACATCAAGCAAAGTAAAAGCTACTTATAACGCTATCTTCAAATACGTACATCAGATTTAAGCGCTAGGTCTTTCTAAAGGCGTTTAGTAAAGGCAATAAAGCCCCTAAGGGCTTATCTGCGCTTCTTTTCACTTATTACCTGAATGTCACGGCCCTGGAGATAGCCCACTAGATGATGGATTTGCCGACCCTTTGGGCTCTTGTATGTGCGCCTGTACAGCTAGATGGTTGGACAGGACCTTTGAGCTTCCTTCCTCATGTTGTAATATAATATAATAGTTAACCTATGATCAAGCTACAACAGTTTGTACCGTCTATTAAGGCGTATTTTAATTGAAGATATTAGTTTCGACTCCGCATCTGTAAGGGAATACAGAGCTATAAGCAGGGTTAAGCCTCAATTCTGTCACTAAGGTCCTGATCGGCAGCTCGTTTGGGCACACCTTCGCTCGGCACAAAGTGACTTCCTAATCCCTACTAGCGTTAGATGTAGCTAGTAAAGGGCCCAGGACGTACCTAAATCAAAATTAGCAGTGGAACCCTACCGAATTAAGCAGGCGGTGTCAATGAAACTTGCCACTTAACATTAGTGTTAGAAAACTGTGTAGAAAAATACTTTTGACGATAACTTTATCAATTATAGCTTCATCACAGTGGCTTGAAGACGAATTCCAAGGCCCCTTCGCTAACAGCGCCGCTGTAGCTGGTCCTAGTGGAGAGGACGCCCAGTTCGTCCCCCCTGATAGTGGCTTTACGCAGTCCACTGTTGTAGAGGGCGATGATAACGCTATTCCCAACTTCCCTAATATCGACGATATTCTCTCTCCTCGTACCCCAACCGATCGAGCCGCTTCGCAGTCCTCCACCCCCCAAACGCCTCTGCCAGCGGGGTAGAGGAAGAGGAAGAGGAAGCCAACAACGCGGGAGGCTCGGCATCAGGCGATCAAGACTACTATTCGAATAACACCATCGTTGAGGGTGATCTTCTTACAGAAGGTGCTTGAAGTGTTCCGGGCTGGGATGCTGAATATAGACAGGCCTAGCGCGCGTAAACCGGCTTGGCAGAAGCTCGTAGAGCTATTGAATCAAGATACGCAGTACGTTTGGTCTATTGATAAAGTTAGCAAGAAGTACGCGGATGAGAGGATCAGATGGGGTGTTTACCTAGCCGCCGCCAAGTCGGGGCTATCTATCGACCCAGACACTCTGAAGTGTACCGACTCCCCGGATCGTATCAACAGCTTTATCAATAAACACGGCGCCAAAGCGAGGTAGCTGGTTACCGAACCAGTTAGTCCTATTTTTATTCAGCAAGAGATATTCTGGGCCGAATCAGCTACTGGGGAATACATAGCTGAGCCCGGTGATGAAGAGGATGTCCCCTGTCACGGTGAGCACAATTGAAGAGTCAAAAAACTCTAATGCACTGTATTGACTTAACGATTCTCGACAAGGAAAGAAAGAGAAACTAAAACAGGCTGGCTCACATCTGAGGATCTTCAATCCCGCCTTCAGATGGCCAGTGCTCCTACGGGTCCACAGCTAGTGGGTTTCGTGGCATCGTGACACCGGCCGTCACATCCCCGAGGCTATCCTAAACGACCAATCCGACGCCGACAGCCTATTAACACCAACACTAAGTACTTCAAGTACTTCTATCATAACGGGGCGGCGGAAGAGGCAGAGGCTGGATCCGGACATCAACACCACGATATCTGACGAATCGGATGACGATAATGAGGCGCGACAGCGCCATAAGCGTGTGAAGGACCTACAGCGAGAGTTTAGTAGGAAGCGGGATCGTAAGAAGCAGTTAACTGACCTCGGTAGTAGTATTGAACGAGCCTCGCGTGCGATTAGTCGCCCTATTAGTGCTACTGATATAGCTGCCGCGATGAAGCTACTTCAGAGTGACGGCTTCGTGAAGGATCTTAACTAGCGGCTACGGATGAAGGCGTACGACGAGATCGGGAGCAACACTACGAATAGCGTCCTCTATTGCCAGCTTAGCGATCCCCGCGAACGTAGGCTATGGATATTGACGAGAATCGGTGCGAAGATCGATGAAGAGGAAGTTGAAGGCGACGAAAATTTGATTGAATAGTTCTATTGATTTTCGATTTCTTCATCATCATCCGTTGTACTGGCCCTTAAATAAGCGTAGTAATCCTTTCACATCGTTACTGCGATTCTATGGCGGACCTTATAGGACGTCTTCCTCCATCTCTTCTGCCGTAGCCAATGTCACGACCTGGGTTGCATCGCATTGGTAGAGACCTCGATTAGGTGCTATCGACGAAGATTCTACTCTAAGGAGCGCAGGAAAGAAGATCACAAACTTAGGTTTGAGGGAGCGCGACTAAGTCGTCCACGCTTGGCGGGGCTCCTGCAGGGGTTATGATTGGCTTCCCATCTGGCACTGCCATGGCAGGTGTTCCAGCTGTAAGTCACCTGGTTGTAGTGAGTCTGCGAGGGTTGACCTTCACAGCCAACCTCGCCGTTGCTCAAGGAATTGCAACTGTCTATCGCTCAAGCCATCATTATCATCCTCTTCAACCTTCCCGCCGCGTCGGATAAAGTTATAGAGCGCGCAAACGGCGTATACGATTCGAATCTGCGTTCTGAGCCCATATTCGGGTGCTGAAGCACGAATTATCTTCCACTTCCTCTTCAGTACACCAAACACCTGCTCAACGATTACGCGGACCCCCGAATGGCGTAGATTGTAGAGCTCTTTCGCTGTTTCTGGCTTCCGCCCCCCATAGCGCCACTCTTGAAGATGGTAACGTGTATCGAAGTATGGGATTAGAAGCCCTCGTCGCTGACCAAATCCGCCGTCGCCTAGGTAGAATCGATCCTCTGGTATCGTAAAGGAGCCCGCGAAGGCCCTAGAAGCGAGACTCGAATCGTGGATCGATCCCTCCCCTCCTGCCAGCACGTACGAGAAGGTGCCATCGGGCCGGACTGCTGCGAATACATTCTGAGAAACCCAGCCCTTGCGGCTACGCCAGCGTCTGTCGATTGACTGGGATAAAGGCGTGGATCAGAGTCCCATCGACTGCTCCAATACATCCACTGAAGGCGTTCAACTTCGGGCTGAATTCGATCTCACGGCTCAGATAACTGCTGCTTAGAAACTTCACCACCGCTTTACAGGGGCGAACCATCCGAGGTAATAACGAATAGAATACATCTGATACAGTGCTCTGCGCGCAGTGGAATCGATGGGCTACGTTCCGCTTTGGCTCGTTATATGCCAAGATCCAGAGGAAGATCATCAACTTCTGCGCCGCCGATTGATAGTAGGTCCCCTTGAATTCTATGTACGTTTCAAGCCATTCTAATAGCTTCCAGAAAGTGTTCTTATTCATCCGAAATAGCTGAAAGAAGCGCGTTAGCGAGCCTTCAAGTAGTCGATTCGCTAGCCGCCTCGCCGCCACGAACCCCCCCTCGTGGACTACTTCACGATCCTCGGCGCCTAGGAACCTACGGTCCCCTTCCCGATCGAGACTGTAGCTATCGCGTAGCACTTGTAACGCAGAGTTGACTACTATAATAAAGGCAGTCCGTCGGATATCAGTAACTTCGCTCGCCATCTTAGCGCTTGCTGACTCAGCAAGTTGGTGCCCAGCAGTCAAAATACTGCAGAATCCGACCGCTTGGACTGTTATTTGGGCACACTGCGTTTGGGCACAGATTTGGCAGAATTAGGCGCCTTACCTATTTCATACCCCGGAGGAGCCCCTGTCTAGCGCGGTACATGCCAAGTTTCTCGTCTGGACACAGTGGATGCAGTTGTGGCCAAAATCAGTGCCAAATAGGTTAAGTGTCGAATATCACGTGTGTCCAATCGAGTAGTCAGAAGTGCATAAGATTGTATTATGAATGAGGTGTGTTCTTCTCTGTGTTCTATTCTCGCGAACTCCCGTTGCTCTGCCCTTTATAGATTCTTTCGGAAATGTCGGAGGTGCATTGTTCAGGTGTCTGACCCCGAACTTCGGAGTTACTTTCGGGAAGAGGGGTTCCTTTCGCCTTCTGAACTTTAAGTGACAATAGTCTTCTCTAGTGCCATATTATTTCTGAACCTAGGAACCAGGTGCCCTATCTGACATTAAGTGGCATATTAGCTGTCAATAAATAAAAAAACGATGTGCCGAGTCGACCCTACAAGGTCCGCTGGACACGCTGCCGATCAGGACCTAAGTGACAGAATTGCTAGATCTTTTGGTCTATATGACGTGATAGTCTAGGCTTGCTCTCACCTTACAGCATCTGTCACGGGCCATATGTCCGACTTTTGATGTACATAAATACTAGGTAGTTTGTACATTAGTTTGCACGACCGGTGTTAATCCACGTTAGTTATAATAACCTCTAATTGACGTAGAAGACTCAAAGTAGTATAGTAAGAGATAACTATAACCCATTCCCGATTATCTAAGGGGTCGGATCGTACAGCTACGCTAACCCCCGTATAAGTGATTATTATCCTAATGGTGATTTTCTATAATTGTTGTTCATCCAATTCTTGTGGGATCGCACCGGTACTGGCATTCCGGCTACATACGAAGGTGAAGAAGGCACCTAAGTATCTTGCGTGTACCTCACATGAGCTTAGCCCACACCTTAGGCTACTAATTCCACAATTCTGAACAAATATTTCGCTCCTACATATTATCTTACGCAACCTTTGGTCTATATACTACCGCGCTCTCTTTATAAAACAAGCTCTTTGCTTTATCTTAGTAGTATCAGTGAATGTAGTCATCAATTACGAGTGAGGAGGTATAAACTCTCTTAGGTCGACCTCGTGCTAGTATGATGGATATTCACGTACGTAGCAAAAACCGGGGAAATCTCACGATGTGAGCTAGTACGTCTTTTGAATGGCTTTATTCGGAGCTTTGGAATTACTTGGCTGGGTGCATGGATACGGCTCTGTCGTGTTTAGTATAATGGCAGTGTTTAGCGGCCCCTACTGGTGCACGACAGCGTAATTTTCTTTACCCTGATACCACGTGTTTCCTCTTGCTCTTTCGGCTTGTGGTTGCGCGGGATGCGCATGATTGACGAAGTTGTATTCTTGCTTGATTGTCATAACGTGGGATCACACCTTGCCACCGGGCGGATGAGAAGCAAAGAGTCAAGGGGACCTAATCCGGAGTCTAGAGCTGCACGGAACAAGCTTCCGTCAGCCACCCACTCGTCTTCGACCTTGGACCCCTTGTATAGTCTCGGAGTCTCGCATACAGAAGATTAACTTTTCTATTGGGTCTTTGAACGCCATCTTTGAGAGATAAGAACTGCAGGATGCAAGCTGATTTTGGACCGACACAATCTCATCTTGCTCGTATCGAGACGAACAAGGTCATGTTTGCGAGGAGCCCAAGAAGTGTGGGGGTTCTGCCGACTGCGGGTCCCAATGCGGTACCATATCTTATAATCATACTAGTAGGCAATCCTGATCTCCCACGCCGTTGATGCCCCTTGGATAGACGGCTAGTTACAGGCCAGGGAAGAAACATTAATCAGTCAGACCATGCTCCCAAGGTCTGGGTCCATTCGTGTCAAAATTCAGTCAAGTTCAATCAAGACAACGGGCTTGACCTCACCAAGTGGGCTCCGAACCATATTCGGTGAAGAAGTTGTAACGTATTTGATTGCTGCCAAAACTGCCGTCTGTGCGTTCTGTCATGGGCCATCATTTTGATTGCAATGAGGCGGACAGTCGTCTCGGGGCTTTGTTGAGGACAAGTGAAAGCCATCCTATGCTGCTATCTAGAACTTGGAGCAAATAGAATGGATATCTCGAGGTCGACACTAGAATTGGATCCTGACTGCCTTTTTGGGAATGGGGAAAGGAGTCTGGGCTTTTTGAAATGGTAAACACGATTCGAGTGCAAAAAGCATTTCATATTCGCCCACATGGGTAGCGGATGTACCTATGTTGGTGTTCGCTTGCAAGAAGGGTTGCATGTAAATTCCCAGCTATCACTAACGCTATCCAGTGCATAGTCCTGACTCTAAACCCTACCCTAGCACTAACACAGCCTTAAACGACTAACCCTGATCCTAACCGTTACCCGGTGGCGGCGTCGCTCTAATTGTTGAGCATATACACGCTCTCACACTGCCCGAGCTTATCAGTCCTGTCAATCAATATCCTTGCATCAATTGCCTCCGTATCATAAACCAAAAGGTAAGGTATAGGGTGGCCCGTGTCTGGGCAATCCAACATACAAAACAATTGGCCCTCACGAACTTTCCGACTTTATGACTTTGACAACTGGAGAAGGAGGAGACGTACCTCCATATTTCTTATTGACCCATGTTAATGTGATCATCACGGCGGGGACCCCGGGGCAAAGGGGATTCTCGCTCCGTTATGCCGCAGGCGCCCCGTGCCGAGAGGTCAAACCCACTGCGTCGTCAATGACACATTGTTATTCAAGTACTCCCGCCGTTATGAATTGAAAGAGATCATCACACTTCGGCCTCATTTGCCCCCCCAACTTGCTGCTCCGTCGCACAAACCCAACGCTGTGTATCGACCTAGTTGCCGCATCGGGCTTGCAGAATCAACACATGGCTTGATGGCCGTATGGCCATTTGACAATGAAATCTCATCAGAATTCGGCGGATTCATACCTTGAAAGTCTCAACGTCGAGTACTGCCATGTTCGGGGAGCCTGATACATGCCACCATTGGGGGTGGCATTGTACTTAGCATAAGTATCATTGGGCCAATGAGGGCGCGCCTTATGTCGTGGTCTTATCTAACCCCCACGGATTGCCTGCTCCTTTGACCCTGTTGTAATCTGCGGCAACCCATGTGGCTTTGGATACTTTGTTTTCCCCTTCTGCTCTCAGCAATTTGGCCATGTTGCTGATAAAGTCGCAGATGGCATATGTGGGCCTCTGTCGTTGCCATCCATGATTCTGCCATTTCATCAGAAAATAACGATAGCGACAGCGACTTCGGCGCGCTAGCCGTACGGAGTAGTGTACTTCGTAGAGTCTTCATCACTTTCTGCTTCTGCAGAAACCGCTCGCTCACTGGTCACAGTCTGGTCCGATTTGGGCCCACTGTCTTTTGCACCTGCGAGTTCGTTTTAAGACTTGACCACCATTACAAAAGTGTAGTGAGCCAAGCGTGCGCTACTTCGTACATGTTACCTCCTACCGCCCATCATGCCCTTTCCAATCCTTGCCTGCTGATATCTGATATCTCGGCCAATTCTGGGCCTATCGGTTTATCTGCAGCGGATCCCAGGCTTGCCAGGTGCGAGTACAATACCACACCTACAAGTGCCTCCTAAAAGTTGCCGACGTTGGAAGATACATTTACGTAGCGATACCCTCTGCTGGTCTCCCTGGTCTTCCAGGTCGTCTTGTGCCGCCCCCAACAACGGATCCTTTCCATCTTGCAAGTACCATATCATTCATCATTCCACATCTGCCACCATCTACCTGCTCGTGCCCGTTGCCCGTGCTTCACTGTCAAAGCACTTGTGCAGGACCGTAGCCATTCACCGGCCGCATACTTGGTTCCTGTCACTTCCAAGATTGTCGCTGGTTTTCACAAGCAGGAATAACAAGGACCAGCCTTGGCCTGGCTTGTCGCCTTATCACGTCAAACCAGCTCATACTTCCAACGAGCCCTCGCGCCGCTTATCATCCCTCTACATACCCCGTACTTCATGCAAAATCCACTGGCACATTTTCTACTAAATTGATCCACGACAATAGGTCATTCCATGGACCAAGTAGTCCCCCCCACTGATTGGTTCAAGTGTCTCTTGTATGGTGCTCGATAGCATCTAGAACCCGGCATCTTCACTTCGTTTAAGAATTGGGCCGACGACCAGCAGGACTCGCCCGAGCGCATGTTGGAAGCAGCATGTCGGCGCACGCTTCACCATCCCCATCACAGAAACCAACAGTGCAGATCGATGAATCCAAACTCCCCAATGGCCAGTGTCGGTATATCCTTCTGAACCCAGAAGTCAAAGGCCATCGCTGTGCTTGCGTCGGCTTCACCCTCAACCGCAGCTCTCCAGGTGTTCTTTGCGACTGCGGCCACCAATCGTGCTACCATGTCAAGGAAGCTGAGCAACCCACAGACAAACAGGCCTGGGAGCAACTCATCCGACGCGTCCAGCTACTCGAGGACCAACTGGACCATGAGAAGCAAGGCGGCCTCGGCAACGCTTTGGCAGGCCTCGTGAGCCGTTTAGGAGACCTGGAGGAGCAGTACGAGAGGAGCAAAGATGAAATCAGCCAGGAAACCAGAGGCATGTACCGACAGGTTTCTCACCTTTGGCAACAGATGGATCAGATGGCGAGACAACAAGCCCAGGCTGAGAGTCGTTTCGTTGTTCACGACGAACGCCTCGACCACCAGGAAAACAGCATACAGAGCCTAGGCGACCGTATGATGGAACATGACGACATGGCCATCGATCTGGAGGATCGTCTGGATCGGCTGCAAGACGAGGGGATACTGTCTGTTCGGCGCAGGCGTATGTCTTCGTCATCCGAGTCGGACGTTTCAAAAAACTCGAATCCAACTTTCGCCCGGGGTCGTACACGTCACGGACCTCCGAATGATTCTGGCGCCACAAGCTCAGTGTCACGTCCTCTTGCGGAAAGGGGGAGTAAGTCCTCCCCAACTGGTAGCAATGTCTGCAGCCAGGTAACAGGGCCGTGGACAGTTCACGTCTCCCTCCTGCCGACAAAGTCGCAACCATTTCCATTCGAAAAGGACACCAACGCATACAAGCGATGCTTGTCTCGAGGGCTTCACCAGATGATTGCCGTACGGGGGACTGAGAGCGAATCGTTTGTTCGAGCCGTGTCAAAGACCTTTGGAAGTTTGTTGCAAGAGAGGTCATGGGTGCCCCTGCAGGCCCGGCTTTGTGACGCCGAGACATTGCTCGGCCTCCCCATGCTGCGGCCTTTGGATCCGAGTCTCGTGGGGGAGGGCAACTACGATATGGACTTTCTCCGCGCGCACTGTGCCGTTGTCGGTCCCAATGGCAAAATCGACTCGCTCTATATCGCCATGGAGTTGGAGACGTTTTCTTGGCAGTTCTTACGAAAGTCGCCCTGCTACGTCGAGGATCTTGAGGATGCCTGGGGTTACGACTCCTTGCTGGATGAGGAGGATCGCCCGTCGGCCGGCGACATTGTGCGCCCGCTTCCAGGCAAGCTCAAGAGAGCTGCCTCGGAGCTGTCACGAACACCCAGCTTTAGTTCAGGGGAAACAGAAGGCTCACGGCCCAAGATCGCACGAACCACTTGCATTCCTGTGCCGGTAGAGCTTCGTAGACAAGTGGAGACGGCCTAATGATGCTGCAGGCCATACTTAGATTGGTCAGATTGGGATAGAGCCGATGTGGCATTTTAGGAGATGCCGCATAGAAACTAGGAGGGATAATATGGCATTGCAAGCCACTGTGTTGTTTCTTTCTTTCAGTGTTGAGTTCGCTGTCGATACATGTGGAAGAAGCTAGGGTAGCCAGCCTGAGGACGCTGGGCGACGAATGATAGATAAGAGTGTTTCGTTTTGCGGGTAGACTATAACGTTACTAAGTCGCCAGAAAACACACCACTAGGTTTAGAGAGATACCGAATTCTATCAACGCAATGCCTAATTCGTTGTATGTGTTTAAGTACCTGCCGTCAGACGAGTGGGGGTAGTCATGACCAGCTGGGCCAGTTCAGTACTTCACGGAACTGAACCAGAACACTCAAGTGTGTCTGATTGACAACCATCCTGTCTTCCCAAAGAAAAGGTGTCATTGAATGATACATCTTAGCTGGCTAAGGGCATCCTGGATGTTTGTACATGGAATGAAGAAACTGCCTAATGGAGGCTGAAAGTAACTCTTGACTCGTTACCTTTAGGGTACCAGCAAAACGGACTGGTGGGGCCAGCCCTGTGATGCCAGCCTGTGACGACGTTCATGAGAGTGGGGCCTTACGGACCGTCCCTGCCAAACAAACTTTCGGCGGCAGGAGCTTGGACAACGTCAAATTCGGCTGGCTACTCGTCAGCCTTCTTCTGCCGAGGACTGCACTTGTTCCTTCTTTGCATGCCCGTTCAACAGCACAACAAAGGTACTGCGTCAGATCTTTACTGCTCTACTATTATCGAGGGTGCCGAGTGTGCTTTTGGAAACACGGCGACCGACTTATTGACATATCTCTCATCCAGGAGGGACTTTTTTACGACTAGCCCACACACCATATAACACCCCGCCGCTATATCGTCGACCCTTTGCTGGCTTGCTTGTAGCGAAACACCACAAGGAACCCCTTACGCATCTCCGCCTGCTTACCTGTACGGTCTAGCCACCGACTCTTGCCTGTCAAACTCTCCATCTACATATCAATCAGCCTCGGTTCATCTAACTACCCCACGTCTGTCGCCTAACAACACTTCGCTGTCCTCTGTTTGATTACTCTGGGAAGCAGCGGTTGCAATGGACGCCATGGACCTGGACATAGACATGGACGTGGACGTCGATCTTGTCCCCGATGAGCCCATTGTTACCCAAGCCCAAGACACACCGGTACGTTGTCGCCCCCATTGTCTGCTGCATGCTAAACCAGTTCGTACTGATTTCATTTGATACAGTCCCCTGGCGAGGTCATTGATTCCACCCCTGAAGTGCAACCCGACTCCAACACCTTGGTTCTCAACAAGGTTCACATTCGAGGGCTCGATGACATGAGACCTGACGAAGTAAAATCCTATGTCGCCGAGCACTTTCCCAATGGCAGCTACGAGAGGATCGAGTGGATTGACGATTCGTCAGCCAACCTACCTTTCCCTTCGGAATCCATCGCACAGGAAGCACTCGTAGCTCTGTCCTCGGTCGAGATCACCGACGTCACTCAACTACCCGTTCTGGAACTTCTCCACGGCAAGTCCTTCTCGAAGAGACCAGAGGTCAATTTCCAAGTTCGGTTCGCGACCGTCGGAGACAAGAAGCAAGCTGGCGCCGCACACCGAAGTCGATTCTATCTTTTCAATCCCGAGTTTGACCCGGAGAATCGCAAACGACGTTACCGCGTTCGGGACGCTGATGGGTACGGGCGCCGCCGTCGTGGGGGTTCACGCGAGGAGGAGGAGGAGGTGGAGAAATTCGATGTTAACCTATATGACGACAATCCTGCTGCACTTGCGACGCGGGCCCCCATGTCCAAGCCGCGGCCCCGTCATTCTTACACGTCAGATTACGACAGTGACGAGCGCTCGCGGAAGCCTTCACACCGCACCGTGAATCGCAGCAAGGAGCTATTTCCCAGTCATGTTGGCGGTCAAAATGGCTCTCGCAGGGACCGTTCTGCTTCGCCAGCGCGGGATCGTAACGGCGATCTCGATATGGACGGAGGTTTGAGCGACGGATCCGCTGCCCGCAACCGGCGCGGAGCCAGGAGCACCAAGGATAGGATTTCGCGAAGTAATCGATCCAAAGAACTCTTCTCAGCAAACGCATCCGCCGACAACGGCCGACTGAACGGTGACGAAGAGCTTTCCAGCATATACACTCTGCAATTAGCTGACGAAAGCGCCGACCCCCCGCCGCGAAGCAAGAAGCTCGAGGACAGGATCACATTACCCGGGAAAGGTAGGCGACTCGCAGATCGCATTACAGACCCTGCCGAGGCCTCGGGTTTCAGTATCCGCGGCGCCGCCAGGCAGAAAGGACCAGACCAAGGTTTCGCAATCAAGGGCAATGCGGATAGATCATCTGTCAAGGAGCTGTTCCCTGATAGTTTTGGTGGCAACGCAGGGAAGGAGCTGTTTGCGGACAGACTTGATGGAAGATCGCGACGGCGGCAGAAGGCGGGCGACCTATTTGATTAGGAGACCAGGATGGCTAGACACCAAGCACTTCGAGCCCTGGGGTGAATGGGGGGACTCGAAGAAAAATGGACTACTCGATCTCATGTTGGGTTGCAAAGGCGCATTATGGATGAACGGATGGATGGATGACATTGAGGTGGCGTCAGGGCGGCTCGGTTTTGCTTGGAACAGGCTATAGATCATCATGATTCCTCATACAACTGAGCATTTGGCACCGCTTTTCCAAAAAGTTTAGTAACTCGGGCTTAAATATTCCCTTCGTTAATCTCAAAAACTTTTCCCACTCAAGCAAATGAGCTCTAAATGGCTGTGGACTTCTTATCTTCGACTACGATGTCATCAACCATCTGAGAATGGCCTGCCTGGTAATACTTGAGCGACACTGGAAATAGAACGTTTCCAAGATTCTGATTAACGTTTGGGTGGCGTCTCCTCCCTTGTGGAGTACTATCATGGAGTATCATTGGCCTAGAGTTCATTCTGGCACGTCGCAACTCCAATTCCCAGCGACTCGGTCAGCTTTCAAAATGGCCAGCGGTGAGAAAACAGATACCAGATAAGTTCCTCGGCCACTTTGGGCATGATTGTTGCTGAGTTAGTCTTACAACATGGGACTTAGCTGTAGCACAATGACTATATATATTAACACAGGAGAAACCCTTTTGCTAAATGAATAGTTGGATCTAATGGCAAATTTGAACTGATCCATCCGCTATATGCACGAAATCGTTTGTATCTGCCATACTATCTGAGGTGGAAGTTTGTTGTCAAGTTACATACTAATGTTGAACAGCTCTCAAATACGTATTTGTGAATTTCTCCTTACTTAAGTAGGTATTCATTCAGTTTAAACCTCTAGGCTATGTGATAGATTGTGAACAAGTGTCCTCAAGCAGGTAATGCCAAACAGAGATAGCCGCACACCCTATTCGGATGAGTTGTTGTTTACGTTCATTTGACTGACATTGGCGCGCGGCGCGTCAGCCTATCATCGAGGCCGACCGAAAACGGCAACCCCTGGAAGAGGAAGTTCTAGCCACTCGGGGACTTTCTTCACGCGTTATTCTCTAGGAATTTCAGTTATTGCTCCATCATGAAAACAAACAAGACCAGGGGCTTTTCAGCGCAGTCAAGAACCGAGTTTCTACATGGATGCATAGCAGTCCAAACACATAATCCCAATGTGACTGGACTATGTAGTCCTTGAACTTGTGCCGCTTGCCATTCTACCCCTCAGCGGGAGACTAGTCGCGTTAGATCCCCTTGCCTGAAGCCTCAATGTTGTTGTTGAGAACGCCTAGCACGCGTTTGGTCTCCATAATGGGCCCCCATCAAGACGTGTGATGGAATTACAGGGCAAAACAACCTGTGAGACTCGTTGTTTTTGCTGCGCTCAAACATCTGGAATCAGGTGCTCAGTCGACAATGGATAAAGTCGCCATTCTTCAGATCCCAGCCCCCCCTCCTCCACCCCCTCCCCCCAGTTTATTGCTTTGGGAAGGTACGCGCTTGCCAGCCATCATGGTCTCTCAGTGAATAATGCTGGACGTTACCATCCTTAACTTAGCAGGAGGAACCATGATAGATGTACCCTCATATCATTGGCATGAGGTTTCTGATCACAGTGACCCTTCCAAGGAAGAAGTATGCTATGAAAACTTCACAATTTCATGTTCTTGAAAGCCATTATACACACAATAAACGCTGTATCGCTAGAATTTGTGTTGCGTACGTTGGCAAGCCAGCTTGAGCTGGGAAAGAATTATCGGGCTCTAAGTGTGCTCCGTGCGCCCTGTCGGTCGAGTTAGCGCGACGGAAGTGACCTACAGGCCTTACTGGCTCAACCTCCAACCTCGATCCCATCGCTGCTTCCTCATCGTCGTTGACTTGCCATTGTCAATTGACCTCTCCCAGCATTATCTGGACATTTTTGCGACCACCTGCCACCAAAGTTTCCTGTTAACACCGCCGGACTGTCCGAATATCTTACCTACTGATTTAATCATTACTATACCCGCTTTGCCATCTCCCAACTAGGATCATTTCATCAACGAGAGAGCATGCAATAGAGGAAACACAAGCAAGAGGCAGGCAGGACGCTTTTAGGACGGTGGTCAGGAAGACGGGCCCTTCACAAGCGACAACAGACAGGAGCGTCGCGTGCCTCGCCAGTTCCAAATACCTCCATTTGGCCATTTCCTCAAAGTGCGCCGTGGCTTCCTTTACATCCCCACCTCGCAGTCGGCATAGCAACCCAGACATTCGACCTTGGACGTTTAAACCAGTTGAAGCGCATTCCAAAAACCCGGGCCCTGGATCGCATTCACGAAGCGCATATCGACCTTTGCATCGCAGACGCGGCGTCCGTCCGAGCTATTGCCCTTTGGCTTGGACCGACCATGACCGTAGACACCAATGCGGTGGCGGCATCGCTGCCGCCGAAGCGATCGGTCCATGAGACCAACAGTTCTATAGGTTCAACGCCAGCCCGAACATCTACGCCACCTCCGCCGCCATCAGATCGAGGACGATTGCAAGCGAGACACAATGGCGACTACGGCAACAACTTGAGGAGCGCAAGACATAGTGGGCTGATCAGTGAGGGACTGGGCAACAGTGGGGTAGATCCTGACATTCTATCACGAGCTCTATCGCGAGAGCTGTCTGTCGAGCATCGAGATAGCAGCACATCTGGACCTAGCCCCAGCCGGAAGCGGCAAAGGATAAACGGCGATAGGTACGTTAGGCGTGCTTATTTTGTGGATTTGAGAGATGGCCATTGACGTGAATGGGCTGTCCCTAAGATGGCAATGACGTCAAGATGCTGCTATGAGGCATTCGATGAATTTCGTAGCTGACGCTCATTATCATTTCCAGATTCATCCCCTCACGTTCAGGTCAGGACCTGCAAGCCAGCTTCAGCCTCCTACATGAGGAGGGATCGCCAGCCACCCCATCCAGACAGAAGAAACGTACTCCTCATGGTGAGTTGCATTTCCAAAGAAGTAAGTAAACGCTCATGAGTTTCCCTTTGAGCAACTACTAATATATGGGTCAGCCGAGGAAGCCAACCGGACGTTCTCAACCTTGCTACGATCTGAGCTGTTTGAAAATACGATACCTCAGGCAACACCATCCACTCTGTCGCCCGAGGCCAATATGCCAGGCTCAAACTACTCTACGCGTGTGCATGATCCAACACGATCGCACACGCCTCCGAGCAACGCACCTCCAGCTCTGCCCTCATCTTTTACCCCCTCAACCCCCCACAAGAATTTGTTTTCATATATGTCACCCCGCCATCATAGCAACAATGCTGGCCACCCAACACCATCCAGAACGCCCCAGAGCCGGCATGGCCCGAACCTTGATACGAGATCTGATATATATAGCCTGTCGCCTGTTCGCTTTGGCAGTCAACAAATGCTTCTAAGCCCCAGACGACAACCCCGTGCCGTCAGCAAAGTCCCCTACAAGGTCCTAGACGCACCAGAACTAGCCGACGATTTTTATTTGAATTTGGTAGATTGGGGCAGTGCCAATGTGCTGGGTGTGGGGCTCGGCTCCAGCGTGTACATGTGGAACGCGCAGACCAGTCGAGTTAACAAACTGTGTACTCTGGATGATGACACCGTTACGAGTGTGTCATGGATACAGAAGGGAACGCACATTGCTATTGGTACCGGAAAGGGCCTGGTGCAAATATGGGATGCCGAGAAGTCGCGCCGTCTGCGAACCATGACCGGCCACACGGCTCGCGTCGGATCGCTGGCATGGAACAGCCACGTGCTGACCTCAGGATCACGAGACCGCTTGATATACCATCGCGACGTTCGAGCACCGGATCAATGGATGCGGAAGCTCATGGGCCACAAGCAGGAGGTTTGTGGGCTGAAGTGGAACTGCGACGATGGTCAATTAGCCAGTGGGGGAAACGACAACAAGCTGATGGTCTGGGATAAGCTCTCGGAAACACCACTTTGGAAGTTCTCTGACCACACCGCGGCTGTGAAGGCAATAGCCTGGTCGCCGCACCAAAGAGGCCTCCTCGCTTCCGGAGGTGGTACTGCTGATAGGAGAATTATTTTCCATGACACAGTCCGCGGAACCGTCATCAACGAGGTTGACACAGGGAGCCAGGTCTGCAATCTTGCATGGTCCAAGAACTCCAATGAGATTGTTTCGACTCATGGCTACAGTCAAAACCAGATCGTTGTTTGGAAGTACCCCAGCATGACTCAAGTAGTTAGTCTCACAGGTCACACTTATCGGGTGCTGTACCTGGCGATGAGCCCGGATGGTCGTACCGTCGTGACGGGTGCTGGTGACGAGACACTCCGTTTCTGGACTGTGTTTGGACGAAGACCAGGTGCACGAGAAGACAGCGACGGTGGTGGGGGCCGACTGGCTGACTGGGGCGTCATCCGTTGATAATGACATCGGCCCCACAACAATCCAACTCTTCATGTTCGATTATGGAAGCTCATATGTGGCTAACGAAACTTCGACTCAATTATAAGTGCTTTAATGACGACAAAGACCACCACTCTTGTCTCGACGAAACGAAAACCTCATGACGGATCTTGATCAGGAATACCCCCATCAGCTATTATAGCATCACGGCTGGCGTTTGCATGGATCTGGACACTTTTAATTGCATATGGCATGTTCTGCTGCTCGAGCGGCTTTTCCTAGCCTGTGTCTGCCAGCTAGGCTGGCTGGCTACTACGATATCGACCTCCAACTACAGGGACAGGCTGACGAAAGGCATCTTGCTTTATGAAATAGGCCGGGCCGAGTAAAGAGGAATGTAGCTGCGTTTCTAATTCATGGCAAAACCGACACTTGCATTGGCTACAAATGGCATAGCAGATAGCGTGAAAATGCAATCCATGGAACAGTAAATCTGCGCGAACCTCTGGACAGAGGTGAATTTTGAGTCAAGGTGATTGATCTGGCTGTGATGCACAGATGCGGCTTGCACAATTACAGCAAAATTTGACAAAATTTTTGAGAAAGTGTCGCAGAGTGCTCAGGTAATGAAATATTGAAGTCCTTGAAGGAGGTACTTATATCGCTTCCATCAACTCGTAGAAGTCCAAGTGGCGCTACAGATAGGCGCTACAAATAGCCCATCATGACCCAAATCTTCTTGTATTTCACCTAATTGCCAATCATTACTGACGTGGCCAGTTGGGCCATTTTGTCATACTCGCGTGTTACCTGTCTAGAAAATGTCCTCATAATCGTAGTCAAGGGGTATCAAAACATGATGCTCAACCCATCCCAATCTTTGAGCCTGCCGCACCATGACTTCCAGATCCAAGGCTATGAAAAGCTATGACTGCAACATGGTGATATACGTCAATCTCGCAACTCCTTGCGCAAGAATTAAAATGCACACATGCTCCGCACTGGCTGCTATAAGCTGCAAATGGAGTGAGTGTAACATCCTCCTTCATCGATACAAGTGCTCAAAGCGCTAGGTTCACGATGACGCGTCATTGGCAGCCGACTTCCGCTCCCTAGCGGACTCCTTCAGAACTCTATCGGTATCGATCCCAGTAGACACGACATCAGCTTCGGAGTCCGTGATGGTATCCCCAGTTTTCTCCTCATTCAACAGGGGAATATCGTCGACACTTCGGGCATTATCGCTTACTGGTTCTGCAACGCGTACGCTGCCTTGCTTGGCCGCAATATCTTCCTCCTGATGCATCTCGCCTGCGGCGTCCATAGGGGCGAGCTTGCCTTGGCGCGCATCGGGCATCGGGGTCATGACTGGGCTTCGCAGAGCGAGCTCGGGGCTATTCTGCCACTTGGACACCTCGGCCTTCATGGTCTCAAGCTCCTTTTGGAATCTTTTGCCGAAGACGTCGATATAGAAGGTCGACCCGTTGTACACGCTCCAAGCGAAGACAATCATCAGAAATGAACCCGAAGCCCAGCGGCTGTAGAACCATAAGGGGCATGGCAGCATGGTCAGCACAGCGTACGAGTATTGGATGAACATAAAGGCAGGCTCTTGCAGGCGGTTGGGCATTGACAGTACCACCTTGCCTATCCAAGTCTTGGAGTAGGAACGGCGGAGCCAAGTGTACGAGGTTGGGCGACCAGCGGCGATCTTCTCACGGCGGCGCACCGTGATGAGATAGTAGTACGCGAGCTGCCAGAAGAGGTAGGGGATGGTGGACCAGGCCAGCATGGAGATAACATTGGCATATGCCGTGGGCGAGCCGGGCGGTGATGTCTTGATAGTCCAGAGAGCCGGGAAGCGCTCCCGCTGCAGGTTTTCGGGCGTCATATGCGTCATGCAATGCAGCGTCACGCACGGCATGATGTGTATGAACAGTGAGGTAACTTTGTCGAAGCTGTGGAAAACGAGTGAGTTGCGCCACATGACAATAGCCACAGCGTTGTTGCCCATAGCCAGGCAAAAGGACGCGACGAAGAGGCGCTTCGATGTGGGGAAGACCCAGATGGTGAGGAGGAGCATAAGGTTGACGAAATAGCACAAATCGGCCAAGAAATAGTGGTAGCCACGACGGTGGTAGGTGAAGTAGCGGATGGGCATGAAGTATAGGAGCTGGACGGTATACCAGATGTGGAAGTACTCGGGAAAGGCACCCAGCAAGTAACCGCTGATGAAGATGTTCATGACGCCACAGATGAAGGACACCTTCTCACGCAGGGTGATGACCTTGGTGTCATTCCATTGCCGGCTCACTTTCTCGACGCTCTTCTTCATGCGCGTCCTGTACCGCTCCAGCTGCTCCTCGGCTGAAGGTACTCGTCGCCGCCACTCTTCCACCATGCGCTCCCTCGCGACTTGGCTTTTGGACTTGAAGGCATCTCGTGACTTGCGAACCTTCTCGGTCTGTGCTGATATTCCTTTCTGGAGTTTCTCGAGTTGTTGCGGCAGGGCGAAGTTGTCCAATAAATCCAGTACCGTCAAACGATCTAATGGTGGAAAGGCTTCCCAATCCTCCTGATATGAGCTGCTGCCAGAGAAGGATGGATTCCTTGATAGTTTAGGACTGCTGGATGGGCCCATCGTAGGTGTATCGCCCAGTCCCGCCTCGGAGCCCAGCAACGGGCTACCGGTCGCATCCGGCGTAAGTATCGGGTCGCTGTCGGTTAAGGCACTCTCCGATTTGCTACCCTGTACAGGCATGGCATGGCCATCAGATTCGGCCATTTCGGATATCGTATGCGGCGGATACCGGTGAGATCGTTGCAGGAAGAAACGCAGCGGAAAGCCTCAGCTCCTGTGAGAACAAAGCATGTCAGCCATGTGCGCATTACGCCGAGCCAACAGCTTAAATAGGATTTCAACACACGCAGACTAGAGACGGTGTCACGGAAACGCTAAAGGAAAAGCCGAGGATGGTGCTCACGATAGGAGGGTGTTCCCGTGTTCAAAAGGGTGAGACTTGTTCAAGCACGGAAGTGCGGGGGCGCTATATGCAGTTTCGCATGTGGCAGTAGACACAATCGCGACGAAACTATGTGGTGCGAAGGATAGGAGGAAAGCCAGGCGACTATCGCGCGTACAGATGACCGCGACTGCGGCGACCAATCCGTGTGACTCGCCAGGTTTGGCCAAGCAGGTGTCGAGGGTGGTGTCAAGTGCAGGAGAAATAAGGTTTGTACCAGGGCCGAGCTGATGTAGTGTCCCTAGGCAAACTGTCTGAGTTGTGATGCTTGTTCTTTGACAGATGGAGTTGTTGGCTTTGGATTGTCCTCTGACGAATTGCGGTTGAAGGTCTTGCAGGTGTGTAGAAGTGTGGTTGGATGAAAACGGAATACTAGTTAAAACACCCACTCTTAAAAGGATTAAGAACACTTGTACGAGCAACTGTCAGAAATTCGACTGATGCCCTGCTACTCTTTAAATGCCAACCAATAGTCAGAATCCCAACACAAGATCTTGGTTTCGAGCGGTGTATGCTGGCAGCCCTGTTCTTCGTCATATGATGTAGCTCGCGAGCTTGTTCGATAATGGACCCTGGAATGGTTGGTTTCGAGATGGGTGATGCCACGAAAGCAAGGGTGGGTTTGGCTGAATGGAAAAGAAACAGTATGGTACTATAACAAATAGAGTAAGGGATACTAGATTCTAAAACAGCAAGTTTAGATCTTCTTATAGATACGTCTCAAGCAGGCACGGCAGCATCTTTCGAGAAGCGAGGCCTTCGTCTATACCAACCTTAATGTTCACATGCAACACAAGTGACGTCTTATTTACAGCAATCAAGCTCTTGAGAGCCCACCTGGATCTCCTTATGGAGCTCTGGTCTGATAGGTGCGAGGCCGACCCCAGTCACATAGTGGAGCATGTGCATTCCGAAGTTGTCTGAGGCAGCTGGCAGCCAGCTGGCTCCAAGACCCACGGCTGCTCGCCCGCAAAAGTCGAAGTACAAGATCTTTGCATTGCAGCGCAGAGCGTCACAGTTCCAGGCTCGGGTGTCCCAAAATGTTTCGAGGTAATCCAGTGACAGACAGGTAACAGCGACCGCGTTCCTATGGCCCGTGCCCGTGAAGCCTGTCCCGCATCCTCTAGAAACCACCAACATGGTTGTGTAGGAAAGTGCGTAGGCACGATAATGCAATAATTGAAGCAACTTGTGACTTTCGTCGCCTTCTCGTTGCGGTCTCTTGTCGATTTATTTCCTTTGGATTGAAAACCACGCCCACAGGCAGTTTCCGGATTATTGAAATGCTTTAACATTGAGTTACCTGGGGCATCTAGACATCTTTTTCTCGCCCAGGGCGCGTGTCGCAAAAAGTCGCGTCCTCCAACATCCCACCATTATCAGACAGTTTCGAGTCTCGATTCACCATGGGGAAACTCATACGCCTCGAGCTTTTCAGTACGTTTTTCGCGATGCGTATCTTGGACTGATATTGACTTTGCCTAGACTTCAAGTCCTACAAGGGCCACCACACGCTCTTGTTTGGCGACTCTTACTTCACGTCGATTATCGGCCCCAATGGATCTGGCAAATCCAATTCGTATGTGACCGTTCTCTTATTTCTTCACGGCCTATGCCCTGTGAGACAGCGGAGCGGATGCTAACTGTGGGCAGGATGGACGCCATCTCTTTCGTTCTAGGTATTAAGTCGTCGCATCTCCGATCAACCCACCTCAAAGATCTTGTGTACCGCGGCCGAGTGATGAAATCCAAGATCAATGACGATGGCTCCGCCACAGCTCCAGCAACAAACGGTCACACAAATGGCGGCGTCAACGACGACGAGGAGGATGATTCCCAGCGAACGCGCGGTGATCCCAAGACAGCCTGGGTCATGGCAGTGTATGAAGATGACGCTGGTGACGAACAGAAATGGAAGCGCGCCATTACCAGCCAAGGTTCCAGCGAGTATCGAATCAACGACCGCATTGTTACGGCGCAACAGTACAACAAAGCCCTCGAGGACGAGAACATCTTGATCAAGGCCCGCAATTTCCTCGTCTTTCAGGGTGACGTCGAAGCTATCGCATCTCAGTCGCCGCAAGATCTTACCCGTTTGATCGAGCAGATATCGGGAAGTCTCGAGTACAAGGCCGAATACGAGAAGCTCCAGAGCGAGGCCGATCAAGCCTCCGACAACAGCAATTTCCAGCTCCAAAGACGGCGTGGCATCAATTCCGAGATAAAGCAATATCAAGAGCAGAAGAAGGAAGCCGAGAGCTTTCAGAGCAAGACGGCTGAGCGCGACACTGCTGTCGTGACGCACATTCTGTGGAAGCTTTATCACTTCCAACGGGTCATGGACGAGTCAAGCGCTCAGATCCAGGAGCACCAAGAAAACCTCAAGGAATTCCGTCGCAACGTCGAGACATTTGAGAAGAGGCTTGAGGCTGCCCGCAAGGAACAGAGCGATGCTGCCAAGGAGATGCACAAGGCAGAGCGACACATCAAGAGGCAGGAAAAGGAACTTGAGGACAAAAAGGCCAGCCTCGTTCCCATCGATGAAAAGGTCCAGCAGACGAATGAGAGTGCCGCAAAGATCCGCAGCAGGATCGAGACGGTCGCCAAGGACCGTGACGAACAAGCCAAATCAATCGCCAAAATCGAGAAGGCTTTAGCCACCGTCGAGAGGGCCCAACAACAGTTCGAGGACCAATGGAAAGAGACCATGAAAACGCAGGGCAAAGAACTGAGCGATGCTGACCGGAGAGAATATAATACTTTGCGGGCACAAGCAATGGCCAGCTCCTCCGACAATCAAGCGAGATTGGACAACCTGATCCGGCAGCTGAAAAACGACGAGGTCACGGTCAACAGTCTGAAGGGCAAGGTCGAAGCCTATCAAGCTAGCGTCGAGAAGCTTGAGGCAGAACTGGCAAGCATTAAGGAGCGGAGGGACGCAACACAAATATTTGTCAAGCAGACGGCGAGTGAAATCGAGTCCAAGAAGAAAGAGTTCAATCAGGTTCAGTCTGAGCGAGTTAGGACCAACCAGCGAAGGACAGAATTCGACGAAAAACTCCAGGATGTCTTGAAGAAGTTGTTGGAGGCAGATGATGGACGGCGGCAGAATGACAAGGAAGCAAAAACCAAGGAAATGGTGACCTCGCTAAAGCGCATATATCCAGGCGTCAAGGGGAGGGTTGGGGACTTGTGCAAACCCAAGCAGAAGAAGTTTGATGAAGCCGTCATCACCGCTCTTGGTCGTGACTTTGACTCGGTTATCGTCGACTCCGAGGCGACCGGCAGAGAATGCGTACAGTATGTCAAAGACCAGCGCTTTCCTCCCATGACCTTTATCCCTCTGGACAACATCAAAGTCAACGCAGTCAACACTGCTGTTAAGGGCATTCAGGGCGCGCGTCTCACGATTGACACCATCGACTTCGATTCGACCCTTGAGCGTGCCATGTCGTATGCCTGTGGGAGTTCGATCGTATGCGATGACCTCGAAATTGCGAAGCACATCTGTTACGAGCGTAGGATTCCGGTAAAAGCAGTGACGCTTGAGGGATTCGTCATTCACAAGGCTGGTTTGATGACTGGTGGTCGCGGCCTAGATCACAAGGGCGGCAAACGCCGATTTGAAGAGCACGACGTCCAAAACCTGCGCAAGATGGCCGACAAGTTTCGGGACGAGATTGAGAAACTGCCCAAGGTCGATCGACGTGGTGCTATTGAGGAGACGTTACAGAATGATCTCGCTGGTCTGGAACAACGTCTCGGATTTGCCCGCAGGGAGCTGGTAGCTTTCGATCAGAACTTAACTAGCAAGAAAAAGGAGCTCGACAACGGGAAGCGTCAACTTAAGGAGTGGCAACCCAAGTACAAGGAGGAGGACAGTAAGCTGCAGAAGACCCGAGCCTCGGTCGAGAAGTTCAAGGCCGCGATTGCTCAAGCAGAGGATAAGATCTTCATCGACTTTTGCAAGAGGCTTAGCTATGCCGATATTCGAGCCTATGAATCCCAACAGGGTAGTATGGAACAGGAGGCAGCCGAGCAACGCAACCAATTTGAAATCCAGAGATCACGGTTGAACAGCAACCTTAATTGGGAGCAGTCCAGGCTCAGTGATTTGCAGAGGAGACTTAAGCAAATGGAGGACTCGCTCGGACGGCTCCAGGCGGACATTGAGACATACGAAGCTGAGAAGGCCGAGATTGAGGAAGCCATGGGTGTCGATCAAGACAATCTTGAAGCGCTACAGGAGCAGCTTGACGCGTGCAAAGAAAAGCTCTCCAAGCGGACCGAAAAAGTCAACGACGCCAAAGCCGAAGTGCAGAAGAGAAGCAAGGACATTGATGGTCGACTGAAAGCTATCAATGCTCTAGAGACCGAAATGCAAAAGAATAGCGCTGGCAAGTTTGGCTTGCTGAAGAGATGTAGGCTGGAGCAAATCAACATCCCACTCGAAGAAGGGTCCTTGGACAACCTTCCGAATGAGGACAACCTGCTGCAACCGGACGCAGATGTCATGGATGTCGATGAGGGTGACGACGCGGAGCTGATGGAAAATGCCATGGACGACCATGGTATCGCCGTAGACTTCAGCGGACTTAACGAGGACCTGAAAGAGGTATGTTCATTTGGATCTTCTTCGTTCCCCTTCTCCTGTCTCCCTTGGGTCTTTTTTCCTCCCTCCGACCGGTCACTAACTTTGTTAGCCTGACGACTATGCCATTGAGGACAAGCTGCAGGAGAAGATTGCATCTCTGACAGCAGAACTCGAAAAAATGAACCCGAACATGCGTGCCATGGAGCGATTAGATGTGGTTGAAAACAGATTAAGGTCGACGGATCAGGAATGGGAAGAAGCCAAGGCGGCTTTCAAGGCTGCCCGTGACGCCTTCGACGAGATCAAGACCAAGCGATATGAGCTCTTCAACAAGGCTTTTGCGCACATTCAGGAGCAGATATCAACGGTTTACAAGGACCTGACTCGCTCAGACCAGTATCCCCTCGGTGGCCAGGCCTATCTCGACATCGAAGAGGACACGGACCAGCCGTATCTCTCGGGCATCAAGTACCACGCCATGCCACCGCTCAAGCGATTTCGTGACATGGAGCACTTGTCCGGAGGCGAGAAGACGATGGCTGCGCTTGCACTCCTGTTTGCCATCCACAGTTACCAGCCGAGTCCGTTCTTTGTACTCGACGAAGTGGACGCTGCCTTGGATAACGCCAATGTGGAGAAGATCAAGAATTATATTCGGGAGCATTCGGGACCAGGAATGCAGTTCATCGTTATCAGTCTGAAGACTGGATTGTTCCAGGATAGTGAAAGCTTGGTTGGGGTCTACAGAGACCAAGATGTGAACAGTTCGCGGACACTGACTCTTGATGTAAGTCCCCCCCCCCCCGGATGAACAAGGATACTTTCCAGGTGCTAATATTAGGCCAGCTTCGTAAATACGTATAGGGTTTGATTCGTAGAACGTTAGCAGGGGGAGTTCATGGGGTTTCGCGAATGAGTCACGAGGTTTTTTCTGTCTATTTGACAAGAGACTTGCGAGCAATGACTTGTACAAGTGATACCTATGCACGTCTGGGGGAAGGACATTGGGGTTTTGTATCATAATCTCGCACGCGACGTAGATATCACTCTCGCATTCAGCCAGCAGGACAAAATCAATGCGTTTCTCATTTGTGGCTTTTGGGAATTCAGTATGCCCTTGTGGTCGACCACTAACTACTGTTACCTTACTCGAAGGTCTCATACAAGTAATCGAGGGTCGCGTAGCACACATACAGGATATCAGCCTCGTGGTAATGTGAGGGCTTGGGTTGCTGGGTCACCCAATATTGAGGAGGCTGGCCATTGGAAGGAAGTGGTAGATTCAGCATAGTAATAGGTCAACCATTCTTACCATGAATAAGGAATTTCGTGACGGCGAGCTGGAGTGGGTGCCGCAGCAGCTTGCTGCACCGTATTTGCGTCTACATATTAAGAATATGGACCCAGTTGATAATGCACAGTGGATGCAATACCTGGCAGGATCATCGTGTATGACCTCGATTTATAAACAGCAAAATTATCTACCCAAATTGTTGGTTGCCTACTGGTTCCTCTTTTGAAAATTCTGAAAACAAATGCCACAGAATGAGAAAGGCAAGCACTTTATACATAGCGCGAGAGAAAAGTTTCAGTATATCCCAATGTTGAACCGTGCTACCCGCCAACCTGTAGATCTAATGCCAACCAATGCCCCTTTATCACGCTTCCGTACCAGATACGTTGAGTATCATATGCACCTCGACCTACATAAGCTAGAACTTCGCCACGATTCAAAGCATCCAAAACGCCTATTCATATTCTTAATCAAAAACAGCCAAGGGTCCCTTCAACTTTGTCATCATCTCATCCCTTTCGCCCTCGGGAGTGCTCAAAGCCGTGACAGCCCCGCCAGCACCAATGTGCCAGACCTCCTGTTCCGTGCCGTCGTGTTGGTGCACAATCTCGTCGTCCCAACGGAACAGACTGCGGATGGTGACGCTCCAGTCTCCACGGCCGGCGATATCCATGTAACCCACAACGCCCGAGTACAGACTCCGCTCCCGGCGTCCTTCGATTTGTTGCAGGATCTGGCAGCTCCTCTTCTTTGGAGCGCCCGTCATGCTGCCCGGAGGCAAGCTGGCGGCCAAAATGTCAAGACCGCTATACCCCTGATCGTCGCCTACAGCGTCCGCGTCGTCATTAACAGGGAGTTGCCCTTGAACAACGCTGATCATCTGAAAGACGCTAGCGTACTCCTCCACCTTGAGCAACTGAGGCACGATGACATGGCCGGGCCCACAGACGCTGTGCAGGTCGTGCCTCACTAGATCGACAATCATGAGGTTCTCAGCCTCTTCCTTGGGTATATGCAGGATCCTTTCGGCTTGTTCTAACGTGGCCACTGCATCAGACTTGCGCACGGTACCTTTCATGGGCCGCATTGAGCAAAGACCATCCCCATTATACTCGAGGAATCGCTCAGGAGAACTGCTGATCAGGGTAGCTCCTCCAAGACGGATGTAGGAGCCGAACGGCGCCGGCTGACATGCCCGTAGAGATCGGTAGATTTGCCATGAGCTTGGCGTTTCGGTTGCACTCGAGGGGCCCCAGCTGTTGCTGGAGATGTCAGGGGGGCCGCTTTCCGGAGCACTCGTCGAGCGAGTGATAGATGTCTGGTCGGTAAGGCAGAGCTCATACGAGTCGCCAGCGGCAATGAAATCCTGGCATTGACGCACTTTGCACTCATACTCGTCCGCGTCTGGAACTTGGATTTTCGTTGAACAGAGGGTTCCCGTGGGTGTCATTGGGGGTGTCAGGTGCTTCTTAAAGTTGGTACTGCCCACGTTGCCCACATTTACGCGGAGACCATCAGCCCACAGTGTCGAGTTCTGCAGCGTCCTGGCAACCTCGTCAATCCACTGGCCGGGATCCGAACCTGGAGAGTGCAGGTTTTGGATACGCAGGGTGCTCTCCAGGTGATCGATAACGATACTTTTGGTGATCCAGGCAAAACACAAATCGGGGCGCTGATGGCCTCTGTCCGTGAATGTTTCAACATCAATGCATTCGAGGCCCAGCTCGTACGTTGCGTAGCCCATAAAACCTCCCATGAAAGGGGTTTCGGCAGAGCATTGTTTAGTTCTCCTGGGTTGAAGAAACCTAGCCAATACATGCCAGATTGTGTCATGGCCATGAATTCGCATCGTTTCTAGAGTGTTGCACTCAGCCTCCGTGGATGAGGGCGTATAAGCGACAACCTGGGAGGCACCTGCATGGTATTCAAACCGCATTGCTTTCTCAACATCCAGAGCGATGATGCTGTAACGGCCCCTCACATCCAATCCAATTCGATCCGCATGGGCGCTGGCCGAGTCGAGAATGATTTGATCTTGTTTTCCACTTTGCAGGAGTTCCACAACGTCGGGAACTTGAACGTGAGCAGGGAGATGAAGACTTCGAGACGTATATCGACAATCAATATCCCTCTCGTTCTGACGAATCCAGTCGTCCACTTTTGGTTGTGAAAGAAGGCTAGGGTTCCTAGCGTCATGCATCACTTCTATGCGATTCGGTTGGGTCCTGCGACCAGCCCGTTCACTCCAGCGACGAGCTTGTTCAAACCAATTCAAAATGACCCTGTGACCAGAAGAATCTGAGCATATAGACTCTGGGTGGTACTGGAACCCCCAGAAAGGTTTCGATGTGTGTTTCATGCCCATAAGAATGCGTTCAACGAAGCCGTCCCTCGGTTCCTCGACCCATGCTAGCGGTAAGACCTGAGGCAAAGTAGCAGGGGAAGCCCACCTCCATGCTGGCCAGTCCGCCTCAGATATTAATCCTTGGCCGATATCTGCACACAGACTGTGATAAAGCGTGGCTCTGAAAGAGGGTATGTCGGTAAAGATGTTTCCTTCGGATGAGTCGGCAACGTCCGATCTATGGTCTATTTGACGAATCATGCCGTGAAGACCAGTTGTGAGTTTCTTCGTAGTTGCTCCGCAACTGACCGCGAGACTCTGGAAGCCAAGACAAATCCCAAGCACTGGAAGAAGATGTTCGTCTTCGAGTTGCCATATGTGTTTCATCAAGCCGACGTCGGCTTCCGAGTCGGGTGACCCTGGCCCGGGTCCGCAGACCACGGCATCATAGCGCCGCAACTCGTCTACTAACGCATCATGAAATGTTGGGGATTTCGGGTCGAGCTGAGGGGAGTCGATGGGCAAGACATGGACCTCGGCATCCAGAAGTGTGTTGAGAAGAGAGACGACATTGTTGCTGAATGAATCATAAGCGTCAAGGAACAGGATCCGAGGGTGGCTCATCACTCTGACTCAGGAGAGCGTTGAACGGTCAATCTACTACCAGGTATTGACCTGCGCAATATCAGTGTGTCGTGCTTTATAAAAGTACCTGAATCCGGGGGAAACGACGAAGGAATCTTACAGGATGGATGACTGTCCGGGGAAATTTTTGACAGTAAATCCCGGCACGCGCCCAACCCGATTAGCCGTATCGAGTAGATAGTGGGCTTTCAGGGATTGTCTTTAAGCTTAAAAGAATCACCGGAGCCCCAGTTGTAGCAAGCCTTGGCGTGTCTATGATTGACTGTAATGTTGTACAGCTTTCAATCAAACAAATCATCGATGATGATTGGAAATCTTTAAAGGTGCAATCAAGTCATGGTTACGCATCCAGTCTATACCCAGCAGGTAAGTCATGATTCAAAGAATTTCCTAGGACAAGGCATCTTTTGATTTATAAACAATCCCCTGTTACGTATCTTTCTTTTAGTAAGAATCTACTAAAGTGCGTGGTCGTGCACGGGCGGATTTTGTATGAGAGTAAAGGTAGCGATTCGCTTAGGGTGGCGAATTGCTTGTGGGACACATTAATGCAACTAGATTCCACGTATATATACCTCATTGTAGTAAGAAGGTATAGAAAAATGGATATGAAAATGAACTAGTTTACTTATGAACATTGCGAAATAACCCCGGTTTGAAGCAACCTCAAGCAACATAATGTGATTAACGAAGTGTCAGGTGCAGATGTCCCCTACACTACACTGCTGGTACCCACCTGATGACTGGCAGCCGACTTCTCTCTAGCACTCTCGTCCTTCAATCTGTACTTGAAATATCCGTGACACGAAGTAAGTAGACGGGTAGCATCAACATTCGTGTTTTATTGTGTAGTGCCTTGGGATTTTAAATTAGTAAGATATGTTTCATTATCTTACGGCCCAATGGCAACCCTTGCGTTTATGTCCATCTGTAACCAATTAAGCACCTTCTGTTCCGGATGATTCATATCATCTCCGTCTCTTGGAGACTTTGAGTCCCGATCAGCCCTTCACTTCAAGGCTCGTTCTTGCTCCCATTTGTTGGATATCTTCTCGTGTCAACTCCGAAGGCACGAAAACGAGCCTCATTTGGTCAATCCGACGCAGGAAGGAATTTTCTTCATGATCCGCCTTTTCATCATGAAGAAAACACCGTCGGGGCTTTGCGCACTATTTTGGGTCAGTGCCTACACATATGAATATACAGTATTCGGCCGCTGACTAAAACAGACATCGAAGGGAACAGTGTTCAATAGTGTTCCACGGATGGGCCTGTGACTCAGGGTGGCGAGAAGTCTCAAGTTTAACCTTGTGCTATGCTTTCAGGCCAAGGTGTGATTTTAAGCCCAGGAGGAGGACCTTGGGAAAGGAGCTGGACGGGTTCTGCTGGTGTCTTTCACATCAAGGATTGACTCCGTCGAATTTTACAGCCTCACTCACCTGAAACGACGGTAGCTTGAACAGGGCGGATTTAAGAGAACAGGAATTCGTTACTAAAACGTGCTCAAATACTGTTTTACTTATCGTGAATCCTGTAGCTGTGTTGAAACACATGGGTATAGCCACCCGAATCTTCAACTCTACTAGATTCGGAGGAACCAGACTTGGCCTGGTGATTATTCGGCAAAATCCGTACACAGCCTCACGATATCATCAATGGGATGATATACCGATCTGTACAAAGGATAACTCCGTAACATATTCGATATCTCAGAGTACACTACCCAAAATATACATACCCAGTGATGTGTAGAATACTTGATCGTTTGGCTGAGCCGCCAGTTGGTTCCAATATGCTATGTGATATCATAATCCCATCAAGCCACGCCTGAGCTTACTATACGCATAAGCAGACCATTTGTGTTGCGAGGAATAAGGAGCACTGCACAGACCCGTCTAATTTTGTTATGCTAATCATCCTCAGATATGGATTCATTGAAAGGAGCTTCTGCGCCAGAAGAACATCCAGAATTGATTGCAAACCAAATAGAAATGTGGGAGGCCATGCGTCAGGTCATACGTCTGATTACCCAGTTCTCGATTTCTGTGGATGGTTACTGCTTTGGTTTGCTCATATCATCATGAGTTGATTTTATTTATGCTGGCTAGAGTCGCCGTCAGTTTCACAGTCTGGCTAGTATACCAAGGAGTTTCCTTGGCATTCTCGTGGAGCCGCAGAAGGCTGAGAGAGAGGCGTGGTGGGCCAGTTCAGAGTATCAAGATTGCTTCAATGGCAGATGCAGAAACAAAAACCTTGGCTGGTAGTACGAAAGCAGGCAGCCAGAAGGTCTGAGAATCAGCCGCATTATGCCTGAGATTTCATTTGTGATATCGGTTCGGAATACCCAGAGAACGCGTCGAAGGACCTCGGATATGTGAAGAGATTCAAGAGAATGAAGACAGCCAAGGGGAAACATTTAGGCTTTGCTTGGTCTTGGAATATCGGTGGACCTGTGCCTACTATGTAGCCATATACCAAATTGCATGCTCTGGCTAGACCCGTCTTTTTCAACTTGGAATGTGAGATTTCATTGGTTACTCAGACCAAGGTGGCCCAGAAGTCTTCACAATGACGTTGAAGTCGTCTGAACGTTATTCGATATGCTCTAGGTCAACCCTTGAGACATAATACTTATGTCACTAAGCTGTAGTTTGATGAAACAACATGAGAAGCGGAAGCCGAAAATCTTTAAATTTCCCTGGTGAGGTTCCGTATCCAAGATCTTTTGGTCAAGTGGTCTACCGTCACAGGACTTTTACGGAATAAGGAGCACTCTTAAATAAAAAAACTTTCTTAATTTCACTTAACCGGATATCTACCACGTGCAACATCAACGCTAGCATAGAGTATAAGCCATGCAGCGGACGTGCTCAAGAGATTTTTTTTCTCCATCGGGCTATTTGGATCAAACAGATATCTCTCGGTGCCTGGTCGTAGAGGTTGGTTCTGGCATTCTGAAGAATACGAAGTACCTGGGCACTTATAAGTAGATTTCAACGCACTGACCATTGTACATTGGCCCCAGCTTCATCAATTGTCGCTGCATATCCACCAATGTTCGTTCAACCAAAGCAGGACAGCATTAACCGTTGCCACATAAACACTCTGATTCCCACGACGCCAAACACAGTTTCGAAGCAAAACAATTTCATCAACTGCAAAATAATGGCAGACCACCCTTCGAGACGAGGGGGCCGCTACCGCGACGATCGTGGGTCACGAAGACGCGACACTCGAGAATCAGATCGCTACGATGACAGACGAGACAGGCACCACAAATCCCGCTCCGCATCCCCCAGGAGGGACAGGCGCGACCGCCATCGCTCCAGATCTCGTGATCGCAGAGATAGGCGCCCGGACCAAGATAGAGAACGCCCGTATGAGCGAGAACGAGAGCTAGACCAAGAACGGCACTCCAGAGGAAGCGACCGGCGCCGCGGTAGCGAGCCTGAGCCGCACCGCAGAGCAGACAGACAAGAGGCACATTCATCCAGATATCGAGATGCTCGCGATGACGGCATTAGACCAAGCAAAGAAATAGCGACCCCAACCAGACCAGCTCAGAGTCCAAGCCATAATTCGCCTCTGCCCACGCGGCCCAAAGACAGGAGCAGAAAGAGTACACCTTTGTCATTCAAGGTTGGAAAGAACAATGAAGAACCACTTCGGGAAGGAGAGACGGACTTGAAGGTCAAAGCCGAGCGCTTCGGGGAACCTGCAACGCACAGTGGTGGGGAAGCTATGAACGAGGATCAGGCAGAGGACGAGGACGAGGACGAGATTGAGATTGATGGTGGTGTGGATATGGCAGCCATGATGGGATTTAGCTCCTTCGATTCCACCAAGGGCAAGAAGGTCAAGGGCAATGATGTCGGAGCGGTCCGAAAGGAGAAAAAGTCCGAGTACCGCCAGTATATGAACCGCGTCGGCGGTTTCAACAGGCCACTCAGTCCTGGTCGTTGAACAAGGCGTGTTGGACTTATTGGCAAGTATGGTATAATCCTATGCAATGAGCAGGCATTGTGTTCATGCAACTAATTTTATCACGAAAGTAAGCATTCGACTTGTCTCTCCCTCATGTTCCAGTGTCACAATTAACTGGGTAGCCTCATGCGAAGGCCTGGTCCTGTAACCAGCGTCCAAGTACGCGAGTGATGACAAGGTAGGTTTCTCTGTTGTTGTCCCAAATTATCCTCTCAGTGCCTTGCATCTGTTGAGTCCGAACGAATTGAGATCTACGTCCGCTTTCACAGAAGCTCCAAAAGGCCTCTGGGTAGATAGTGGACTGGTATCAGCTGATCCCGAATATACCATGAGGGATACCGTGTTTCCCTTGACGCGGAAATGCTTGCGCCTACTTGAGTAGACAGCACTCTGATACTTTCGTTTTTTCAATCCGTCTTCGGGTTCGATCATGGAGACCATGACTAAGCACCCCAACGTCTGGCCAAAAGCCGCAGAAGGAATATCTAATTTCTGCTGTAACAGTGGTCTCCAAGCCTATCAACTTCATAGCGGGACCGTGCGCCAGGTTTGCATCAGCTACTGCTCTGGTTACAATCGATCCAAACCCTTATTGTCATAAAGAGAGTCCAAGCTCAACCTAGGTAAGTTCGATGACCTGCCATCCGTCTCGTTCTGTCTCTAAAGAATCCGCTGTGGTGCTCGGCATTTCATCCTTTATCACCAGCACAGCACATCCCTTAAAGCCTCACGTCTCCCCATATCTTCATCTCGGCCTGGCAAGCCTTACAACAAAGCGAGTGAAACCTGGCAAAGTCCATTCTCCCGAATTTCTTGCACCGTAGGCACATGACGTAAGCCCCACCCCCTATTGCAATCCGAGAGCCCACCGAGTACCTGGGCTGACCGTCATCGGCGACAGCATTAAGCCCACAGTCGATGCAGAACCTCATGGAGGCGTCTGGCCCGCCTTTTCTCTTGGTCCCCGTCACCATGTCGTCTGCAAAGTCCTATCTAAGGCGAAGACGCAAGCACAGCCTACAGCATAGTATCGTATAAAAGTCTTAGGCAGGAACTCTGGGTCTAACTTCTTAACGGCGAGGAGCTGCCGCAGAGAGTCAACCAGTCCTGAGTAGTGGAAATATCGGCAGCTGTTTCGAAGGCTGCTGGAGTCTGGGAATTCGAGGAAGTGTAGGATTTCGAGTTGAAGTTCAACAGGGAGACTAAGAAGGGGTGGGACAGGATTCATGGGTTTGGTTTCGAGGAGCTGTACGTGTTGATTGGAACTTTTGGGCTTCTAGGTGACATACCACCTTGGCCATTCCTTTAGTCCAGTCCATATCAAGGTTTCCATTGCCGTGTTGTCTGATTTGGAAGCAAGGCAGGAACAAGCTCTGCGGCTTCCAACATTGTAACAGTCAAGATGCCGTAGGCAAGCGCGCTGCCTTCTTATGTAACTGGTTCATCCCCATCTAGTATTTCAGGAGGCTCCCAGAACTTATTACTTGCTAAAGGGATACTGTTAGTCTGGATTCTCTTTATCCAAGCTTTTTGTCTCTATACGATGAAATGGACCAAGGCCAAGCCAGATCTTTCTAGCCCATACCCTCAATCTTGTGATATTGATGACCAACAACCCACCAGAGCTCCATGCCTAGAGGGACAGCAAGGTCCCGTATCGTTATCGATACACGATAAAGCCGAGAATTCGGCTAAGGAGCTCCCCGCACTTAGCGTCATCCCAAAGTGGGATGGCATGGCGCTAGAAGACGTTTCATCCAGGGGACTGTCGTCAGCTTGCATCCAAAAAAAACATCCGGCTCCAATTCATCAACCGTGTCCAAAAAACCTGCCGAGCACTTCATCACGGTATCGCGACGATTCTGGCACATCCATACTCTGTCATAAGGTTATCCGGTTTCAATGATCGCTTCCTCAATGTGCCATGGCGTTGCTTAACCAATTGACAGCTTTTCTGTCGTTCCTTCTCGTCATCGCCTTTGGCCATGGCCTTGTTGGCATCGCTTACGCCCAGGATGAATCCGTTATGAACGCCGAAATAAGCCGTATGAACAACCAGAGTTTGCTCTGGGGTCCATACCGGCCCAACTTGTATTTCGGAGTCCGGCCTCGGATTCCTGAGAGTCTGATGGCCAGCTTGATGTGGGCCAAGGTGGACAATTATGTCGATGTCCAGAATAGTAAGCTTTTACTGACCTGAGGCTCGGTCTGCTCAAGCTTGTCTCTTGATCGCTAATAACGGACTGATCCAGACTTCCGATACACCTGCGAGCAGAACGAGGGCATGGCCGGCTACGGCTGGGACGAGTACGATACCCGACACGGTGGCGTCCAAACTATACACGATGCCGGCAATCATCTTGACATCACCACCGAGTTTGTCAAGATCCCTGGTGGTGGCCATGGTGGCAGCTGGGCTGTGCGCGTCAAGGGTGAGCCTCGCGAAGATGCGCCTTCGACTCTAAGGACCACGGTCATCTTCCATGCCACAACCGAACCCTGGGGCGACGTTCTCGATGTTGCCAAGGACGGAGACGATAATGGGTTCTCAGGCGATGTCACCCTAAAGGGAAAGTCCGATGCCCTAGGAGAGTACAAGATTGTCGTGACCAAGGGCAAGGGCGATCATCCGTCCAGTAACCATCCCGTCTCGACCGAAAGAGATCTGGACAAGACTGTCGTCCAATCATTGGTGGTCCCCGAGGAGTACTTGTGGCAATCGAAGCAAATTCTCTTTAAGCAGCTCAAGACTGGCGTAGACGAGATAATCGAGGCATATGGTCCCGAAAATGCACCACCTCCGTGGCAGGTGTATCAACTAGCCAACAAGCCTGACACCGGCAATGTGCACTTCGTCCAGAAGATGTTTGAGGGTGGCTTCGAGTTCGACGTCTTATTCAGCAGTGGCTCTGCGGCAAAAGATGTCACAAGCGAGGACTTGACGCGCGAGATCCAATCCACGACCGAGTCGTTCATCGATCGCTTCTCTTCCATCTTTGCGCCCCAAGCTCCGTTCAATGCCGAGAAGTACCGTAAATTTGGCCACAGCATGCTTTCGAATCTTGCTGGAGGTATTGGGTACTTTTACGGAAACCAGATTGTTGACCGGTCTAATGCCCCGGAATACGACGAGGAGAACGAGGGCTTCTGGGAGGAGACAGCTGAAGCACGAAGCCGGCACGCGGAGCAGCCAGAGGGCCCGTATGAGCTCTTCTCCAGCATTCCCTCTCGCCCATTCTTCCCTCGAGGTTTCCTCTGGGATGAAGGATTTCATCTTGTCCCCATTGCCGACTGGGACATGGACCTCACTCTTGAAATTGTGAAGAGCTGGTACAATCTGATGGATGCAGACGGCTGGATTGGCCGAGAGCAGATTTTAGGACCAGAGGCTCGAAGCAAGGTTCCGTCCGAGTTCCAAGTGCAGTACCCGCACTATGCCAACCCACCCACTTTGTTCCTGATCGTCGACGACTTTTTGCAGAAGTTGCAAAAGACCAACGGCAGCCAGGCAGCTGGCAAAGAGACTCTTACGCAGCAGGACATGATGCTCGGGAGCGCCGTCCTCACTAACCCGTCCATTGGCCAGGACTATCTGCGAAATCTGTACCCGCTTCTACGCCGCCAGTTCTACTGGTTCAAGAAGACGCAGTATGGTGATATCAAGTCGTACGACCGTGATGCCTATTCTAGCAGAGAGGCTTACAGATGGCGCGGCAGAACCGTCCAGCATGTTCTCACTAGTGGTCTCGATGACTACCCCCGCCCCCAACCTCCACACCCGGGTGAGCTCCACGTTGACCTCTTGTCATGGATGGGTATGATGTCCAAAACTTTGATCAACATTGCTGAAGCCATTGGCGAGGACGAAGATGTCAGACAATACAAGAAGATTCTTGATGCTATTGAGCACAACCTGGTAGACCTTCACTGGTCTGAGGAGGAAGGCTGCTTCTGCGACGCCACTATTGATGCATTCGAGGAGAACAAGCTCGTTTGCCACAAGGGCTACATATCCCTTTTCCCCTTCCTCACTGGTCTTCTGAAGCCCAATGACCCCCATCTTGGCAAGACGCTCGACCTCATCGGAGATGAGAAGGAACTCTTCAGCCCGTACGGTCTTCGAAGTCTGAGCAGGAAGGACGAGTACTATGCTACTGAGGAGAATTACTGGCGCAGCCCCATCTGGGTCAACATAAACTACATGGCCATTCTCCAACTTTATGTATGTTCTAAAAATATTCTTTGCTTTCAACCTTGACTTTTATGTCTTCACATTGCCTGCTAACCTTGCAACAGAATCTCGCACGGCAAGAAGGTCCTTACAAGCCACAAGCGATTGACTTGTATTCCCGTCTGCGCGTCAATCTTGTCGAAACAATCTACAAAAGCTGGGAGGAAACTGGGTTTGCATGGGAGCAGTACAACCCGGAGACCGGCCGGGGTCAACGTACTCAGCACTTTACAGGCTGGACCAGTCTCGTCGTCAAGATCATGGCCATGCCAGACCTCAGTGGTGCCGGTGTTGCGTACGTCCGTGAACGCGACGAGCTTTGATTATCATCACCATCGATGATGAGCATCTACAGACAGTACCTAAGGGGTGTAAAGAGTGATATCCTGGCTGAAAATCGCGCCAGATGCGGAGGGGAATTGTACATAGAGCGCAAGCTTTTTGCCGTATATACCTGCCGGATAATGAGAAATGATTCAGGAAGAGACGTGCGTTCTCAACAAGAATGGAGTAGTTTTGATTATTGCTATTATTCATGTCTGCCTTAACAAAAGCTACCTCAGCGCATTGATTGCATTGTTGAACGATCTGCAGCCCCTGCATGAAGTAAGTCGAAAAAGCCGCCCCAGCCCTTAGTGTTCCATTCATTACCAAAACTACTCCCTACCTTCCTACTGCGTGCCGTACGTGATACTAGACGCTCTTTATCCAGTTTCAAGAGTCAACTTCGACCCACCTGCTCTACGAGGCATCTTAACGCTTCGAAGATAAAGCAGCTTCGGCCGTAAATCCGTCGCCCTTTTTCTTGACAACCTGCCTAGGGAGCACGTCCACATTCCGACTGAGAAGTTTTCGCAACTCAGGGCTGATAAGCTTCTTCTGCTCCTCCTTCGCCTTGCCCGTATCTTGTGTTTCTGCTGCTGATGTCGCAGTGGAAGAAGACGAAGACTGCACCCGCGGCCTCGGGAAGTTGGACTTCTTGTCGACGGCTTCGACGAGGCGGTTAAAGCGGCGGAAGAGGGACTCGGCTCGGATCAGAGTTGATTCTAGATCCATAGTATTGGATAGCTCGTTGACTATAATTGGGTTAGTACCCGGTACACTATATAATTCATGTGAAACTAAACGAATAATTAAGTAACATACCATATTTGAGCACCTCGTCAAAATGCTGCAGATGCGTCATGATAACGTCACGGTGCTTGTCCAAAATAGCTAGGGCGATGAACAGGTGGAAACTGCTGCTCAGGTAGTCGGTCCACAAGACTTCCCAAAGATGCAGCACGTCCATCCACTTGAACTCACGTTTGTACCAGACCAGCAACATGCGGAAGAAGAAGAAGAAATTGGTGCTGTCGGCCGACTGAAGATGGGAGTATAGCTTGGGGTCCATGAATTGTACCAGGTGGTCGAGTGTCGTGAGCTGGTTGCGCATGCCGCTCTGGTCACGCAAGAAATTCCGCTCCATACGTTCCATGAAGTGCTGAAATCCCCAGAATGCAATGGCGTCGTCTTGCATGACGGCATAGATTGGCGCTAAAAGATCCGACATGCCCTGTACGTAGCCGAGTTCCCTGTTGTACTCGTTGTACGTCAAGAGCATGTCCTTCATCTGTTCCATGTGTACGTTGGTGCCCACGGAGGCGAAAGGGGAGTCAGGATCAGGGTGAGGAACATCCTCGCCAGCAAATATAGGCACTGTTCGGTCAGTCCGATGGACATCCTTTTCTGAGATATTGTGAGTTCAAAACATTTGGACGGGGCGAAAAAGGGGAACTAACCTATCCTGCTTTTTTGCTCTCGCCACCATTCGCCTTCCTCACCCTCCCCACCCATATCAATAAGTCTTTCCCACCATGCTGCCTTAAGTTTCACATAGTCCTCCCTCAGTGAGGCGATTTGGGCTCTGCGCTCCTCAGATGTGCTGTACCAGTCGTAAACGCCAAGTAGGAACAGCCAAACTTCCTTACGGACGCCATCGTCCGGGTCCAATCCTCCATGGAATACGCGTTCCTTGACCTCATCTATAGTAACAGAGAGTCTACCAGTTTTCGAGTCGAAGAAGGTGTCCCACTCTTTCCGACCAACGGGTTTCCGCCGTTCCTCCAACGACAAGGAACTCGTCTCGAGCAACTCAAATTCACCCACATCGGTGTCCTCCAGCTCCATGACATCCCGGGCCGTCCATATCCTCTGGCTTCTGTCTCTTTCGCTCTGTTCTGCTATACCCATGGCCCATCTTGCCAGGTAGACTCTTGCACTGTCAAATTCATCCTGCAATGTCTGCACCTCGGGATTGCGCATCAACCTACGGACCTGTGGCGGCACTTTAGGGTTGTCCAGAACATCCTGGGCAGTTCTCCTCGTAAAAGTGGTGACTTTACTGAACTTCTCCATGATATTCCACCCCGTCTCCTTCACCAATTTCATAAAGGGGTCCATCTGTGCATCACGTTGCCCACTTGGCCCCGCTGGTAAGGCGCCTGCAGCTCCCCTGATGGATGCACCATGGGCACTGTCTTTACGGCCAAGCTGCGAAGGGGTACTCGACGTTAACTTGCCTCCGAATGCCTCGCTGTCTTCCTTGGATGGTTCTACGAGGTAGATGTTGGGCTCGGCACCGCTTCGTTCGATCTTGACATAGCGCTTGAGCCAGCGCAGAACCTCGTCACCACCCCAAAACATGTGTCCTTGCTCCCCGAAAGGATCGAAGTTGTTGCGCGCCAACTTTTTTTTCTGCAAAATGGTGGACTGGCACTCGCTGTCATGAAAGAACAAGGCCGGGAAGCTGTCACCGGCCCTCGTGTTGATCACGACGGACCCGAACCACCAACCGAGACTTGGCGGCCGCACGAGGAGTGAGTAGATGGCGCTGACGGGTATGGCGAAGGCATAGTGACCGATGGATCCACGATGCGTCGTGACAGTCGGGGGTGGTGGAACTAAATAGCTCTGTTTCGGCGGCGAGTCCCCCTCCGTCAAATCAACTTTGACATAAATGCTGGCCGAATCTCCCAGACTTGACTCGGGTAGCCAAGCAAGCAGGAGGTCGGACGATGTGGGCGATGTGGAAATTTTGGAAGATGAGGACGTTGGCCGCTCGTCCCGCGGGGCTTTCTGCTGGAGCAGAGCGACGAAGCCGGGGATATTGTCCTTGGCTGATGGCGTTGGGTGTATGTAGACCTTGCTCTTACTGAAGAGCAGCTTGACACCGCGTCCAGATTCTGTGTGTGTGATGGTGTTGTAATCACCCTCCTCGTCGTCGCTCATGGCGTAGAAACTGCCTGTTGGTGACCCAGATCGAGCCGGCGCAATCAATGGCGAGGCGACTTGTTCTGATGTCATAGCTCGCCGAAGGGGATCGTGTCCCTTCTGGGCCTTCTCAAATCGATGGAAGCTATCAAGTTGGGACACTGAATATATAAAGTTTAGAGATTTTCAAAACACGGCATTACTGGTTTTGTTCTTTCGTCCTCGAGTCAATCATGTGAGGTTTCTGGGTTGAGACGCCTTCAGAGCGAGGGTGTCAGCTGTTTGGAAGCTTCAAGGCATCTGCCCCGCAGTACAGCTGAAGTGTCTTAGCGGGGCCCTATACATACTGGGGAGTACTGATACCTCGAGTCAATCCCGGGCGGGTGCGAAAAATGGTGGAGGCTCAGTACAAGCACTTCATTGCTTTGTTTCAGTCGCCTTGTCATGCGCCACACTAAGCCGCAGTTCATCAATCCACCATGGTGCTTTCGTCATCACCACTGGGCCGTCTGCGCTATTACCTGTCAACTCAAGGTACTCGTGGGAATCAGGTTCACAGTGGCCCTAGACTGTACACGCACGACACGCAATCACTGATCTAGACATAAAACAATTTGACTGTTGTTCCGATGTGTAGAAGTAGGATTATTGTGCTTGCTGTATTTAGCAAACATCCTGTAATAATATGTCCCATATGTTATCGCTAGTCTGTTACTGCACCAAGCTTCATGCGTATAGAGGATAATAGTCACTCCTCTAACCAGGCCGGTCTTCTAAACAAGACGTCCCACCCCCAACTTGCGGGCTTTTTCTGTTGGTTGAATGGCAGTCAACCCATCAAGAAACCGATCAAGGTCCCCGTCAAGACCATCTTCTCGAAGTATGCAGCAACTTATCAGGTGACGGGTAAATTATTTAGCAACTGACTAAAATTCATTAGTCACCCAAAACTCTGTAGCTGTATGGAATACCTCTTAACAGGCCCTGCCGTACGGTCCTCCTGACGTCTAAACGCCTACCGCTACATATCGAGCTATGGCGGCATGATAACCACATCCAAGCCAAGCTTTAGGGGCATCATCTCATACGTGGCCCGCTTGGTAATCCCCTCCTAGGACCACCGGCTGACCCACCGGCTGATCTTCCACCACCTGCTCCTCCCGAGTAGTCTTGCTCACTACTGGCCCAAGGCGAGTTCGCGGCCATGAACGGACGATCATTCCCACCCCGGTTGTTGGAGTCATACAGGCCCCCGGGGGCAAACCGGTCTTCGTAGTCTCCACCTCCGCCTCCGCCTGTCAAGTTACTCTGTTGCGCAGGGGGGTTGAACGGACTGCTAGACGATGGGCTTGCCGTTCTAGAGCCTCCCCAGAGTCTTTGACGGAGCCGATCCTGAGCTGAACCACCACCAGCAGAACTACCTGGTGGAGTCTGGTTATCCCTCCCATGCACCCCAGTGGTCTGATAGCTGCCCGCTCGTTGACTGGGCAATGGCCGAGCCTGCACGTCCTCTCGTCCGCCGCCCATAGGATCTGAGTTGCGGCCGAATGGGTTTAGTCTCGGGTCCGATTGTCGTATGGGCGGCGGCGCGCCTCTGCCTCTTCGCAGGCTCTGGGCGTCTTGGGGTTGGGAGACGGGGTTGCTATCCCAGAGAGAGCTCAAGCTACCGCCCCCTTGCTGCTGTGTGAGACCACCATATCGTGAGCCAACCTGGCCGGGCTGAGCAAGCACAGGCTGGACAGGTGGTGGTGCCTTCGGATCAGGTGGCAGCCAGCCTGGAAACGGTCGGCCCTTTTCTGTGTAATACTGCCTCAACACGCGGCAGACGTGTGTGTCATCTTCGGTGTCTCCGTCCGTCTCACCGCCAAGGAATGTTCGTTGTAGGTTGTTGATGCGCGACGTTGTCGTCGTGAGGATGTTGGAGTACCACGCCGACATGTTTACGTCTGCAAATGCGACGAATCGCCCACCACGTGGCTGCAGTGGCGCTGGGAACAGGTACTGTAGTGACTGGAAACAAAGAGTTCGGCAAGCTTTGCGTTCGGAATTGATTCGGCTGTGTGAGTGGTATAGACCGGTTACGTGGAAGGAGCTGCTCGTCACGATCGATGAATCGATTTTCGAAAGGTTGCGCAATAGGAAGAGAAAGTCCAAGTATGGCTGTAAAGACACAATCGTGTGTAAGGATCACAAAGAATGTGAACTCGCCTTGGCTGTGCTGGAACTGTGGTGTTTCAAATAATGGGTCGGTTCCAGTGGAATTCAATGCTCTAGCGTAAGATAGTGTGGGGTTACTTTAGTAACGACAGTTTTAGCGCATCAATCTATTCCTGACGACTGCCCACCTAAAGCAGAAAGGTAACATGCAATCTTCGGAGACAACATTCTTCGCATCGATGGAGGTATCTCTGGACACAGAATATGCATAACGAAAAAAATACAAATGAGGTACGGAAGCCATCGTCTGGCCTAGAATGCGATGTCTTGAGTGCGCGGCGCATACTCAATCTCGTCTTCAATCTCCCGTCCTCGTCTAGCCACCTTTTTGGCTGGCTTGCGAACCACGCGGCCTCTCTTCCTCTTATCACCAACTTCTGTTGTCTTCGCCGTCGCATCATCTTCCTCGCTGTCGTCACTCTCGGAATCTCCGTCCTGTTCGGAATCGCCCTCGCTCCCCAGCCAATCCTCGATGTCACCCAGGTCGTCCTCGCTCTCATCGAAATCGCTGACGTACTCGACTGCACCATCCTCAAGTTCGTTCTCGTACTCGACCTCCTCGTCTTCCTCGTCTTCCTCAACACCCTTGTCCATGTCCTCGTCTCGGGTACCTTCGCCCTCGCGTTCGAGAGAGTTGAGTACCTTCTTCCAGATATTCTCGCTGACATTCAGTGGTTGATCACCATATGCTCCCTCTCTTAGGCGCTGAATGAGTTCTCGCTCGATAGTCCGCTCCAGCTTGGCTGCTGCTTCAGCCTTCCGCTCTCTCGTCTGTTCGCGCCGCCTGATCTTGGGCGCGAGCTTGGGGACAAGTTTTTCACCTAGACGAGCCTCCTCTTTGGCTGAATAAGGGTAGTAGGTCAGCCATTATACTTGCAGGAGTTATCCAGAGCCAATTACGAGTAGAGTTCTAGGTTCTAATAGCGACAGGCGAATACGGGGAGAAGTTACTGACCTATTCTGCGCATCCGGATCCCGACTTGAGTCAGCCGAGTGAGTCGCTGTTTGCATTTGTGCAGAAGAAACTTGGAAACGAGTTAGTTTTGTTACCACGATACTAACGATACTAGGGGCACATACCTTGGGCCAGTAAATCAATTGCTCATCAATCTGGGATAGCGCCTGCGCATAGTTCTGGCTCAATAGGCGTTTTTCCCATAGCTTCGATGGCAAGTGCTGCCTCTCGATGGTCTTCTTGTATCTGCGTTTGAACTTAGCGATTGCGACTCGTAAATTGGGGCACGATTAGTAGTCCCAATTAAGAGCATAGAATCTCTCAAAAGGGTCGACTATATACGCCTTTATGTGAGCAGGTCGAAAAATAGAGTAACTCACAGGTAAATTCGGCCTTTGGAGTCAGCCCTCACACTGGCGTATCTAGAATTGGCGAGAGGACAACTCTGCCGACTTTAGGGGCTGTCAGCGACTGCTTGGAGGCTGATTGGAGTTCGAGGCCGTGTCTCAGGAGGTACATACTTGCAGAGGCCTGTCACATTGTACTCATTGCGACAGAATGTGTTGCCCTTAGTTGTCCTGATCGGTAGTTAGCACTGGGAGCTTGACAATGATTGCAGTGAAGCAACTCACTTAAGTTTAAAGGCACAGAACTGCTGGTTTATAATCTGCCAGACAATCTCGTCGGAGGCCATGGTAAGTCCTTGACTACCGTCGTGGACGATATGAGGTCAATGTGGGGGGCGGGCTCTCGATTCGAGGTTTTGACCAGGTTGGATCTAGGCGAGATCTCTGGTGGTTATCGGATGAGCGCACAGTCATATGGGTTAAGTGATCGCGACTCGATATGGCAAGCTTGGAGTGATAATGCGCAGGTTGTGGTTGTAATGGCAGATACCCGGATTGAAGGTCTTGAGGCAAACAAGGTCAAAGTTGGCTAAAAAAAAAAGTTCTGTTGGAGATCTTATCGTAGTGGACCAGTCGGTGAGGCCCCCGCAAAATCTGCAAGGCGGGGACCACTCACAGGTGACCAATTCCTCAATTGTAGAATGGGCTGCTGCACTGGGGGTCCACGGCCAGGGTTCTAGGTTATCCCAACGCAGCTCTGTCCTATCTATCGAGCTTGACGTACAGTTACATTCAGAGGACATCAGAAGTAAAAGCGTCCTTAGTTCCGAGGAGACTTGTTACCGACAGAGCCCTAACTGGATATACGGTCAATGCTTCGTTGCCTGGCTAGAGGCGCGAGTCAATTTCTTCGGTCCCGCCTGCCGTATCCTCCTGTGACCAAAGCTGGAGTTTCTAGCGGAGTACTAGTAACACCAAGATGTCCCACAGCATCTCTTTGTTTGGGCTTGAGGGTCCGAAACGGCGAGAGGATGTTCCTGACCTCCGCTCAGAAAAACGACACCATATATGCCCTGTCCACCGCTCAAGGCAAGGCCGGTATAGCCGTCATTCGTATTTCCGGGCCGTCATGTAAGACCGTAAGGCATATTTCCGATTCGTTCAGCATTATTGAAACTAACCCTTCCATCAGGTGTACGAGAGCCTTTGCCCATCCAAAGCTATCCCTAAACCCCGTTATGCCGGAGTAAGGACTCTGTTTCATCCCGAGTCCAGCGAAACCAATGTCATCGATTCGAATGCCATGGTATTGTATCTTTCCGGTCCAAAGACGGTCACTGGCGAAGATGTGCTAGAATTGCATGTCCACGGTGGAAATGCCACGGTGAAAGCTGTACTGTCCGCCATCGCAGCTTCCAGGACGAGAGGCCGTGTTCGCTACGCTGAACCTGGCGAATTCACTAAGCGCGCGTTTTTGAATGACAGACTTGATCTAGCCCAGGTCGAGGCATTGAGCGATATGCTCTCTGCCGAAACCGAGCAACAGCGGCGCGCCGCAGTGCATGGGACCTCAGGCGCGCTGGGCCGAATTTATGAGGGGTGGCGTCAGAAACTGCTCAAAGCCAGAGCTGAAATCGAGGCAATCATAGATTTCTCTGAAGACCAGCATTTCGATGACTCCCCTCTCGACCTCTTAGCCAACGTGTCGAGGCAAGTTGAACAAATGCTGTCCAGCATCGAGATGCATGAGACCGCCAGCCAACGAAGCGAACTCCTGAGGAATGGAATCAAGATAGCTCTTCTTGGCCCACCAAATGCTGGAAAGAGTTCTTTAATGAACCAAATCGTCGGAAGGGAAGCCTCTATTGTTTCTGGAGAAGCTGGGACCACGCGCGATATCGTTGAAGCCCACCTTGACATCCGTGGCTACCTTTGCACTTTCGCCGACACGGCTGGATTCCGGAGTGTCAAAAGTGTGGAGGGCAGTGGATTCGACCAAGCTGGGCACATTATTGGCACCGTGGAACAAGAGGGTATACGCCGAGCCAGGTCCAAAGCGCTAGAATCCGATCTCGTAGTTGTGCTTGCATCGATTGAGCAGGTTCAGTCTGGAGAGTACATGATCAACTATGACTCGGAAACGCTGGGCCTTCTCATTTCTGTCGGACGAGGTATTGTTGTGGTCAACAAACGAGATGTGCTACCGGAAGAGGAGCTTGAGGATCTTATCGAAGATTTTCAGGTTTCGGTTCTTGACAAGATCAAAGGGTTGTCTGCCAGTCCGATTCTTGTTTCTTGCAAGCAAGCTCGGGACCACAATGGTACAGACATAAATCCTCGTGGGATTGATGGCGTGGTTACAGGCTTGGTGCAACTTTTCACAGATATGACCTTGTTACCCGTCGACCAACAGGGTCTCCATGGCGTTACCGAGCGCCAGCGCCAGCTTCTGGTCCAATGCCGCAAACACCTGGAAGATTATGTGGGCAACACGACATCCGACGACGCCATTGACGAGCTCAAGTTTGTCGTTGCTGCTGAGGATCTCCGGTATGCCGCCAATTGCCTGGCACGTATCACGGGCCATGGCGAATCGGGAGATGTTGAAGAGGTCCTCGGGGTCATTTTCGAAAAGTGAGTACTAGGTATCCCTGATGTGTGTTATAAGGTTGCTGATTCTCCCTGGGCCAGATTCTGTGTAGGTAAATGAATGAATTGAATTGACTGAACATTATAACCAGCTCCCCTGTTTCAAGTTGGCGACTGAGTATTTCCCATAAAAGTCGCCCAAACCCCCCTACTCTTCCGATTATCCATCTATTTGGACAAGTCGTCCTCCACGGTCTATCTTGATACAGATTGATGGTACACTATATGTCCGATGCTAGGGCACTTCTATGTCTATAAGTCTTCTTGGTCGTACAATTGCTGCTCCAACAATGCGAATGTGCTCCGAAAAAGCAAAGGGCCCACCAATGCAGGAAAGAAGAAAAGCAGGAAAGGATGGTCTAGGGATGCAGATGAAAGAAAACGCCGTAACTATGCTGGAGAGAATGGATGCTCCGAGTTGATGCTGCTAGAGATACATGAAGATAATGCTGATGAAGTCGCCTCAAAGCTCTATGATGCTACAAGAGACATTCTCCGGAAATGCTGATGAATAAGACGCCTCGATGATGCTGGGGAATAATACCGGAACGCCGCCCAATGCAGGAACAAAGGGAATTGAATGCTGATATGCTGATAATGGTACACTGGTCTCCCTCAACCCCGAGGGGAAGCCAGGAGACTCGCCGCGACCCCATGGGGGAGCCAGCGTGTCGATAATGTGACGAGCTTAGTTGCTCTCGTCGTCATCATCGCTCTTGTTGTAGCCGCTGCGGCCGAAGTTGACGAGCTTGCGGTCTTCATCGTCACCGTCGCTCTTGTTGTAGCCGCTGCGGCCAAAGTTGGCGAGCTTGCGGTTGTCCTCATCGTCGTCACTCTTGTTGTAGCCACTGCGGCCGTAGACGAAGTTGTTGGAGAAGCTGGTGGTGAAAGCGGCCATTTTGAATATTATACGGCTTGTTTGTGTTGAGATTGGAGAGTCAGGTTGGATTATATGGAGAAGTGTAGTGATGAACTGAAGCTGACTTTGTAGGTTGAAGTGCTTGTAACTGGGAAAAAATCGGTGTGAAGATGAAGTAGTAGTTGGAAGAGCTGGTGTTTATTGGGTTGGTTGCTGTGTTGTGATGGTGATGATGAGGATGGGTTGAGATGACTGGGGAAAGGCCAGAGGTTTATATACGTTATGATGCTCTATACTGGACATCCATCTCGACACTGCCAAAGGGGTTTGTCTTGGGTGCACTTAGCCTCACCATGCAGGAGACTTCGGTTGACATGAAGTTGAATGACATAAGGCAATGATGGTGCCTAGCATAGATCCCAGCCTCAGGTAGGATCAAATCGCACCGACTGAATGGTGCAGCCTCAGGGGATGTGTCCCAAGCAACCCAGGCGTACATTTTCAAAGTAAGCATGGTACTTGCAGCAAACCCTGGCCGTCTAGGACATTTTGGAGACCAACTTGTTAAAGAAAAAACCCACCATGGCCGAATGGGGAAATCAGGAAGGCCGCAGCAGGTGCATAGAAGCGTGGAAGGGCCAAAGAAGTCTTGCCAAGCTCTATTTTGGGGGCCGTCGTAGCGTGGTAGCGTGGTAGTAGAGCATAGGGCTGAGTGACAAGGATCGGGGGTATGGTGTGACAAGGTTGCGAAGCCCCCGGCAGGCCGGTGACTCTTGGAAATCTCACTTGCCCTGCATCCACTCACACACCCCTTTCCCTTTCGAGACATGGGTTGCATATTTTTTGTGTTCCTGGAATAAACCACGACATTCGTAGACGCTTATTCGTTCGGTGAGCCAAGGGACTCTTCCAGTGCTTAGCCGAGTCTGTTCTGGATTGTCTACCAAGTACCGAAAAAACCCAAAGTTGGAAATTCGTGCGGCCACGAGGCATACCCGGCGCCGATCTCTGCTTGATCATGTTGATAGGCAACTTGGATACCCCGAATCCTTGGATGAGTAATCGGATACTTGGGCAATGCCGAAGCATGGGCTTATGGAGGTTCCCCTGAAACCCCATTCTTCGAGATTCCATCGAGTCTAGCGGCCGTTGAAGTGTGCCGGCTTCTGGCAACGTAGGCCGGTATTTTGGAGTTGTGAGTCAGCGGAAGAGTTGGTTCTGCTTTGCTCATCAACGGCATCAACCGGGTTAACCGACAGACCCTTAGAAGCAACATGGCATTTGCACATCATCAGAAGCAGCGGCAGCAGCAGCATCAACGCTACTTTTAGGCCATGCCGCCTCTAGCGTCCTGTGTCCTTTGACGTCATCCCACCCAAAACGACGGAGCCTGGCGGGATGTACGCAAATACACAAATCATTAATACAATGTGGTCTCCGTGTCGAGATGCTGCACCAAAACCCCATCCCCAAACGCCGTGACACCCGGAGGAATCCTCCCGCCCGGCCTGCCATGTGCGACGCAAGCCACAAGTGTTGTTTTGAATACTTCTGTTGCGGCGCTTGTTTTCTGGGCCGAGTGCCGCCAGGGGCCACGAGAGCCTGCCATTGGGGGCCAGTTTAGTGCTTACCCCAACTCGTCAAGCGAGCCCTACGATAGCGACAGCAACATCTAAAAATACGACCTTACCCTGGCCAGTACTGCAGGCTGTTACTCAATTCGGTACTGCGGCGGCCGTCACGGGCACAGCCCCCTTCAAATCTGACGGCTTGTTTTCTTCGTTCTGTTACGTCTCTGGACGACTTTTGCACCTTTGCAATCTTTAGAACGTCTCCACTGTTGTTATTTCGGTGGCTATCAGTATTAGGTCAGAAAACCAGGCTGCGAGAGTGACTGCATTATAGAATCTGCAGACGACTATTACGGACTATACCTACTACACTCAATCTCCCAAAGGGGGCACCGAAGCTGGCTCGGTTACGGAATTTCCCACGACAACTAGTATCGACTTGGAGTACCTGCATTACCTGCATACTTTCAGCCAAGCCCCTCCGATTTGTGAGAGATACACGATGACTTCTTGTTCCTGATTTTTGAATCCCGAATGAATAACACACTTGCAGACTGAGAATAGCGCCCTGCATTCTTCTCGCATCTTCTTGCATCTTCTCTCGACAGACTAGGCATCACTCCCGCAAATCGGAAAATACGGCCCCTTCTCGGTGGTACTGAGTCATCTGGCGTCATTCCAAGCATATAGTCCTGCCCCCACGAGGGCCGCAGCCGTTGAAGCTATTCGCAACTCGCATACAGTAACGAAAATTCGCCGCGCCCCCAAATTGCTGGCTGAGTATACTCAGTATACGAAGTATGAAGCCCAACGTGGGGGGCACCCAGGAATATGAATGTGGAGGAGGGCTGCGCTGATTCACAATGATTGTGGTTTCCATCATCATCTAGGCAATCACACAGCAGTGACTGAAGTTGAAAATAGAGTCGATGTATGCATGGGACTGGCGTTTTTCCTGGCATGGCTCGCCGTGGCCGATACCCGTTCTGCCCCCACAGACTTTAAGTCCTCAAGTCTCGTCTCTAAGGATTCGTTGCAGTCAAGCCCCAGCCACCGCCTGTGGTTCAGCCAAGCGCGACTTGAGGGGAGTGCTGCAACACGTTAAACAAGGAACCAAAATCGACCTTCGCGAGTTTCAGATGCAAACTGCGTGGGGAGACCAATATGAGCACAGGCTTATCTCATAGTTTTCTACAAGACTGTTGTGCTAGCCAGCCATACCGCCAGACATACTTGATTCTCAGCTAATCATTGCGCCTTGCAAGTCCGCGATCTACCAGACCGATCCCCGTATTTGGAAGGAAGAAATTGATCCTTTTTCCGTCGCACAATGGTTGGGCTGACCGGTGACACTCGACCCTGGACTGGAGTTCTCTGAAAACGAAGTTTACTCAGGTCTGTGGTCTTGAGCGCCACGTAGAAACGGAGCCAATTACACCGTCGTATAAGGCTAGATGAACGAGTTTAGGTCAATGCGGCGTCCCCACCACGCTCATTTCCATCTACATGAGGGCTACAGGGCTGTAGGGCTGTGCGGTCACCATCCCAGCTGCTTCTAGCGGGATGATACAGTAGGGCTCAAGGGAGAGTCCACGCAGAAGAATTCGTGAGACATTTTCTCTTTCATAGAGATAGGGCATGGGATTTTCACAAGGCCAACCACTCGATCATACCATGTACTCATTTAGGGGGACATAAACCAACGACAGGCCACCATCAACGCGCTGGACATCGGGACCGAGAAGGACGAGTGGCTTGACGCATCTTCGTTGCTAGCTTTCGATCTACAAGGGCACAATAGGGTAAAAGCAAGTAGAACCGTGATGTACTGAAACCGCTGCGTACGACTATATCTGGTGCTGTGCTTGAGAAGAACACAACACGACGTCGCTGCAGGAATATGCATACTTTTGAACGAGGCCGTACGAGCTTGGCGGCCTTTCTACCGAAGAAATGCAAGCAACGTAACGTTGGGGACCGCAGGTGCGCGGTCTCCAGGCAGTGATATCCGGATGCTCGCCATACCGAATCTCGCTCGGCCTCCGTTCCTGCACGGTTGTGGCGATGGGAAGCTCAATCAAAGTAGTTGACAAAGTCGGGGCCGAGAACCAAGAAAGTCTGCCTTGCAAAATCCTCCAGGACTTGAAGAAGTGGCGGCGATGACCCTCGACCACAACAAGCGCGACTTGAGCCTCAAAAATCATGCACTATTGAGTGGTGCCTTGGGAACGAGAGCCAGGCATCAACAATTGATCTTGCCCCCAACTTTACCATACCTTGTTGACAAGATTGGAAGTCCGAAATGAAATTTCGCTTCGGGTCCAGGACTTGGTACGAAGTACACCGTACCGGTGTAAGACCCAAGCTGTTGGGAAGATGGGGAGCCAGTCAGAGCCCGAGGGAAAATGAATCAGGATGACATGAGATGAACAAAAGCTGCACTGCAAAGCTGCACTGCACTGCACAGCCGCATTCCCGCATCTTAGCCACTCGCGATATCTTCATGTTTCCCCACTTGAAAATAGGTGTTTTTTTCTTCTTTTTCAAGTTTCACCTCCCTAGTCTTACGTCACCCATAGCGTTGCAGTCTCGCATATCAGCCAAGACGGAAATGGCTACTCGTAAAATCAAAAAGGTTTGCTGCGCACACGTCGAGACCTGGGGCCCGACATTTCCTGCTTGCGTGGTGGACACAAGTTGGCAATCGCCCGGTGGAAGCAACGGTGGGAAATTCGAGCATGCAGCAGTATGGTCTACTCTAGTGAGCCTACTACTCGCCGCGTCGTCGGGTGACCATATTTGACGAGTTTCTAAGAATGAAGTATTTACTCATTGCGCCAACCGGGTTCCACGGAGCCACACACTGAAAATCACTTGAACCTGCAACTTTTTCAATGGCGACAGGTCATGCAGGACAAATCCGTGCAAATACTTTGTCGTGAATCTGATGTCGACACGATTCCACATTCTTTCTCAAGGAGGTCTGGAAATTGCTTCCTTAGCTGAGCGGCATTTGGTTACAAAACAATCTCACGTTGAGTCTGTCTGTGGAAACCAGGGGCAGGGACTGCGTGTCCTGATCATTGGTGCCAGTGAGCCCGGATTGTCGAGTGACTTGCCATGGAATGTCGTGTTGCTAAGGATTCCCTAGGGACTTGCGGGTTGGATATTGCCCATGGACTCAAGAACGTGTGATGCCTCCTTGACTATGGAGAGTTATATGCTAAGTATGCTTAGGGCTAAATCGAGGGCAGGTTAATGTCCCATACAAGGATTTCGAGCAAAGTCTGTCCGCCCAACTACATAGTATTCGTGATTGGGCTATGGCATGTCATGTATGTGCCCCCTCGATACAGCACCCTAACAAATACCCTTTACAGGACATGGGCCAAGTTGGTAGCACACGTTTGACCCTCTCCTAAAATGCCGGCTGGCCCCTATAAGTTGTCTCTGATCCTCACCCATTTTGGCGTCACTCATAGGCAAGGCAATGTGGGCTCGCATAATGGAGACTGAGACCGACCCCAACACCCCTACGAAGAAAATAGATATGGAACCCATGCTCAACGGCGCGACAGGAGGGCTAGTACAGCGTCTTCCCTTAGCTGACTTCCACCGCTTCCTGCACTCGAGGCTTCGAGCGTTCATGGCCGAGGACATCCAAGTGACGTACGACAAGAGGCCGTCTCACATACTTTACTCAGAACACGGCAGAAGCGCAACCTGCCGCTACTGAGGATTATTCTGGTTAAAGACGGAAAGGGGAAGACATATTTACTCAACTTCTCTAATACGGCATACAGTGATATGATGTTGAATTCGTGTATGTGATGTATCTATTCTCCGTGGTTCATCTATTCTAAGCGGACTGACTCTATGCAATAACATGATGCAGTTTCTCTCTATCAAAGCTGAGAGAGATAGCAACTCCCAGCTCTGCACTATCCAGCATGTCCCTAATCTAACAGGCGTTGTTATGCTACATAAGGAGGTGGCGCACCCCCATTCCCGCCTGCACCTCCACCTACACTTCCATTCGCACCCCTAGAAGGCAGCAACGGCTTCGCCGCCAATGCCATCTCGCTCGCCTTCAGCATCATCTTGGGGAAGTACTGCTGGATAAAGCTCTCAGTGTAATAGCTATGGTCGGCGTTATGCAGCGAGATGATGTTGTGTGCCAATTCGTGGGCCACAACAACCCACCACCACACAGTCGCCTCGGCCCTCTGCTGGCCACTCTTGGCGATGTTGGCGGCGTGAAGCTGCACAAAGTAACGCAGGTTGCAAAATATACTCCCGTTGCTGTTGAAGGCGATGGTGCCGCCCGCCTCGTCGTAGAAGATGTGCATGGCCGAGGACCGGATGGCGTACACATCGCCCACTTCCCGGAGGAGTCCGGCGAATGTGTTGATATGACTGTGATTCGACGTCAGGAACTGTGTAAGATCCATAGAGAGCGTTTTAGTCGTAAAGACGCGTGTCCCATTGGACGACTCAGCTGCGAGAGTAAGGTTTTGGAAAGGGGTGCTGTCACAGTAGGTGGCCTGTTCTTTCACGTCTGTCGTGGTCGGCGGCGCGAAGAGGGTCGATGAGTCGTGGGCTCGAACCGACTTGACGGCATTGAGCAAGTTTTGTTGAATGGTGGCAGGATTGGTGACCTTGCCAGAATCACCTTCATTCTTGGTCGTCCTAGAGCCCTCGGGAAGCTGGGCCGCACTCTTGGACGACTCGGAGGCTTCTTTCGGCGGATCCAGGAAGCTCTGCAAATGTTCCTCTTTGTCGCCGGGGTCATCGAAGCCGAACCGCTTCGAGAGGCTGGAGAAAATGCTCTTGGGTCTCCTACCCGGAATTGGGGCCGGGGCTGGCTGCTCGGGAGGGGAGTCGGGCGAACCGAACCCACCCGGCATGCGTGGTGGGGGCGTCCTATTTTGTTCTCTAGCAGCAGCCGCGGCAGCTTGATTCTGCTGTCTGAACTGCTCTTCACGCTCTTTGATACTCTCTTGCTCCGCCTCCAAGGCTCTGCGTCTTTCTTCCTCTGCAATCCTCGCTTCTGCAGCCTTGGCTCTCAAAATACGATCAACATTGTATCCTCTTGATTGTAAATCTCTGAGATCCAGCTTCAAGAAAGGCTCAAAGAAGGTGTAGGCCTGTTGAGAAGGCCGGTTCAGAATGAGTTGACAGATGGCCTGACCAACTTGATACATATCCGGACGCGACGACTTAGAGGCCACGAACAGAGTCCATCCCTGACCACTGGCTGCTTGTCTACTCGCAGCAGATCGCTCCTCCGTGTGCGACTGGCCACGTCCACGCAGCGTCCGACGAAGCGCCACGGAGCGAACAATCTGAATGGTGAGATTCTGCTCGAGCCACTTCGCATCATGCTTGATGGACCCGTGAGTGTGTTTCGAATACTCGTGGATAAAAATCTTGGACCGCTCAAGAATGTGTTTATGCAGCCACAAAGCTCCGTCCTGCTTCTCATTGCTTGGGCCAATCTTCAAGTCTTCTGTCACAAGGCTACCCAGTGTCTGAGCGCCAAGGGCCTGGTAGAAATATTCTAGCGAATCTTCTTCTGGCGCACAAATCAGATTGTCCTTGAACAAGCGGTAACCAATGTAATCGTCGATGATGATGATTTGACTCGGTGCCGCCAGTTGATAGTGCCTGATGGGGGCCTCGTCTTCTTCAATGTCAACCAATTTCTCCGCCTTGGGCGTGCTGATTTCCTTGAAAGCGAGCAGAAATGGAGAGACTTTCATCTTCTTCCAGAGCTCCTTGTCCCGCTTAAGGTCTTGGTAGTTATCGGCCAAAGATCGCAAAAGGTTTAGATACTTCTCCGTGCTTTGAAACACGCTGAGCAAACGGGCTGGCTCGCTTGCTGCTAGCTGCGCAATCTCCAACTTGGTCGGTTCCGTCTTGGCCCCACAGCTGTAGAGGAACGCGTTGGCTTGGGAGCCAAAATCCACAAAGTCGAAGATGTCTCCATACGTGGATGACGAGCCTAGGAAGCAGTTCCTGGGGCTGATGTGGGTCACTATGCTATTGCCACTACCATTGCCCTTTTCTGGTGGCGACGAAACCGAAGGCAACCTCCGCCGCTTCACGGGCACTATAGGCGCTTCTCTGAGTTTGGCAAGCGGGCTCCCGGGAAGATCATTCTGCCGCGATGCGAAGTACTGGAATATGGGTAGAGCAGCTTCGTGCGTCTGGGGTGGAGAATTCACTAGACGGGCGACGCATTCCATGATGGGAGGATTTTCTCTCACGCCGAATTTCTGTGACAGGTTAGGACATAAGCGTATCAGCCAAAACCAAACAGACTGGGCTAACTTACTTGTGCGTGAGCATGAAGGTCCTTCTTCAGGATGCTGAACCCAAGAATAGACGCTGCGGCGTTGGTGTAGCACCCGGTGGGCGATACAAGCTGCTTTGGGTTACCTTCTATAGGCAGGAATGACTGCGCACTGGAGCCGATGTCAAATGCACTGTACCCATTGCTGACATGTGAGGCAATGAAGTATTTCATAGCGTTTTCTCTCAGCGACTGGTCAGATGACGCCATCATCTGGACCAGCTCAGGCACCGATGGATGTGGCCGCAAGCCGAGGGTCCATAGAAACTTGCCTTCAACGGAACTCGGTCGGTAGCCCCCATTTGCACCCGGCCACTGCAATATCCTCACATTAAGAGGTCGCAGTGCGTCCTTGGGTTCGAAGAGCTCTGACACCTTGTACAGTTGCGCGCTGGCCTTGGACATGTCGGATCCATGAGGTGCTACTTCCGCCGGACAAATGCGGGAGTCCTTGAGCTTTCGCAGATCATCGTTGGGAATGTCTGCGCGGACGGAGGCCAAGTACTTGATGAGCTCTACATGACTCCATTTGGATCTATTGGTCCCTTCTCCTGGCGAGGGATTTAGTAGACGCTTGAAAATGGTGTCCAAATCTAGCGTCTTTCTCACGCCAATAGCTGCAAGGAACTTCTCCTTCAAACTCGAACATCCCTCGATTGTGGGCAGGTCATCGAACAATTTTACTGATGGAAAGAAGGACTCGGTTGGCTTCCTCATACCCAGCTTTGTCGGCATCACCGTATGGGCTTGAAGTAATGAGACAGTAATGTTTTTGGAATTCTGGCCAAGGTTGTCCCATCCTTTGGACAACACCATGAGAACCTGCACAGCAAATTTGGGCGACTTGGTCAGGTCTTGTTCATCGCCCCGTCTCGATCCCGTCTCAATAATGAACCTGAGCCAAGGGGCCACCTCCAGTGGCTCCCACCCGAGTGCCTGTAACTCGTTGAATGAAGACTTGTTTGTAAACTCTAACGGTATGGTCGTAGGGGGGATCGGGAGACCCGCCGGGACCTTTTTGGGGTCCAGATAATTCGTTATGATGCCCAAGGTGAGGATGCTGCTTCGGTCACTGTCGTGCTCGCTCGAGGTCGCGATGGCAGCGTCAAGCAGTCGATCTCTGCTGCCTGGGTCAAGTTCTCCCTGGGCCGCCTTTTTCCCTGCCCACTGGATGAAACTAATGAGTTGATCCTTGTTCATCGGATACTTAGAAAGTTCCTGCCGAACATCGTCCACAGTGATGTGAGCTAACAAATCAAAGTCGGTTACCTTCTTGACGAATTCGAGGTCCTTTAGCTCGGGGGGAACTACGGGAATGCCACCCACGAACTTGCTCAGTTCTTCTGAGCCAATGCGCACCTGGGTCGTCGGCCGGACACCTTGCGTGCTGTAGATCTCAATGTAAGGCTTCCTGTAACATGTCCAAAACGCCTCCTCGATGATTTGGGACACTTGTCCACTTGGTGTTGAGTCGCCAAAAGTGAAGGACTTGAGGACGTGCAAAGCTGCAGGCATATGTTTGGCAATGTCCTTGGCCCTGACTTTAGAGCCGGGATTTTCTGCAGAGCGTTGAAGCGTCAGCTGAAGCTCGTTCATTTCGTTGGCGAAGGCGAGTCTGGTCATAATGCCCGCAGCTCGCAGCATTTCAATATTCCAGCTTCTGACCCACCGAGCGTTCAGATCGATAGCCTCCCGCTCCACAGTTGGTATTACAGATGGGGCCGAAATATGCATTCCAGCACCGGTTGTCTGCGTAGTTGGGAAGCCGATGAAAATCCGTCCACCCGGCTTCTTACTTGGCAGTACCGAAGCAAAGACATCGGTTACCTTGGAGACAGCACCCGAGGTTGACGATTTCTCCGACGCTTTTGTCTCGTCATACGATGATGTCAGAATCGCCAGCTTGGCCATCTTTGGTGGAGGCTTCTTGGTGGCTCGTTCTAGCTCGGCTGAAAAGCTTGCCGTTACGTTCGTTTTGATAGTTGCCGTCGTCACCCTTAAAAATATAGTGGAGTTGGATAGAGCAGTGATGTCTTCAGAAATGACTTCCTGGACCGCTTGTTCCTCCTTTATAACCTTGTTCGCCTTGGCGGGTGCGGTCAATCTTGAGAAGAAACTCCTTAAAGATGGCATGTCAGAACCGATTTCATTTGTCTTTGCCACTGTTGTCTGAGGCTTCCATCCTACTGCGCTCATGTATGATGCGTCGATTTGGGCACTGGCACGGTTGACTGTTTGGACCCTCATGAGACGATCCTTGGTCTGGGTATCCACGTCCCTAGACAGAGTCACTTCGGCACTTGGGCTCGTCTTCTTCTGCAATGATAGGATTCTGTAGTCGTCGATCCAAAACTCGATGTTCTCAAGTGCCACAAAGGTTAGACTGGTAGCTAGAAACTGGCTGACAGAAAGCAGATTAGGCATAGGCGTCGTGGTGTTTCTGTAGTCTAGGACAAATGCTGTGTCCCCGTTACTCTGCTCCTGGGACAGTTGCAGCTTCCTGGTGAAGAGAGCGTTCCCTTTCCAGTAGAATGCCATGGCCTCGTTGCCCGAACTGATGAAGGGCTCTTCGCAGTCTGCAAATACACTGTAGAAACCAACGCCAAAGGCACCGATTTTGGTCTCGTCAGGATTTCCCTCGGCGATTCTTTTGAGTCGGCCCCAATCAGTCTTAGTGAAAGGCTGGCCATTATTCGAAACCACAAGTCTGCGTAGGGTGTGGTGTTGCAGGGCATGCTTCAGTAGCTGGGAGCGGTCCAGTGTGCTTGGCAAGGGCACTTGCGTCGAAGGAAGTGTTTCCCACTTGACCTTGACCGTGGTTGCCTGCGCATCAGCCGCATTCTGGATGAGCTCTCGCAGAGTTGTCCACTCTCCAGAATATCTGGCCAAGACCTTATCGATCAAGGCTCTGGTGTCGACCGTGACGGCTTCCTCATCTTCCCCATGGCTAAGGGCTGCTGCTCGTAACCTTCCATAATCCATGTCTCCAATGTTCAATTGCTCGAATCTATGGCTCGCACTCGTGAGCCGTGGGAACGAGCGGAGGCGGGTCTGTTTCGTGACGCGGTGTCGCTTTTCGGGATATCAAGATGGAGGGAAGGTGATAAATTAAAGTGCGGGGGATTCCGAGCCCTCGAAATTTTGCACGACCAACATTAGCATGGACTGTCTCTTGATTCAAGTATCATCAGTCTGTCGACGGAGACAGGTAGTCGGTGGCGAGGCTGAGATCGTTGAGTTTCGGCGGGCAATGAGGGTGCAGTGAGTTTCTGAAAGTTCTGGAAAGTTCGCCGTCATGAATGACTCAAGTTCTATAAAAACACAGCGACAAGGTAACCAAATCACATTTGCCCCAACATGGGGAAAAGGAGACGACGGAATGGAATGATATTGTGACAAAGACAGCCAACGCTTTGCGTGTACAGTTGTTGATCTATCCCCTGCATCGTTGTCATCCGCCTCATACGTTGAACAACGCTCATTGGTCATTTTGAACTTAGCGTCGCTTGGACTACAGGGGTAGAGCTGTAATCGAGGTTCTCGACGCAGCCTTATCCTAAATTCCGCTAAACTCCGGGTGCTGTCCGCCACTTGAGTACACTGGAGACTAGCACCCCACCATCTGATTCTCGCATTCTACACTACTATAGGGTACCGAGTTCATACCTTTCCAGTACGTACAAAGTCCTTTTGATATTTACAAAAAAGACAAATACAAGCTATAAGCTGATACCTTATGGGATCTATCTACTACTATTCGCTCCCATGTAAAGCTGCCTTGGATAGTATTGCTTGACTCCATGCGCGCATATCAATAACGTGAGCAGTTTGATAACCTTTAGAATAGAATTTACTTTCAATAGTTGTCGTTCTACGTCGTCTTCCATGTACGTTTGTTGGCACTCAAGCGAACAATGCATTTCATGTGACCTTGAGTATAACCGTGGAGATATCTCAAGCCTTAGATGTCCATAATCTTTACGCAGTACTACACCTTGTTCAACTGACTGTATCCCATGTTACTTGACACTAAAGTAGTCTTTGTAGTGCCGCCATTGCATTCACAGGAAGCGGAGTAGATGGAGCGTCATGGTTGATGATGGGGAAAGGTCTGGTATGGAGGCTTGGTGAGCACGACCTGCAATCTGGGCTTTCGCTTGACTATCTTTAATCACTGGACTCCTCCGCCACGACTCCGTCTAGGGCTACGACTTCGCTCCCGCCTGTGACTTGGTCTGTGCCTGTCCTCATCCCCGTCTGGACTATAACCCCTCCGCCGTTTATCCCCACGAGGTTCGTCTCTCGACCTACGATTCTCGTAGTCATCCCTTGCCCTTGGTGATCTAGCATAATCCCTATGGCGATCCAGGCTGAGGTCTCTGGGTGATGGCCTGTGATGGCGGGTGTCACCCCTAGTTCTACGACTATCATGGCCGTCTCGCTTTCCCAGTGATCGGTCACGTCGTCTATCGCGACTACGACTTCTACTCCTTTGTCTACTCCTATGTCTCCTCCGGTGGCGGCCTTCCGACTCTCCAAGCCGCCTACGTCTTCGACTTTCAGCCTTCTCATCTGGGACTTTGTCTACGACAGAACCACTGTCTTCTTCATTCTTGACCTCCTCGGGCCCAACGCGTCCTTTTCCGACTTCTACCGCATTCGCACCCGACTGATTTCGTGTTGGAACAGGCAGCCCCAGAGCACGCGCAATTGCGTCTTCCTCGGCCTCTTTGATTCTCTTGATTTCCTCGCGTCGCTCCCTTGCTGCTCTTTCCTCCTCGGTTTCATTTGGATCTTGGCCTGTCGCATCGGATTTGGCGTACCAGGTAAGATCTCGGCCTTTCTGCCATCGGCCAACGGGCGCCTTCAGACTGTGGCCGAGATAATTTTCGCGATGCTGGGAGCCGGCGACGTCGTCCCAGCTGAAGTTGACGCCACCGCGGGAGCCCGATTTGCGAATTGAGGAAACGAGATCCATGATGCCGCGCTGTCTCGAAGGTGCTCGGAGAGGTGAGATGAGTTACAAATAGGATGTTGATGCGATGGGTAACTTGTGCGCCGTTAGGTACTTCCGGAGTCGTCCACAATTATCTTCAAGTACCAGAGTGATGAAATTGATTAGTCCCGGGACCTACCAGTCAGCCTTTCAATCTCTCCAATGGGCGACTTTCCCGCCAATCTGCACCCCAGTACCTTGTCATGCCCCCCTACTACGTAGTAATGCAGTGGTCCACTTAAAATGGGCAAGGTCCAAACCCCACTTGCCCACTTCCCTTTCTCCAAATTCTAGACTTGCAACTGCTGCAACATTCGCTACCTCTCACGTACTTATTTCCTTATAAGTATTCCCTACGCCAGTTTCCAAGCTCTCAGCTTCATTCGCCTTTGAGAATAGCATTGCCCAATTCCGTATTACTTACCGCAAAATCACGCAGTCGACAGGTAACAAGCGGAGATATACCTTAGGCATCAATCGACACTGGCAATCATCCAGATAATAAACGTACACAATCCCCATATGGCCGGCGCACCTCCCCCCTTAGACGAGACCCAATGGCGCGATCCACACACGGCCGCCAGCATGCAGGGAATACACTCTAACAGCGTGCTTCACTACTTTGCTGCGTCTCCTTTCTCCGACCCGACTTCGAACAACGCCGTCATCATCACCCAGAGCCAGTGGAATAGGGACATGCACCAGTACCTGGTGACACGAGACGCCTTCGAGGGTCGGCTGAAGACCATGTCAGGTCTCGAATATATCGTAGCCCAGGAGCCATCAGTCATGGGTCCAGGCGCGGGCACCGGCGTCTGGGTCATCCGTAAGCAGACGCGCCGGAAGAGGGCCAACGAGGAAGACGAAATCACTGTGCATTCCAGCTACTTTGTTGTGGGAGACAATATCTACATGGCACCGACTCTTGCTGACATAATGAGCTACCGGATGGTAAGACTAGACCACCCCGATGGATGTTCGTTCGGTTCTATGTATTAATGGACGGGGACAGGCAACAGTGGAATCGAAACTGAGGAAATGCTTCCCGGTTGCGTCTGAAGTCAGTACATGGTCTCCTGCTGCTGGCCATGCATACACAATTCCGACAACATCCAGCAATCCCCGCGAGCGCACCTCGACGTCCAAGGAAGCAACTCCCATGCCAGATGGCGAGAGCCACACCAGCAAAGCTGCAGGCGTCTCGGAGTCCAAGAAGCCCGGCCAGTCAACCATGCTTGATGCGCGCTTGGCTGAGCAGTCCTTCACAATCCACATGCAATACGGCAGCGAATACATGGATGAGAACCCCATAACCGGAAAGCCGGGCGAGTTTCATCTCTCTTCAACAGGAAGAAAAGACCGAATGGTACAGGCTCCCGGCAACATGCCAAGTCTTACCACCTCATTCAAGAGCCCCACGGTACCGGATCTGGGTGGCAAGAGGGACGTTACCGGCAAGGGAGACAAGACACCCAAGACGCCAACAAGTGGACCGGGGTCTAAGCCGAAGCGCAAGAAGAGCAAGGCTGGGACCACACCTGGTACAACACCGACTGCTTCGTAGAAAAAAGAGAAGGCAGTCGAGCCAGAACCCAGACACAGGCTCGAGAACGATGGTCCAGTTCAACCCAGAAGAACCTCATCCAGAGTAAGAATCAGTCAACTATGGCTGTCGGTGAAGAATATCAAGATAACCATAAAGTGAACAGCACGATTACACGAAGTATATATTGTAACACCTTTAAAGTGCAAGACCAGCTTTTCCGCAGAAAGAGGAGAAGATAAAAGAACATAGTAAGGTGAGTGAAAACTGTACGCCAAGGAACGTAAATATATGGCGGAAAAGTGCGCAGAACAAGCTGTTGAGCTGTGGCGGTGGCAAGGAGGACGAAGCTGATGACATTGTGAAAGCCGCGGTGGTAAGAAAGACGCGTTATCCATTGGCTGGCGGTATTGCTGTTTTGACAAGTCGAGGCAGTGAGGACACTGGAAGCCAGCGCTCGAATCATCACAGCAAGATCACTAGAAACCAGTCACTGAGTGACGACGGCGAGGCAGGGAAGTCTGGCAAGAAGAGGATTACGGTCGTCTTTACGAATTATTACTATCCACTTGGAAGACACCCATTGGCAAAGTCGTCGATGTGGCAGGCACAGAAAGCAGTAAAAAGCACGACGCAAAGACACGTCCAAGTAGGGACGAGCAAAATATACCCAAGATCAAGGCCAGGCTCACCAGCAATCCGCACAAACATCCCAGTGCCGGATCATCGCCTTTGAGAAAAGTGGAGAACCTACGCTACTCGGACTCAGATTCGGACCCTGGATAGGAGACTGCAAACATATTCACTTACATGGCGTTTTCGGTTTTTTGGGGGAAAGGTCCTAATACCCCTTTGCAGATATGTACTGGTATTTGACTACAGATAGCATGGAATCAAGACAGTTTCATGCTCAGTTCAGAGTAAGCAAGCTCAACCAAATGGGTCAAGCTGAGTGCAATTTGAGGGCCGCCTGTGCTCACGTATGCCCTTACGGTGGCGCATATCTTGATATCTAGGCGATAATGCTACTAGCAAACTCCCAAGCATAATGACCAACACGGTGGTATGAGCCATACCAAGCAAGGACTTGGCCGATTTGCAAGTGCATGCCACAATTGTACGTTTACGCCAGAACTCTTGAAAATAGTTCTTCGGCACATACTTAAACCAAGTATGGGAAAATGAATCGAACTAGAGCTATCCTGGTTAAACTTTATGTTCTACGTATATTTGGCTGTCAAAAACTCAGCATCCTGTCTATAAAGGCTCTTCTTGATTCAACATATTGAGAGCAAACGCGCCGTTGTGTAGAAAATGATGGAACTGTAATGAAAAGCGGGATATATACTATGCTCCGAAAGAAGTATGTATCCTCTGACTTCATATTTTAAGATAAAGGATCATAAGCTGAAAGGTAAATAGCCGACCAAAATAGATCAGGCTTGGACCATCTATTTACGCCTGTATAGATATCTATCTTACTCCACTACCCAGCCTTTCCCTGGTACCTTCTTCTGCTTAATCTTCGTGACAGCCAGCGGCCAACCCTGACCACCGGTACCTTCAGCCCTCAGATACGGCACAACCCAGCACTCTCTGACCAAGGGGTCGTTTGTCTGGATCTCCTTGATGGGCTTTCCGTAACTAATCAGAGGGGTCCCCTTGGCGAGGGCCGCAAGTTGCGCTGCACTGACGTCGGTGAGAGCAATCATGCGTGTCTTTGGTCTCTTCACGGCATCCACTGCTGCTGCTGCACGCTGCAGATGCGAGTATACGATGTACTGAGGACACTCTTGAGGGCTGAAGTGCGCGAGTGATGACGACGGGTGGATGTAGACGGTTTTATCGATATCCTCCGGACCGAATGTGTCGATGGGGTGGAGAGGGACGTATGGCACGTCGATGGCGCGGTGCGGCTTCCGATATAACTCTGGGGGGTTGGGGGCAAGATCACCCCGTATTGCCACTTGATCAATGAAGCCTGCTGCGACCATCTGTTTCAGAGCAGTGACTTGCTTGACACTTGGTCGGTCGAGCTTCTCCTGGAAGGTAATAGCCCGGAATTTCGGAATATCTTTCTGCAACAGACTCGTTATCTGTCGACGTAGCTTTTGCGACTCTACGAGAGCTTTATAACGGACCAAGTGATTCTCGCACCATTGCTCGGTGGGATCGTGGGCAAACTCGCCCACGACTTGGAGTAGCTTCAGAGCGTCGGACGCATCGTCCAGTGAGCGGAAGTTTCGGTGCACTTCATTGTACTTTTGCCGAGCCCGCGTCCGTTGGGTCTCTGCAATGACATCTTCGTTGGTGCGGAAGCTATTCTCATTATCCGAGAGAACTGGGATTACTTGGCTTTCAGGAAGAAAAATTTCAGCCACTGATAGTGCGGCTACCAGTGCGATGGTATAAGGCAGGCAGTCGTGCAGGTGCCCAATAAGGAGAATACGAGCGAACCGAGGTGGCAGAGGGAATCGAGCCATTGTTGACCCAAATTCCGTAGCCTGTCCTTTTGGAGTGATCGCTGAGAGATACTTCAACAGCCTCTCTGCTTTAGCGATGCTTTTTCTCTCCGGGGGAGTAGGGAAGGGGAAATTGACGACGTGTTGAAGCCTCATGGCTTTGAGTTGCAAGACAACGCCTTCAATCGGCATTCTCAAGAGCTCTGGATCTGTGAAATCTGCAAAGTCTCTCTCATACACAGCTGAAGAGTATAGCCGGTAGCAATGACCTGAGCCCGTTCGACCAGCACGCCCAGACCGTTGGCTTGCACTCGCCTTGCTGATCCAACCGATTTCGTAGCTTTGAACGCCGCTTTCTTTATCATATCGGCGTTCTTTTGCTCTGCCACAATCAAAAACGTAGCGGATGCCCGGGATGGTCAAGCTCGTTTCAGCAATATTGGTCGCAAGTATGATATGCCGGGAACCTTCCGGTGGTGGTTCAAACACTCGCATTTGCTCTTTCGTAGGTAGCAGTGAGTAGAGGGGCAGAACGTGCATCCTAAGGGGCCCAGTTCCAGCCTCCTCTTCTGGAATCTCGAATTCTGCATCCTCATCCTCTTCATCGTCTCCTTCCTCGCTAACGAGATGAATTTCATCATAGTCGTCATGTGTAGACTCATTTGTCTCGCCGAAATCGATATCTTCCACCTCGAGAGGAGCATCGCTGGCAGATATGCGAGCCTTTGGATAAGTTGCAACGTTCAAACTCCCGGATGCCAACCTTAACTTCTGGCTCAGCCGCGATATGTCGTCGTAACTAGTCAAGAAGACAAGAAAGTCGCCAGGAGGGAGCTTCTTGTGTCCTCTTGTTATTTTATTGAACATCTCTTCCACATAGTCATGGCCTGTCTGCCGCGCAAAATGTACAGTCACAGGAAATTGTCTTCCTTCGATATCCAACACTGGAGGCGGCGTGGGGAAAAGAGTCGGGTTCTTTGTGAGATCGTCGATTCTCAATGTTGCTGACATGATAATGAGCTTCAGCGGTTTCATATTTGAGTCTTCTTCCGCCATCTCCTGACGCAGCTTGACAACTCTGCTGAGCATTCCAATAAGGACATCAGTATTGACGCTTCTCTCGTGAGCTTCATCAATGATGACAGAGGAGTATTTGCGCAGGGTTATGTCGGTTGACACCTCTCGTAGCAGCACACCGTCTGTCATAAATTTGATTGACGTCTTTGCATCAGCCGTACCCTCGAAACGGATCTGATACGCGACAGCGTGAGAATGATCGCCCAGTTCTTGTCCCACTCGCTTAGACATGCTGACGGCGGCAACTTTCCTCGGCTGAGTGACCCCTATCAATCCGGGCGTTGGAGAATTGGGTGAGCCGTAACCGGCCTCGAATAGGAATTGTGGCACCTGTGTGGTTTTACCGGATCCAGTGGCACCGCAGATGACAACAATGTTATTGTTGTGAATGGCCTCCATGATCTTCTGCTCTTCAGCGACAATGGGCAACTTGAGCCGTGCCTCTTCGATTTCAGGAGTCCTTGTCACTGAGACACTGAAGGCTTTCCTCCCCGTGTCTGCAGTTGGCTGCAACTCCTGTGGCAGTGGATCCTGCTCCGCTGGACGAGGCTGGAAGTTTTCTGGCTTGGGTATGTCGAGAACGGCTGCCGTCGAATCTATTGGTTGGTATCCAAGAGCCTCATTCCGTTGTTGATGTGCCCAAGCTTTGAACGCAGAAGACCTTTCTTTAGTGGATTCTCCAGGCTCTTCATCACTGCCATCCTCGGAAATGTCATCTTCGTCGGATTCTTCCTCAGATCCTTCGACTGGTGGCCCTTCCACTTCCGATCCGCTGTCGGACCCGCCATTAGACTTCGTTGGTTCCTCCTCATTTGAGCTGAAGCCACCCCATTCCTCCTCGTCAGAAGTCGCATCTGACTCCTGCTGAGCGAATGTAGGCGCAGATGTTGAAAACTTGGATTTCACCCCACCACGCTTTTGTCGCTTTTGGATAATAGGGCGGCCCTCATCATCCAACTCCAATGGGCGTTTAAGTCCGGAGCCAGCTGCCAATTCGCCGTTAGCCGTTGCAGCCTTTGGAGCAGCTGAGGAAGGAACTTTCGTGGGTTCCACTCTAGTAGCTTCATTTTGAGTTGTCCTAGGTTTGATCGCCTGGTCTGACTCGCTCTCGATATCCGAGCCACTCTGCCGCTCTTCAAACAACTCATCGTCGTGGCGCACACCGGCCTCGTGCTCCCGCAGAGCTCTCTGCAGCAACTGACGTTTCGTCTCCTTTCCCTGGCCAAGTCTGCGAGTGCTCGAAAACAAGCTGGTGTCAATTTTGTTGTTGGATAACTGAGCTAGCAATACTCGAGAATCGTCCTTTTTGAGTTTGTTCTCGATGTATTTCTCAAGTCGTTTGGCCTTTTTCCCGCTGACCTTGACGCCTTGGCCTTTCAATTCATCCCGGAACTGCGCCTTCCTCGCCTCGAGTTCCTTCTTGGATTCAGGAACAATCTCTGCGGCATTGCTGTCGGCTTGAGCTTCATCTCGATTGTCCTTACCAGCCTCTTTTTGCCGTGCGAGGACTTTATGTTTTCTCTGTCGAGGCACAAATTTCTTCACCATGTTTGAGTTAAGGTGATAATGGAACGCCTCTCAGGGCCTCGAGAAAGCAATGAGACGATGGAATCAGACAGTTCAAAAAAAAGCTTTGCCCAAGTACGGATCAATCCATGTTATTGTAAAACAGTGTAAAAGAGAAACAGCTGCCAGATGAAGTGGTCATGGAATCCGGAAATTTTACTGGTTTCCACTTGTACAGGTTGATATTGCTATGTTGATAAACCTGCCTGATGGTTGACTAGAAAGTCTCGACGGGAAATTTTGACCGCCGGGCAGAATTATTTTGGCAGTCCAAATATGGACTAGCGCGGGGTGTTGTGGCAGTGCGGATTTATAATTAGCTGGTAGCAGCTCTATTATTACGACAATTGGCCTTGGACCACCACAGCCAACCTCGGAAGACAATCAACCCACGATCCAAATCAACCTGATCAAGTTAAAAATACTTCTGCATATTCTATGAGCTGCAGATCCCATATTTTGCCGGAATTTTCCTCACACGGTATCTCCAGCATTGCAACGGGGCCGTCAGATTTCTAGACAAGCCAACCGCTTCGCAGCAACTGCAGTCGGACCCGAGTCACCTTTGTCTACGCGCTAATATCTTCAAATGTTGGAATATCCTAAAATGGACAGCTCGCAAGTCAAGGACGAGCCGTTTCCGGCGCCGTCCAAAAGGGCAATGGGAACAATTGACGGCGTCGAAACCGAAGCTACATCCATTTTCTTCTCTGACAAAATCATGGTCACACTTTCACAACACGGCCGTTTGTCGCAATGGGTAACTCTTAACCTCCTTGTTCATGACACTCAGGCTGATACTGATATGCAGATCCAAGTACCACTTTCAGCCCCTTCGCCTGCGTCCATAGAAATGGCACTGCCCAATGCTAGCCTATTGCCCATGGCTCATCTTACTCCAAAAACGCTCTTTGGTGGAGGAGGCGAAGAGCGAGAATCGTTTGGCCAGCTCAATGCGGTCCAGATTGGGAGTCTTATCGCCAGGAAGAACCCAGAGGAGCAACGGACTCTACTTGTCGGCCTTGGTCTTCTGAAGGCGAAGCTAGACCGCGAAGCATTCTTTGATCTAATTGAACTTATTCAGAAGGTTCTATGAACGACCCCAGGGAATGGATGTTTCGTAGGATTTGGTTCAATACTGAGCACTTCCTGGGTATTACCTATTGTCGACATGAAAGCGTTGACTGTCAAGGGAGGGACTATCTCTCCAAGTCGCTATACCAGCTGTCGTGGAGTCACCGTAAAGCAGTCTGACTCTCATGTGGTCATTGCAGCCATGCAGATGGCCTGCTCAGGAGACCAGAATGTTATGGGAGACTGCAGTCATCAACGTTGCTTCAGCCCTTCGAATTAAACGGGTTCACCCGTAATACTGGTACACAAAGTAGGCTGTGGAGCAGTCATACAACATCGAAGAACGCACTGGATTATGGCCCGAGTTCTCTAAAACTAGCGACATAGCAGAACCCCCCCCCCCCCCCCCCCCCCGGGGCAGTGCTCCAAATAGCCTTCAAGGCCAACACGGAACGATCTCAATCGTACATATATAAAGACAGGGCTCCCTCGGAAACTCAAGGCTCGCTCCAGTCGTCATACGACGTATGGGCAGACGTGACTGCATTTCTCTTACCAAACTTAACCTGCCACCACTACTGCACTCGGGGCAAGTGAGGTTGCTGTGGCGTGCTTCTTCTCAAATTCCTTCCTCTCCAACTCGAACCGCATTTGACACCCTGTATCTCGCATGAGCATGGCTAAATGAGGGGGATTCTGACTACTTACAATCACCGCAAGATATCGGACCATACTTCGCGGGGTTGGTCTCCGTGACGCAAGACGGAACTACACTTTCAACGCAGTTAAAGTTGAGGCCTATTTAGGCATTAACATATAACTTCGACTTAAGAGATAGGCTCCATGGTCTCCATACCAAAGAAGAAGGGCATCGACACGCGCTCAAGCTTCGACTCGTTTGCAACCCTGTGGACGGTTGACTTGTAGATATCATTACAGAGACGCATCATGTAATCGCCAATGTTGACAACAATTGTCCCCTCAATTGGGGGCGCCTGCGGGTATTCAATTAGGACAACGATCAATTGGAATTTCTAGTCACTCACCTTAATCCATTGTCCTTCCTTGGTGAGAACTTGTAAGCCGCCGATATTGTCTTGCCACAGAAGGGTAAAAAGCTGCAAATCCGTGTGACTACCTAGGCTCACAAACTTCTTTGCTGTCTCTTCGTCCGTTCGTGGTCGGTAGTAGTTGAAGACCGAATCAGCGCCAGGGTGGGTCACTTTATCATCCCAATAATTCTCCTCCAGGCCCAGCGATAAGGCGAAACTCTTCACCAGTCTCCTGGCCAGGGTCAACATAGCTCCCCAGTACGCTATCAGGTCCTCCTTGAATTCAGGAAGATGACTTGTGCCTTCCCACACAAACTCCTCACCCCGAATCCAAGGTCTCACATCCTCTGGGATCTGAGAGATATCCATGGGATGATCTGGGTCGACCTCAGGGCGGTACCGGAAGGAGAAGGACTCCTTCACATCGACACTTTCAGTCGGCGAGATGTTTGTGCTTTTGGGTCCAATGTAGCCGTTATAGAATTTGCTGTGCTTCTTGGATGATATCAGGTCCTTCTTCTCCACCGGCTGCTTCATGAAGTTGAGCACTTGCTGTTTGCACTTGGCGATCTTCTCGGCGGGCACCCCATGGTTCTTAATGTAGAAGAAGCCCGTATTGACGGCCGCCGACCTGATTTGAGCTGCCACTTCGTTGCGTTGGGATAAATCATCTAAGAACAGTGGTGACAAGTCGATTACTGGGATTTCCTCCGGCGTACATGTGCGTGGCGGATTGGGCAGGACATCACGGTAGACTCGGCCGAGGGCCGTTCGGAGTTCCAGCTTTGTGGTTGACATCGTGAGTGTATAAGGTAAGAGGATAGCAATGGAACCAGTAAGTATACGAGTCAAGTTAATGGCATATGTTCACAGTTACTTGAAGAAACGAGAATAACATCAGTCACAAGCCAGACGGCAACTGGGGTGGGGCCGTCTTATTTGTTATCCGCGCCGCGCCGGTGCTACGTAGACCGCCCAGATAGCGGTATCCGTACCAGTCGGCGATTCGTGGGGAACCTCTTCCATCGTCCTGCCAGGCAACAAGATGCCCTTTCCACTCGCTTCAAGTTTATTACCAGGTAGTTTCCTACGATTTCCTACTAAAACCGGCGGCCGCTAAGTTCAGAAGGACAAATTCCAATGCATACTCAAGTAGCCACCCGCGCCACGAACGATCTACAGCAGCGATAGAGGGATTGACCATCGTAAGATTGGTCCTCCAAAAGTAAGATTATCGACTCATGGATCGCTTTCCACGAACTTTTGGAATTTGAAAGTCACTAATGCCATCCTGTAGTTATCGAGATCTGCCTGGAATTGACCCCGACGGTTTCCGCTGGAGGTTGTAATAAGTAAAGGTTTCGGGTATTGATTTGCCCGTCTAAGCTTCTCGACCTATTACTACACGATACCCTGGATCTCGATATGGTTGAACTGTGCAGTTGACTCACTCACCCTGTTCTCATTAAGACATGTGACGATCCGAGCCACCAGAAGTCTGAAGGTGGCTTTCACCGCAAGGTCCAGCGGAATACTCAAATGGTTGTCTCGACAATGACAAAGCTTGGGGAGAGAAGCGTCTGAACGAGTTTGGTGAATATCGTCAAGAGTAACACAAAGTACCGGTTGCGGAATGGCACCCGGTTGCCGCTACAACAAATAGATGCTATCATACAACTCAACATGAAGTTGCGGGGGAAGTTGCGGGGGATGCTAGTTTTGGCAATTTATTTTGACTGGTCAGGCTTCCGGGCAAGATGCCAAAGCAAGGAAATAAGTTGCGGGCGGGTGGCTGGTTCTTTCCAAGACCGGGAATATCGAGAATAGTGCGGCCCTGTACAGATCTCGGACACAAGTGCGGAGGATGATGCATCTTGCTAGCGTCACAACTAATGAAGCGGGGAATTGAATGGTTCGCAATTATTAGACCTTTAGTACTGACTGCGGTCCAGATGGAAAGGTTTGCATATTTCGCATCTAGGTAAAACTTTCGAGAAACAACCGCAATCGTTAGTGTATCTGTATTCAGCCGAACATGGCGCCCACTGTTGACGGCATCCCCCTGAACGAGAATGGCATTCCCACCTTTGAAGATCTTCCTCTGCGGAAATCTGACCCTCATCACTCGGCCTGGGGCTTATACGGTGATCAGGACGAATTGGGAACCCTTAATCGACTTACAAACGAGAGAGTTGCAGCAGCGGCACAATGTGAGATCAAGACCGGACAAAGGTGTGTTTCGATTTTCCCATGGTTAGGAGCATTATCACTAACGGCCGACAGAATCTCTCTAAACTGGCCTCTCAACGCACAACCACGCCGCTCTTTCTTCCAGCGGGCTGTGTTTCACCAGGACTTGTTGGCCAAACCACCAATGACGGTCAATGACGATGTCTGGACTTTCAACTCACAAGTTTCTACGCAGTGGGATGGACTCCGTCACTTTGGGTTTCAAAAGGAGAAGTTGTTCTATAATGGGGTTACAATGGAGGATATCCACGGTGTGGACGAGAAAGGGAAGAAAAGCACAGTTAATGGAATTCAAGGTCAGATAACAAACTGGTGAACTTTCTAATATAATACTAATTTGGAGCAGCATGGGCTGAACAAGGCATCGTCGGCCGAGGGGTATTAGTAGACTACCACAGCTGGAGGATCTCACAAGGCGAAGAAAAGGTCTACGACTCGTTCGACTCCGTCTCGATTCCCCTCGAAGACCTGAAAGCTTGCCTAGCAGCCCAGGGGACAGAAGTCAGATTCGGGGATATTCTGTTCATTCGTTCCGGTGAGTTACGAAGCCAAGCCCTTAAGTGTCGTTTCCTACTGCAAACTTGCGCACTGACGGTAAAATACAGGCTTTATGGCTTCCTACGCTACTAAAACTGAATTGCAGCTCTCGGCGCACCAAGACGTGATGCCGCACAAGTTCGGCGGCGTGCAGCAGAGTGAAGACATGATCAAGTGGATTTGGGATAACTTCTCAGCTGTAGCCGGAGATCAGCCCTCCTTCGAGTGCTGGCCCACGCAACAGGACTGGGCGCTGCATGAGGTCCTCCTAGCCGGTTGGGGATGTCCCATTGGCGAGCTGTTCGATCTCGAGAAGCTGGCTGAGCAGTGTAAGAAAGAGAAGAGGTGGAGCTTCTTCGTGTCAAGCGAGCCGTGTAATGTGCCCGGCGGTGTTGCCAGTCCACCTAACGTTTTAGCGATATTCTAAATAACCTGGAATATTTTCTTAAAGGATAATTTGAGATGGAAGTGGGTGATGGAGTATAAGGTGGACATAGGCCCAAGATGTGTAATGCGATATACCTAATCACAGAGACTGTGGAGGTTCATGCCCCTTGTATGCCCCTGATCTCGAACGCATTTGTTCCGTGTACGTATATCAACAATGAGCAGATGAATGGGGTCGCCTCCTACGTTAGCTAAATGGCGACCCCAGAGAATGGCGTGACGTGGTCGAGTTCCTCTGAAATCCTAGACTGCGAGAAGGAGGCGAAGGACTCGTCCAACTGTACGCGTTGGTTCCCACCAGGGCCAAGATTCTATTCCACCTAGGCCGCCAATGCAGGGTCGACCGTGCTGTAACACATTACCCATTGCCATCCAGCATGCTTGAAGTAAGAGGGGCTGACGAGGAAGGACCATGACGATCCCAAAGAGGATGTGGACTATGTTGAGCCCGTGGCAAAAAGTTAGACATATACTGTGCGGTGACCTAGAACCTAGGTAAGGGTTGTCCCGGGCGTTTGTGACTCGTGGAAATGAACATGTTTGTGGCCGGGTGCATACTCGTTAGCCTTGATATTGAGAGTGATAGCTTTTCAAGTGGTAAGATTCCCTCGGAAGTGACTCATAACCCTTTGTCACACTGATATGATTTTGGGAAGTAACGCTTTGAGCTTTTGCGGTTGAATTATGAAAATCAGGAGTCTTCATGAGTCCCGTCCCCTGACCCATCGATAACGTCCTGCCTGCTTGATTTTGTTAACAGCAGAGCCGGTAACGACTGCTGTATGTACGCTGGTCCGTCGCTCCATGATCCCGAAGGCTCTTAGTCTCCATGGCCTCATTGCCTTGAGTCCTGCCATGAACTTTTGTTTCATTAGAAATGCCCCAGCCGACCCTCCCTTCATTCTCACCTTCCAGAGAACCGGCGGGTACCTCTGTTGAGATACCATACAAATGGCCACCTACATGGCTGTGAAACCAGAATGGCAAAGATGAAACAATGTGTATCCTAGCCCTCTATCGGCGGAGCGCATAAGCTACTATACAATAGCAAAGTTTCATCGCTTGCGATCGCTGGAAACAAGTTAATATTACAGTGCGGCTTCAGCGGGTCGATACTACTCACGTGCTCAACCTTCTGCCCAGGTTATGCAACTTCTTGTCGTTATCTGCCTCCCGTGTAGCCCTCTCCAGAGCTGCTTGGTGCTGTTCATCATTTTGTCTCTGAACTTCTTCGTGTGTCGGTGGAAGGCGCTCGTTCTGCAGATCAACCTTTCTAGCGTCTTCGAAACTACTGATGGCATTCTTGATACCCTCAGCACCGAGCATGAGCGTTCCAGCTGGCAGACGCCCACCCGAAACCGTCTTGAGTTCTGTAACCTTCTCGGACTCTTCGCGGAGTACCTGGAACACGCGAGACAGTCGGCCTATGGCCAGAATCTTGTTCTTGATTGCACGTCTCTTGTACTCGATAGAATCAGGATCGGCAAGCGGTCCAGTGATAGGTGGAGAGGCAGGCCCGGGAGAAGTCGGTACCGATGTATCTTCCTTCAGCTCCTCTTCGGAGCACGTGCTCAAGATGGCAATCAGCATGTCAGTGATCTTCTCTCCGACGAATGGCAGAGACCAAGTAAATACGTCCATAAAGTTGGGAAGCCAGTAGGGGTGAGGCGTGCAGTTGAACTGTCGAATGTTCATAACGTTGTTCTCGTACTTCAACACGGCCGCTTTGTTGTTGTAGACATCGAGGTAGTTTGGGGCGGAGAAGATGGTCATGACACTGGGAAATCCCGTCGTTCTAGTCTTCCTGTACATCCTGTAGCCAGCGTCCTGTGCTTCATGTGCCCGAATGACAGAGAGTAGGTTATTCTTCTCCAAAAACGCGCAGGCAGCGGGGTATGAGAAGAAGTACGAGCAGCCGCGCACATGGTTATGCATGAAGAATTCACTAGTCTTCTCCTGGCCAAAGTCCTCCAACGGGTCAGCCCAGAGGATGTCACACATGAGGCCTTGTGTTGGCGGCTCCCGGAAACGGTCGATGGTTCTCAAATCGTCCAAGGTGTGCAGTTCAGGGCTGAGTCCGCCGTGGATGCAGAGGAACTGTTTGTTCATGACGGCCGCAAGAGGTAGGCAGCAGAAAGACTCCATACAGGCCTCATAGATGGTCTCGGAGTACTTGTGCTTGCACTCGAGCTTGAAGGTGAAGTAGTCGGTAAGATGACGGCACTCGTGGTTCCCCCGTAACAGCCAAAGCGTCTTGGGGTAGTGGATTTTGAGACACCATAAGTACAGAACGCATTCGATACTGAAATAGCCGCGGTCGACATAGTCACCGAGGAAGAGGTATCTGGTCTCCGCTGGGTCGCCACCAACTTCGAACAGCTTCATCAAGTCGTAGTACTGCCCGTGAACATCTCCACAAACTGTGATGGGCGCATCCATCTCGAGAAGGTTGGGCTCGGCGCGTAGCAGTTCGGTACCTGTCTTGATGATCCATAAGGCCTGTTCCTCGGTCAATCGACCTTCGCGGTAGAAATGCTGCTTGAGGAAGGTAATGTTGGGTTTCGTGTGGGTTTCGTCCTCGAAGAACTGCTCGTCAGTGGGCTTGAACATTGCCGGCGCTTGTACGTCTGCAAGTTGCCGAGGTCAAGGTCAGTTCTTTGTGCCTTAGAGATTTGTCGAAGAGCACTCGAGCTAGCACGCGGCTCTGAGTGGCGGCGGGGTACATAATGAAGCAACCTACCTTTGCAGACTCGCTCCGTGGTGTTGACCTGGGTGCCATCCTCCATGGTGTGAATGGTGAAATCGATCTCGGGCAGCGGCTTCTTCTCCTTGATCGCCTGGATGGCATTCTGGAGCTGGATGGTGCGCTCGTCCATAGCTCCAGCAGCGGGCTGGCCCTCGTCGGTGTCCATGGTGGATGATTTGATATGCGCCTATGGGAGCAGGCGGTGTGGTCGATGGTGTCGCAGAGATAGCAACGGCCAAAAAAGACGTCCTCAAAAAAGAGTCGCTGCTACAGAGGTCGCGAAGAAGCGGCGCGAATGTCGAGGCACAAGATCAATGGATATCGTTGCTTGAGTAGGGCTGAGAAGAGCGAGTTGGGCGACAGCAGCAAGAGCGGCACCTACACAAAAAGCACCCAGACTGGCCCCCCTCGGTCAGTCGGTCGGTACGTACTGGCACTACTCAGTACCCTTGATGTTACTAGAGAGTGATGGATGCCAAGGCTAATGCGGGATGTTTGCTGCATCAACCACTGTCTTCGTTACTTGCTTTTCGCAGCTCTGGTCGTGAATAGGACACAAAAAAGGTGGGATCGCGGTGGGTGGTCGTTCAGGACAAGAACGTCCGTCCTCTTGGGCTGGGCCAAAATACAATCAGAAGCGTGGAGCTTCAGCCGGCCACCAATGACTTTAACGGCGTTTCAAGATGCGACTACCAAGTACGGGTCCAAGAATTAAGGTGGCAACACGGAGGGAGGTCGGTAGCTGCCTAGGCCCAGACTCAATCGGATTTTTTGGTTTTTTGGTTTTTTTCTCCCTCTCCCGACTCAGATGCTCACCGAGTCAGCAGCCTTTCGGCAAGGCAACCTTGTGAGGATCAGATGAGGCGTTCTTTCAGACGACAGGTGAAGCTATTTCCAACAAGATCGGCTGGGCTTCTAAACTCCTAGGGCCTGCATTTGGTGCAGGCTTGGGTGCCGACGATGACTTCATGATAAGGAAACCCACGTGACTATTTCAAAGTTCAAAACCCCCCCATCACTAATTGGATAATGGAACGCACGTCTTCAAAATGTACCACAAGATACCCCTTACTCATTCACGCCTTGAGTTATTCTTGATCTCTTTAGAGTCTACTGAACCGTCCAAACATGATACACACAAAGATGACACCGTTGCCGCTAGATTCGACCTTGCTCAATTGGTTAAAGTGAACTCAGTCATCCAATCATCCGCTAACGATTGTTTGCTCCAAAATCCATCAGCGACTGCCCGGATGACTACACGGCGCAGTAACCCCCATCTACCAAGAGGTCAGTTCCCGTCGTGTATGATGAAGCATCGGTGGCCAAGTAAAGGTAGGCGCCTTTTAGCTCTTCAGGCTGTCCTTCTCTACCCATAGGGATCTTATCCTTCCACTGCCCCTTAGTCTCGGCATCGATAAAGTTGGTGATCTCGGTCTTCATGTAGCCAGGAGAGACGGAATTGGCTCTCGCGAAGCCAACCCATTCCACTGCGAAGGACCTGCCTGCGGTTTCTGGTCAGTGACTGTCTCATCAATCAGAAATCCTGGACTTCCTCAAACTTACAACCATGGATGATGGCTGCCTTGGAGGCATTGTAAGTCGCCTGCATCTGCGGCACGTTGACAATGCTTCCACTCATGGACGCGGTGGCGATGAAGCTCCCGTAAGTGAAGTTCTCCAACCGTTTGCCATCGACAGTGGTGCCCTGCTTCTTCTGCCTCCGCCAGTGCAGCGCGGCAGCTCTTGCGCAGTAGAACGTACCATCGATATTGACGGCCAATACTTTTTGCATACGATCAATTGGACCGTCGATGAAAGGCCCGTCTTCCCAGCAAATTCCAGAGTTTGCAACGAACACGTCGAGTCTGCCATTGAACTCTTTCACGATCTCATTAACGGCATCTCGAACAGCCTCCCAAGATTGGACGTTGACGGGGTAGGCCTTGCCTGTAGATGGGCTCAGGTGAGAACCGTAACATGATACGCAGGGAACACTTACATTTGACGCCAAATTGTTTCTCAATATCGGCGGCTTCTTCTAGAGCCTTCTTGTTGCTATTATACCAGATAGCCACATTGGCCCCAGCTTCAGCATATGCATGAGCGATAGCGAGGCCAATCCCAGCACCGGCTCCGGATACAATCGCAGTGCGTCCCTTGAGGGAGAACAAGGGCATGACCAAGTTGGACTTGGGCGCCTCTGTTTTATCATGGACGAAATGTCCGCCCTTCATATCGGTCATCTTGACGACTTCTTACCTCACACGTAGATGAATATACCGAGAAGACGCGACAAGCAACGAGTCTTGTCGATGATGAGACTTCGCAGTCCACAAAGTGATTGCCGGGGAGATTTTCAATGCAAGAGAAGGACGGAACAGCGAGAAACCGAAGGCCATGTTGCGTCGCAAAAGCTGCATTTATTAATCTCTCAGACTGCCATGTACCGACCCTCGCCGGTTTGGGATGCCGCCGTGTTTACGCTTGAAGCGGTGCAGCCGACCGATACTGACGTCTCATTAGTGGAGCGCATATCCGGCAACACATGTGCAGTAGGTCTAGTATAGCCGATGTTGGCGACATGATGACGCCCAACTAATGATGCGGGCCCTTGCTGATGGCTCAATCCGATGTTTCAACGTCTATGTCTACACTTGTGAGTTGTCAAGAATCACAAATAAGCACAAGCGCTGGCGGATGGGTTGTGTTCGTGTAGGCGTTTTGTATCATATCTAATAAGTGACAAAGTACAGTCAGGTTGCGACATGGACCGTTCAATCAACCCGTTCGGGTAACCTGGATCTAGGTTTGGTACTGAAGTATTTAGCAGGCGGGGTACTACTCTATCCATGCCAATCCTCACTCTCTACGAGAATATGCGAGCCTTTTCGGAAGGGGATGCATGTGAACTCATGGGTTCCATTCGGCCCATCTACAGTCAACCCGGACCGCAGGCCGGCGAACTATCCGAATATAACCGGGTATGGAGTAGATGTCACTCACATCCGCAACACATACTGCAAGACTCAAAATAGCTCTACTGGTAACTTGTTCACAGAAAAAAAGGAGATATGGTTTGAGCGAACGGGCACTATCCTATAATCCTACGTAAAATTTCTTCTCGGTGGTAGTTGGTGTTTCTCCATCGAGAGATGAAGTCGTCTCGGTTGACTAGTAGATTGTCAGGTCTCCGGCTAGGGGAACAGCACAATAAAGCAGGCAACATCAACTTACTATAGCCACCACACATTCGTCTCACTCCTGTGAACGCACTCCGCCCATGAAGGACCCGCCAGTTATTGAATACTGCAAGACAATATGAGCTTGTGTTCCGTATGCAATCTTGTTGGTGTAACACTCACCCAAGAGACTACCGGGCGTAAGTTGAAACCAGTACTCAACAGAATTCCTCCTCAAAATAGAGTTCCATTTCCTCGCAGCGTCGTACCACTCCGTCGGGGAGAACCCGCCGTCGAAGGGGACAACGCCTCTATCGTCATTGTTCCATCTCACTCGATGCATTTTGCCCATCCTGTCGTCGACTTCGAGTACGGGGTACAACTTGTCAGGAGAAATAGTGATACCTTCATTTCCGCTGGCATGCCATGGAAGCCGGACCTGACTGAGAACTTGGAATGCCTTGGGGTCTTCCTCCTTCAGGAGACTCGCGGCATAGAAACCATCGACAAGCAACGATTGGCCACCTAGAGTCGCGGTTCCATCTTTGGCATTCGGGTCTGAGTGTGACAATAGGTGGAAGGCTTGCAAACCAGCTGGGTCTGAGAAGTATGTCGTATCTGTGTGGGCGGCTAGTGCTATATTGGTATAGGCAGTGTCAGCCATCGCCAGGTTCGGGATGAAGTCATAGAAACCGCCATAATGCGTATGTCTAATGAACGCAATCTTCTCTAGGAGCTTCTCTGTTGCTTCTCCGGACTCAATCGGTACTCCAGTGATGAATGCAAACCCGAATTTACTCTATCTTAATTGTCAGAAAAGACGATGGCTAGCAGGGGTATATTCGGGGAGTATACAATCAGATCTGTTAATCGACCAACAGCCTTAGTTTCGTCAGACAAGATGTCCTGGTTCTGGACTGATGGTGGCCATGCTGTCGAATATTGACTACCATCTGCCCCAAAGTATTCGAGTCTATTGGATTAGCTTTTGCAATAAACATTATATTCATCACTTACTCAACTGGTTCAAGCTGTGGTCGATCAGCTTTCAAGTATGACTCGAGAAATTCCCAAGTGTAGAAGCTTTCATGCGCGTTGTCAGACCCTTGAATGTTTCAGTCACGGTTTTCCCACCTGCACCAAATATCTCTTACAGCGAATTTGGACGCCCGAGTGTTGTGTTTCCACTTTCAGCGGCCGAACATCTTTAGGTATCTGTTCTCTCTCTTGGTATATTGGACTAGCTCCATTATCACTCGGGACTTACGTCGAACGTGTTGAAGTTCCTTTGCATTGTGTCTTGGTGAACGCAAGACCTGCAACGGCAATTGTCTCTGCCAACTTGTGAGTTGAATGGTCAAGAAGATGTCCGAGTTACACACCGCAGCCAGAAATTGGGACTTGTGAAATAATCAAGTCAGCAATAAACACTACAATAATATAAAACATACATGCTATGCTTTATGCTCACAGTGATGTTCGCTTCATATTTTGGTTTCCAGATTCATAGGAGAAGCTGAGGCTATCGGATGAGTTTGATACAACAGGTTTGGCAACAATAGTCCCCAGACGCCTGTGGTATTGATGACCGGTTTTTGGGAACAGTACTGAGGGCCGTAAAACTCGACTTGACTTTGAATTAGAAATAGCCTCTTCCAAAGCGAAATAAACATGTCTCTCGGCGCATATTTTATGGCAACGCTTACCACGCAAGGGTGCGCCCCTGATATATCCATGGAGCCATTTGTAATGCGACGTGAGAAAAGGTGTTTCCAGGTTCTTCTTCTCGTGAGCAGGTTTCCCGAGGTATGCCCTTATCTGGTGGCGATGTGATTGTGTTTTTGTTGGAATGTAAACTTTCGACAACTGAGGGGATCGCTAGATGAGAGTCTCTTAGACAAGATGCGGGTGTCCGGGATGCCTACGAGGAATTACCCTGTAGCCGCCGCAGGCCCCACTTTCCCCAACGTGCCCCACCTTGGCCTCACGAACATTTGTCACCCATGTAACTCAACAATTCCCCATCCACTTTCTGTCTGTCAATCCCTCTAACTCATCAATGTGACAACTCAGCAATGTAAGCGTTGCTACGTGTGCGCGCGCCAAACCGCAATGTTGGCCTTCATCAGGCAAGGCTGAACCGCATCGGAGTAGAATAATTAGGCACCCCGAAGACCCTGGTCGCATTCCCTTGACGGCCCCGGTCTAGCCCTTGCCCACCACTCCTGGCGGCCGGTTTGTCGCCAGATCCAGTCCACCGGAACACTCATCCTAGCATTCTGATGTGCACAGGGTTTCGATGCCTCGACACAGCAAGCGCGATTGTTGTACAGCCGCTTGCTTTCAGGTGGAGAAGCATAAAACATATTTTCCTTTCTCAGCCGCCTTGATGTCTAACTGCTTCGCCTGTACATTCGCCCGCCCCTGGCCCTGAAACTCGGCCGCAGGGCTGGCTCGTCAGGAATGGTATTGGAATGCGAAGATCGGTGTATGGAAGGGGCGGGCCCTACTTTGTCTGCCATGTGTCTTGTCCTTCGCTTCTACAACATAGGAGCTGTTGGTTCTCACCGCGGCAAACTCGCTGAGCCTATTGGCTCATTACTCGACCAAGCGCTCGATGGGCTATATTTGTGGATATCGTCTATAAGTGTAGGCCTGGATGGTATGTGGGTATGTCAAACACAAGTCGATATCGCCCCCATCATATATACTATGTCGGCTACTCCTGCTTTTCGATGGTTTCGAGCTTCCACCTACGTCAAGGTACCCGAGACGAAGTGATGGCTCCAAAAGTTGCCAGTTGTATGCTGACTTTATTATGTCTCAATGCTACTTACTGTTATGGCCAAGCTGGCTTACAAGATGCCGGTACCTCATTCATCGCCGCACCAGCCAAGGCAGCGAAAGCCTCATGTGCGGTTGACGGGTACTCTCCCTGCAGTAGCAGCTTACCTGCCGACTTCTGTTGCCCCTCGAGCACTACTTGCGTCTCGGTTGCATCGAATACAACCGCGATATGCTGCCCCAAGAGTCAGATCTGCGATGAAATCCAGCCAATAACCTGCGACATCGACAAGCAGAATGTCACAGCTTTCCCCGAAAGCCCACTCCATACAACGAACCTTGAGGAATCATTGCCCACATGCGGCAAGGGCAATTGCTGCCCTTTTGGTTATCGATGCAACAGCTCCGGCAACTGCGAAATCGTCAAGAAACCGACAAAGACCTTGACGACGACAACTTCCCATACTTGGTCGCCGACCACCTCGACAGTTCGCAGGACATCGGAGTCTACTTCTTCATCACCTACAACCACACCTACAACAACTAACACTACAGATACCACTGTGTCGGCAGTGGACTCCGACGATCGGCCGTCGTCATCAAACACAAAAACTGGCGTGGCTGTGGGAACCGCATTCGGTGCCTTTTCGGTGGTTGGTGCTTTGTTTTATTGCTGGTTTTGGCGAACGAAGGGGAAGCCTGTGGTCAACGCGTTTGGGCTTGCGAGAAAACAGCAGAACATTCGTTCACCCCAAATGCAAGAGCTCTCGAGGTTGCCTACGTGGAAAAATCAAAATGGTAACCTTGGGTCAGAATGGAAAGAACCGTCCAGAGTTATGGGGGAGGCAATTTTTGTGGCAGAACTTCCTGCAACGCCTGTATCATTCAGTGTCTGGGATAGGGACCTCAATGTGGCACCTGTAAAGCCGAAGCATCAGTACAAGGCTTACTCGAGACAATCTTCCATTCAGCCAGGCGATGTTTTCAAAGACGTTGGCAGGTAACTTCGACTCATATCTATTTACAACACGATTAAGGAGGGAATTGTGTGCTTCATCACTGCAACTATAATAACAGCCTATGTTGCATAACTCCTTGTTTTCCAAAGTGAGTGACTTGAATGAACCAGTAAACAAACGCTTAATTCCCGAGAAAAACAGCACAACGGCAAAGAGTCGTGGGTCAGCTCCAGCTATACCCTTCGATTCAATCATGCTCGAGCAACATCTAGAATTCAATACTGTTCGGTGTCTCGGACCAACTTTTGGAACTGACGCAGCCATTCAAGATGTTACGATGATCCAGTCAAGTCAAACAAAGGCAGCCCTACATAAACATAGTATTATAATCCTCAAAGGTAGTTAAGTATTTGTGACTTTATTCTCGAGGATTGTACCCGACAGCGAAATCTAGTTCAGCATCATCCCTTCACCATGGCACACAGATGCGATGCACTCGATAACATCGCAACAAGACGCGAGCCGTACATCAACCAGTTGACTTACCATGTGATCCCGCTCTGTGCAGTTTTCCTCCTCTGCTTCTCTGTCGGCGGAGTCATGGTATGCTCCCTCGGTTATGGCAAGCCCGTTCCTCGAGACGCAGTGGTAGTTGTGTCCATCCTATTCGGCATTATGTCTTTCTTCTGGCTTATCTGTCGACTTGTTCTTTACCAGCGGGACCTGAAAGCTATGCATGAATGTCATGATATCGAAAAGGGGGTCGAAAAGGGGGTCGGGAATGAGCCACAGAGGGTGCTGGCACCTCGGGGATATAATAGTGGGAATTATCAAGACAACAATCAGAACCATCAACAATTGCAATATCAACAATACCACCATCCTCAAAATGCGGCCCTTCATGAGCTTGGTGACGGAACGCACCAACGAGCGATTCAACACAATGGTGGCTACCCGCAGCGTCAGCGAAAGCAACAGGACAACATGCAGGAAACATCGTCAAAACCGACTCAGCACGATGGTGCTGATCCTCAACCTCAGCAGCTTCGGCAGTTTACTATTATCAGGGGTAACGCGCATGAACACTTACAAGGTCTGACACAGCCTGATAGCGACTGTCAGCAACAAGGACCTGCTGAGATGTCTGCAATCCAAAATTCAACCAAACCAAGCCCCGTAGGTTGGCGGCAACAGAATCAAGGCGATGGCGACCTCAATCCTGGACCAACATTGACCGTTCATCGACCGGGAGCCCCATCACAGGCCGACTTCGCACCGCCTCTTGCTAAAAGTACACCAATCAGACGGAAGTCAGTACCTAAACAGCAAGCGAGGGATAACCAGAACAACAGACGTCGCCGCGTAAATAAGTACAACGACAGAGGCAGCCTCCCGTACCAAGATCAAAAGCTGAGACGCGGTGGTCCCGAATTTGACAGATATGCTGAAGCCGAGCAATCCTCATCAAAATCAGAACACCAGATCCCCTCCGAAGGGAAAGCAACAATCACATCGAAAGACTCTAGTGGCTACGAATTCCATCCAGAGATCCAAGATGAGCTGTTCGTTGCTACGGCCGTTCCAAGCGACTATTCTGAATGCAAGTGCCCAGGAAATAGCAACCTGTGGGATCTGATCGACGAGACAGAGGAGAAGTTGTTGCACGGAACATACATGGTGCAGCATCATAATGCCATCCAGAAGATTGATGCACAGTCTACACACCCTGGAACACAGATAAAAGCTGCTACAGAAGCCAATAGCAAGACCTCGCAAGCACAGAAAGATGCACACACGACGCCGTTCCAGATCCGTCCCCTGAACCTCACCAAAAATCCCCAGCACAGCGACAAAGCCAAGAAGAGCCAGAACGCCCCGCCGGAGAAACAGAACAGTCTACCTCCCCAACTTGACCTTGAAGTACCCCTCGACAGCCCCATCCAGCTTCCAGGCACTCCGTCGCCTTGCAAACTTCCCGATACCGATCAAGTTGCCAAACAACTGAATGCCTATGTAGCAAGTGCATCGGCCACCCGTTCCGGTCGAGGTAGGTGGCATCTCACCAGGAAAAGATTGGCTGTTCCCCAGAGCGCCGCGGAAAAGCTGGTACCGGAGAAGGCAAACACAAACGGCAAGGCGTTCGTGGTCGCGGTCATGGGATCAAAACACAGCCATGAACTTACAGCTCTTTCAAAGACCAGCAGTGAGAGTAATTTCAGCGCGGCAAGAAACAGACGGAACTCAAGTTCTTTATATGATTCCGTCGTCAGTCAGCTGAGCAGTAGTTCCTCAGACAAGGAGTCAATTTCTAGTGCAACCACCGTATTCTCGGATGAAAGACGGGATTTGGAACAATGGGACATCGAGCGAAACTTGAAAAGGGGTTTAGGACTCGGTTTGATGGGTCACGCATGATATTGAAATATGCACATAATCCCAAATGGGACTTTCGCCGGCTGCTGTACTTGACATACGTACGTGGAAAAGTCTGTTCCCAAGTAATTCTATACCATCTCTCATACATGGACTTTGCCAGTCAAACTTCCAATACTCTATGTGCTCTGGACGGTACCTCACGCGCTAGGATTGAATCTAGGTGATTTCTCAAAATCCCAAACGTACATACCACAGCAGACGAACCCGAAGTTGACGACTCAAATATAATGCATTACGCCGAATTGACGCCTGCTCAATTTTATTTATTACAGTGCTGTACTCACGCAACTCCTCGGATTCTATCCCAGAAGGAACCTGCGGGCTTAGCGCCGGGAATCATTTCGGGCGTCACGACTACCGTATTCCACGTTTCGACGCCGTCGACGTACAAGCTGTACTTCAAGCTGCTCTTCTCGCCCTCGGCGAGGTTCTCGATAGTAAGAGCGCCGAACTTGGAGTTTCCGGTGTTGATGTACCTGCAGAAGTTAGCTATGGCCTTTGTTCATTTCACAAATCGGTCGCACGACTTACTTGAGTTCAACATCCTCATCATCTGTGTGTTTGTACGTCTTGATGGGCGAGTAGAACTGGTTCAGTGGACTGGCCGAAAACTCGTGAGCTGTGACGCTCTCAGGCCATTTGCCCTCCTTAGGTGGAGGAAACGCCGTGGCTCCAAACTCGTGTCGGTCACCGGATAGAACCACGACGCCGTACCCCATGAGACCTGTGTCCCACATAGCCTCGAGGACTATCCGGCGTTCATGCAAAAATCCTCCCCACGTATCAATGGTGTTGACTCTCCAGTTCTTGGTCAAAGGCACGGAACTTGCGACGATCTTCCACTTCACACCCTTTGGTTCAGGTTTACGGAGCCAGTCGAGGAAGTCAGCGAGCTGCTGCTCACCCAACATGGTCTTCTCTGAGCTGTCAGCAGGCTCCTTGTTTTTAGACCGGTACGAACGCGTATCGAGCATAAAGAAGCTAGCAGGACCCTGGGTGAAGGAGAAATACGTGGCATCATCACTCGTGGCAGTATTACCAGTCCCGGCTCGCTTGGCTTTGGGAGGGTTGGCTTGAGTCTGGTAGTGATGCCACGGATCCACAGCCGTGTGATACACGCCAGTCGCTTTCGCATCCCAATCATTGGAAATCTCGTGATCGTCCAGGACATGAATCCAGCTCAGATTTTGACCCACTGCCGGCCAATCAGGAGAGGCGTAGACCTGGCGGTATTTCTGTCTGTAGTCTTCGATTGAGTTGCCAAAACGGGTTGGCACATCGATGTAGATGAAATCACCGAGGAACAGCATGAACTGGGCACTCAGTGTCGGCAGTACCTTGGCCAGATGCCTCATTCCCGGAATCGCCAAAGCGTGATCCAGGGGGCTGTAAGGCAACCGAGGAAGAATGCAAGACGTGGCGAGAAATGTGAACTTGCCGTCGTTCAACTCTGGGAGCTTGCCAGGGGCCGGAGCACCCACAAACTCGCCAGAATGGTTGTTTGACGTTGTCCATTCGTAAACGCGTTGCTTAGAGTGAGTCAGGGGAATCGTCACAACGGCAGTGTAATCGGTCTCGTTGGTTGTCCATCTGACACCACCTGCCGACTGCCACAATGGGTTGTCAAACGGCGGTTGAGCGTCCTTGACATGGATCTGGACGGTGACAGGCATCTTGGACTGGTCAGGCTCGCGAATCAACAGCTTTGCCTCGGTATGGGAGACATAGCCTATCCGTGCAAAGGATAGGTCATGGCTAGGGTACTTCCAGCGCGGTGTATAGACGACATCGGTGATCATGGCGATGCAGGCAGCATTGATCAAGAACGTGAGCGTGGTGAAGAACAAGCTATTGGGACTTGGCAGCCCGCTCAGGAGGGTTCTGAATGGAGCGGTCGACCTCTCAACGATGGCGATCTCCTCCTCAACTTGAATGTTTTTCTCGACGATGACCTCATCCGTGTCCCCGTTAGTGGCTTCATCTTCATTCAGCAGCTTGTCTTTGACCGTCACGTCCACTACGTTCACCAGCGCAAGTTTCGGCTCGTTAATGTAAGTTGAGATGAAGGCTGGCACATAGATGGCGAAGAGAGTGTATGCGATGTATATCAATGGCTAGAATGTTCAGTCATCGGGTCAAAGCTATGAATCAGCTGTCATGATTGTCATGACTTACAGGTAAATTAGCCTGTCGCAGTGAATTAGCTCCTGTCAAATAGAGGTACTATGTGCTAAGACATACCCATTGCAAAAAGAAGTAGGATGCAATCCGTATGCCAGCGGACGCGACGGCCGCAGCGGTCTTCTGGTGGCCCATTTGGGCGTCAAGTGAGACGCGGGTGAAACGGCGTTGGTTGCTATGAGCGGATGGGTGGTTCAATGAAAGCGCTTACCCATGTAGGGAGCATGTAAAAGAGAGGAAGAAGGTGAAGTATGTTATCGTGGGGAATGCTTCAAAACATCCCTAACCTCTAGACGTCAAAGTCTCGTAATGTCGCGTGTAGGTCGGAGTCTTAAGAAGATAAGGCGATTGGAACGTCGCGCGACCTCTGACGAATTGATCTGGGGTCGACGTCAGGGGGCAGCTGGAATTGTGGCTAAAGCTCCCCTATGATATCACTTTGACAGGCGTCTGATTGGTCCTCTCTTGAAAGCTCAGGCGTGATCCTGGCTATTATTTGTAGCTGGAATTCATTGCCGATTTTGGGCTTTATGTGCAAGCGTTCGTCGCTGGTGGGGCTGTTATGCCCGACTCCCGACACAGTTGCAGGCAGCGCGGGAGCTTCCTCTGGAAACTACCCCTGGATCAACCATCCTCCGCACCCGATCTGACTCGCGTGGCACTTTGGATTACTAGGCCAAGCATCGCGACAAGCTGTTCTGTAATTCGCACAGGTACTTGCCCATGACAGAACCCAACATGAAGGTCTTGATGCTCTCATTCGGGCTTTTTGCCTGGCTGGTATCCGTAGTCTCGGCGACTGCCTTGACATACAAGCTTGGTGCCAACGAGAAAGCTTGCTTCTATGCCCAAGCCCACAAGGAGAACACCAAGATCGCATTCTACTTCGCTGTAAGTCATGACCGCCAGCCCCTCTCCAGCAGAACCAAATTGACCGCTGTGCTTGACAGGTCCAATCAGGAGGATCGTTCGATCTCGACTACGACGTTGTCGGCCCCGATGAGAAGGTCATTCTAGACGGCGAGAAGGAGCGTCAGGGCGATTTTGTATTCACGGCTCAAAAGACGGGCGAATACAAATTCTGCTTCAACAATGAGATGAGCACGTACTCAGACAAGGTTGTTGACTTCGAGATTGCCGTCGAGGACGAGGTTCGAGCCCAACTACCGGCCAAGCAGGGCTCGTCTCCGGAACAGACCTCGGCCCTCGAAGAGTCTATCTACAAGATATCTGGCCAACTTTCTACCATGACGCGAAACCAGAAGTACTTCCGCACGAGAGAAAATCGCAACTTCAGCACCGTCCGAAGCACCGAGGGCAGAATCGTTAACTTCAGTTTGATTCAGTGTGCTATGGTGATCTGCATGGGCGGTTTGCAAGTCTTCGTTGTCAGGTTCTTCTTCCAGGTAGGTACCCAGTGCTACTCGTGTGAGGGTCGTGTATTGACATTTAAGCTAGGGTGCGAGAAAGGGCTACGTATGAATGCTTCATTACGAGGATTGGCAAGGTTCGTTACGGCGTACAGAACAGCGTGCATTGGTATAGGGCATGTCGTACTACGGTTTGTACTATAGCATCAGGAGCGTACGGTCCAGTCCGTTGTCGAGTTTCATGACTGTGTTTAAATTCGGGACTATGTCGTCGCCTGACTAGATTCCATGAGCGCTTGAAGACCTCATAATCTCCAGCTGTGAGAATGCCGAAATCTTATTCATGGAATCAATCAAGACGATAATATGCTGCATGGCAATCTACAAATAAGTGCCATACGGCCCTGATACTGCGTAATCTTTGTCTGCCAACTTCCGTGGATGCTTTCCAGAAAGTAGACACGACAGCATTGCTTAGTACCTAGGTATGCTTTGAGTTGTGTCCCGTTGCTTGCGTTGCGTATTCTATTCTTCCAATAACTCGAAACGGAAGGTTGCGTCTCATAAGCTTGTTATCGATACACAACGTTCATTTTTGGAATGGTAAGAAGATTTGAGTCCTTGTTGCTGCGAAGTTTGACTTGTAATATTGAACAATACAGCTTTAATGAACGTGACCTGGAAGCGGCAACTAACAAGACAAGTCTAAAATTTGGGGCGTCTCAAATTGGATCCACCAAGGCACCAGCCACTTCTTCGCTGAACGTTCACCTAAGCCACTTCATACTATCGACCTCCCAAAAAACTTCTAGTATCAATTACGTTTAGTAGGAAACACTTTCCACCCAAGTCGCCATGGCATCGATTGCAGCATCACTAACGCGGGCCCTTCCGAAGCCGAAGTACACTGGCGAAGACGAGGAAATCCCCACGCACGCCCAAGAGCGCGGCCCCCGAATCGTTAGTGCCGGCCAGATAGACGAGTCGCAAATCGTCCTTCGAAGGTCGGGCCCTCCGCCTTATGGACAACGAGCAGGATGGAGGCCACGCGGCCAGGAAGACTTCGGTGATGGTGGAGCATTTCCAGAATGCCCAGTAGCTCAATACCCGCTGGATATGGGAAAGAAGGGCTCTGAGACGAGCAACGCCCTGGCTATCCAAGTCGACGGAGACGGCAAAGTCAAATACGACGCGATCGCACGTCAAGGTCACAGCGACAAGAGGATTATCCACGCGTCTTTCAAAGATTTGATACCTCTGAGACAACGCGCAGATGCAGGCGAGATCGACCTCGCGAAACCCAGCGAAGAAGAGATCGAGGCGACAACGGAGCGAACGAAGAATGCGTTGGCATCTTTGGTCAGCGGTGCCCTGGCCGCGCAGAAACCCAAGAATGTAACTGTTGGTCAACGAAAAGACCCAACCTTTGTTCGCTACACGCCTGCAAACCAGATGGGAGATAGCTCGAACAAACAAGACCGCATCATTCGCATCGTGGAGCGCTTAAGGGACCCCATGGAGCCGCCGGCGCACAAGCACAAGAAAGTCCCGAGAGGACCCCCCAGTCCTCCTCCGCCGGTTATGCACTCGCCGCCAAGAAAGTTAACCGCTGAGGACCAGGAGATGTGGAAGATTCCACCTCCAGTCAGCAACTGGAAGAACCCCAAGGGATTTACGGTGCCATTGGACAAGAGATTAGCAGCAGACGGGAGAGGCCTGCAAGACGTTACAATCAATGACAAGTTTGCCCAATTCTCGGAGGCTCTATACGTAGCAGATCGGCATGCACGAGAGGAGGTCCAGCAGAGAGCGCTCATGCAACAACGACTTGCAGAAAAAGAAAAGGCCCAGAAGGAGGAAAACCTTCGGATGCTCGCCCAAAAAGCCCGCGAGGAACGAGCTGGCGCAGGAAGACGTCGAAACTCCAGTGGCTCCCGCCACTCACGATCCCGGTCTCGAAGCTACAGTTATTCTGATTCTGGTTCAGATAGCGATGATTCAGGAGTGCGGGAGAGAGAAAAGGCGCGTCGTGAAAGACGGCAGGAAGAAGAGCGAAAACTCCGCCAGTCGCGTATGGGCACCGAGAGGAGAATCCAGGTTATGGCCCGTGAACAAAATCGCGATATCTCAGAAAAGATCGCACTTGGACTGGCCAAGCCTACTCAACAAGCGGAAACAATGTACGACTCGCGCCTGTTTAACCAGTCGAGCGGTTTCGATAGCGGTATCAACGAGGACAATCCGTACGACAAGCCTCTGTTTGCGGCGCAAGATGCTATCAGCAGCATTTACCGTCCGCGGCAGAACATGGACGACTACGAGGATGAGGGAGCTGGCGATCAAGAAATGGCAAAGATTCAGAAAGCCAGCCGATTTGGTGACGTGTTAGGCAAGGGAACCTTTAAGGGCGCAGAACTCGCTGAGGTCAGTACAATAATATTTTGGCGCAATAATTTTGCTAATTTGAACGGGATGTAGGCACGTGAAGGTCCAGTGCAGTTCGAGAAGGAGGCTGCGGATCCTTTCCAAGTGGACGATTTTATGTCCAAGGTCGACCAGAGCTCCTCATCAAAGAGAGGATATGGCTTGCAGGACGAGGACTCAAGGAAACCGAAAAGAGTAAGGGTGGAGGATGACGACGATTAACCATAGGTGTGTCGCAGTGTACTATACTGAGAGCTATTCCGACCAAGGGGTTACAGGTTCGGAAATAAGATGTACGGGAGGCTAATACTTTGCCATGCTCATAGTTAACCAAGAGCAGAGTCTCGTCTGAGTTATCATAGCGCCTGAACGAGATTATCATGCACACCCAACTTCGCAGTTGCAATAAGATTAGTCTGTTTCTGCTGTATACAAGCGCCAAGGTGAACTGTATCCCTCCGCTGTTAGTTACAGGATCGAAAATCACATCCCACTAGGTTTTGAGCACGCCCGTGTGGTTCATGCGATGGTCCCGCCGAGCCACAACGCCCCGGACAGTTCGTCGTGTGGAAGAGTTCGGCAGAAGTTGACCATCAAGTGGATGCCTAGTGACAAGAATGCGGGCCATCGGGGCCCAATGAGATTATTCGATGAGTTCGATGAGACGACAACAAGCAGATCATGTTCGCGGGGTGTTTAGGACCCTCTTTTTTTTTCTTTGTTTTTTTGTGATTGCTGGGAATCAACGGATCGGTGGTCGTCCGATAGTTGCGAGTGTGAACATAGGCATTGACGTGCTGCGATGAAACGACTATCCCCCGAGATTGTTGGGTCTTACTTGCCAAGGCTATGGGCTTCCTAGTTGCGTGTGTGCAAAGCACGTCACAAAAACTTGAGAAGCCAAGGTCTTTTGCCAGCTTTTTCCTCTTCCAATAAACTGGTCTATTGTAGGATAGATGTGAAGTCTAGACTAGCCATACAACTACCTACGCTAATTCTCCGGACTGTCGGTGGGTGACGCCAGCCAGTAAAAAGAACGTTACAGTACGTCTGTCAGATGAGGTTAGCTGCCGCCTGTCATGTTGTGACTGTGTAACGAAAATGTGAAATTATTCGCATAGAGGCGGCAGTCTAGATCGGATACCGGCAACCCCTGCATTAATTGACTTGCGGTTCTCTAAGGTTAGAAGCTTATCGTTCTGCACAGGTAACTACATTCGGGCAAGGAACGTGACTCGATGCCACTACTGTCTCAGCGTCGTCATCTTTGGCCCCTCTGCTCTCCGCTCCCCATCGTCGGCACTTCTGCCGTCTCATGGGATTCCTGGGACTAGTTGATGGGCGAAAATCTTATTCTATGACTATCTTCACCCACACCAGCTCCAACACATATTCGTGACAGGTTCGGTACCATAGGTTTGCATTGAGAGCACAGGCATTCCGATTACGCCAGGAGCAACAGGTGAGTGGGGGATGTGCAGACGAGAAACGGCCTCTGGAGAAAGATATGTATCTGCCCTGGGAACCTGACAGCACATATTGGGCCCGCGTCAACACGCGTCATTCCAACATGTCCAATGATTACTTTTCTTAATACTTGTTTATCTCCTCGGCTGGAACCCGCGGGCCGCGTAGTGGTGCTATTCTGGCGTCGTGCGATCTCGACGCACTCGCTGCATCTGTCTGGGTACAAGGTGCAAGGCATACAGCATCACCCCATCTCCAGTTTTCCGAAGGCGCAGCCGGCTGCCATTACGAATTGAAGACAATTTTGGCGTGGTGTTTCGTACGTGGCTACCAAATCCGGATAATAGCCCACCGACAGCTGTCAGCTGTCGGTGTGGTGCAAAGTTGTGTGTACGGGGATACTTGGGATAGTGTTTGGTTAAAACCTGCCGTTGGCGGCAACCCAATGCGACCATGTCGACTACCTCGTTGTATTCGCAGGATTCGGCACTTCTGTTTCATCCAAACAAACAACAATTGGGATACGTCCCGTTTGAGTATTGGAAAGGTCCCAAACCAGTCATACCCAAGTCGCAGCAACGGCTCGAAACCCGAGATTCCCAGAGGTTGACTCGTATCTCAGTAAAACCACTTCAGGCTATCGGCAGCAGAGCGGCGCAGCTTCTTTCCCCCGCGTTAGTGCGAGCATCCTTCAACGAGAAGGAGGAACTATACGAGACAGACGGCAACAAGTCGTCGTCTAGTATTATGGGATTTAACGGCACAGATGCGGGTTTAAGATCGGGTGGTCCTTCTACTTTCAATGTTCGCGACGCCAATGGTGACGTTGAGTTACTATCTGGACCTCCACCCTCTTACACGAGAGGACCAGAACATTCATCAGCAAGAAACATGGGAGGAAGTAGCAACTCACAGTGGAATTTTCGGACTTGGCGAAAGCGTACTTGGGCCATCATTGCGACTGTTCTAATTGCTATTATCATCGCAGCTGTCGTCGCTGGTGTTTTGGTCTCCAAAGCAAACCGCTATCCCGACTACAGCAAGCTCAGCTACAGCTTGAAAGACACCTGTCAGTCCCGCACCCCATTTTCAATCATGATGAATCATCACTGACGAATTGTTTGAAAAGACTCTGGAGAGACCTTCTTCGATCAATTTGATTATTATGAGGGGTACGACCCGACAGAGGGTTTCGTTCACTATGTTCCGCAAACAACAGCAGAGTCACTCGTGAGTCAGCCCCCTTGTACAACTCTCAGTAGACAACATGATGCCAACCCGCATGATCTCAGAACCTGACTTATGCCTCAAGCGACTCGGCCATCTTGAGAGTTGATACATCGGTCGGAAACACCTCAGAGCCAGATGCCTCAACTGGGCGTTTCTCTGTGCGTATTACATCCAAGACGCAGTACGACAATGGCCTTTTCGTCTTCGACATCAAGCACACTCCCTACGGCTGCGGAACTTGGCCAGCTCTCTGGCTTACTGACCCCGATAACTGGCCGACCAACGGTGAAATTGACGTCATGGAAGCTGTCAACTTGGCCACGGACGGCAACCAGATGACCCTCCACACCAGCGACAACTGCGCGATGAACGTTAAGAGGAAGGAGACCGGCACGGTCCTAACCAAAAACTGTTACAATGGAACCAGCGACAACGCCGGCTGTGGTGTGAGAGGCAGTGACTCTAGCTACGGCACTGAGTATAACAGTGCCGGCGGCGGCATTATGGCGCTCGAGTGGCGAGACGCTGGTATCCGCATGTGGCAGTTTGCCCGAGGGTCGGTACCCTCCGACATCACCAACGACAGTCCGGATCCCAGTACTTGGGGTACGGCAACTGCCGACTTCCCCAACACGGATTGCTCTATCAGCTCGCACTTCAAGAACCAAAGCATCATTGCTAATATCGACCTTTGCGGCACTTGGGCTGGAAGCGAGAGTATCTATGGGGAGAGCGGCTGCCCGAGCAGCTGCACCGATTTCGTTGCCAACTATCCGCAGAACTTTACCAACGCGTATTGGGAGTTTGGATCGTTCAAAGTCTACTCTGCCTCGTGATCTGGTATCACGCATGGGCTGGCCTTGGCGTTTGTGGTGTATAGTCCTGGACGGGATTTGACTTCTTGAGGAGAGGTAGATTTCTTTTTCAGCGTCGGCGTTTTGGAACTCCAGACGGTACCTAATGGACGAGATCAAAAGCAGCCTGTTCAATCGTATCGCGGGCGATGATTTTTGGCTTGATTGTGGTCAACCAGGGATAAGGAGATGGTCACTTTGGTGGTCAGGCACTATATCCTGACAAAATTATAGTGCCACATGAAGATTGTTCTATTCAAACACAACGAGAGATTCCGTTTAGGAGCAAAGATGCGAGGACAATTGTAGAATAGTTGCGGTCCGTAGACTATGGTTGTAATTATATCGAAATACAAGTGGAGATGTCATCGTGCCATCTATATCTATCGTAATATCCAAGAACGCCACAGCTATGCGGATGAGCGCCCAACGCCTTTTTACACGTGCCTTCCCGAGGGTCAATACCGACGCGGCACTCTTGTACACCAATACACTTCATCATACAGACGGTTCTCAGGTTATGAGTATGCTCTTTCTCATCCTCGCTCACTCCCCTCCCCTTCCCCTTACCTCTCCCTAGTCCACATCATTACCCCCAAACCCCGTTATTCCTCACCCGGACTCCTCATATACGCATCAATAGCCGCACTAAACGCCGCGAAAGCCGCACACCCACCGCCCGCAGCAATGGGGCCCCCTGAACGCGCCAGAATACCGCCCGTGAGACATCCCGCAGCCACGCCGTTGAACATGTCGTTCTTGGCGCGGAACCCCTCAATGCCGCACTCGATGCCCGCGAACAGGCCGCCCACCTTGCCGAAGTTCTTGGCCATTCCATAGGAGCGGCTGCCCATGTCTTTGAGGCCGATCTTGACCTGCTCCTTCGTCGAGAGGGCTTTGAGGTTTTCGGCGGGTCCGGGCGCGCCTGGGACGTGATAGGGGGTGTCGTATTGCATCTGTTGGGGGGAGAGAGTCAGCAAATGTGTGTGTAGGAGAGTAGAGCTAGGTTCAAGGAGCTTGCCCCTCCCCATAGGTACTAATTGCTGCGGAGGGAAGAGTGGGGAGGAGACGTACAGATGCCATGAACATTCCGAACAGACCGCCCATTCCGAAACCCATGACTCCTGAGATTGCCGTCTTGCCAAAACAGGACTCCATCATCGCTTGCATCTAGATAGGACCAGATCAGTATTCGCGCCTAATATCGCATCGATCGGTGCAGACCATACTGCTTTGACATTTGGGTCAGTCTGAGGACCATACGGGCCCTGCGGGACCCCGGCTCCTCCTGGTAGACCATTCATGGTTTTGAGGTCGTGCGATCGGTTGGGGCTTCGTTGTGCTGATCGAGGTGCACATCGTCGTCGGATGATAGTCAGCTCTGAAGTGGTTATCGCGGCGATAAGGATGGATTTTATTCTGCCTCTGGGTGCCGCCTGCTTCTTTTGACATTTTGTTCAAACGTACTTGTACTAAGTTGGATTATAGTCTTCTTCCGCTTGAGCTAAAATACTGTGCTACCCGAAACTTGACACATTGTGCTTAGTCACGACTTACTCCTGGCCAGGCCTCAGTCATCTGATGGAAGCACTAAAGCTCAGCTTCACGAGTTGAAAAACAAACAAGCCCATAGTGCTTCAGGAACATTTCCTATCATTGTTCATTACATACTTGGGTATCATGTGTCCTTGGTAGTCCTCATTGTCGTCATCATCATGATGAACAAGACTTCAAAACTGATTATTCCCAATGGGAATCGCGCACTTTTTCCCTCAGAGCCAGCATGGCAACTCACGCACATGTTTCAGAGAGGGGAGACGGGGATCGCAGAAAGTGTTTTGACTTCCCCGGCAATCCCTCTTGCGGCGCTGCCAACTTCAAGGGAACCAGTCGGTGCATTCATGCCTGTGGCCATCGTGGAGCTCTGATCCTATCTCTCGGGCCTGTGGCGTTTTTGGTCGATCAGGCAGCACTATGTATTCCTTCCACCCCTGGAGGGTACAGCGTATAGCTCGTGGGGCATCGCTTTGCCGTCCCATATCATTTCTAGATACTAGACTGGTTGTTTGTAGATGAGCGGCAGCTAAGTCGAGTCAGGTGGATTTACATACTTTTCCTAGAAGTTCCACGCTGTAACCACTTCCCAGTGCAATCGGCATGAAAGAAAGCAGCATACGTGGTAGTTGTGACTGCCTTCAAATTGGTGCTCGTCCAGAAGCTCAACACAGCTTCGGGCAGACTCGACCGCTTCGATGTTCTTCTTGCCTTCGTAAATGGCCTAAGGAAAGACGAGGTCGGGTTTCTTCCATTGGCTGCCGACGACAAGCCCGGAGCGGAAGCCGTGCAATTGCCGGTGCCGGTTTTTGCTCTGACAGAGCCGGTGTGGCTGCTTCGGTGGGGGTGTTGTCTGCTCCCCGGCCGTGGCATCTCGAATCTCTTGAGTCGGAGTAGGAGGCCAGTCCTAAGGTGAGATTGGAGAAACGTCTTCGGACTGCCGTGTTACCGTCGTGGTTTTGTTCCGAGTAATCGTACTGACGCTTTGTTGTGAATACCGTTGTTTTTCTCCTCCCTCTTTCCACCTCCACGATATCCCGCAATAGTTACAATCCAAACTCATCATAATACTTATAACCTTAGCTGGGAATTCGATACCCATCTATCAAGCCGTCTGTTGCGTGATTATGCACGAAGCGCATTGAAAAAGACAATCCACATCTGCAGAAAAGAAAAGACGGAACGCCTCGCGTATAAAACTAGGCAACATAGTTGATTTCATCAATATCACGAATGGGACGGTATTATTGGTCGCTGACAGGTGAAGGAATGTGTATATTCAGGGGCAAGCGCCACCTAAGAACTATGTGAAAACCACCCGAACGCCACGAGGCGTCAAGATGCCACATGAGAAAGGCAACTAGCTGTATTTACAAATATGATCAAGAAGTGCGCCATGTGGCGCAGATATTGTTCTTTGAACAGAAAGAGACATGAATCTGTGGTATCCCTATGGGGGGTATGTTAGCTTGATATGAAGGCGCCATGGAATAAATGGAAAAGACCCACCCTCTAGTTGACGGGCTGGAAACCATCCTCGTTCTTGCACTGGTCGTTGTAGTAGTCCTTGTAGGCCTGCTGGTCGGCAGGTTCGGGGCAGGCGCTGGCGATGTTCTCGATGCCGCTGCGGATCGAGGGGCTGGCGCAGAGGCAGTCCCTGTCTGTTGAAATCAGATTGTGCACCCCTAGTATTAAGGGGTTTTCCTGGGGTAGCGGCGGGTTTGGGCCGGGAAAGGCAAACAATTAGAAGATGACATACCGGCCTGGCCACAGCCAGATGCCTGCAAGGCCGCGGCGAGACTATCGACTCCGCAAGCGGGCAGGTCCTGGGCGACGGCGCCAGCGATGAGGGCAGCGGCGGAGGCGAAGATGAGAGTGAACTTCATTTTGAATGATTGGGTGAGAGTTGTGACGGGAGGTTTGGTTGAGTGTGTTGGTGGTTTGGTGGTTTGGTGATGATGAGAATGTTGCGAGTTGATGCTGATGAGGAATCGGAACCTGAGGAGGACGAAGCTGGATTCTTATAGTAAAAGGAGTCTCATTTTTCATATGATCCAAACTTTGCACACTTCGCGATATAATCTTGTCAGGCATGTTCGATCTAGCCTCGCGTCTGCATACGAAGCTCGACATGGTAAGCAGAACTCAGATGACGGAAACAATTTTATTACCGTCAAACAAGTAAGCGCGTGACTAGTCGGGACCCTAAAGTTGACCAAAAGTTTCGTGCCGCTTGTATAAACCAAGTCGAAGACATGGCGTAAGAGCAAATATGTCTGCAATGCGCATCTGTTGTTCGTCGGCCGGGCTTGATATGAGCTAAACTTGAAAGTAGAGTGACCAATTGCTTCAGTCAGAACTCCTTGCTCTGATCCTCACGTAGATACGTCGTTGTTTTGTGTACATGTTTTCAAATTCATTCACTTTGACGTGTACGTGTGGCGTCTCCCTACACGCAGACTTGGGATCCCTGAAGCTCTGGGGCATGCTGTCCGAACGGGAACCCGAAAGTCAGTAGGACTTGACATTCATGAGTCAATACTCGAGAATTATCATGGTTTCATGCCGATGATTGTATAAACTTGCACCATATTGTCGATATGACATTGAGAGTTCGTGTTAGAGTTCCCGTCAACCCGCAAGCCAATCTGTCAGTATAGGCTAATATGTATCTAACGGCCATGCACCCCAGATGTGCACAAGACACCGAAACTTCCTGCAACCTTCGAAAGGTCATTTTCAAGTTTTAGCATAGTTACGTGGATCAACCTCTTTCAATTTCCCTTGCTTGGACGAACTCACTTGCTTACACGAGCAGGCCAAGGTTTACAAGAACGCGGTCATAATCATAGCTGACCCTGTGACGGGACATACTTTTTGTATATTGTTGACTGACCCACGATTCATGTTGTGTTTCCTCACGCCCATATCCTCACTTGCTTAACTTCCATTGATGTCACTTTGCGGATTTCACGGTTTGTGTTGCAGAACTCTAGACGTAATCGACGTGTCGTGCAGTTTTTTTACAATGTAGTCTCAGATAGATCAAACATGTGTGACTTAACTACTACAACTCTCTCGTTTGGCCCTGAAAGTTGTACATTTCCAGAGTAACGTGACACTTGTGCCTTTATGTGGCTTTTCTTCTCGCTGCCACATTATCTTTTCCCAACCCATCCTATTCCCTGCAACGACAAATTACCTGGGTGCACGTCTCAAAGCAAAAGTTGTTGGAGGGCAGGGCAAGGGGAGAGAAGGGGGCTCACCTTGAAGAGAAAGGCATGCCAGTCGTGGCTACTTTTGTTGGATGGAAGAAACCAAGCTATTGGGCAGCGTACAGTCACTGTAGGTACGGTCCACTAGGGTCCTTGCAGATTGGCCGATTGCAGTTGAGCTTGGTGACCCCTTGCTGGGCTACACACAAAATGTTTGAGTCATTCTTGCGACCAACTAGCACCACTACACGGTTCGAATGTGTACTGTTATGCAACCTCTATACCGTATAATTCTCGCTATGGAGTAATTTACTGGATGAAGTGCTTCTGCTGGTGCCAATGGTCTTCCTTACATATAAACATAAGAGCTAGCTCCAGCAGGTTCACCCACAGCTTCTGGGCGCGGCATTTTCGCAAAACACCAGCAGCATCCACACTGGTTTGCATTATGTCACCCTTTATTCTGGCAAACGTCTGTCTGGGTCCCTGTTTGTGTACACTGCGCACGTTTCTTCGCTGGCTTCAAATGCCGGCCTCAAGCTACGCCCCACGTTAACGAAAATAAATAGAAGAATAATCACCCGGCTGTCGTTGCCTTGAGATCTGTACAAGCCCTTCCCTCATGCCAATGTCCGTCCCCTTTTCCTAGTGGCGATGCATATTTTGAACACCCACAACCAAGATTGCTGGGTGCCAATCCCCGCCACAGCTCCAGCTACGAGACGTTAAGCGGGCAGAGATAACGCTGCATGAAAATGACGACTGGGCAGGGGAGAACACAAGAGGTATATTTGGCCACCCAATCCCTGCCACTTTGCCATATAATTCCATACCAAAGACTATGGCATCATGTCTTAGATGGCCGATGTCTAACGCTGTCGAGTGCCCGAGTGTCAGCACGCATATCTTGATACAGCTGCTTCCATGTCTACTTCAGGAACATCTCCTGTCCATTCCGTGTGGATCTTGTGCGGTCCACATGATCCAATCCGAGAATCATATCGTCCTCAACTGCACCACCCTCGGCAAAAAGACAATCATCTACAATACTGTCAGCTGATCTTCTCCAAATGCAACGCTTCCAGAGACTTACCATCTTTAAGGTAAACTGGCTTTTGATATCGCTTGATTATGGCGAACTTAATCTTCTCAAAAGCCTTGCCCTTGATGCCTGTGCGCTTTTCAAGGCGCTTCTTTGTTTCCGAGAATTCCTCACCCTGACTTGTTAGCTTGTTTATCTCCACATACACACACACACACATGTTTGCTATTCGTACCTCTTTCAGCAAGAACTTGAAGGGGATGCCGTGCACCCTCGTGGGGTCTGACTGAAAGTGCATGACCTTGATGAAATCACGTTCATCAACGTCAAGCTCTTCGTCCGGAATCCGCTCTGCAACCACATCCGCATAATCATTAATACTGAGCACTGGATAGCTTGGTGCGAGCTCCCTGAAGAACTTGTGGTGGTGAATCTCGTAGACTCGTATCCGCCCGCCTTCTTGCTCATCCTTGATTTGCGCCTTCTTGGAGAATGCCTGAATGAGATCTTCGATATGACCTTGTTTGTTGACAAGGACATCGAAGGTTTCCTGTGACACCAAGGTTAACTACTTGTGGGTTGTCCAATGAGCCAAGACGACCTACATCTTTGGTGATGCCTTCGGAGAGCCAGGTCACCTTGACATTCTTCTTTGTGTCCAGCTCAGCAAGACTCATTTCAAGAATTTCAAAGCACAGTACGTCTTGCTTTGTCTGCGAGTTCGTCTGCGTATAACTGTGAGGATTGAGGATCTGGTGGAGTGTTTGGTTTGCCGTGCGCCTGATGGGTCCTTTCGGGTTACCACTAGTAGCATTGACAGACCAGAAGCGAATATGTGTCGGATCGACCTTCAGGCCATCGGCAACACGTTCGGCCAGTTGGTCGTAGCTTATTTTACTGCTGAGTGTGAGTATGAAGCTGTCATATTCTTTGTCACACCTGGTCGGGTGCGGGTAGAAGCGCACGTCCTTCTTCCAACACAAGAAGTCGTAGAAGTCGCGAGCGTCATCGAAATGGTCCCATCTCTTGACAACACCATCCGAGGGCTTATCGCCAAGTCTCGTTATCTTACCCAGAATCTCACCTGAGGCCTTACGCTCCGGTACTCGTTGGAAACAGATAATATCGCCATCCTGCAGCTCGGCGGCCTTCAAGGACTGCTTCGCTTTGAGGGTCTCAATCATCGATGGCTTGATCTCTTCCCACATTGCCAGTTGCTCTCCTGGAGGCAGCTTCTCCCCCCAGCCCATCTTTTTGGAGAGTATGGGAACCAGCTCCTCAACCTTCTTCTCCTTGCTGACATAGACGTGGCCAACACCCTGGAGAGTTTGCTTCTCATGGTCAAAGTATTTCAAGAATAGGAGTATCAGGTCCGTCTTGACAATGACACCATTGGCGTTTCCTTGATAAGTTGGCCAAACAGCCTCGCCCTGAGCGTTGAGTTCTTCCGCGACCTCGACCCAGAGGCGGAGCGAGTAATCCCGGCTAGTACTGGCTGACCGCGTATATGTTTCCTCCACGGTGGGCTTGAGATCCATGATGGGTTGGTCAGGTCTCGTCGTTTTGTTTTGTCTATTGACCATGATCCACAGGCGTATTCTGCGGGGATCCTGTTGGATATCTTCTGCGATGGTCGCAAGAAGCTCTTCCATTGTGGATCTTTTTTTGGTTTTGTAAAGCCTTGGTGCAGCAGGATCGTCCTTGGGATCCGCATCGAAATTGGTCAAATCAGTGGCTCCATGGTTCTTGAATGTTTCCTCGGTGATGACCTTGACGGGGCAGTAGAGATGCTGCTCTTCACGCTCCTTTTTCTTGGCCTCCTTTGCCGCAGCCTCTTCTGTCAATCTTCTCTCTGTCGACGCGTTAGTTTCGCTTGCATCAAAGCAATGGACTGAAAAAGGCTACAACTTACCTAGATGGGCCGGCACGTCTTCTTGGCTCACAGGTGTCAAGACTTGGTCTAACCGAGACTCTCGAATGTAGACTAACATGTATGCACTCATCTGGCGGATGACAGGTTGCTTTCTCTGCTGCAATGCGGAACGAAGCTGGGGATTGGAGGTCTTGTATTCGCCACCATAGTTCTCCTCCAGGGTTTCTCTCATCGTTGCCTTGGTGACTTTGTCATCGTCAAACTTGTGGAACCATCCATCTTTATTTGGTTTCAGGAAAGCATAGTAGTGTCCCGCGTTAAGGTCTCCACTGTGCACCAGAACACCATGAAGCTTGTATACCCAGGGTTCAGACATATCAGCACCCTTCTCAAGGTACGGTGCTACGTCAAGGGTATCAGGAAACTCAAAGCGGTCGTTCACCTTCATCATGGCGTCGCGTTGAATGTCGTACTCGAAGCGCTTCAGGTGCAGATGCAAAACCTCGGGAAAGCTTGTGAATATAACACCTTTGTGCGCGTCTTGGTATTTGAACTCGTCACCAGCCCAGTACTTGTTCTCACCGTCAAGCGTTTCCTGCTGGATGTAGTCCTTGAAACTGTCCTGGAGGGTCGAGATACCTCGGACATTCAACTGAATATCCCAGAAGTCCTCAATGCGGCTTGATTCGTAGTCTACGTCGATGCAGGAAACGTAGGTTTTGACCTTGCCACTGAGCATACGCGGGAGAGCATCCTCGGCGTCGGTGCCCTTCATCCTCTCCTCCATGCGCTCAATGAGTTTTCTCGATAGCTCCTGCACATCCTGCTGCTCGAAGATATGCCGCGTATCCCAGCCGAAAGACTTGGTGAGCTCGTTCGTCCCTACCGCAGAGTTAGATGTCTGGAGCTGGTAGAATAATCTCTGCAGTGTGTAGGCGCTGTTGGCGATGCTCTCGTCCTCGGCTGTGGGTATTTGATATACAGCTTTCCGGAAAGCATTGGTGAAGTACAAGGACTGGAGCAGCGAGTTAAGGTAGCACGTGGCACCTTGGTTCTTCAGACCGACGTAACCGGTTTCCTTCTTCGAGTCGTAGTTATTGAAATTGTGCCATAACACGCCTGTCTCATCCTCCACAATCCGGACGTAGGCAGTGAGGTTGCAAGATTCGTTTTCGCATAGGGGGCGATCTGAGTCCAGCCAAGGAAGCTGAAACATCTTCTTGAGCTCCAGGAATCTGGTGAACCCCCAGTCGCTTTCCTCTTTAGTGAAACGGTGGTGTGCGTTGTGGTGGGAGAATAGAGAAGGATCGTCTATGTTCCACATGACCAAGCCGAATTGCACACAGCAGCTCCAGTCGTCAGGTATCTTGCTGGTATCCTCAAACCCATGCTCGAGATATATTGAAGACTGGTCAACATTGTTACCAAAGGGAAATAGGAGAATTCGCCTAACGACACAGATTTAGAAAAACATCCAGAAAATGCATTCAGAGGATGGACTGACCATGGAAATCCACCAGCGTGGAAGACAGGGCCATGTTCTTTCTTGTTCAGAGACCTCCAGTTCTCCACTGTCCATGTGTGAACGGCATCTTCGAGGATCTTGGGCTCTTCGATGAGTGTAGGAAGAACAACCTCCTTCATAGCCTCATCTGCACATTCCCAAGTCAGCGCAAGCCACACCTCCTAACATTTCGCAGAAAACATACAGTCCGTCGCAAGCAAGATTCTATCTGGCTGGTCTGGGTTGATGATGGCAACTTCGTCTTTCTCGTTGTCGGTCGGTTGGACGACATAGTCGTCCTGGGTGTCAACTACCATGTCGTTCGGCGAGTGTATCTCGGAATCGTAGCTCTTCACGGCGGACAGGAAAGTTAGCATGCGTCTGGATCGGAGGGTTCGAAGTAGGCAACTTGAGTGCTGGCAGGAAGGGAACCCGCCCGTCGTAGCAAGCCGCAAAACAAACAGCCAAGTGGACAGAAGGCCCAGCGCATCAAAAAGGGTTATTTGTGCCCTGCCAGTCAGAAGACAGGGAGGCACAGCGATAGTTGAGTAGAAGAATGAAGTATAAAGCATGCGACCAAGAAAAGCAGTCATATGCAGAGTTAGCCGGTAGATGGAAAGGGTGCTATCTCACCATGTCTGCAGTGGGTGTGTGCACCGATACTATGTTTGTGGGAGTATCACCCAAGGGCAGTGTCGACTTGGGTCAGCCGTGAAAGATGTCGTCGTTGTCACGATTTCCCTTCAGCGGGGTCGGTTGTTCCTGCGGAATGAAGAATGAAGGAAGGAAGAAGGGAAACGTAATAGGCCTCGTTTCGGCGAAATAGGTAACAGCAACGTAAGGGCAGATTGAGTGACGTTAACTGTGAGTGCAAGGTAAATGTAGGGACAGACACAATTGAGCGCTGGATGGTGAATTGGTTTCCAAGAAGACAGGGAAGCTTTGCTGATGTTGCTTCACACACACATCACGCATTGGATTGACAAGGTTGACACCAAAGACGGAACCATTTGGGTGGGCTGTGGTAGAACCAGAAGCAGGCGCAGCAGAGCAAAGAACCAGAACACGGCTACCACTCACCTGCCTTCACGCCTTGTGGGGGCCTTGTACCCCTCCATTAGCGCGGTACATCAAGCACGGCTCTAAGGACGTGGATCTTCGAGTAAGCATCTCCCGAGGTCCTCCCAAATGCATAAAAGCCGCTTTTCTAGGCTTGTAACAATGACTTTGAAGGCCAGCTCCAGTTACAGCCCCAAGGGCAAATGTATCTGCTTATTTTTTTCTGGACAAAGTGACTCCAGGGTGCCCCACCAATTCTATATCAAATGACGTGTATCGTGCTGAGCATCGCTATCACGACAACTGAACATGGCAAATGTCAATATGCCGCTTGAAGCAAGCTAGCAATTGAGCACACTGGAGCAGCACACCTAACCTCAAATGCAATCAATGAACAGCAGTTTCTTAACCATTTGCACCTAACGTCACATTGTTAGGCATCGCTTTTTTACATAGTATTGTGAAATCGTCCAAGGTAGTATTAGAGGTAACAGGGCAGGTCTGTTGCTAAGTTCCTCAGATATGCTATGTTATAGCTGCCTGAACTACTTGCAGATGAAGGGTCACTATGTAACTTTTCGAAAATATTATATGTATAGTAGATAAAAGTTCAAATTGAACCTCTCCTCTTATTTCTAGATTGTTGACTGTTTGTAATGTCCTAGCTAGCTGGTTTTGTCCAGTTTTGTCCTATTCACTGTCATGTGGCAGTTGACCTATGTACGCAAGCTCACAAGCTTAAGGACCTCGGCAACTACAGCATTCCCGTAACTTCCACTCGGTATTTGATGTGTAACCTGAATGGTGGTTTGCCCACTTGTTTTGTGAAAAGGAGCATTAATCACTGTTGTCGGAAATGAAATAGCCCTGAGGGGTTGCTTGTTAGTTGAAGGTTCCAAGGCTTACTTACATAGGCATATGCTATTCATACTTGCATCTAACCGCATTGACCACCTTTTTGCATGCACCCCCATTTTGCAGGGTCTAACTGAATCAACCTAAATACTTCGTCCATATTATTTATATACAGAACATACTTAATTTAAGTGTCCGAAGACTTAGATATATTATTTCGAGCCCTCTTTTTAGGAGGGACCCTTCCTTCGAGAAAACTATCAATTTCTAACTGCTTATCCGGTAAAATAGGCCGTATTCGCTTATTTCGCTTGTCCTGGGCTGTTCGGATCGCTGATAAGTTAACGAATACTTTATTCGGGTCTGGCTCGACGGGCTGGCGTATATCTGGAGCGTATTTATCGAGTTCTTTATATAGTTGCTAGCTGACACATAAGGGGGTTTAGTCAACCCTTACGGCGCGCTGCCCACCTTGTTGACTTCGCCTACCTAGCGATAATAGGGATATTGGTGCAGTTTAGGATTACGAGCATCCTAGCCAGTCGACCGTCAAGCACTACGTCGGCGGAATATAACTCGACAGCCGGTCCAGAATTCGGATCGTTAATCCGACCCCTTATCGGACCTCGCCTATCCGATAACGCTCGTCGGCGAACCCGTCCCCTCACGATAGAAGGCGCGCAGCACGCCCACTCGCCGCGATTCATGCGAGCGTCTAGACCACGTTACGGTCTATCCACTTGAGCGTATGGTTGAGATGTATACGCTCGACGAGAACCCCAATTAGCAGATACTACGACTTGTCGCGACAAAAAAATAGTCGAGCATCTTCTGCACATCAGCAGCATCCCACCCCTGAGGACGAATTTAAGTGCCACATTACCACACTTATCGGTAGTTCAGGCAAGGGTTGTAGCACAGACTTAGGGAGGGACAGGAGGTTTAGTAGTCGTTTGGCTACAAGTTTACCTGTATAACCGCCCGACGCGGCTTAAGGGCCCGCTATATCATCTATAGCCCCTTAAGGGAGTACTTGTAGAGGTACCGAGGGTTAACACCTACGGCGTATTTAATATTATTATTTTATATAGTTGCTCGTTTTCGATACGTAATTTGCCATTCTCGGCGGCCTGGAGTGTAAGGGCCTTGCCCGCCTTGCCTACTAGGGTACGAATCTGACGAGATACCCCGCCCTCAGCTTTCTCTATCGACTGTAGTTGGCTAGATAGTTGCTGCGCTTTCTGAGGAGTAAAAGCAACTAAAGGTGGTGATATATGAGGCGGAGGATCTGGTGTATGAGGCTCCGGAGGATCACAAGATACGTCGACTAGTCCTTCGGAGCCTAGGGGCCATATACCAGTCTTCCGCCAGCCAGATTTAATATTTTCCGTAGTAAAGGCTCTCTCCGAGGCACGTAGATATGCTTCTAGCATACGTTGCTTGTAAATTGGGGCTGTAGCCTTGTAGGAAGCGTAAGCCCTGAGCTCTTGGCGGTAGTAGGTCTTCAAAGGTGAGAACGGCCCGACATGGCACGGCTGGAGATCGTCACTGTAGTGTGAGGGTAAATACAGCACGGCGACTCTATTCGAGTAGGCTTTCCACATAAATTCGGCATGAATATGTGTCTGGTGGCCGTCGAGGATAAGGAGTCGCCATTCGGTACCCCTAGGCTTCGTCTCGGGGAGAAAAACCTGATCTAACCACCTATTTGCGATAACTTTATTACTCCAGCCCTTACTCGTCGCGGTGTATTCCCACTCAGGCATATTTTGGTCTGGGAACCACTGTGCTTGGACTCTCTTGCCGGAAAATACGCAGACAGGTGTACCCCGTTGGCTATGCGAAATGTACTCTAACCAGGAGCACCACGACGAAGCGTCCGACTTTGATACACGTACCTGGCGTGAATTAGACGTCCCAATAACCGTACCATGCCCAGATTCCCCCTCTTGGACACCTGTCTCATCCATATTATACTCGTTGTCGGGTTTGATACGATACTTCGTACGTAAGCGTTCGAGGAGGGTGTAGAAGTCTCGGATCTTGTTCGAATCGGACGCTCTAACTCGGCTAGCATCTACGACGCGCCCAATTTTGGTACGTATTTGTGGATGGCGGCTAACGAAGTGATCCACCCAGTGTTGGCCGAGTGTATTGTTATCCCCTTGAGCAAGGAGGATTTCGGCAGCGAAGTCGGCCACATAACGCTTGCTAGGAGCCCGTCCACACACTTCTTCGTGTAGGATCCAGTTCACGATAACCTCCTCTTGCTCTGGAGTCAACTTTTGTTGGCTGGAGGCCGCGTCGCGATGCGAATTACCGTGACGAATACAGTAGGACAGTGTAGTCCCCTTGATACCGTACCGATGAGCTGCTACGGCCTGGGAAGAGCCCTGACGGACAAGCTCTTTAGCGCGTTCAATTCGCTGCTCAAAATCGTCCAGACTATTCTCCACTGGATTAGCCATTTTGTACGTAGATAGGGAGCAATTGCGAGGTAAATTGAGAGACGCCGTGTTGTTGAGGCGTAGAAATTTCCTGCAAAATGGGGGTGCATGCAAAAAGGTGGTCAATGCGGTTAGATGCATTTGAGGTTTTCAAGGCTGACCCAAGAGAGCTGGGTCTTCACAATCTAGATGTGGAACCCCGTAGACAAGATGGACATGCATACAATACTAAGTATTCAAGACTGCAGTAATTTTCAGTGTCACCAGAATGGAGAACACAATCTGAGAATCATCAAGGTGAGAAACTGGTACTCTTACGATGCCTCAAAGCCAGGCTCTTTACACAGCCAAGGTAGGTGAAACTGCTTGAAGGTAGATGCAAACGCAAGTTCAGCCCACTCTGAAGCTGCCTCTATGCAAGCTTCGAGCACCGACAGGAGGAGCTAAGCTGGAGAATGTGGGGTAGGTAAACGACCAAGTCCAAAGCTCCAGTCTAAGTGCTGTCAGAGCTCTGACGGGAAATAGGTACCTTTCAATTGTACTTGCAGTCATACTTTGCAAACTCGGCCTCGCAGACAGCACCAGCCTATCTTGTAATACCACCTCAGTTGAACAGCTATTTCGCCCATATTTGCGCCAGCAGTGTTCGCAATATCTGCGTACCTCTATGGAAGTGTCAACATGTTGTCATCCGCGGTGCACCATGCCGCCAAGACCCTCAAGTTCATACCGGCCCTGGGACGAATAGCTTCAACAGCACTTTTACAACAACGCATTAGCCCCCCACATAACACCTCGATCGCAGGGAGCTTGCCACGACGGCGCTGGATACAGACGACGACGAAATGGCGTCCAGTTCAAGTTCTTGACGAGTGAGCTGCCCACCATGCCATGCTGCCAAAGCCGCGGTGTCGAACCCACAGCTGACCAGACGCCCTCTCTATAGATGGGTAGCCAAAGAAGCGCGCCCAATCTCGCTCCGCCAGCTCATGGTCTTCGGCCGCTCCCTGACCGAGTCGCGTCTCCTTTCGTCGGCCAACTATGTGCGCACCGAACTGCCCACCCGCATAGCCCACCGCATCCGCGACATGCAGGCGCTACCGTACGTTGTCGTGACGAACCCGCACATCAGTGAAGTGTACGACCTGTACTACCAGGCGTTTGATAGCTTTCGACGCGTCAAGGAGATCAAGACGCTCGAGGACAACGAGAGGCTCTGTCAGGACATTGCGCAGATGTTGAGAGCACACTTGAGTGTGATACCCAAGCTGGCCATTGGTGTCTTGCAGTCTGCAGACCTTATGGATAAGGGAGAATTAGACCGGTTTATGAATACCGTACTCAGATCGGTAGGTACAACCTCGTCTACTCTAGGATGGACATATCCAAACTGGAGGGCAGTATAGCTGGCGAAGCAGATTGGGAAAGAAGAGCTAACTTATATCACAGCGAATATCCCGTAGAGTGATTGCAGAGCAACACCTCGCTCTGACCGAAACCTTCAACTCGGACTGGTTTTCACCAGGCGCCAAACTTTCCGAATCCGAGTTCATTGGGGAAGTATTCCTCAAATGCGTTGCCAAAGACGTCGTAGAGCAGTGCGGTAAGGCTGTGCAGAGACTCGCCTGCACCGCCAATGGACCAGATACCAATATCCCCGAGATCAGAGTCAGCGGACATATGGACGCAAATTTCCCATATATCCTCAGTCATCTGCAGTACATAGTGGGAGAACTGCTGAGAAACTCGGTCCAAGCTGTCATCGACAAACAAAAGAGCAGTAAGGACCCCGATGGAACACCGCCACCCATCGAAGTGACACTCTGCGAAGCACAGCAGCACGTCATAATCCGATTCTCTGATCAGGGAGGCGGCATTCCCAGAGATATCCTTCCATATCTTTGGTCGTTCAGCAAGGGACCGCAGAGCACGCAGCGCCTAGAAAACCTGACGCAAGTACCAATGATGGCGGCAACTCTGCAGGAGTTGCGAGTGGATGGCAATTTCAGCGGATTGCAGGACGGCAAGATCGGACAGGACAGTTCCCTCACCTCATTATCGACGAGACCACCAAAGCTACGGTTGGGCATGGGTCTACCCCTGAGCAGGGTATACGCCGAGTACTGGGCCGGAAAGCTAGAACTACACAGTTTAGAAGGCTACGGCGTGGATGCGTTCCTGCAAATCTCGAAGCTGGGCAACAAGAACGAACAGCTCACCACCAGAGCGACTATGGACGCTGTATAGGACGAGCTCTATGATGAGCTCTCGGGGGTTCAATACTTCCCGGGTCTCCCTTTGGCGCTCGGCATCGTGGCTTGGCAGGATGGTAATAAATTAACTAAATCGGTGGAAGGGCAGAGAAAAACCAAAACGGCCAATTTTCAAGCCCAAGACTCACTAACAGAGAACGGAGCGGCGTCCAAGGAGTAGGATGTACGGGAGTCTGAGAAAAGGGATAATAATCCTGTGCGAAATAGGACTGGACCTGTGTTGGAAAATGGGGGCTGAAGTTAGGAGGATGAATTGTTGTTTTCGCGACAGGATATACCCGACGGAGAATTCTCAGCATGGAGACGGCGATCACAATTTAAAAGTAGACAAACTAGCGCATATGATTTTTGACTGGTATCATAATAGAATTGGATTACATCGTTGACTAAAAACCTGACCTATCGCGGGAAGAATGGGGGTCAATTGACACCCAACTAAAAGAGAATATTCTGGATCTCGGATCACATCCTCCGACGTTCTTAACCACTTGACCAGAGGCATCGGCATCTTCCTGCACCGCCCCTTTTAAAGCATGCTGCCTCGTCTCATCACGCGTCCAACTGACACAATTAGCTTGTAAGCATATCCATAAACCCAATCCCTGCAGGACAGGCGCGATAAATGCTTCTCGTCGACACGTCACCGCCATCCTGCGTGGAAGCGAGTATCACGAGTTTTGAAGTGACGCTCATAACATCGCAGAAACGAAGGGGTTTCTGGGTATATAGTGGGTACTTAGCGGCGACCGCTGCGAGCAACGCTGCCCTGCATTTGCTCTAGTTCGGTCTCGAGCTGCTTGATCGCGGCGTGGGTTGTCTCGAGGTCTTTGTTGAGACGGTCGCGCTCGGCAATGAGCTTCTGTTCCCACTGTCGGAAGCGTTGCTCTTCAATCTTAACCTGCTCGGTGAAGCGCTTGCGGAGGGCCTCCTCCTCCTCCTTGTACTTGGGGTTGTCGAGCTTGCGAGGGCGAGCCTCGCCGAACTTGCGCGTCTCCATCTGTTGGGCACGGTACGCCTCATAATGCAGCTCCTCGGTGGTGTGGATGAGGTCGAGCATGTGGGTGCGGATCAGGATGGATCGCAGCTTCTTGAAGTCGCAGTGGTCCTCGTTCTCGACCTCGGCAACACCCCACGAGTATTGTCGGCCCTTGACAATGCGGCCATCACCCGTCTTGACATCCTTTTCCGAGCCGATAATGGCGAATGGCATGGCAGCCATCAAGCTTCGCGCGTGCTGGGCAGCAGCCTCATCGTCCTCCTCAATTGGCGGTTGGTAAATCTTGATGCTCTGGGCCTCGATAACTGCACGAATCTGGCAACTTGTTAGTACTCAAGTCTGATGTCCACAAGTTTAGACAGCATTTACCTTGGCCTTGAACTTGGCAAGGTCGGCGGGGCTCAGGGTGTCAGCCTTTGCGATGACGGGAATCAAGTTCACTCTTGAGCAAAGTCGCTTCATAACCTCAATATCCAAAGGCTTCAGTGTGTGGCCAGTGGGTCTGATGAAATACAAGCAAGCGTGCACACGGAGATCGATCTTGTCTTGACGGCGGGGCTGCTGCTCCTGAAGCATGTACGACTCGTGCTGGTCGTCCAGAAACTCAATAATGGGCATCCATGAATCTCGGTTGTTGACATAATCGCCGAATCCGGGGGTATCGATGACGGTCAGGCGGACTGTAAGACCGAGGTTAGATTTGTATGCTCTCTTCTGCAGTGTATTTGTGAATGTGTACCCTTGAAGAACTTTTCCTCCAGCTCGGCCTTAGTGATCTCGATCTCAACGGTCTTGTCGACCTGCTTCTGATGTCGTCGCTTGTGGTCGGCGTAGTTCTTAATGGTAGTGGAGAACAACGTGTTGATGAAGGTGGTCTTGCCTAACCCCGACTCTCCAGCAACCTGTCGGGCCTCATTAGCGATCCAGCTACACAATGTTATGGCCTTTAAATGCCTACCATGATCGTGAAGGCTGCACCTCTCTTGGCGACAATCTTGTGTCGCTGGTTGGGCAGATTGGCAATGCCAATGGGCGACGCGCTTTCAGCAGTGGCAGGAGGCATCTTGAAGGTCTAATGTGGAGCTGCTCCGAGACTGAGGAGAAGAGTGGTAGAGTTGAGGCAGCTGTCTTGAGCTCGGGAGATGGCGATGTTCACTATTGGCAGCTCGTCGTTAGGGTAGACGAAGGTTGCGTGCAGTAGGTTACGCGAAGTCTGGTCAACCCAATTGTTTTGTCGGAAGTTTGCAAATGAGCTTGCTTCTCAGGGGCAGAGAAACGACGTTCAGGCAAATTTCCCACTTGAACCCGTCTTGACAACAGCAACCACAACTTTGGCTGGGGTCAGTGGCCCCTTCCCCTTGTGCTCTGCTCGAAGAAAGGTCCGTGCATACTATCTGACCGCCTATCATAGCTGTCTGCAACCCAAAACAGTTTAATGCAATTTTCCAGGGTACAGGGTCGAGTGTTGGGCCCAGGTCTGCCAAGGTCGGAGAAATCAACCAAGTACTTGCCGACGACAAGTCTAAAAAGTTTGGAACTCTTATCAGTGATAAGAGGTTGAGAAAAAGTTCACGGCCTCAAGCACCTTCCCAACTGCAAGTGCCTGTAGAATGGACGATTCGTGACAATGAAGACAGATTTCAAGGTGAGTCTGCCCTTTGATGCACTAGAATCAACTGAATTTCATGTTACTAAAGCAATGCTTAGTTCTCCAACCTTCTGGGTACGGTCTACTGCCAGGGGAACCTGCTCTTCTCCCCCGAAGGAGACAAACTATTTTCACCCGTCGGCAACAGGGTCACTGTTTTCAACCTTGTAGAGTGAGTAATCCTCGAAAATTTGGTGTTTGAGTATGCCCCTATTTCCTGACTAATTGTGACATAGCAACAAGTCTCACACTCTCCCGTTTGCCCATCGAAAGAATATCTCACGCATTGGTCTTACACCGCGGGGTAATCTCCTGCTTTCGGTCGACGAAGATGGCCATGCCATCCTTACCAACGTACCCCGTCGGATCGCCCTTTACCACTTCTCTTTCCGAGCGCATATTACTGCGCTTTCGTTCTCGCCGTCTGGGCGTCACTTCGCCGTAGGACTGGGCCGCAAGATCGAAATATGGCAGGTGCCGTCAACGCCCGATGCGAATGCCGACGGCGAGATGGAGTTTGCGCCTTTTGTGCGCTATCATACACATACTGGCCACTTCGATGATGTGCGGCACATCGAATGGTCGGCAGACTCGCGCTTCTTCCTCACAGCCTCCAAAGATCTAACCGCAAGGATATGGAGTTTGAACCCAGAGGAAGGCTTTACACCCACCGTCCTATCAGGGCACAAACAAGGCATCGTGGGTGCTTGGTTCTCGAAAGATCAGGAAAAGATATACACCGTCAGCAAGGACGGCGCTGTTTTCGACTGGGAATACACCACAAACCCAAATGCGCCGCCGCCTGAGGACTCGGACGATGAAATGCAAGGAGGTGACGACGAGCGTTGGAGAATCGTAAGGAGACACTACTTCATGCAAAACAATGCGAGTATCACGTGCGCCTCTTTCCACCCCGATTCCAACCTCCTGGTTGCTGGCTTCTCCAATGGTATCTTTGGTCTCTACGAAATGCCCGAATTCAACACGATACACACTCTCAGCATCTCGCAAAACGACATAGACTTCGTGACGATAAACCAGAGCGGGGAATGGTTAGCCTTCGGTGCTTCTAAGCTAGGTCAGCTGCTCGTTTGGGAATGGCAGTCTGAGTCCTACATCTTAAAGCAACAAGGTCATTTCGACTCGATGAATTCACTCGTCTATTCACCTGACGGCCAGCGAATCATTACGACCGCAGACGATGGCAAGATCAAAGTATGGGATGTGGACTCAGGCTTCTGTATCGTGACCTTCACCGAGCATACGAGCGGCGTCACAGCCTGCGAATTTGCAAAGAAAGGCAACGTGCTCTTCACTTCAAGTCTGGACGGCTCTATCAGGGCATGGGATCTAATCAGGTACCGCAACTTCAGAACTTTTACGGCGCCAACGAGGCTCTCTTTCTCCTGTATGGCAGTTGACCCCAGCGGCGAAATCGTTGCCGCTGGCTCTCTCGACTCCTTCGATATTCACATCTGGTCGGTGCAAACTGGTCAACTTCTGGATCAACTATCTGGGCATGAGGGTCCAGTTTCCTCGCTTGCATTTGCACCCAACGGGGGGCTGCTTTTCAGTGGTAGCTGGGATCGTACCGCGAGAATATGGTCGATCTTCGACCGCACACAGACTAGCGAGCCGCTACAACTACAAGCAGACGTATTGGACATCGCTGTACGGCCAGATTCCGCGCAGATCGCGGTCTCAACGCTAGACGGTCAACTGACCTTTTGGTCGGTTTCAGAAGCGGAACAGGTTTCGGGGCTTGACGGCCGCAGAGATGTGTCTGGTGGACGTAAAGTCTCTGACCGCCGGACCGCAGCAAATGTGGCTGGGACGAAGAGCTTCAACACAATTCGATACAGTGCTGATGGTAGCTGCCTACTGGCCGCGGGAAACAGCAAGTATATATGCCTTTACTCTGTGAGCACCATGGTGCTTCTCAAGAAGTTCACCGTTAGCGTCAACCTGGCGCTGTCCGGGACGCAGGAGTTCTTGAACAGTAAACTTCTCACCGAGGCTGGCCCGGAAGGTCTTCTCGATGACGAAGGTGAAAACTCAGATGGTGGAGCTGGGCAGGACAAGTCGTTGCCAGGCTCTAAACGTGGCGGTGACCCGTCTGCCAGGAAGAAACTGCCAGATGTCAGAGTCAGCAGTGTGGGTTTCTCACCTGCTGGCACCGCCTTCTGTGCCGCATCGACAGAGGGACTTCTTATTTACAGTATCGACAACGATTTGCAATTCGATCCATTCGACTTGAACATGGAGATCACCCCGGCATCGACTCTGGCTGTACTCCAGGGCGAAAAAGACTACCTCAAGGCTCTAGTCATGACATTCCGGTTGAATGAAGCAGGCTTGATAAAGCGAGTCTTCCAGGCCATCCCATATACAGAAATCCCGTTGGTAGTAGAACACTTCCCAACCGTCTACGTATCACGACTGTTACGTTTTGTGGCAGCACAAACCGAAGACTCGCCTCATATAGAGTTTTGTCTGCTTTGGATCAAGAACTTGATGGACAAACATGGAAAGTGGCTCACTGCGAACCGCAGCAAGGTTGATATTGAGTTGCGGATTGTTGCAAGAGCCATCACCAAAATGAGGGACGACATACGGAAGTTGGCTGATGAGAATATTTACATGGTGGACTATTTACTCGGTCAAGCCGAGACCAAGGACGACACCACGAGAGGCCAAGGAATTCTTGACGACGGGAGCGATACCCCGGTGAAGCTCTTGACATCTGGTAGAGATGACACACCGGCAGACATTCTCCAGGATGAGGAGCAAGTTTCAGAGGGCGAGTGGATAGGACTGGATTGACCGTATAGTTGAAACCCGACTTACAGTGTTCTGTTACGACTTATACCCTAGTCTCGATTCTTGAAGACAAAATCAATCAGTTCACGGGAGTTTGAACCTCTCCGCACGACAGGCCAATCCTCTTGCAGTAAACTCGAATAACGCAGAGATAATGGCCAGGGATAAACGCCAAATGACCCCAGATCACGGTTGGGGCGGTGGTGGTTGAGAGGTGGAAGTGTATTCTGAGCATGACCCTACGCCTAGGGTATGAGAGGCTTCTCATGCTTGCTGTTAGTACGAGAACAACTGGGAGTGATGTTAGTTTAGGTATAGCATCGCGACCTATGTCCCAGCACTTACTCCTGTTGGCGGTGTATTATCAACAGCCACGGTGGATATAAGGTACAGCCTGTAGAATTCAATGAGAAGATGTGGATACATCATACCCAATTGATCACGCAGATATTGGACTCAATGTGCTGCACTGACGGGTCTTGAACCCACCGCGAGATGTTGAATACATCTGTCATGTCATGGTCAGTGACACAGACCCTCATGATCGCAATTGTCCTATACGCAGATTTCCGACTTCGAGACGAAGTGCCGCAAGCAACTAACCTAGAAGCTTGTTATGGGACTCAACTAGAACTCAGTTCTGACTTGAGTTTCCCGTCCATCACAGCAATGCTGCTTCACAGTGAACCATGCAAGGCTTGACACGAGTCTTTGACTCATTCACATTGTCTGGGTAACACTCCTGACAACTTGGAAAGGTTTTGTATGACTCCTGGGATATAGGGTGGCGGCTGTGCTGACAAAGCGAAACTGCAGCCCTGCGACACGGATGCCTGCGAACCGTCGTCCGGGGGTTTTCTCGTGTGAACAAACCAGTCATCATCACCAGCCCTGAAGGCATGTCTATCCTCCATAAGGCTGGTGAACTAGAAGCCTGGTTCGCATACTGCTGCTTCTTGCTGTGCTGCGGGGATCGGACCGCGTACGACTATAACTACTGAAGTAATTGCGGGGCGAGAGGCAACTTACGAAGTGTTCGCCAAAACGTCGTACATATCGAGCCCAATGCCGATCCTTGTCAACGTCATACTATGCAGCATTCTTGCGCGGCTGCCTAAAGAATAGCTGACATCTGCGAATGCAGCTTTGAAGCCACTAAGACCCCCGGTTCGCCTCGCCCCCTTACGCCGTAATTTTCGCCCAGGACTGAATTTTACTACTGAGACACTGTTAACTCCGTATGGAAGGCCTAGCAAAAACAGCATTCAGTCTTCGGTACAGCGGGCCACTGGAGATGTTAGTCTGCCGTAAACTCTGCAACTGACGAGGATTTGATCCGCATGCATGACTGCAATGAGTTCTCTGCGCATATTGTGCTAATGGGCCTAGTATTACCTCCAGCTTGCCCGAAGCAATATCTTCCGAGTCGAGCTTGGGTTTAACCGCAGGCTCCAATGCACCTTGAGTTCACAGGGAGCGACATGCGAGGATAGCCGCAGTGTTTGCTGCTGACCGACTTTACCACGATACTACTTCTGGACACATTGTTTTCTCTCCCACGTGCCATTGATTCATAGGTGTGTTCGCCACTTAGTACCGTATTTCGCCGCAGGAAACAGCCCTATCGTAACCCTGCCGTACCACAAACGCGGAACAAGGACTTCCAGGGGTGCTAGGTCTTGTGATGCTCACTATTGGATACTGACAGCGTTGCGCGTCCGCTGTGAGGCCTCGCCAAGTAGGTGAGAAGGCTCTTGATTCTCTGCCACATAAGTAGTCGCAACTGCACGACTTGTGTGTCTGCTTTTGATCTCATTCTATCCACATCTCATACTAACATTGGGTTTCACTTGTAGTCTTTATTTGTTGAGAACTCGCGAGCGTTTGCCTCTTACCATCCATATCAATATTTCGGATTGGGCTTGACTACCTATTTCAAAATACAAATAGCACAAATCAGAGAAAGACTGTTTTTCTTGGAACTAGCACATGGATATCAACTCGCTGTTTCGCGGGGTGTTTCCCACAATGGCGGCCAATATGACGATACCTGCTGAGAATGCCTCAGCCGACAACATGCGCGGACTGGCAGAGGGAATACTTCCCATGCTTGGCCTTCGTGGTCTGCTCCCAATGTATGGAGTCCTAGGCAGCTGGCTGGGGCTAGACCCAACATTTTTACTCACAGCCTTCGGCGGCTTCTGGGCGTTGAACAAGTTGTTACGGCAACTATACCATATAGGCTATGGTCTCATCACAGAGTATCTGATGTGCAACATCCACATCAGCAGCACAGATGACATGTACTTGCATCTGATGAGATGGCTCGCCGTGCAGCCCAAGATGGTCAGTTCTCGGTCCCTGACTGCTGAGACTGTCAGCAAGACGGCCTGGGACCACGAGGACGACACCAACCTCTCGAAGGATCTGACAGGAAACTACCTTAACTTCTCCAACCAAGAAGCCATGGCGCCCCCTCGGTTCGTTCCCGCAGTAGGGTTGCACAACTTCTGGTGGCAAGGCACCTACTACCGACTTCACCGCAAGCAAGCGTCCATCTTCGACGATGGCTCCAGCGGCGCTGGTATGGCGGGTATCTTCAAGGATAAAGAGGACTTGGTCATTTCATGTCTGGGACGAAGCCCTGAACGCATCAAAGAGCTGCTCAAGTACTGCAAGGAGCAGTACTTCAAAAACCACCACGCTAGAACCATTATCAAGCGGCCCAGCCCCCAGAACCTCCGTCGTTACGGCGGTCGTCACAGCTGGCAGCAGGTAGCAGACCGGCCTGGTAAGTAACTCTGGTAACAACACTATGAAAAATCTTAGACCGACCGAAATTGTTATAGTACGAGACATGCGGACTGTTGTTCTGGATCACCAGCAGAAACATCAAGTTCTGGCGGATATCAACGAGTATCTTCATCCGGCGACTCCCCGCTGGTATGCCAACAGAGGTATTCCACTCCGACGTGGTTATCTCTTCCACGGACCACCAGGTACGGGTAAAACGTCTCTGTCGTTTGCTTTGGCTGGTGTTTTTGGCCTCGACATTGTAAGTCTCCCTTGAAAGTCTTCTATTCGCTTCTACCATTCACGACAGACATGGAATCTGCGGGTTTGGGCTCGCGATTTGAAACCGGAGACTCGGAATCATCTCTGGACCTCTATAAAAGCTTAAATTGCTAACTATACGTGTATAGTACGTCATCTCTCTCCTAGAGCCAACACTTACCGAAGAAGACCTGAGCACATTGTTCAATTCACTGCCCCGCCGCTGCGTAGTTCTGCTCGAAGATATCGACACGGCCGGTTTAAGACGGCCCGCTGAAGAATTCGAGACAGCCGAGGCGGCCAAAACGGGCAGCAAGGACGAAGCCACGGGCACCCCTAATGATTGGAAGGTCAGCGACCTCGCCAAGGCCCTCAAGAAGGAAGGCGACGACAAGAAGGGGATCTCCCTATCCGGTCTCCTCAATGCCATCGATGGCGTAGCTTCCCACGAAGGCCGTGTCCTCATCATGACTACCAACGTCCCCGAACGCCTCGATGCTGCTTTGACTCGCCCTGGCCGCGTCGATCTGCAGGTCGGCTTTACCAACGCCACCCGAGAGCAGGCTAGGGAGCTGTTCGTTCGAATGTATGAGGCAGATCAGAGCCGTCGGCAGCAAGCATATCTACTACCATACACGAACAGAGACTCCAAGGAAGTCGTCGTCGCCAACGGCAAGGCCGGGTCTAATGGATACATCAAAGTCTCTGAGACGCAGAGCACCATCAACTCGGGCGACCTGGATATCTCGCCCGAGAAGCTTCCCCAAGTCGCCAACGAATTTGCGGACAAGATTCCCAATGGCGCGTTCTCGCCCGCAGAAATCCAGGGGTTCTTGCTCAAGCGGAAGAAGCACCCGCTCAAGGCCCTGGAGGATGCTGATAAGTGGGTTGAGGGCATGAAGAGGCAGAAAGCATCCAAGTCCAAGATTTTGGATGTGCAATAAGTAGCGTTGTTGCGTTTGTGTGCGCACAGTTCTTTGGGTAAGAGACTTCGCAGATTGACTTCACATAGAGTTGGTACAGCAAAGTGGATTCAATGCACACTTGGCATTAATTGGACGTTATGGGATTTTGATCTTTGTTTGGCTTGCACGACTGAACTATAATGAGCTGATGAAGCGGGAAATTGGCTGCTCCCCTGGAAATTCATAGTAGACATATTCTAATAAATAACCACGGCCACTAAAGCCAACTAATTACACGGAAGTATAGTATACTAGGCTACAGAGCATGAAGATAACCTAACGGGCCACGTAAACCCTGCAGACTTGAACCAACAGATCGAGCAGGTTCACTTTAGTATCACTATTGGCAGGTTCGTCCTTCTTTGGGACATGAGAAGCTGCTCAGACTGTTGAAAACATCAAGTTGCTCATCAGAGCGAAGAGGATAGATGCCATCGTTACCGGTGGCGGATTTGGATGCTTGGTTGCTAGGTTTCGTCAGCTTTCCCCTACAAATTTCCAGATGTTACCAGAGGTCTCGTTACTGCACTGTTTTCTCCCGCTCTTCAGCTCTCATCTTGTTTGCAGTCTCAGACTGGGCGAATCTATCGTCGGTTCTCATGCCGATATCTTCCAGGCATCCACCCAGGGTGACGGCGACGATCAAGAGAATCATCAGCACGGCGATCATGAAGGCCCCGAGTTGGGCCGACTGGCTGTTGTGGGGGAATTCGTTGTCTCTGGTACGGAGAACTTGTTTCTGGGGTGAGCTTGCTGGCGCTGGTGTTGACAAAGACGGTGAGATGGTACAGAGAATGCATAGTTAGAGTTGATCGTGTGTCAAGGGCGGCGATGGCGACGGTGATACTTGATTTGCTGTACTCAGTGTGAAATTACAGGAAATCATGAAGCATATTTTATGGTGTTGAGAATGTGCGTCAATCATTATTAGTAACTACATGGTCATGAAAAGCATGCGCCTTTCAAGGAGCTTCCAGGTCGATCCGAAAGGCATCGAGTCGCGTCTTCACCACTCCCTGGGACAATTGCACTGAGCGAAGCCCAGACCTTAGAAATGTTGCATTCCGTCCAACATGCAAAACCAGGCTAGGTGGAGAAATATTCTATAGGCCTGGGAAGAATTGCATCCCACACCACAGTGCGCAGAGGATGCAGGCTATTATTAAGAGCAGCAGTCCGCCTCCGATGACAGACCCAAATATAATGACAGCCTGATTTTCTCTGGGATCCAATCGGTGCTGCATATCAATCCTGGCAGCAATTGCTTGGTATGCTTGTAGTAAGACCCAGGTGCAGTAGTTAGTGTACCTCATGCTGTTGTGGTTCATGGTACGGTAAGGCATAAGTAAAGCAATGGTTGTTTGGCTGGGTTTGATAGTGCTGTATACGCGCCAAGCCAGATCCGACTCAAAATAAATAGGTAAGTCAATGGGCACGAATAGGTAGGAGATCCCGGGGATAAATTCATTGGGCCTTCAAAGACTGAATGTCTCTGTACATCACGCATTAGTTAACGTCGATATTTTGGTTCACAATGCTCAATGGCAACCTGAATCAACTTCATGTTTCAGTCATCACTTGGATAATTCCAACCACAACGTACGTCATTTTCAGGCACAGTTTCAATTATAATCTGAATCCTGTTATATACTAGATGATGCATGGTGTGTGATCCAGGTCATACTATGTTGTTTCTTGTGTAGAAGCTGGCAGGTTGTAATGATGCTATTCACGAGTTGGCAGCCGTTGATAACATTCAGATATAAAATCTTCAGTGGACTGCTCAGGGATGAACATATTAATACTTGCTACTGAGAATAAGGGGATAAAGGTCCATGTGTGGTATCTAGAGTTTCCGAGGCAAATATTCAGAGGGGTGCGGCCTACCACCTTTGTCATGCTTACCTCACTTGAAGTACAACTACGCCACAAGCATTGTTCGGGAGTACGTCTGTCTTGAGTTGTACGGGGAGATATCTCAACTCTTCCCTTTGAATTATCAAGATTTCCTGTGTACAAAGTAGTCAAAAAGCATACCAGCTTTCTGGAAAATGACTTGAGCCGCCGTCACCTCCGCCACATTCACCGAGAGGCCTGCTCCCCGTGGAAACAAGAAGCTCAAGGAAGCAGAGGTAATTAATATAATTATTGCCTAGACCTGCCTAGAATCGCAATACTACTCCGCGCTGACATAACAACCCAGCGCAATAGTGTCCTAATAACAGGTCCAATATCCTAGTCTCTTCTGGAGGTCATCTGACCTCGAACCTAACACCATATATCACGCTTCCAGTTCAGATTGATAATCCCCATACCTCCCTGAGCCGCTAGCTCCATGGCATCCGAGTGGGTAGAACGCCACGATATCTAAATATAGAGTTATCCCCCCTATCCCCCCACGAACTCTTCATCTACCTACCTTACCTGCTGCAGACTGCAGGAGAACACCTGTCATTTCATGCATTATGCAACATACGCAGCGGAACCAAGGTGAAGAAGCTGCATGTTCACGAACTATTGAACACATTCCAAGACCCATTTCTCGGTCAAGGCGACATCATCCGACAACAACGATTGGTCGACTGTAAGTTAAACCCGGAATTCCAACCCATGTTTCCGAAGCCACAGCTCAGGTTGATAGTGAGAAAATTATCCAAAGGGGAAGGCATTGGGGAAACTGTCGGTCTTGTGGTCTAGGCTGTCCCGTGAGGCGCGTGGATTAAATGCAGGAACCCTTGTCAGGATACTTACCTACGACTGGTTAGCCACTCAACCACTATATCGCATCTGCATTGGAGCTGCTCCTTCGGCTCACCACAACTGTAAGCGAGCGTCAGCCGTGGATGCGCATTCTATCTATCTTGATGGCGTGGATTTTGGTCCTGGTTGTTGGCCGGCCCTTTTGCTCCCTGTTGTAATTATGTTTCCGCTGGCGATATCTAGTGACAGTCGACATTAGTTTTATTCCTCAGTATGTGGACTCAAATTCTCTTGCACAGCGATCGTTTCCACAAACACTGCACAGCTGCATCAACCCTCGAAGTTTTTGAACGAGAATTATAAGGCTCGCCAGGAGTCTTGAATTCTTCCACATTACCCAGCACCCACCACATTACGTCGTATGGATGAGCTTGCTAAGATTGGCGCTTACATGGCTCTGTGGCTTACTGCATCCGTCAATATTGTGTCGAACGGGTGGTTATTTTCTTAGGCAGAGTAGATTGCCTGATTCTGGCCTGGGGCTATGGGGGAAAGAACATATGAGTGAGGTGTTTCGTGTATAAGAGCTGGAAAGAAGTCGTCTTTTGGATTGAACGACGATATTATATGTGCATCACCAGAGCCCTTGCTTGGGACTTCGTTAGCTATTTCCAAAATGCAATACCCATCCCGGGTCCTCGGGGCTGCGTGCCTTCGTCTCCTCTTCTTCTTGACTCCAGTCTCTGCACAGTTTCCCTGGGCGACCACCATCTCTCGCACCGGATGGACGGTCACTGCCGATAGCTCCCAAACCGGGAACGAGGCATCCAAAGTCATTGATGGGAATGCCAGCAGCTTCTGGCACACCCAGTACTCCCCCACCACAGCCCCGCTCCCGCATTACATCCAGATCGACATGACCAAGGGTTATGTTGTTAACGGCATCTCGTACCAACCTCGCCAGGACGGCAATAGTAATGGCAACATCGGCCAACATACCATCACCCTGAGCAACGACGGGACAACATGGAGTGATCCCGTGGTCTTTGGAACGTACCTGAATGACATGACCACCAAGTACACGTTTTTCTCCAACGCCACGGCCCGTTATATCCGCCTGACTGCGCAGTCTGAAGCCCAGGGGCTGAACAACCAGTGGTCTAACGTCGCCGAGTTGAACGTGTACAGTCCTGACCCTTCACTCAACGCCGGCTCCTTCACCCCACCATCCACTAACCTGGGCCGTTGGGACGTGACAATAGACCTTCCCATTGTCCCCGCAGCGGGCTCCATATCCTCAGACAACACCGTGGTCTTCTGGTCTGCTTTCCGCCCGGACCTCTTCTCAGGGGGAACAGGGCTAACGCAAACGGCGCTCTGGAAGCCCACTTCGCAGACGGTGACGCAGCAGACCGTGTCCAACACGGCGCACGATATGTTCTGCCCAGGCATATCCCTCGATGCCAATGGGGTCACCGTTGTGACGGGGGGCAACGACAACAAAAAAACGAGCAACTACAACCCCTCCAGCGGGGCGTGGCTGACCGCGGCTCAGATGAATATTGGTCGTGGGTACCAATCCACGGCCACTATCGCCGATGGGCGCATCTTCGTCATCGGCGGGTCCTGGAGCGGCGGCTACGGCGGCAAGAACGGTGAGATCTACAATTCGACCGCCAATAAGTGGACCAGCATCCCGGGCTGCTCAGTAACGCCCATCCTGACCAAAGACGCGCAGGGTGCATTCCGCACCGACAACCACGCTTGGCTGTTTGCATGGAAGCAGAACTCCATCTTCCAGGCCGGTCCTAGCAGCGCCATGAACTGGTTCAACGTCAGCGGAACCGGGTCCTGGAAAGCCGCTGGGAAAAGGGCGTCAGACCCGGACTCGATGTGCGGTAACGCTGTCATGTTCGATGCAGTCAACGGGCTCGTCCTGACGGCGGGAGGGTCGCCCAGTTATCGTAAGTAACTCCCCGAGTCCTCATTTCCCTTCTATTTCGGGTCTTGGGAGTGATAGAATCGGCAAAAAGCAGTCTTGCCTCCTAAGAGAGGATACAAGTAGCAATTACTGACACCGGGAGTTGAGCAGAGGACTCATACGCCACGGCCAACGCGCACCTGATCAAGCTTGGGGCTGTGAATACCAACCCCACCGTGACCAAGCTGCCGAGCATGGTGTACCCGCGTGCCTTTGGCAACGGTGTTGTGCTGCCCGATGGCGCGGTGCTGGTGGTGGGCGGACAGGCGTACGCCGTGCCGTTCACGGATACCACCCCGGCTCTGCCCGCGGAGCTGTTCAATCCCGCCACGAATACGTGGAAGACCCTCGCGCCTATTGCGGTGCCGCGGACGTACCACAGCATTGCGTTGCTTCTCCCCGATGCCACGGTCCTGAGCGGTGGTGGTGGGCTGTGTGGGACGGGGTGCCAGCAGAACCACTTTGATGCCCAGATCTATTCACCGCCGTACTTGTTCAAGGCTGATGGGACGCGCGCTGCGAGGCCTGTCATCAAGTCGGTTTCGTCGGTGTCACTGAAGCCTGGTGCGACGCTGACTGTAACTACGGACTCAGCTTCCACGTTTTCCTTGGTTCGATACGGGAGCTCGACGCACACGGTAAATACGGATCAGAGGCGGGTGGCGTTGACTACTACGGCCAGTGGATTGACTTACACGGCCACCCTGCCTAGTGATGCCGGTGTGCTGCTTCCGGGCTATTGGATGTTGTTTGCCATTAACTCGGCTGGTGTGCCCAGCCTGGCCACCACCATTAAGATTTTGTTGTAAGTACTGAGAGGGGATGTGGGTGAGGAAAGACAGCGAGCGAGTTCAACGTAACTGTATTTGAAACACATAGTGTACGGTTTAATTACATATTCAGTTGTATTTAGCCATCTTATAGCCCTAGCGGAAGTTCAGTGCCCCCTTAGGATGACCTATATATATATACTTGAGTATCTGATTGCTCATTTTGTCGAGATACCAGGCTTCACTACCTTTAGACTGTCAAGCCTGCCCAGTTGAATTTAGGTAACCTCCGAGTCCCTCATGAGGAGAATAGTTACTTGGGGTATATTCATTCGCGGTCAGTAGACTCGTGAACTATGGCACCTTTCCTAGGCCCAGCATTCACTATACCGTTTTATCGGAGCGTGTCAGCAAGAAGACTACGCTAGGTAGCAAGGTCAGTCGCATTATTTCTGAAGATCTCTCAAACCCAGACCAAGTCCAGAAGAACCAACTTGTTACTTTGGCTGGCAAGAGTTGTGGGGGTCAGAAAGGCAAAGGGACATCGAACAACAACCCGATCCAAATCCAGCATCGCCCCACAGCACAAGTAAGTTGGTTCTTCGAGTTCGACTGCCTAATTATTGAACGTGCAAATGCAAGGCCCGCAGGCTTCTACATCTATTGAGCCAAACGTCACTGTCCACCCATCTACCGAGCAACGCACACCCTTCATTACTCCTGATTCCAGAGCGTAAGTTATTGTAAGCTCATCACCTTTGCCATGCATTTACAAGCATTGCTATTCTGACCACAAAGGCAAAGACGTTTTCAGATGTGCTGTTTGTGGGCAAAGGTTACCCGTCCCCAATTCCCGAGACGCATCAGAGGCCAATCCTGCTGAGCACAAGTTAGGGTGGTTTCGTTGCCCCTGCGGCTTCCAAATGTGCCTTCTCCCAAGATCGCCATCAGTCCACTTGCAAACCAGAATCAATCAAAACGGGGGTCATGGTTACATACTGGTGTCAATTTGGTGATCAATATGTTGGCAGGAAGGACCACATTACGCAAGCTGCGCAAAGGAGCGGCAAAGCTTTAGCTATCCCTGACTGCGAGGCGGAACTCAGGAACTCGAACCTGTAACCGATCCGTATTTCAGGGGGGCCGCAGGGAACAGCGAGTCAAAAAGCCAGCGTCAGATATTCCCAATGTATGAGTTTCATGATTCACCGAGCCAGACCTGTGCCGGTCGTCGTTGAATTGAATTGGTACGAACACAAGAACACGCTACATCACATCCCAAGACGAACTGAAGACTGACGCGGTCGTGCTATGGACCTTTTAGGTGTTCCATTATGTTGTCATAACGTTTCTCGACATGCCAGGCATATAAAAAGTAGCTCAGTTTGCAATTTCCTTCTGTAAACTGCTGCCATCATCGCGCCATCCCCATCGGCCCTCAAAGGCAGAAGAAGCTCATCAGTCACGATTCCTTGACCTGATCCACATTCCCATGATGGCACCAACAAGGAGTACGAGTGAAATTACTATAGCAATGATAATGCCCGTCTCGATCTTGTACGTCTGTTCGTCCAGGGGCGGTAGCTCTCTGGCCACACGATGTGTCTCTTCCACCAAGGGGAGCGCGCTCGCCAGCGCCCAGAAAAGGGACTGCGTTAGGAGGATGACAGGGATAGTATCCATAATAGATTGCGGGTTGTGAATATCGACTCGCTTCGACGGATCGGGGAGAATAATTGAGCGGCGAAGGGGAACCTTGGCTGTGATCCTTGGGGTATCCGTGGACGCATGGACGACGAGACGGGCGCCTAGGAATTGCCGTGTAAGTAAACAGCCAGTAACCCTGTGTCAAATTTCGGGGCTCATAATACTTGGAATCGCGGCCGGTCACCATATGTGGCTATCCCCCCTGGGATATCGGCGTGAGGTTAAGAATTGAGAGACATGTCCATGAGAAAGGAAGCTAGGCAAATTGAGAGAGTGAGCTTGCAAAATTCGTCTTACGGATCGCCAGGCGTACGAAAGCCCTAAGGCTAAACAGGAACTTAACTCAACCCAGCGTTTCTAGAAGAACAGCCTCAGAACTAAGAAGAAAGGTTCGGCTCGATCTCATTGAGAACTCGAGCGCTTCAGATGGCGTCGCAGCAAGACACAAGCTTGAGTTTAGCTACCTTCTCGAGCTTTCCCCCACCTCCCGCACTTCGTTGTATCCTAAAGTATAATTTGACGACATGAACTGATACGCCTGAGGCGTTCGGCCATGAGAAGCATATGACTTCATGATTTCATCACCTCGAGACAGGTTTACTATACATTCATGTCTTCGATGCTGTTTGGCTAAACTGTGGTCTTTGGAATTCAGATAGCAGGTACCATTAAGTGTCGTTTCGCTTCTTTCATGTGACGAGGAATACAACATTCCAAGTTGAGGCAGTAATATGAAGGCTAAAGAAGTAGTGAGTGATGGTGAATCATTTGCCTAGTCCATTTGATGGTACCTACCAAACCCTTGCAAAATCCTTTTATGGCTGTCGACCAAACGCATTAAGCAAAGCCACAGCATGTCTGACCCTGAAAATGCTGCCAAGTTTCAGGTGTCTTCCAAATCAGTCGCCAGTCGCGAGTCTTACATACTGGAATACCCAATAGAGAGACGTTACAAGACGGTTCTGTGCATGTACTTGTACACATATGAGTGCGATAGAAGATCCAGATGCACTGGCCTGAGAGAAACACGAAACGCTGCGTTTTGCTCCCCACGAGGCTCGAGTTTCGAACAGCTTACACAACAATGAGCTGGGAACTGAGATAGTGTTCGCATTACATAAGCCGCAAGAACATGGCTTACAAGCGGGGTTAAAGTAAATGATAATAATCTCGACTGGATTCTGGGCTTGGATTTGGGTGCTGGCATATCCTGTTGTTGCATTGGCAAAGTGCGAGGATGTGAGAAAATGCCACGTTTACGAACCCCAAGCCCCTATAATGACAATGCACTGTACAAAGGCGAAATGGCATTGCAGGTAAACGGACTCGGGAAAATGTGACTTAGACATGACTTCGAGGTTTCATGCGGGTGAAGTTGCGGACGACAACAATTAAACCTCCATACTACGCAATCGTCACAATATGCGCGCTAGGATTCTCCCTATCAACGGTACTCCGATGCCATATATAGACATCCGCAACAGTCGAGATGTAGGCTTCCGGTCTACACAACGCAGGAGACCGGGGATCACCTCGTAACCTCATCTACACCATCAAGAACATCGTCATTCACCCTCAAACGTCGGGCCCTTTTCGTCCATCTTCACCACCAAGTCATGCTGCACCCTCAACAACTGGCTCGAGCTCAACGCCCTCGCAATCGTCGTCTCATTCTTCTCCACCACCATCCTCCTGAGCGCTCTAACCAAGAACCCCGCTACTAGATCTACGCTCCAGCTGTCCGGGATCATGCCCAGGACCTCATTGACTTCGAACCATCCCCCGAATCGCTCGAGTAACATGCCCGTCTGCTCCACGCGATGGCTAATGTCTTCAAGCGTCAGAAACTCGCCCAAGAGCGCGCGGAATAGTCGTGCCTGTTGGTCTTGCGTTGACGGCATGCTTTCACGTCGTTTGGGCGCCTTGGCGCTCGCATCTTCTGATGCAGATGATACGGGGGCACCTGTTTGGTAGATACTATAGATGCTCGCGCCGCCGCGGATGCAGTAAGACACTGCAGTGTCGTAGTCGCCTAGGCGGTGAACGAGCAGACGGAGCGCATCCTCATGCTTGCGCTCGCGGCCGTCGAGGATGATGGTCTCCGGCACAAGCAAATCTTCGGCTGTGGCGTTTAGACTTGCAATGCGATCCCTAATCGTTGCCGAGTCATATTCGTAACTACCACCTAGGAGTTGGAGGAGGCGCAGACGGCTGTGCCAAACTTCGTCATCGGGAGGAGCATTGTCTGCCAGGAATTGGCGATATGTGGGTTTGGGAGGCTGGAGGGCACGGTAAGAAGCATACGTTGAAATGAGTACGTCGCGATCTTCCGATGAGGACTGGAGATGAGTGATCACGATGTCGAGGTAAAACGTGATGAGCTCATTGACGTATGTCGTATGACCTTTGCCGAAAACAAGGTGTTCGAGGTAGTACTTTACCGCATCGGGTGCTTCCTCGCGTAATACCTCAACAACTTCAGTGGGCTCGAACCTTGGCGCCCGACCTTTGTCTTCTGCGAACACTTGCACGCCGAGCTTGGGATTGCGATTCGCAAGCCATATGCCGTATTCCCGCACCAGCGCTTGATTGCTGATGTTCAGTAGGTAACCTCGAACACGGGATTCAGCATCTTGGAGTTCACCTCCATCATCTCTTTCTCCTTCGGCAATGCGTCGCCAGGTAGCAAGGACTTCGGCGGACATCTTGCGGCTCTGGTATAGCCTACTGAGCACGTAGAGTCGGTGGTAAGACTCAATGAGAGTCTCGCCCCGGTCAAAGCATTCGACCCCGTTGTCAACGAGCTCGTAGAGTTCAGTACGAATCGATCGTCCCTTCACCAGGCCAGGGGGGGAATGCTGATCAAGCTCAAGAAGAACGGCAAGCAGTGCTGCATCAACAGTACGAAACACCTCGTTTTCGTCCGCTATACTCCCGAAGCCTTTCTTCCGTCTCCACGCAGTGAGGAAACGTTTCAAAAACTGGAGTACCGGCGGTGGTAAAACATTTACGCCCGAGCGACCTTTGTCAAAGGCGTCTGTCTGTATGTAAGCCTCAGCCGTGGACTTGACTCCCCCAAAGATCCAGATTCCTCTCCTAGTCTCGATCACCTCGTTTCTAACGCCGGGGATCAAGGACAGCACAACGCGTGGGTCTAGTAAGCTATCAACTAGAACATCTTCCAGTGCACGCAAGTCGGGTTCGCTAAATGAATGATTTCCCGACTGCACGGATTGTAGGAAAGCCGTTAGCAAGAGGACCCCAGCCCTTTGCCGTATATAGTTGAAAGTCAAAAACTCCAGCTCAGACTTGGCATCACGGCCTCTAAACGAGTTGATTACTTTGAAAAGCTCGCGCCGTTCCGAGACTGTCGGATCATAAGAGGTGCTTCCGGCTTCGAGCTGTGCGTCCAGCTGAAGGATCAGCGGATTGCGAATAGCCCACCAGATATGACTTCCAGACCACACAGCCAATCGAGCTGTAGAACCAGCCAATCTTCTGGCAAAGTCTTCTTCCTCGGCCCTACGACCAACCTCCCAGCCTTCAGGTAAAGAATCATCATCTTGCGAATCATTGTCTCTTTCGAATAGCTGCTGCTCTTTCGAAACCCGCTCTATTGATAATGCAGTTCTAGAGTCCATACTCCTTAGCGACACTGTGGATCCCTGTATAGTGCTAGAAGCAAAAGGTACGAATCTCTGTTGGCAGAGTCGTTCAACAATCTCTGGGAAGTGGGTTTTGTCCTCGCCCAGCAGCGAGCGGATGCCTATCGTTATTGACGATGCAGTAGTTTTCCCTTCGGGGTTGGGCGGCTCGAGCCAGTACTTGGTGGACTCGGCTTCAGCAGCATTCGTGTCCCATCTTTGGATTTCAAGGCCGTTGCGAACCTCATTGTCGAATTCCTTTTCCATAGATGCAAGCACATACCCCTCTTCTTCTTCGCCGAGGGACGGCCGCGATGAAGACAAGTCAGAAACGCCGCCGTCAACGACAATTTCCTTGGGGTATCGATCAAACTCGATGGTGGGCCTCGTAGGATCTCCATCGAGGTTCACGAACATACCTATGCCGGGCTCCAGGGGTCCGGTGCCAGTGACCAGCAGAAATTCTTCGGGGGTTGGCGAAACAATATGTGGCTTGAGAAAAACTTGTCTCAACCTGGGTTTTGCAGTTGCCCCTTCTGTTCCCGATGGTTGCGGCGTATTAACACGGCTGGGTGCCTCGACCGATGGCCTAGGGCTCGCATTCCTATCAGGTGTTGTAGGTTCCTGGAATACGGACTCTTCTTGATCTCCGGTACGCTGGTCCTGCTTCCGGTTCCCACCAGCCATGAAGTTTCCCAGGCTAGTGCCTCTCCGATGCGCCTGAGAGTCACTACTGTCGGGTCTGGGCCGGCTATGAGTTGAAGAGGCACTTCTTGATATGCCACCTCCACCGCCCCCGGATATGTCTTGAGCTTGACCTATTACATTGCCTGGTTGTATTTCATCTAGCGACGAGATAGACATCAACGGGATCTTCAGCTGCCGATCGATTTCCAATAGCGCGTAGCTCCTCGAGTCGGCTACACAAGCAATCGACTCTCTCCTCACCGACAGTATACTACCCGCATAGTCAATCTTCTTAGGGATAGGACGAGGAGCATCTTCCCCTATTCGAACGACCTGTATCTTTCTGTTGAGCGACAACAGTATGGTGACGCCTGTGGGATCAACACTGTCATCTTCGGCGCCAAGCTCGTTCAGATCGATGCCACCGATCCAACTGCAGTTTTTAACTTGAATTGTGCCAAATACCGGGCTCAGCTCGGGAAGGGAGTAGAAAGTGACAGTCCAGTTGCATAGTATGCACGCCTTAGCTACCCTTGGAAGAAGCAGAATTTGCTGAACTCCTGGCTTAGAGGCACTTGATGTCTTCGAAGGTTCATTGTACGCCGGCTTGAGTCTCGAAGCGAGGATGAAGGCTGTACTTGAGGATTTGTCGGCTGGGTCGGGAGGTATTTGGACGAAATGGAGAAGTTCAGAGGCAGACGTTCCAACATAGAGGTTACCATCTGCGGCAAAATGCGTGTCAGCACAACGAAGTTGCAGGTGTTCGCTTTCATCCCATGCGATTCATTCAATGCGCACCTAAATAATCGACACAATTGATCTTGATGTCATCGTGGGCGCCATCGGCCGATAGTGGGACATCTTGGAACAAGGTGCGCAGCACGAAGGGTCCAGATTCAAGCCCGGTCGGGACCCGTTTATTCAGTGAGCGCTCTGCACCTGGCACGTCGGAAGCCATAATTTCTTGTGTTGATTCGGCAACATCATCGAAGCTCCAGGGTATCCATTAGTCGCGATCCTTCTTTGATGACGATGCAATCAAGCTTCAACGGCTGTCGATGGCATGGGTTCAGAACGCTCCCATGTGAGGCTACTATAGTAGAAGCTGGGTGCGCTAAGAATGGGGCGGCCTAGCTGCCTAGCCGCTTTATCACTGCAGTCCGTCCCCATCCCGATACGCTTGGGCCGAGCTCCAGGAGACCCCCCTGTAGCTGGCTTAGCTGAGCTGTGTGTAGCCAACGGACACGTTCAACAAATCATCCGATACCTGTGTTACAGACTTGACTTCAACCTTGGTATTGTCCTCCAAAGGAATCAAATTTACCACTTTACACGCCTACACGCCCTTCGTATTTAGTTGCATCTGGCTTCCGTACGCTGATGATTCGACTTGAGGCAGCGCCTCTGCCACAAGACGTGACGTGACCATGGCCGACGTGTTGGAATACACTGTCATGGAGACATCCGAGGCAGCTCCTCCAGCTGCCAGCGCAATGCCTTCAGCTGCTTCCGAGAGCACTAATAAATTTCAGCATGCCATATCGGCATGGAGAAGTACGACTCGGGTTGCCGTTATGGCCGTGCAGCCTGAAGACTGACAGGATGTAGATATCGACTTGACGATGCTAGTCTCGACACTCGACAACACGGCCTCGGATATTGTCGCATACCAGCGAGACTCAACTGTCCAGCGGAAAGATCTGGCCCAGAAGACCAAGGATTTCAGGAAGTTGGACGACACGACCAAGTTGACCGAGATCAAGGGCCTTCTAAAGGGCAAGTCTCACAAGACGGTTTTATATGGAAAGTCATGCTAACGTGTCATCGCTTTAGCCTACCAAACCTTCATCGATCTGCTCACGAATCACTCCAAGTCCACCAATTCCGCATTTCTACAGGTTTACTCGGCACTATCCGATGCGCCAGACCCGTACCCTTTGCTAGAAGCCTCAGTGGACTCTATGCTGGTTTCCGAAGACACCTTACCCAAACTCACCGACGAGAACCAGCATCTCCAACAAAACATAGCAAAGCTTACATCACAACTAGAAGAAACCGAGTCCAGACTACAGTCAGAAAGTGCGGCGCGAAAACAGTTGGAGGGTAACTTGGAGAGCAAGGTCAAAGAGGTGGAGACTTCATGGTCTGCCGTCCTGGGAGAAAAGCAAGACAACTGGGAGGCCAAGGAGAAGGCATTGGAAGAGAAGGTGGAAAACCAGGACAGGCTATTGACCGAGATCAAGGCGAGCTATGAGGTGAATCAGCGGTTGAAGGGCTCCGAAGATGCCGAGTCGGATGGGCAACGGGGCCATGTTACGAGTGCCGAGTTGGAAATGGTTAATTCGGATCTGGAACGAACTAGTACGCGACTTGCTGAAGTCGAGGCACGTAACGAACAACTCCGTCTGGAACTTGCCCAGTCCAAGTCTCAAGTGCCTGCTCAGGTACCCGTACTGGAGGATGACCCTGCTTATATGCGGATGAGATCGGAGAACTCGTCGCTCATCCGGAAACTTGATTCGGCGAGGGTAGAGAAGGAAAGGTTCAAGCGAGATCTCGATACCAAGCTTCGCAGTCTGGAAAGAGAGGTCGGCCTGCTCAAGGACGAACGCAATAGCTTGAAGGCCAAGGTACAGAAGTGGAGCGATTACAACGACGTGAAGCAAGAATTAGAAGTCCTGAAGAGCATCGAGTTTGCAACGGGCGATGATGACGATGTTCTTGTTGATGCCGCAGATTCGAATGGCGCTGCTGCCAAGGGCAAGGGGGATACGTTGGAGCAGCTATTATTAGCGCGGAACAAGAAATTGAGCGACGAGCTGACGATCTTGAGGGTGTCGCATCAAGATCTGCAAAGCAGGCTGGAAACCCTGCAGGAGGATATGTCGAGGACAAATGCCGATCTCGAAAGGTCACAGAACTTGAATGCCCAGCTCGAAAATGATTTGGCCAACCTTCAGACTGAGGGGCAAAACGCGTTCCCGTCAGGAGCGTCGGTGGCAGGCACTTACGCACGTTATGCGCCATCCCTCGCACCGGGCAGGAGGGGAGGCAGAGCTTCGCCGACATCATCCATCATATCCGGATTTAACCCTCGGGATGGTGGCGAGCCCATGGGAGGCGGGTCCGGAATGCTACCGATGATCACTGCTCAGCGGGATCGCTTTAAGAAAAGAATAACACAACTGGAGAATGAACTATCAGCGGGCCATCGCACAGTATCGCAATTGCGTCAAGAAATTGCCGCGTTGCAGAAGGATAACCTCCAGCTCTATGAGAAGACGCGATACGTGTCTACATACAATCGGGGGGGGCCGTCGGCATCTTCGTCGTCGGCGTACTCGTCCAACCCGAACCCGTCGACGGTATCAATAGGCGGCACAGGGAACCCGGGCATCGCGTTGGACCGGTACAAAAAGGCGTACGAGTCCAACATCTCACCATTTGCCGCCTTTAGAGGGCGCGAGTCGGCGCGGGCGTACAAACGAATGAGCTTTCCAGAGAGGGTGGTCTACTCGGTCACGCGGATGGTGCTGGCGTCACGGACGAGCAGAAATCTATTTGCGGCCTATTGTGTAGCACTGCACCTACTGGTATTTTGCTCACTATACTGGCTCGGCACCTCGGATGTGGAGCAGCATGCTAGCAACCTGGGCAAGGTAGCCGCTGCTGCTGCTGGAGGGGCCGCGGGCGCGGCCGGCGGTAGTAGCAGTGGGGCTGGGACGGGAGGCGGCCATCGAGGTGATTGGCAGGAAGAGGCTTTCGGTGAGCAATGATGTTGATATGTATAAGGTATGCATTCTTTGTATGATTACTGGCGTAACTACACTTCTCGAGCTCGCACGTGTAGGGTTTTTAATGGATTCGAATCGGTGGTAGCAGAGCATGCCACGTATTCGCACCAAAACTCAGAAACGACGTAACTATCAGAAATTTTGACGACCGGGCAAAAATATCATCACATGGTTCTTCCGAGTGGCGTTCAAGCCTCCAATGACGGTAATCTCGCCTACCGACTACATGATCCCAAAATAGCATGCCCATGTTGGATGTGAGCTTCCGGCATCCACACGCGAGTACAGTGCAGCTAGATTGTCAATGTTGCAAGTGGACTGAGCCAAAGCCGAGGTAAGGGTAGCTTTATCATTAACCGTACATACATATTGGAAGTGGGCCTGTAAATGGTTCAATGGAACACGTCCATGATGAGGCTTGGCCAGCAGCTCGTCAGGGTGACATTGGCCGACGACCCTCACACAGAAAGTAGAAACCACTCGCTGATAGAATGATGATGTGGGTACAATGGACCGCTTGTATTTACTCGGCAGGAGTCGGAGAGGAGATGGAGGAGACGGTGTGTGGTGGAGCTGGAAGATAGGTCAGCGTTGACAATCGTGTCCCTTGGTCTGCAAGATTCTTTTCTCTACGATGAGGAAATCGACTGCAGCAAGTTGCAGGACATATTCTTGGTCATGACCTGCTCAGTGCAGCTATAAGTGGACAGTTCATGCCCTTTTGGCTGGCAAGGATTCGATGAGTGAGATCTTGCCTGCGGCGTCCACAATCTCGGTGCTCGCAGCCCCAGATCTTTACAAGAGTGACGTCCTAATCCAGAAATATCTCACAGGACAGGCTTTAAGATGAAGATATGGGTGCTCTTAAATCACAAAACAATACTCGCAGAGTAGCTTTCGAGCCGTTCACAGGCTGTGGGAGTGACCAAGTGCCTGGTGCTGCTTGATACCACTCTTCTTTATTGTTCCTGCCACCCCTTCCGCCGACCTGAGGCTGTCTCCATGTGCAAGATTCTAGCAGTAATCTTCGTGCATATAGAAAAGCATATTAATTTCAAGTTGTTTTTGTATTTACCTTTTAGGAGAGCAAAGATTGTGGGGCATCTGACCTTGTCTTCCCGTTGGGCCACGCGGCTTTCCGGACTGGACTCTGGCAATGATGGCGTATCAATATGCAATCAAGGTTGGCCAAAATAGGAGAAAAGGTTAGGAGTACGGGAGGAATTCGTGGACCCTAGGCTGTGACCCCTCAATAGCTCGAACGATTACAGAGCCGTACAATCTGTGATGGTTCATACTGGCAAAATCCATCCTGTGGGCAAGCAAGCGGTGGACGAAAATAGGACATTATGGAATGGATGTTGTTACTAGCATTCATCCCATGCTATTCCAGAATTAGCGACTAGTGACGCGTTCGTCTCATCGACCTTTCATCAGTGGCTTGATTGAGTATCCTTGAAGAACTAGCAGGCATATAATACTAGGTCTTCGAAAATTCAGAGACAATCTTTTGGAGGTTTGTAAGTACACGACAGGTAAACTCGAGAAATTGCCAGAGTAGTTTGGGAGTTGATGAGTATCATGGAAGACGTTTATAGGAATTTGCAACGTTGGTTGCAAGCTGCTCATGGGTCCTTTAGTTTACTTGCACCGAAAGCCATAATCTGCTATGGCAATCACCGCCAGCCATCTAATTAAGAGTATTGATCAGAAGAGCCTCTAATCCTTCAACCAATGTCTCGGCGTATTCCATAATCACCTGGGGTCTATTTTATGGCTAGAAATGGCACGTGGCCAGACCTGGGGACGTCATCGCTCAAAGTGCCAAAAGCAGGAAATACCGGAAATCTCTCTATCAAGGCAGGTAATCTGCTTCATGGTTCTGAACATTGGTCACTACCAAGTGGCTATTAATGGCGTCACGACAGAAGCCATTTCGAGCCGCCATGTCGGTATGATTGAACATGATCTCCGACAAGGGTTAGCCATGCCGGCTGAGATGGTAATGATTGGCTCCCATCGCTCGTTTCTCAAGGCGCGAGTGGCTCTCGATGCCTCATTACCAGTTTTCATGCGACGGCCGCGAAGAATGGCTCCCAGTCCTGCTGTTCTGGCGCTCGACCAAGCAGTTGCCGTTATGGCCCCCCACCGTTAAGTATTGAGTACCGCTGGGCCGAGAATGGCAAGACCGCCTCAAGGCGGCCTCACCTGAGAGGTGGGCGGCTGCAGATTGCGTCTCGAAGCCTTTGCCAATCCTTTTGATGGTAGTACTGAGGCTGCTGTACGTACGCGCACGATGCAATGGTACTGTCGGACGAGCGAAACGCCTGCACTACAAAATACTGCTCGCTCGCGGGTATACACATTTTGGCGTGAATCCAGACATCCAAACCATCCACACGAAAGACCAAAGAGCTCCAAGCGACCTTGCCCAGCCAAGTTTTTCTTGCTGCTACCGGCGAACAGCAGCCGGCTCCTTCCATTGGACAATCTCGAAAGCGGGCAAAATGACCAAGAGCAGTTTAGCGTCATCTTGCTGGCCCACCCTCACCGACTGTTAATCTTGTTAATTTTGGATCCCTTCTCCGCGCTTGTTGCTATTCCAATCTTTTAACCGCCCGCATCTAAAATCAGATGGACGACCGGGGTATTCGGAACGCCAGCCTTCCAGATTACCACTCCTTCCGATTCGACCAAGTCCCGCGTCTGCAGCTCTCTGCTGGCAGTCTGGCCTTGCTTGCTGGCTGCAGTGTCATGTCAGATCTGAGTCGACCAGGCCTTCTATCTTTGTTCCACAGATCCATCCTCCATCATCTGAGCTTGTTGTCATTGTCCACTTTTGAGCGCCCATATTGGGCATGCCGGCATGCGCGTCTGCCAGCAGTCTTTCTCGGCGCCGTAATCTGCAGAGCCCAGGTTCATGGACACGCGTGGTGCTGAATTGTGGACAGGATTGCTATTCTGCGCTCTGGCTCTGCACCGTTTCTGTCGTCATCCGCATGCCCGGCCTTCTCGTCCTGGTCCTTACATGATGGTGCAGCTATTTTGTGTCAAGATAACCTGATAACAAGCTCCTCGGATCCTTTCTGGATTCGAGTGTTTCTAAATCCTGTTTGAGTGGGTTGTATACAGCAAGCTTGGAACGAGTTCAGGAGTCGTCGCATCCAAGTTGCTGGGAGCCATCGTATTTCGACGACATCCACGCGAGACGTCGAGACACTCGAGTCCGGAGTTGGCATGTAGAAGTCCATGAGCTAGCAAGACCGACTTCTCAAACGCGAAGCGTTTTGCCGCTGCACCCCTCCTCCTCGCGGTACACAACCAATGTACACCAAATGGGCGGTCGATGAGAGGCGGCCCCGGCGCTTGCATAGACGGGGGTTAGGCCTTGGTTCTCTGCCAGTCAAATATCGTTTGCGGGCTCTTCCCCCCATGTCCTCCAGCTCCTAGCTGCAGATCGCTTAGCACCTCCATACAAACCCCATGTCCAGGGCGGTACTAAGCGGACAGGGGTCGTCCAAATACAGCACCCAATGATGCTCGTTCCTTTGCGTCTAGCCCTCTCGTCTATTCCCCATTTTCTTTTTCCCTGGCGACCTTGTTCGGGCGGCTGCTCAGGTCAGTCAGTCAGCTTGCAGAATGCCACCCACACAATACACCTAGGTAGGTACATGTCATTATCCTCGAGACACAACCCTAGCATGAGTGTCTCCAATTCGGGACCCTGCAGGTGTGGACGGTTCAACGCCGTGCCGCCTAGCATTCCCGTGTAATTCTTATAATACATCGATGTCCTCTCTGTGGACGGTCACAAGTATCACATATTCAAGTTCATCTCATATATTGCTAGGAGGATCGTTTCCTTTTACGTTTCCTACTCTCTTATTTCATCTTTCATATTTCGTTGCTTTCGATCATTAACTCAGCTGTTTTCGGTCTCTTTTCTTTCGGCATCAAAATAGTAACGACTTACATCCTTTCGTAATCCGGCCCTCGAATTGATTTCGATCCCGTGCCAACTCTCACCAAGCCGCCTTCCCATACAAAGCCTCACACACACACATCAAGATGCGTTCCTCGATAATACTAGCGTCGGTACTGGGTGCCTTGACCGTCCTGGCCGCTCCTACATCTCCAAGCTTGAACCTCAACTCGGCTTTGCCTGGCCAAGCCGAGACGGTTACGGAATACTTCAACATGCTGGCACAGAAGGTTCAGGAGGGTCGGTCTATGGCTGTGGCTCCGGTCTGTGATTTATCCAAAGCAAAAATGGCCATTGGTATGTGGACTCGAGGCTTGTGCTTTTGGAAATACGTCCCCCACTAACACAACATAGCACCTACTCCTCTACCGGTTCCGGCTGAGGGCTTGAAACTGAAACATGTGGCTATCGGTCGAGGGACACAAAACTACACGTGCGATGTCACCAACGCAACGGCAGTGCCGGCACAGACTGGCGCCGTAGCCACGCTCTTCAACGCCAGCTGCGTTGCCGCCACCTACCCGGACCTGCTCAACATGCTGCCTAAGCTGGCAATGTCGTTCAACCTGACCGAGGTCGAGCAGAAGATGGGACCCAGCAATCTAGCCATCTCGGGCCAGCACTTCTTCACCAACACCACAACCCCGTTCTTCAATCTCGACACGACCCGTGCTACGCTCGGCGAGGCTGGCTGCACCAAGGCCAACGCGACCAGCGCCCCGGCCAATGCACCCAAAGGACAGCTTGGCGAGCCCGCCGTGCCATGGCTGAAACTCGTCACACACGTGGGAGCCACGGGCAATCTGCAAGAGGTCTACCGCATTGAGACAGCGGGTGGCAGTGCGCCAGCGACTTGCAAGGGCATGCCGGCAACGTTCGAGGTTCAATACTCAGCACAGTACGTTTCACTCCCACAATTCTCCAGTACACGTATAGTCACTTACCGGGAAAAACAGATATTGGTTCTTCGAGGGCACAGCCGCATGATACACTGTCTTACCCCGACCCAACCTTGAATCAAGCGAGAACGAGAACAATGCCGAGCCACACAAAGAAAGCTGAAACGCAGATAATGAGCCGTGTATAATAGGGCAAAAAGGGAGGACGACGGGATCGCGTCCGAGGGTTTCAGTTTTTATACATTCTTCCTATGGCGTTTTGGGCGCTTCAATTCTCGTCATGGGTCTACGGACTTGTGCGAGGATAATATATCACTTGCTTTTCTATACCACAAAACCGTTGTTCTGAGGCTGATATGATTTCTTCGTTTCTTACGTGACCCGTCGACGATGACGAGAATGAGATGTGAATTCATGGGACCTTTCAATTGCTAGCACTTGGCAACACGCCCTGCCGTCAAAACCTCATCTGCTGTCTTCGTATTCTCTACATGCCTTATGACTACCTCTTGGCTTGGAATCTTGCGCCACTGGCCTGAACCAAGTGGATTATACTGACTATTCGCAGAGCCCCTTCATCATAGTGATCAGGAACACAAGATCAAATGCGTTGTCTATCGAGCCCGGCTTACTGTAACCCTCCGCGCATTATCAAGATCGCTGCAGCTATAATGGAAAGACACAAGGTGTTAACGCGCAATTTGGAAGCCTCGAGATCCGGTCGAGAGACGATGATCCAGCCGGGCCATCCGATGTCCCAAAAAGGAGAGGATTGACGCCCGACGATTGTACGTACCCGATGTATACGTCTGATGTTGCATGCGCAGCAGCCACCCACTCCCGCTGCCCCCCGTCCCCCAGCGGCCAGCGGCAGGGGTTGCCGATGGCAGTCGTTGCGACGCTGCGTTTGATGTCGGATGGTCCTGGTCATCTTCCCAAAGTACATTGCACCACACCATAACTTGCTTGGTCCAGTCGCCCACGCGACTTCGCGAATCCGGTAAGTTGAGCCAACTTTCGTCTGAGACGTTAGAGTTTGTTCCTGCATCTGGGGCCGCTCGCTCTTCGCGGCTGCACTAGGGAGCGTTCAGGGTGGTCGGACGAAGGAATTACAGTTCTTTCATACTTGGTAAATTACAAGGGAGGGGATTTCTGGCGATCAGGACCCATTGGCCGGATGATCGACTTCTAGGACTTGCGAACGAGCGTCCCCCGGAATCGTAAGGCTCACAGGGCTCAGTTGTTCATTCGCGCTCATCGCGTCGACTTGTTTTAGTGTATGCACGTAGTAGTCAATCAGGTGGGTAGCTGGATGATAGGTCGTGCAGACACAACTCTCTATAGTAAAGCATAGGTCACTAGTTGCCCTCTTTTGCACGCAAATACGATAGCGGCGGCTGCACCCGCAACCACGATTCCTTGCTTGCGACATTGGATTTATCCGCAAAACGCCTCCACATACTGTCTGACGAAACAAAAGACTGGAATTTAATCTTTTTTTTTGGGGGGGGGGGAGGTTGGGGAGAGGGGTCTTCTGTCCCGCACCTCCTTGTCAGCATCTTGAAGCACCCAGCCTCTCCTGTCCAAGAGGGCGTTGGTAGCAGGTTCACGAGGGGCACGGGTGCATGCGAGTGAAGATTAACCTGAAACCTGGCGATTGCCATAGCCTTTTCGTGAACCAAGATTTCGGATCTGTGAGGTCCTCAATTCGGCATGGGATTGGGGAGATGGAGCCGCAAAGGAACCCACGTACTGGCGATTTGACATGATGAGGATCCTCAAGGCTGAAACAGGCACCGTTGAGCACAGGGCACTTATCTCTACGGGATCTAAACCATCTATAGCACTCAATCCCAGTGGATACTATACAACCCGGGCGAAGACAAGGATAGAGCTCCTCTGAAACACTGCAGGGTTTGTTGATGGTTGAAACAATCACGACTTTTCGGCCACATATTCCAAAACGGGCTTGCCAGAAGCTACCTACTACTCGGAGACTCTTATCTACTGGAAAGAAAGCCCAGAGCATCGACTTTTCTCCGGATGGGTCCTGGACTCACAGAGCGGCATCCACGGGCCAGGGGAGATCTCCCGAAAAGTGCGGACGAAATACTTCTGGATCAAGACCCCGGATCTACGTTTGTTGGTTCCAGGTAGGTCGATTGTCGTTTCAGCTTTGAATGTTTCTGTCGGCGAGAAAGGGGGCGGCTCAGAGGGAAATTTATCGTTTGCTCCAAGGCTTCAACTGTAACTCGAGGGCCGCCACTTGACGGACCGGAATTGAGGCAGAGTATGCGACCGCGACTTGCGACTTGGCAGAGCATTGTTCCCATCGGAAGCGCCACTAGAACCAAGTGTGTATGCCACTCAATCCATCACCAACACGATTCACTAACCCGTCCATGCAGATAGCGAGCTTGAATTGTCTGTTTACTGCCAACGGAGGTCTGATTCGACGCAGCACCCCATAATGCCGTCCTCACCCCGAGCCGTGCTCTTTCTCTCCCTCGTCATCCTCGCCCTCGTCGCCCTCAGCTCTTCCACCGCGGCCAATCTCCCCCGCGCCGTACAGCATACGGCCGTGTACGGCCTCGGGTCCTTCTGGTCGGCCTCGTTGCTTTGTCAGCTCGCATCGGGCCGGGGTGTACTCCCTTTCCAAGGAACCACGATCTGCGCTCCCGTCGGCGTGGGCGTCGGCACCATGGTTGCGAGGGCGCATATCAAGTTGACCTATGATGACAAGACTTGGCTTTTGATTCGGATGAAGCTTCGGAAATTGGGGCTTGAGGATGTCATCTGATGCGGGTGTCGTCTGGGGTTCGCGGTTGAGAGCAATTGATGAGCTGGATTGTAATTTCGGGGGGCTCTTGTCGGTAGAGTGGCCTAATATCAATAATACCTTGGCTCGCATGCCTATTGCGGTTGCCGCACATTGTACGCTCACGAAGCTGAGTTCACCCAGTCATTTCTACTTGGTCATCCTACCTTCGAAAATAGCGATTTTAATGAACCTCTCACCAATGCACGCACATGCCTTGATGGCGTCAGGGGTTTTGCTCAGGTTTGTGTCCCATTTGACGTAGATGGGTCAGTAAGGAGTTCTGATAAACTCTGAGAAGTCTATTGGACGGTTTCCCAAATTGTGGACGAAGGCCAGACTGAGATGGACTTCCGAAGGTGATGTACGCGTTGGAAGCTTTACTGGACGAGCACTATGTCGTGCAGAATAGGAACACCAAACGCCACATGCTGAACCGCCAATGGTGTCCTTCTTATAGCTCGTTGGATACTCATTGGTACCTATACAGATGCCTAGTCTCACGGAGACAGAAACAAGCAGTATTTCAAGGATTGCTGGCAGGTCAATAGGCTGGCACCACAGGCTCGATTGGTCCGATTTCCATTTGTCATGCTCCGTGAAGCAGATTGTGGTGTTGATCGTCGAAGATGAAGTGAGATACGCTGAAACCTGATCAAGTTGTTCGAATAAGCGATTCACAGTCGATGCATACGAGGCAGGAGTGGGATTGGGTGCTCATGGAGAAGTGCGGATGATTCGTAACCAATGCACAACCACATGTGCGGGAAACGGAGGCTAGGTATACTACCATGCCCCACCACCCTTTCGCGTAAGTAAATCAATTGCCACACAAAGTCAATAACTTCCGTTTTCGTCCATCTAGCCATCATCATAGTACATAATGTAGAGTTCGGATGGTAGATAGAACAATAAGTAAACTACATTATTCTGTAATTTTTAGAGGTACGAGAACATCCCCTACTACTTGATCCTAATACAAAATAGCGCCAAGGTAGTATATTCTAGTTTGAGATGATTATAATTTCCTCGCACCGGTATACTACTACGTTAGCACTCTCACGATGCCTTCTAGGGCTCGGTAAGCCTATATAGAAGCTTAGATATTAGACGATATCTATAATGTTACCGATAATAGCCTCTTGTAGCACCCAACGTCTTGGTAAAACGAAGTGCTGTAGCGTATACTAGCGGACCGGCTTAATCGCAAAGGATTACCGTATTATCAGAGACATCTATCTTGTTTCTTGCATCGATACTGCGAAAGTTGTATGAAATTCAAATTGCACTGTTCTCTATGTGGGGACACCGTATGTGTCGAGCGAAAGGGTGGTGAGGCATGGTAGGTCCCTGTTTTCCGGCCTTTGTTCTTTATTCCTTTTCCGTGTCTCACAGTAACTTCGACAACACATGCCAATCCAAGTTCGACAACTTGGCTAACAGGCATAGTTGTCAGAATCAGGGTTATGATGAGTCGAACCCTACATACGGCAATACCGGTGTGATGGCTTGTAAATCGGAAGTGACGATGTGATCTTCTTGGACCATATATTTGCCCAGCACACGTTCAACACACTACCAATGTTCCACGAGATACCGGCTCTTTGTGTCTTCAAGTTGGCTTATTAGTCTGACACGACTTTGACCAGATTCGACATGAGGATGCAATATAGAACCATCAAGTACGCAAATATGACGCTTCAACACACAAAGACAGACTGGCGTCGACTGTAAGACGAACACACATCTCGGATACAGCTATAAGTACAAGATTAGGTCGCGAAGTGAGCTTTCAAGGTAATATGAGTATTCCCTCCCCCCACCCGTTTGTATTACTAATTCAACCCGTCCACTCGATGTTTATTGAACACCTTCGGCATGCCTTCGCTCTCCCAAGTTGATCCAGCCGGGGTATACCTAATATCCACCTCATCCGTCCTCAGGATATTCATCTCATGCGACCTATCCTTCTGAATAATTCCCCTCCCAGAGTCAGACGAGATTTTAGGCGTCTTCGCCCCCACCGTGCTATGAACCGTCGTCCCATGCGCATACGTCTTGGCCTGGACCCCACGCGACCGAGAACCGTTCGACGAGCGCCTGTACCCCAGTTTCAGAATCGCCCCGTTCCAGGCCCCCGCGAGCCACGCATCCATGACCGGCAGCGAGATGGTGATGATGCCGATACATACATCCAAGGATGTCCAGATGAGCAGTTCGGTGTAGCTCCACATGAGATCGGCCGTGAAATCGGCGCGGATCTGCCTCATGAGACCGCAGAGAACGGTGATGGCGCCCACGCCCCAGATGACAAACAACCTGATTTTCCTCGCACGGTCGATTTGGACGGTCCAGAGGATGACCATGGGGGAAAGCAACAATATGACACCCTGTACCACGTGCGTGATATTCAACACTCTCCCCGCGAGACTCATATCGACACAGCGTGCCGGCGTGGCTAGCTTCCCGCTGTAAGCTTGGTCCCACTGCGCCCTTGGCGGGTTACACGAGAACACGATCCAGAAAACGGCGAGCAGAATGTAGGGGACTAGGGTGGTGAGGTAAAAGTCGCAAAAGTAGCGCCAGCCCCTGGAGCTGTTTTGGGCGAGGCGGCGGATAAAGAGGGCGAGGGAGATCTTGTTGAACCCGATGCAGACGTAGAAGATAACCTTGTCGATGATGCCGTAGTAGTAGAAGACGGCGTATTGTTCGTACGTCACGTCCCAGATGTGGTGGCCCCCGCCGTGGAAAGCCATGATGAGCTGCAAAACGGTGTAAGTCACGCCAAATCCCTGAGAGTCGCCGACTATATTAGCGTGGCATTCTCGCTTATGATATCCGACACTATAATGAACTTACAGCGGCGGCAATAGTTGCCCAGTCGTCGGCACCAAACCTCATCTGAGACATGGACGCCCTCAGGAACAGCCTCGCACTGGTCGCTGACACGATCGCCACCATCACGATGATGAGGCCGGCGACAATCCTAGGTTGCCTGGACGTATACGTATAGTTGGCGGGCGGCGGCCGTGCGGCATGAATATAGCCCAGACTCGGATCCGCGTCTACGAGGCCAGCCAGCCGGAGCAATCCACGGACGACATAATAGTCGTCCTCGGTGTTGGGTGGCTGGCCCACGAAGGCCGAGGACGTCGTTTCGTTCGACATCTCTGTCGATAATATCGATTGCAGAGGGGAAGCTGTCTCGAGTCAGATGACTCTGTAACAAGAGACAGCATGCTGGGCTCCCAAAGCTGATCTAAGTGCTAGTCATTCTGATGAGCAGACAGGGCACACCCTTCCTCAGCGGCTGAAAATATCGGGGTTAGCTTCTTGGTTTGTGTATGGTGGAGCGCGGTATCATCTGCCCCGGCGACGCCAAATCATATCTCAAGATATACCGGGGTCGAAGAGTCACCGAGGCAATACGGCCAATACCAAGATCGGATGCAGGCATTTCTTCTTCTGGAAGATGTTCAAACCAAGGCCTCGGTCCCCATGAGCTTGTCCACGAGATTGGATCTGGAGGAGGAGGAGGAGGAGAAGAAGCGAGGATGGTTATTTCGCCATTGTTCATGTCACGTAGCCCGAACGGGCGAGAGGTCAGGATAACCTCTACACATAAGCAACTCACGCTTGGACATGGGTCAGCGCATGCGCGATTCATTTGCCCAGTCATAGCTTGTCGACAGATCGATATGGGGACATGACCGTAACATTGTGATAAGATGTGGTTGGTACATATTGCCATTGTTCGTTACAAAGGTATGGCATGTCCCGATTCGCGAGCAGCTTTCTACCCACTCATTGTTGGTTTGCGACATTTAGGATTTTTCCAGCAAGCCGATTCAGCCAGATCAAGGGTCGTATCGTATGTCGGTAGCCCAAGCCTTGCAGATCAGGCGTAGTCTGGCAATGGCCGAAGAATCCCAGCAAGCAAAAGTACAGGGCGGCCCTCCACTACCCCAATACCCCACCAGGGGTTTCCATATCCGTGGAGCAGCTGAAACTACAGTTTTGGCAAGCTGCCGGAATTTTTACTGCCTTGAGAACAGCCATCCATTGGTTGTGAGGCAGGTGTCGTAGTTGGTAGTTACAGCTCACGAGTGGCAAAGCGGTGCCTGGTGCCTCATTAACTCGGGATGCAATATATCTCATCTCATGTGCGAACTGCAGAGTCCCATGCACCAAGGCTCGAGGACCGGTTAGTATGTGGCACCAAAGGATGGATGTCAAGCCAAATCATGACAGCTCATCAACCCCTGGTACTTGGATACATCCCTGAACAAGCCACGGTAATTTATCTCAATCCAATCTATTGAGAACTCTTGGCACTCCGTCAAAACTTGAAAGTCCAAACTCAATTAAACGGATCGTATAATGCCACCAAGCATCGCAGACACCACTCACCGGTGTGCGCATGGTGGATACCCGCGTCCGCAACCCTTGCCAGATGAGGTCATTGGAGCTGAACGCCTTATGCCATTTATGGGATTCCCTCCGCTCCATAAATTACCAGGCCCGCCTGTCTCGGGCAGTCGGCGGCGATCGGCTTGAGTACAGGACTCAGGTGACAAGTCCGGAGCGGGACCTCTGGAGGGCGTGGGGAAGAAATTTCCCTTCGGAGCTGTCGATGCCGACAAATCCATCGTCGTCTCGTCCTGTGGAATGCCAGCTCATGTTTTTACCCCCGTCTTGTTCAACAATGAGTCGTGATAATTGCGATATCCAGCGGATATAACTTTGGTGTTGATGCGAGTTACACTCTTGTCTGCCCTATCTTTTCTCTGCATCTTCGTCGGCAATGCCACCACTATACATCTCATCTCCAATCCTGTGCAAAGTAGAAGTATGAATATGAATGTGAACAGATTCGGACCCGCTAGCCGACATTCGAGTCGTCCCGAATCATAACCAGGTCGTCTCGGTCTGTCACGACGCTCCGAGCCACCCGGAAATTGCAGCATAGTTGAGTCTAGTTCAAGCACTTCTTAATTGTTGCAGGACTAGCAAACTCCTGCTTACGAGTCCCCTCTTTTCCCTCGTTGCGACTTTTAACGCAAGCGGCCAGCACGGCGCGGTATTCTACGATGTCAAATGCATCCACCGCTATTTTTGGCCGTCTCCCCCCCTCTCTCATCGCGGATGCCATGCCTCTAGTCTCGTCACTCTGTTGTGACTCAATCTCTCGAACTTCGACTTCCTAATCGAGGCAATACCATCCCATCGGTCATCCACTACTCCAAAATAGCAATGATCGCCTCCTTGGCCTTCGCCGCATCGGCGCTCATCGGGGTCGCATCGGCCGCCGGGTTGATGCCGGCAACAGCACGTGCAGAAAGCCAAGCAGTCGACTGCACCGGCATCAATGCCGTCAGCCCCAAGTGCAGCACCAATGAGACGGCCTACTTTCGCGACTTCTTCTACCTGGGCGGACGGTACCTGACGACGTCGTCGGGCAACCTCACCTTCGACCAGCTCTACGTCGAGAAGCTCACGCCGGCATTGGGCGTATCGCAGCCCAAGCCCCTGGTTTTCTTTCACGGCGGCGCCGTCTCGGGCGTGACGTGGCTCAACACCCCCGATAACCGGAAGGGCTTCGCTTCGTACTTCCTGGAAAGGGGGTTCATGGTCTACCTGGTGGACCACACGTCCGTCGGCCGCAGCAGCCAGATGGACACGGCTGACTACGTGCTGTGGAACACGACGACGGCCGAAGGCGTCGAGGCCGCGTTTACTGCCCCCGAACTCGCGGCTGCGTATCCGCAGGCTGTCAACCATACCCAATGGCCCGGCACCGGCATCAAGGGCGACCCCTACTTCGATGCCTTCCGCAAGACCGTCATCCCCTTTACCAGCAACTGGACCACCGGCGAGCTGTCCATGCGCGCCTCAGCCTGTGACCTGCTGGACCACATCGGCCCTTCGTACCTCATCTCCCACTCCTCCGGCGCGACCTATTCCGTCCTCCTTTCGAATGACTGCCCGCAAAATGTAGCGGGGAACATCAACCTGGAGCACTCGACCCAGCCCTTCTGGAACTACGGCTCGACGCTCAACTCCGGATCCGCGATACGGCCCTGGGGTCTCGCCAACACGCCGTTGGACTACGACCCCCCTATCACCAACGCCTCGGAGCTCGTCGTGGAAATCGTCGGCAACGACACCCTGGCCCTCCGCAATTGCCACCTGCAAGCCGAGCCGGCGCGCCAGTTGCCCAAGATTGCGAGTGTGCCCTACTTGTGCATCACGGGCGAGGCCAGCGTGCACGCCACGTATGATCACTGCGTTATCGAATATTTGAAGCAGGCTGGGGCAAACCCGGACTGGATCAAGCTGGCTGATCTTGGAATACATGGGAATGGCCACTTTATGCATCTTGAGATGAATAACCTTGAGATTGCTGCTGTGGTTGAGGGGTGGATACTGAAAACGGAGAGTTCGCAGCCGTAGAGCACGTAGACTCACATGATTCTTATGTAAATACCTTTTAGAATATACGACTCGAGGCTGATAGTCAGTCATAATAGCCCGTTAATATCTAATTCGTTCCCATGCCTCGAAACGACCAACTTGAGACATCCTCCGACACGGTGAACCACATGTTGGATAAACAGGCCCTCGTTGGAACTTCGGGGGGCTCTATGGCAAGAAGGAGGTCGTGGAGTCGCGAACATTTGTTGGTTGGATGTTCCAGGTTTCAGATTTAATAGATGGACAGCGCGTGCCATCCAACTCTCGCGGGCACTCCCAACCCAAGATGCCCTGTCGCCTCCAGACCTTGCGACAGACTCAAACAAACGAAATCATAAGTCCCAGCCCAACAGGCTACTACTTGGGTACGAGCCGGCACCCCGAGGTCCATAAATGGGTTTGCTAGTCCGCAACCACCCCCTCGCGCCTTCCGTCCAAGCCTACCGGAGCAGTTGGCTCTCAGTGGAAGATGAAGATTCTGGAAATACCATAAACTTGGTCTTCAGCTCACGTCTCCAGACGAACGGAATCCCAGAAGAGGGACAAAAAATGGACAACCACACTCGAGTGCTCCCCTTTTCAGCTCTTCAGCCGACGATCCCCTCGCCGCCGCTCCCGAACTTGCGATTGGCTGTTTGATTCATCAGTTCTCGCATCGTTTCAAGGTCTCACCGATGTATGAGGCCTAAGGCTCGCGTCTCCGTTGTCACTATTCACTGATTACTCAAGTAGCAATCGTTGCGATAACCAATTAGTAGCTCTACATCAGTGACATGTAAGAACCTTCCCGAATGGTCACGACCATCCCTCGTGATATCTCCAAAGGCGAAAAACCGCACATCAAATCCATAAGTAATATCAGAAAACCGTAGTTTCTGAAGCGTGGCCTGTTGTTCGGAACAAGCGATATGCCGTCGTAAGCGCACTTTGGGGTCATCAAGATCTTGGTATGGTCTACCCGCGCGGTCGCCGTCTAAACTCAGAGCCCGTTGGCAAATCGTGCAAGCAGCTAGTAAGCTGCTCTCAATGTCGAATCTCCATCTCGTCACTAGGTATCACCATCCAACCTCAGCGGTTACAAGGCTCCCCAAGATCATCCCTCCATCTCGATATCCTCGCCGCCACCCTTCTTCCGGCTCTCGATCCTCTGCTTCGTCTTATCCTTCGCGTCGGTAATCCACTTGTCATAGGCACCATCGCCTTCCTTGAGCTTCATGTCCACCACTTCCTTGAGTACCGCACCGGCAAAACCTACAAAGTTGTGTCTTCTCAGAGCGTTCTCAAACTGCCAGTCTCTGCGCTTCCGCTCTTCCCTCGCCAACATCTCCGTGTCTCCAATCTCACGAGCCTTTATCCGCAAATCCCGGACCATGGCCATCAGATTGAACCGGATCTCGGTGGCTTCGTAGCGATTTATGCGTCGCTGCAGCACCTCCATGACCTTCGTAGGGAACTCGTCAGATGAACAGGCGCCATGACTGATGGGCGCGGGTTGTAGGCCGTCCAGTTCAAACAGGGTGCCGTCGATGGGCGTGTAGGCAACAAAATGAAAAGCGTCCTCAGTCTCGCCGCTCGTCCGCTGCGTCTCGTCGACAAACGGACTGCTTTTGGCAAAGCTGTTGTGCACATCGCGGATCAGCTCCGAGTTGCTGAGCGCCTCGCCGCGGATGTCAGGCGGCAGCATCATGGCGAAATCTCGGAAGTCACGCAGCGGGCCGCCCATGTCCATTTCGCCTTCCTTGTTCATGAGGACCGAGAGGAGCGCCTGCGTGCCACATGCATTCTGGATGGTCTGCGCGGCGAAGAAGATGTGCTCGGACGCATCGCGGTCAAAAGTGCCGTCGAGCGGCTTGTCGGTCGATGTGTAGGGCACATTTGTCGGGTACTTGAAGAGGAATATTACGCCGTATACGGGATACAGCTCGGCAAGCGCATCCGGCTCGAGGGTCAGGAGCTCCTCAAATTGGACATCCTTGACGCCGAGGTTGTCGAGAAGGTAGGTAAAGACACCCTAGCCCATCATGTCAGTCCATGATGCAAGGCTTCATGCGAGCCCAAGTTACATACTGCATCCGACTCGACTGTAGCAGCGCGTTAGCATGTGGAGCACAGCAGGTTCAAGGGGTAACTTTACTCGTGTTCCACCCTCCACTCATCTTTGCTGCGTCTCTGGCTGGCAACTTCAAAAGTTATCAATCGCCGATGACCTGACCTAGTCGTAGACCTTCGAGACGCGATTTTAGAAACGAAAATAAAAATAAAAATAGAATTGTGCAGTCCGATGGTTCGGATTGTTTTGACCGGCTCAAATGGCACTTTCCCGGGTGACGTGCGTTGGTCGTGGACTTCGACTTCTACTTCGTAGACGATAAGATAAGCACAGCTCCGGTACCCGTTATCGATACGCTGCCACTTTACGCGCCTCGCGACTAACATCAGTGGGGTCCTTCACTTCACCACCATACGTCCTGCTTCTAGCTTTCCGAACCTCAAGTAGGACCGCTTTGCGCAATTCCAAAGCAGGCCGCAGTACCATGGTAAGACAGGCACCCTACCCTCACCCCCCGCGCCCCCCCTTAATTTTTCTTTATTGAAGGTACACGAAGGAAGAGTAACCAGTTAACCTCAGGACTTATAGCCACCCAAACGCAAAACCCCAGCAGCCTCGGCTGCAGCCCCCAAGGAAAGGCAATCCAAACTCGCCAAAGAGCACAACATCACAGCGCGCGAAGAGCGCGAAATCAAAGAAGCTTTCGCGTTGTTCTCCGAGCCCATGGACGGCGAGAAGGAGGGCGTGATGCCGATTGGGGATGTGCGAAGAGCCATGGTGTACGATGTCTCCCCTCCCCTCCATCCGACTTCACCTCTGCATTCTTTTCACGTCTTCAGTTATGCTAACAGTGGACGTTCTGCGCAATGTAAACAGCGCCCTTAACCTTCCCCCTTCTAGACCTGAACTCGCCGAATTCCTCTCCATCCTCGATCCCGACGACGAAGGGCACGCCTCGTACGAACCGTTCCTGGCCATCTGCGCGTTGAAGCTACACCAGCGCGCCGATGATGAGTCAGCCGAGATGCACGAGGCTGAGGTGGAAGAGGCGTTTCGGCTGTTCGCTGGCGTGGGGTCAGGTGGACAAGGAGGAGAGACGGAGACGCTCACTCTGGCTCACCTGAAGAGGGTCGCTATGACGCTCAAGCAAGACGTGGACGAGGGCTTGCTGAAGGATATGATACTGGAGGCGAACGGGGGTGCGGGTGTGGGGCGGGGGGTAAGGAGGGATGAGTTTGAGGCAGTTATGAGGAGGGCTGGGGTGTGGAAGTGAAATGTTTTGCGCTTGGTATTGGACTGATGGGACATCCGAGTTCCTGAGGTGCTGGAGCATGTGCGCACATCCCACACGAATCGCAGAGGTTGTCAGTCATGGGATTGCAGAGGCCTGGTCAGGTCACATGGTAGGAGTTATAGGAGTTATGCCGAGGACCAACAGCATGGCAACGGAAGCCCAAATTTGGCAATAGAATATTTGGTTTTCATTTGGTGTAACTACTGTCTCTGCTGGAGACAATCTTGACGCCCATATCCAGCGAAACGCCCAAAGATGCAACGCATACTTGTTGAGGGGAAAATATGGCCATCACTTCTTATCGAGGTGCCATTGATTTCCTGCTTCACCAGGCAAAGTTCCGAGTCCGTACATCTAGATGTCCTCCTACCAATTCTGACCGTCATCGTCTGGCCCCTCGTTGGCCCACAACTCAAGCCTCGGCCTCTGCTGGTTCAGGAGCCTTGGCATTCTCCTTCTTCTCGTTCGCCTCCTTGGCGGCCGCAGCCGCCTCGGCCTTCTTCTGTGAGTCCAGGACGGCCTGCAACTCGGCCGGCGCCTTGAAACCAGTGTGGTCCGAGTGCTTCTTGTAGAAGTAATTGTCGGGCTTGGGCTCCCAGCCCAGATCGGCGGGCAGGTTGTTTAGTACGTATTGTAGCAAGGCATCGATCGACTTCTTTTTGGAGGCGTCACGGTGCCAGATGGAGATGAGGTGCGAGTTGAAGCGTACGGACAGCCCGACGCCGCAGATTGTGTCGCCTGTGTGACAAGAGCCAGTGTTAGCATTACGTCCAAGAAGGATGTGTACACTGGAACTCCTGTAAGTGAACTGACCCTCTTCAACCACCTCCTGCAGCTGCTCCCCAATGGCCATGGCCTGGATCAGGGAGAAGAGCTTGGGTCCCACCGTCTTGGGGGCGCGGAAGGTCCAGCTGCCTCCGAGGACATTGCGGCGATCTTCCCAGATGGGCTTGAAGCCGCTCTTGAACAGGTATATCGACTCGCGCATCTGCATCTGGGCGAGGGGCAGGTTGTTGTCGTGGCGCCAGAAGTCCTGAATCGATTCGATTTGCGACCCCAGCTGCTCCAGTGACGACTGGTAGCTGCCATCCTCGGTCTTCTTCTGTTCCTTGGGCGGCCTGTTTTTTTGGGGGAAAGGGGTCAGCACAGGTACGACGAGTGAAGCAGGGGACAAAGTCGTGCGTCGGCGGCGTGTTTGCCTCGGAACGGGCCGCGTGGGGGAGGTGGGAAGATGTTGGTTGCGTGTGCCGCCGGCTGCTCACCTATCAAAGTAATAGTTCCAGTAGTGCTGCGTGGGCAGGGCGCGCATCGTCTTCATGAACTTGCGCTTTGCATCGTCGCGCTGCTCGGCCGGGGAACTGACGCTGGGCGACATGGTTGCTTCTTGGGCCAGAGGATGCATTCCCGCGGGCAGACCCGAGGTCTTCATGGAAAGCTGCGGTCTTTGTGCCATTTTGGCGTCTGTGTATGTCTGCCGGTCCAGGTATTCGTAGTCTTAATGGCAAGCCCGTTCCAAGTTGGCAAAAAAGGACTGGGTCCTACGAAGACAAACAAGAAGGAGACTCGAAGTTTGGGGTGTGGTCTCTGTTATTGACGAAAACGCCAAGCCAACCCTTTTAATAAGGAATAAGGGGAAGGCAAGGTAAAGCTGGGGGCAGTTACTACTGCACGTCACGGGCCCGATCAGATGGTTGCAGGCAAGATGATACACTGCACACAGACAAAGAACTGGACCGTTGGTTGAGGAGCTCTCTGAGTGAGGGGCCGAGAGACACGAGAGCTCAGGACTCCGGGGAGCGGTGAAGAGGGGGCAAGTGCAGGTTATAAGGCAGCTTCTTTCCTTCATCAGCTCCAATGTCTCCTTGCCATCACTTGCTGCGTAGTACAGAAATCATTTGGTTTCAAGAGTATTCGAGATGGGCTCTACTGATTCGGGCACCAAGTGCGAGAATGGCATTCGGGGCAGACGCGAGCGCTGAAACAGGCACAGTTATCAGCCAACCCACGTCACCCGATTGACTAGACCTTAGCTACAGTAGCTCGGTCAAACGTGGTGGGGCCCGCAAGGCGAGGTCGGGGCCGTAATGCGGCCTTGCTATTTGTATAGCAACAAATCAGAGGCCGAATCGCAACGACAACTCCACTGCCGGCGGGACAATCCAGCCGCCCTTCTTTAGCCCGATGCATTCCAGACGACAAACGAAATTGTAGGGGTCCTTTGGTTCGTATGCTCCGCCTACGGCATTTGCCCGTCGCCGGCTCTACCTCGTATGCTTTCTCCGTCAGCAACTACGTTTGACGTTTGATTCTCGAGTTTCGTCCGGCTGCGACTCAGGTTGGTTTGGCTTCAGATGATCTAAGCTTTTTAGACCCACGTTTACTAACCTGTGTCCAATTGTGGTCTCAAACTAAGGATATTGGTCCATGGGATAAGGGTCTTCCAGTCTTGGTCTGAAACCTGCCTCGAGACTGTTCGCAGCCAAGTTTCTCGAGTCTTGTCCGCCATATACACATTGGTCGAGCGACAGGGTGTAGGCGAGGATGTGTCTGCGCGTGTCAGTGACCATCAAATGGACTAGTTTGTTGAGCCCTCTTCGTATGGGTTGTCTGAAATCTTTGGCGAGTCATTGAGTCTATTGTTCCAAGGTTGCTTGGCTCTCAGTGACTGACCACTCTCTTGTGCCTATGCGGTGCTGACCGACATGGACTTATACTAATCTCAATCAATGCCGACGTCCAAGTGCCACTCGGGGAAAAGACAACCACACCATCGCCAAGGGTTGACGAGACTTCTCTTCGCAACGAAGTCTTAGGGAGTGTGATATCCTAGCTTTGGCACATATTTGCTTCGTAGCAGTCGTAGAAACTTGACACGCCATTATCGTTGTGGTAGTTTCAATGACAATTCCAGTCATACCCACCACAGATGCCTCGCAGCAAGCAACCAGACAAGAGGCTTGACAAGAATTTCCCACCTATCACTAGCCACCAGATCTCCAAGCCACTGCCTCAGGGTCCACATCTTTCAATCCAAGAGTCTGCAGCATCTGATCTGCATCTGCCAGAGCTCAAGCCCGTCGAAGTCGTTGGCACGCATGCTATAAAGCTAAGCTACATAGAGGACCCGCACCATGGCCCTGTGGCGGCTCTGGCACGGAGACCCGGGGTCGCGAAGACGATGAACCGGCAGCCAGTCGGGGAGCTGACGTCAACGGGGTGGCAGGCGCAGGCTGTGGGGGAATGCGTCACCGTGTTAGCGCCGTTTTGCCCTTGATGAAGCGGCAGCCGGCGTTGATGGTGAAGTAGGTTTTTTGGTCGTTTACTGCCATGGGGTGGGCTGGTTAAAACTAAGGCTGTGGTTACTGAACCCAGTTTAGGGGGCAATAGCAAATATGAGCAAGAAGCGCTGTGTTTCTGTGTGGAGAAACGTGAAACAGGATGCTCGCCTGCCTCAATTTTCAAGAGAGAAACATGCCCTTCTGGGGTAGTCCGAAGTCTGTAACAGAACAAACAAACAAACTAGGCTGCCCCAACCATAGGAGGTCAACAATACCCCGGCTTCGCCTCTAAAACATACAGACCATTTCAAGGGACGGCAGTGACAACGCTGGAGTCAAAACAGTTGTTTGGTTATCTCCCTCTGGAAGACGGTGTGTACGTTAGTAGACTACTCAGTATACACCATGATGGCTGATATCAATGAACTGCGTTAGATTGGGAATGTCGAATCGCTACATCCACAATGTTATGTGGCTGACTTGCATTGATCGAATACCATCCGTGTATCACCCATGACACTTCATGTCTTCTGGGTTGCTGTTCACGGACATTGGAAGCTATCCCAAGAGTCTACGAGCAGCACAAGGTGCAAGCTCCTGGGCAACACTTCACCAATAACTAGTCCTACTTTCTTGGTCATTTCTTTGCAGAAAATGTGAAACTCAAGCAGTAACGCGTCGGTGATTCCCTTTCTTCGAGCAACAGGCAGAGCTGTAAAAGCCTGGGGTATCATTGTCAAACTGCACATGAAATTATTGATCCCCAGTCTTAAGGCAATGTCCCAGTTGTCGAATTTCTATATTCCGTTCCGGGGAAGCAAATAAGACCATCTACCCTCTGTGCTGCTATGAATAACATATTCCAGATCCTGTGAGCCCTTGTTTCAAAAGCTGGTCGGCTGCTAACGCACCTTACCCCTCCAGTCGTTTGATTAGTATAACATGGCAATATGTTCCAAACAGGCGTTTATTAACAGAAGTTGGTGCATAGCAGAAGCATGTTTGGACTAAGTTTAATGCGCATCCAAGAAGACATTGTATTTTCGGTAAGATAAGGTAGGGTTGCATGTTAGCTGATTACTCCTATATAGGGAGATGGATATTTATAGTAGTTGTCTCATTCCAACCACCGGAGGCTGTATTGGTACTACACACATATGTGGGGAACCAATCCTAAGTTGGCTCCCGAAGGGGCCCTAGATGCTACAATCCGAGCTGCCTGCCTTGTAACCCCTATGACCGAGGCCACAGCTTCCCACAGCAGTCAGTATATGAGCTACTATATCAGAAGCGTGGATCTATATGGTGCAAGCGCCGACGGTTCCCTCCAGTGTAGGTAAGATTCAAATGAAACGAGCCTCCGCTACCGGAATATCGTAGATACAACGGTAACAAATACGACTACTGCCATATTGCACGGATAACGACCCATGTGTAACACTCCAGGTTAAACTGGCTAGGAAAAGCGGTTCATAGAAACCAAAATATATAGCCATTGCCAGCTGTGAAGCACACGAATGCTCCATGCTCCTGCTTCCTATTTCTCTCCCGTAGGCGAAGCCGCAGTTTCACCTCAATCGACATCTGGCTTCACTGGCGTGTTTTATCCTCTTTGCGCCATCTATTACAGCTTCGGTTCTGTCGAGTTCAGTTGGGAACCGTTCCTCCCTGCCCGAAACCTAGATATCAGACATGGATATCAAACAGCCAACTCCTTCTCTATCAGATATCTGCAAGGCGTATTTATTCAAAGAGATGATGTGCCATCATGGATTCCGTTAGATTTCCGTCAGGGTCTGCAACCGAATTCGCACCATAGCCACGGTCTTGAACCAACACGATAGTATGCAATGTCCATGGCTGCCACTCCCACCACCCCTGATCTACCCAGCCTCACCACCTCAAATCTCATCGTGACCAGTACCTAGGCACATCAACCAGCCAGCTAGCCCACCGCTAAGCCCTGAATTAGCCGCCACCCCTCGGTTCATTTTAGAGTTTCATACCTGGGCGGTCAAAGGCGATGGCAACACGCCATGGCTTACGGGAGTGCCCATCCATCTGGAACCATGATAGCGCAGCTGAAATTTCACCTCTCATTCTCGTCACCGCCACGAAAAAGCACTCAATTAGTTCAGGCCGTAGTCATACGGCAACCGCACTAAATCAGTCACGCGGGTTCCCTCTACGTGGGTCCCTGAACTCTCTGTGGCGGTACGATGTCGGTCCTGCCGCTTTGGCTTCGCTGATATCACTTAAGCATAATGCACACCAACAGATGGGGCTTTGGTACAGCCCAATCACTTTGCCACAGGTCAGAAATGTCCGAAACAGAGTAATGGCAGGCGATGTTCGTTAGCTTTTTCTGGCCGCCATGTCTTACACCGACGTGTCACCTGTACAGTATGGACAAACAGCATTTTGCACATGGGGCAGGAGAGTTTGGGGTTCATGATCTTCTTTGTTTATGTGAATTTAAAGATACAATTGGGGGTTGTTGTCCTGGGAGTGGGTGTCATGCTCACTGAGAGCCCCAACTACCCCCTTAATCCCTGTCCAAGCTAGCGTATCTCCGGATGGAAGAACGACTAGGCTCCCGCCCATTTCCTACTATGGCCGGGGTGTCAGAGTCAATTTCCTTGACAGCTGTAGAGCAGGTATCATCGTCGAATTATCATCTCATTCCATGAGTGTCCCGAACGCAATGAAAGAATAGCAGATTCACTACTTTGCCTCCAGTTCTTTTCGTCCCCAGTTTTCTGCCCGTCCCCTCCTTCTTGAAGAGAGCCTCTTCGCATCGTTCCGATGCCATGAATGAGATATGGGAATGAAGACGAGGCCTTGAGAGAAAATGGCCTCTTTGCCGGCGTCGAGGTGTGAGTTGCAGATGCTCATTCCTAGCCGAGGCCAAGAACCCCAAAGAGACTCAACAAATAAAACAAAAGGACCAAGCGATCCAGAATATGCTAGAGCGATTGCTCCGTGAACCGTCCTTTAAGTGAGCCCAAAGTCTTTGACGGAATCTCGCTGAAGCACCAGAAGCTGGCTGGCATATGCATGGCTGGGTTGACTCCAAGAAGTATCGCTCCTCAGGAATTCCAACTTGGGATGGTGCATAAGCAGTGCGTGGCCTCGGTGGATGCCGCTTGACGAGTTCAATCGCGTCCCCAAATGTGTCGTGGCCAGGCTAACAAGAAGTTACAAAAGAAATCCGTGATGCAGGGGAAAAACTAGTGGTATCAGAGTGCAGACGCCGTGTTATGTTCGTGAGATGCTTGCTTCGCCATGCTGCTCAACCGATGGGACGGAATCGATCAAATAGACATTATGTTGATAACGCCGTGGGGAATATGATGCGTACACGTAGAATCGTCAACTCATTGCGTTGCCGCAACGCACCAATGACGATGGAATGCCCATGCACTCTTTTGACACTCCTTGCTGCAATACTTTGTCCGGCGGCACCGACGGCACTTAGCAAACTGGCGCGTAAACTCTTCCCATTTCCCACATTGGTAGTAGGCGCACTGGCGAATGCCTCCACGGGTATCGTCCTTGCGGCACAAATTCCGCATCACCACACCGGCCCAGTATTGCATGTCGGTGCTGTGGTACCGCACAGTAAACTTTTCAACAAGGGGAAATATGTTGAAGTCGTTGGGGAGAAGATACTCTTCTTCGTACTCCTGCTCCTGCTCGACGGGAGACTCAGATGACACGATGACATCGTCGAGCAGTTGAAGTTCCTTCCCAATCTTGAGACGAGGAACCAAATGGCTCTTCTGGAAGTATGACCGCAGGTTGCAATATTTGGAAACGTAAGCGAGGAGCTGCAGAGACATCAAAACATCTTCCTCCCTTGGCATCGCAGCAAGCATCTGCGGGTTGGTTGGCAACGGCCGGTCAAGGAGGTACCGAGGAACACTGGTGTGGTTTGGCATTGTGGGCTGGGGCGTGGGAATGATGGGTCGGTTGGGAGAGAGCCCGATTGTGGGCATTGGCGCGGGAGTGGTATTGGGGATGCTCCCGTCCATGGGACCACGATGAGTGATGTTGAAAGTGCCGGCATCGGGCATCTCGGAGACAGTAGGCGTTGTCAGCTCCAGGGCAGTGCCAGCCAAGGTGCTGTCCCCTTCATCCATGGCGATGTCTTGAAATCCCACGGCAGGCTGCATTTCGTTCGTACCCGACATCTCAGCATCTTGGGACTCGTCAGACTGCACACTCTCGGCATTCAGATCGTCCGTGTCAGCAGTCGAATTTTGGTGCCTAATCGAGGGACGTCTCCGAATACGGCCGTTGGGTCCCAGCACCGACGTTGGCCTGACGGATGGAGAGCGGACCTGAGGCGGCGGCAGAGGTGTTGTAGGAGACGCGGGCTGAGAAGCTAAAATCGGCTGAGGAAAAACAGGGACCATGGAGGGAAGTCGGTCAATGTCCCGAACCGGCCGAATGAAGCCGTCAGCGCCATCGGTTTGGGGCGCAGCAGTAGCCAACGGCTGAACAGCGGGCCGCGGAGGGGACGCGACGGTTGACCGATTCTCATGACGGTGGCTGTGGTGGTGATGATGGTGATGGTGATGGGGCCGATGAGTTGAGAAGGCCGGTCGGTCTGGAGGAGAAGTGATGGGGAAGAGTGGGATCGCAGGGATGGTGTCAGCAGCGCCTTGTTCGGCAGCAGCTGAAGTCGAAGCACCACTGAACGTGGCAGCAGAGACATCGATAGAAGGCGGGGGTGCCTGGCGACGGAAAGATCGCGACTCAATATCTAGATGACCTGGTCGGTTCGTGAAGGATGACGATTTGGAGGATGGGCCACGGTGTGGATGGCCGCGGTGACGGTGGTGATGATCCTGCATGGTCTTCTGTTTCGCTTCCTCGGCCTTTTCCCTGCATTTCTCAATGACCTTGATATAGTTGTCCAGTATGGTGGCGATGACGGGGACCATGTCGGCCTCGACGACTCGAGTCCGGACGCACTCGGTGCCACGAACTCCTATGTTCACCACACACTGAAATGCAAGATTCCATTTCCACATGTCCATCATATCTTTACTTCGCCCTTGCTTCAGTATGCAGACCAATCGCTCGATGCCCCCATCTACCGTCAAAATATCGCGAATACGGGCCGAGGATGTGGTGAGGTATGCGAGATGGTTGAGTGAGTTGATTAGGGGCAGTGTCGATGTGCAATCGAGGGCTCGTCGGTCGTAGAGGGCCGTGGTGATGCCCACCGATGCCTTGTTGACATTGGGAATGCTGAAGTTGACTTCCCTCATCTTGGCGGTTGGCGTCTGGCGAGGGACGGAGTGGGAGAGAATGGAAAGAGAAAAGACGGCTTCGTTATAATAGTATATACGAGAACGAAAGTCTTCTCGCGACGGCGGACCCCTTTTGCCTTTTGGGGGGTGGTCGAATTGAGATTGATGAGTTTGAGGATTAATGCAGAGTTGATGCAGGCAGTGGTTCAGCCTTGGGTATGGGTCCAAATGCAGCGTCGATGCCTCCTCGCCTGACGATTGTCATCTGCGATTGTTGATTGTTGATAGGTGAACCGACAATCCCAAAAAAGAAAACACACACACAAAAAAACGGCCTTCTATCCGATAGTATGTGATGGTTGGATGAGAAGGTGTGTCAGTTGGCATCAACTACGTGGATGACAGGCTGAAGGTGAAGAATAGGGACCGAGAACGGATCGTAGGGATTATATGGATGATTTCGTTTCGTTAAGAAAAAAAAATCGTTGCCCGATGATTACGTCGCCTGGGATAGAGTGGTAGAGATGGATACAGGAGGCTGGTTTGTTGTGTGTGAATCCCAAGGCCTTGGGTATCGTATCAGGTTTCAGGATTTGGATGATGGCAACCCAAATCTTGAGGATCGATCGCGACTCGACAAGCAAGGTACTACCAAATGCCTTAGACCGCCCCCGTCAAGTCTTATTTTTGTGTTGGAGGAAGTGGGCGTAGACGAGGACCCGGAATCTCCTGCTCCGCGAATCTCTAGCACAAGACAACGGTCGCCATCAAGAGAGACGAGAGTTGCAGTGGGAGGTACGACGGAAGAGGTTCGAGTATTCGCTGATGCGAGACGGCCGGTGTTCGTGATCGAAGTCGTGAGATGATGGAGTTTGGAGGCAGTTTCCCAAGCTATGGAAAAAAGGAAGAAGAATCGCCCGCTGGCAAGCTGGGAAGGAAGACAAGACAGCGACAGGGCCCGGGTTCGGTCCAGGTCATGAAGGCTTGGTTCGACTACTTTTACCAGCAGCCTACAGGAGCAGTTAGCGCACTTACCTTGACCCAAGGCCTTTTTTGCCAATCTATGTACGCGGTACCCAAGCCAAGCTTGCCGCAAGTGCTCTCTCTGGTGCTGTGGCTGCTGCGACATTACTGGGACTGACCCGGCCATTCGTCCCAGCGGCTTTATTTTCTGGCGTGTTCGTGAGGCGATGGCGGCAAGTCAAGTCTGGTACAAAACGGGCCTGATGGGGCACGTGAAATTGCAAGACGTGGCGCCAGTTATTCTACATTTTACCTCTCCAAATTACACGACCACGTACACCGCAAGCATGTGTGCTTGTTTGCTTCTTTTCACATTAATATCTGCAGGTTCGCGGAAGGTTGGGCTTGCCGTTCTTCAGTGGTGAAGCAGCCCATTATGTTCATGTAGGTATTGTTCGGCGTCCGTTGTAAATTCCTCGCCCCTGGTTCCAGCACGCTAGCCCTGAAGCGAGGTGGTGTACGCACGGGGAGCACGAGAGCAGCCAGTGTCAAGTTGCAACGCTGCATTTACCTGCCCAATTGTGCTAATCTTTGCGGCCCCCTCGAGCGTGTCGAATCCACCTAAAAAGTCTTCCAAGACGGGCAAAATGTACGACATCTGATAGGCCGTCGACGCCTAGTTCGGGCTTACGTGCGAGCTGTTGGGCACAGGATAATTCATGAATCAAGACCGACTTATCGCAAGCGCGATGCACGAGTCTACCTCGTCATCAGGGTATGCACTCGCAAACCACAGATGCAGCTCTGGCGCTCTTAATTACGGCCACTGAATTGGCCATCTCGAGCGCCTTTTAATAACAACTGCCTGCTGGTGAGGCACCTCGTTCGCCAGCGGTAATACTCGAACAAGCATGTACTGTTCGAACCGCGTTAAGCGGCAGTGGCGAAGGCAACTGATGAAGCACACAATATATAATTACATGAGTCTTACAAAGCCAAGCTCGAGCACAATCCATTTTTCCGTGTCACGCTCCGCAGAATCGCTTATGTTAGTATTTGGTTGACAAGTGAGGTCTTCTAGAGAAGCGGAGAAGCTTTCAACGTGTCTGCTCGGGTGGGAAATCATTGCCCAGAAGAGTGACGGCGTTTCAAGCAGCTAATTTGCCGAGGAGCAATATCTAGGTCTGACTGGTTGGGCGTGCCCACCGCCAGTAGTAGTTGTCGTTGGAGGAGACAAGTATGAAGGGTTCTCCATATGGACCTTGATGTCGAGGACGGAGTCAGCGGCATGGTGTGTTCCATCTTATCGCTCGTTCAAAGAGTGAGAGTAAGGAGGAGGCGAAAACCCCAAAGCCCGCAGGCTGGGGCACATGCGCGCACTGAATCGAATGCGGTCTTGATTGGCTCAACGTTGCCAAAGGCTCTTTGCCAGTCTCACGTCGTCTGTGTGTTTTCTGCCAACCACAGATCTGGCATGCTGGCACCCACAGTGGATATTCGCCGAGTCTGGTCTGTTCACCTATCCTTGGCGCTGCTTACCTGCCCCTCTCTTCTCGCGATAATTGCTCGAGTAATGATTATTATCAAGACAAAGAAGCGTGGCTGCTTTTTTAGCTTGTGGGTTTGTGCTCGATAGTGCCTGGGTCTCTATCCGAGTGTTCCAGAATGCCGGCGCATTGGGAACTGGATATTACCGTCATATTATCTGCTGCCTCCGAGCCCAGCGCCAGCGAGCAATGTTCTGTTTTCCCCGCCTCACAAGAAACGGGATCGAGTTGAGGGGTTGAAGTCTTGGTGTTTGTAATTATGACGGCCCAATGAAAGCCCAGGGAGCCCAGGTAAGTTCTTAGACCCTTCAATTTTCCCAGCCCATCTGTCCATCCAACAATCCACAGCTTGTGCGTGCGTCCACCCTGCCAGTCCCCCACCAATGCAGCTAACTGCGGTATCGCTTCCGATGAGGAGACAGCTTGCAGCATCGATGGCTGGGCCGGCAATAATTCGACCGGGAACACTGCGAGAGGCTACAGCGACTTGGGTTGCATTCAGCATCATGCACACACTACTGCGCGCTTGGTCGCTTCACAAGAGTTGGGTTGCGCGATTCCGACAGGCTGACGCCCTCGGGAGGTATCGGTTGATTCAACTACCACCTAGACTCGTCAACCTACATAGACTCGGCATGCCGGTAGGCCGGATTCGCAAGACAAACTCAAGCCGGAATATCTGGTTTACAGCAAGCTTTGAATGGGCGTAATCGTGTTCCTGCAGGACGACCATGTGGCCGCGGAATACCTTTGACAGTTGATTGGCTTCAACCTCTGAAGAAGTGCAACCTGGGATCTACCCTCTTGAGTCCTTGACTGCAACGGCACTGCGACATTCAATGCGGTCCTCAGAATACGCTATAACATCTACGCAGGTATCCCTGACACAGATGTTATCAGAACGAGGTGTTTGGTCTACCTCGTGGTAGAACAAGCTGCCCGCATATAACATACTTGAAGCATGTATTCCGAACTGCTACTAGCTCGGGAGATAACCTACCACTGCTGTCGGCAACCGACATATACAACACAGCCTACTAGTCTCGTGTCGGGTTCTGCCCGGAATGGTTCGATTTCGAATTTAGAGGTTCCTAGATTAGTTCTAAGTCGGCAATCGACCGCGCGGCTGAACCCCTGGACGAAGGCTTGAACGATCCTCTGGCCTTTGCCACCTTACCAATGGTATCGTGAGAGATGCGCTGGTGGCGTTCCAGTTCATCGGGTAGAGTCTTGACGACGGCAGCGTCAAACTGGCCATTGGGAGATTGCCAGAGAGAGCCTCGATTGATGGCATGAAAGCCTCGCTGAAGCTGTGTGGATACCCGTTCGGGAGGCTCGGGCGCCCCAAAGGGTCCACGAGTTTTCCTGAACGATTGGGTTCCCGGCACCACACATTGCCGCCGCCCCTGCAGCGCTTATTGCGAGCACTTGAGGAAGACAGTCGCCGCATCCTAATTGGCGGTCTGTCTCATGTTCGTGCAGCACTGTCTGAAGTTTTTTTTCTCACCCCAGCCATTCAATCGTTATTTTGTCCTCCACTCATGTCTATTGCACGATACGCTTGCGTTGTCAGATGTCGCAACCCTCTTCATTATTGCGTGAAAATGACGCAGGGCTGGTGCCAGCCCAGCCTTCATGGCGTCAGGGTTGGCCATGGCCACAGCCGTAAAATAAATGTCTGTGATTGATTCCCTGTAATGTGGAGTTGTATCCCGTGAGTATGGGGCCATGAGGATGCAACTCCGAGCCGCTCCTTGACTCCTTGCGGCGATGGGTGTTGAGATCAGATTCTAGACCGTGATGGCTGGGAAATCTGAGTTGTTACCTCAACTGGGGAAAAGTCCCATGGATGGGCCACTCCAACCCGTCACATCAAAAGTTTTCTGCTGCCATCCCAAAACGATCCGAATTCCCGGACTCTCAGATGGACCTAGCAAAGGATGAAACAACACCCGTCTCGATCGGAGGGGCCTGCATAGCTGCATAGGCAGATTCCCAGGCAACTTTTGCAAAAGACTTTCCAGGATTGCCACAACAAGACCAATGCACCCAATGCTTGAGCAAGCAGGATTGGGAAAACACATACCGAGAGTAAATATGGAGGTGCACGCACGGAGGCCGTCCATCCATTTCATGCGAGGCCAAACGCTTGATGACGAGATCACCGGCTGGCTGCCCATAATAAAAGCTCAAGGGGCAGTGTTCAGTTTTGGGACGGGTTTTTGGGGACGGCCCGCCAGACGGGAAGAGTCAAAGAGCTGCACGGCCTTAGTCGATCCATTTGGAACGTACTACCACGATAAAGGTTGAACAAAAAATGAAATCTCCAGCCACATTGTAGGACGCAACTCCTGTTCAAAGCTGGCTAGGAGCATTGTTTAAGGACGTTGTCTTACAGGACAAACCAACCTTGGCGATGGAAAACATCAAGTCATACTCGATTTAGCTCTTAAGAAATATTTTCCTGCAACAAACCATAGGCAATCTCGATAGGCTGTTACGCAGTCGTGTGTGATTCTACGTCCCGGCTTTCTTTGATGCTGAACTCAAGACCATAATAGTCATCTTGTATTATACGTGGTGGGCGAACATCCTAGAGCAAGCACAGATAGCTGTCGAAGACAGTCATTTCCGAAGGAATACACTTAGCTGCGCGTGGACCCAAATCATCAGTTTGGTACCTACGTCTAGAGGTGCGATATAAAGTAGACGTTGGCCAGTGCTGGCCAAGTGCTTTTGAGCAATGACGGCCAAACTACCTTTGATTACACACTACGCCGCGGGTGAAAATGAATAGTACGATATCTGCAGTGACTTTGGGTAAGTGGTGTTAGTGTAGATCTTCGAAACACCCAGCCATGATAGAGTAGGTAGCGAAGAATAGCCATTCGAGTTACTCTTGAGGGAACCAACCATTTCCTTATTGAAGGCAGGCTCGTAAAGTCATATCCCTTAATGTTGAACTTATTCAAAAAGAATTCCTCGCCCCATGGTATAGCCTCAGGGCCGAGATAGCCGCGAGAATTGGAAAGCTGGACTTGTTCATACTGACACGTGTTGAGACTCAAGTCTATCCATGCTCAGTCAGTCCCTTTTCACACGATGCCATTCATAGGCACAACCTGTTGTGTCATCCTTAATCCTAATGCCCTGATAACGGAGATCGAATCTCTTCTGCAGTTATCGTTTCATAAATACTAGGACTATCACTTCCAGTATAGACGGTCAGAGAAGCACCGTGGAGAAACTCGTAGCTGAAGGTTGTAGTGCCCGCTCCATTGTTGTGTGGCAACCTCGTAGGTGACGAATTACTCTCAGCTGGCAACAACATACCTAGAACCAGATTTGCCCCTTCCCCAGTTTATCGACAAGCCTACCCAAAGACACGCCATCTATCATCACAAAAACCTTATCTCGATCTTCCCTCCAGCACCCCTGATCCTCTCAATTAGATCCTCTCCCACGAAAGCAGGCGTCAAGCAACCCCCCTCCACTCCACCCTCCAGCTTCCTCGCATAAAGCAACGACGCCGCCCCCTGCGCCAAGAAAGCAGCCGTAACCAAGTACGATCCAGCCGTATACTCGAGCCTCGCATACACCCTCTTCTTCTTCGCCTTCTCCTTTTCTCTTCCATGATGCCCTCCCCCTTCATCCGCAACGGCCACGGCCTCCAACTCGAACTTGGCCCCCCCGACTTCTCCACATCGGGCCCCTCCCCCGGCGCCGGGAAAGACGATCTCATAATCGTCCGAAAAGGCGCGAGACCCAGCAGGGTCATGAGGACGTACACACCGAGGACCTTGAACATGCCGAAGAGCGTTGACGGCACGGTCTCATACTCGTTATACCGAAAACTCCGTCCATACACCTCCCCGCCCCCCAGCAGCCCCCAAGTCCGATGAACGATGGCCCTATTTGGCTCAGCAGCGACGGAGCTCGATGCCAGGGTCCCGAGGTCGGATGGTGGCGGATTCCCAGCCAGTTGGTCGAGTTCGTGGCATGGCGGTGCCCTTGAATTGGGGACAGCACCCATGGCTCGGTGGACTGGCGCAGGGTCTGGGCGTCGAGGGCGGATTGCAACACGAGGTTTTCGATGCTGCCGCCGCTGGGGGAGAGTCCAGCTTGTTTGACCGAGAGGATGACCTCTTGGGTTTTTAGGTCCTGGTAGTGCTGCTCTAGGTGGTGGACTAGGAACCAGGTGAGGAGGTCGTGGGGCCCGCTGAAGATGCCGCAGGGTTGGATGAGCTGGATGGGTGTGTTAGTCTGAGTTTCAGGCTGAGCTGTTACGAACTAGAGAGGGAAAAGGGGCGACCAACCGCAACGCCTGCCTTCGTCGCGGCGTCGTGGTACTTGGATATCCATTTCCTCAGAAGTATAGTATCTCCTGAACTATATACGACATAAGCTTTTCATACAGTGTTCAGAATCACGGTCATTGTCGGGATGCACTCACGTATCGATATAGTCTGTCCGTTTCTCAATACAAGCGTCAATGATCTCGTGTCCGACATTCCAGTAAGACACGACACTGATGCACACTTTGGCCTTTCTCATGAGGGTGGCGACCTGTTCCCGCTGATGAAGGGACACCACCTCGATTGCTGAGCATCCAATCACCTGTGAGTCTTTGAACTCCAATATATTCTTCATTCCTTCATAAGTCTCACAGCTTAGTCAAGTAACTTACTTGGCTGTATCCTGTCCGGTCTCAACTCCTTTGACTTTGCTGCCAGGATTTCCAGTTTGACTTGCGACCTGCCGGCGATAACCCATCTCAGGTTGTAGGCAGATGTTCGACAATGTGTTCGGCAGTCATCCTGCCGGTATAGCCCGTAGCCCCAATGAGAACAATGTCATACTCGCGTCCATGCTTGGCTGCTGACATTTTGTTTAGGAAACATGAGGACTTCGACGACGAGTGGACTGAGTGATGCTCTGGAAGATATCCTGATATCTAATTCGTGATCGTAACTTATACATCGTATCCGTCGCGGGGTTCCGGGTTGATTTAGGTTTTGTGTCCGAGTCGGACCAACCCTCGGAGACTTGAAGGCCGGATCGGGTCAATTCAGAACATTGCCATCGTCGCCATGCAAGATTATCAAAAGTGCTTTACGAAGTGTTGACAACGACACATGGCAATGTTTTGATGCAGGTCAAGCTCCTAATTGACATTGAAGTAGTGTCTCCACGTCGTGATCCTTCAGGTCCATGATGACCAAGTGTTCGGATTGGACTCGGCCGCGTCCAAAGAGGCGGGCTGCATTTGCTTGATACTACAACGAGCTCGAGAAAGTCCCTGTGTTCCATTAATTAACCACATTTAACACAAAACAAGAGGTGCAGGTTTAGGACATCATGTTATACACAGATTCAGGCTACTATATATACAGTAACCAAGTAGATTACAGAGGGTCGCGATTCGGGATGTCTTCGCATCATCGTGGTATGATCATGCCGCAAAAGCCACCCTACCTCCAAAATCGCAATGCAAACCTCAGTCCCTCGAGTGCGTCCTATCTATTATACACGCCTCCGCTGTCGTTCCTCATACACCCTCCGCCAGCTAGCAATGCACCATGCTTGCCATCCAGCCTGTGGGAGCGTAAACGACGGTTGCATCACCGATGCAAGTACGGAGTGGTTCTATCGTCATGAATTGTAATGCGGGTGCTTGGCATTTACAGCAGGGCGGCCGTCCGGAGAGAGACCGAGGGATTTAGTAAAACAGGTAGAATGAATTCCGGGACGGCTGTTGTTGGTACAACTGGCCCCAGCCGGCTTCTGGTATTAGTCTGAGAGTAGAGCGGGGGCCTAATCCTCAGAACAGATCGTGCTGGCATAGTGCCAAGCACCTCAGTACTAGAACGGGATGTTGGGAGACGCTGCGGCACCCATGGCCTCCTGTTGCTCTTGCAACTCCTCGCCACCGGCCTCGATGGTGATACCAAGTCCAACCCTAGCTTGTTGCTACACAGGACCGTCAGCATACTGTATAGAGCATATCACAATACAAAACCACTCACCTTCACATGGTCGACATCACAGCCGAATGACATCATGACGGGCGGGGCCACTCGCTTCTCCAGCAGACAGCTCAGCTTGCCTGTGGAGTCGACTTGAGCTCGGAAAGTCGACATGCGGAAGTCATACTTGGCACCAATGGTGGTGATGCCCTCCTTCTGCCAGCCTGCGCCCATCATGCCGCCAGCGCCAGGAACAATTGAGAGAGTCATGTCGACACCGGCCTGGACCTTGTCCGACAAGCGGCGCCAGTATGTCGCATTCAAGGCACCTTGAGCCTGCAGCTGGAGCGAAGCAATCCAGTCATCGGACTTGTATCTTGCCGCGTATGACAATGCTGACTCAGGAGGCTGGTTCATGGCAGCGCGCTGCCACATGGCTTCGGCCCCAAGGGCGAGCTTTGAGGTGACAGATTGCAGATGGCTTCCAATGAAAATACCCGTCAGGCCACCCTCGAGGTACGAAGGATTCAGCATCTTCAGCGACGACGTGAAGTCAGCGCCGACGTACTCGTGCTCGATCGAAGCCATGTCCTGAGACCCTATCTGGAATTGTGTCTTGGTCACGAGCGCCGGCGTCCATCGGTAGTTAAATCGCGTCGATAATAACCCATCATTATCCATGCTTCCTTGCAAGAATACCTGAATTGCGATGCCCAAATTAGTCACTAATCTTATTTGGTATTGGCATGGCACTGCTGCCACAACCTATCAGACGGAAACTTTATACTTACATTGTTGGTGCCGAACAGAGCAGCAAATGCGTAGGGCGTTAGACGTTCGCCGATGGCAAACTGATGGGACACTTGGAAGAGTGGCGACATGCTGAAGGCCTTGGTAAGGTCGGCGCGCAGGCCGGTGTGCATGTAGTTTGTCAGGAAGACTTCACGTTGGCACTCCTTCGCGATGCCCTCAACCGTGCCCGGGTTGGATAGGTTAAGCTCCGCCCGCCTCTTGTGAAATGCATCGTAGACACTTGTGAGGCTGCGTGTGATGGGGTTCTGGTAAAGTGCGCTGAATTTGGATAAAGGTGTCGATGAGGATGGTGCTGGCGGCAGGGAGATCTCCAGAGGAGTTACCGTCGGAGCTGCTTGTGACATGGTCGTCGTGATTCGGGACGGGAGGGGGATCACAGTAAGATAAATGAGAGGAACGCAATTCGGGTCGGCGGCAGGGTGTGATTGTGCCTTTGATTGCGCCTGTGCCACTTGCAGCTGCTTCGTCAAGGTCAAAGACAAAGTCGTCGCACGGGAGGCTGAATCTCAAGAAGAACCGCTTCAAGCTACGTAGTGATGTCGCAGGAGATTCAAAAATTCTTTCGGTTGGGTAGGCAAGGATCATTCCGCTCCGTGCGCAACAATCCCTCCGAGGCTTTCTAGGTAGGCTTTGGGATGATGTAAGCGCCTTGATTGGCTTGGTTAGCGAACTAGCGTTACTGGCACGTCCCTGTGTGCGTATATGTATACAACGGGTAGTCAATGAACATGTATGTACGTACTTCACTGTCTCCTTCGACTTGGTGACTAGATAAAGTTGGTTTCGGAATGTAGGTTTCGGAATGTATGGAATAGGCAGCGAGGCTTAAGATCCTGCATCTTTCAAGGCCGACTGCTTGCAAGCAATAAATTGGAGGTTGGACTTGTGGGTTTGAGTTACTTGTAAGAGACCCCTTTAACTGAATATTCGTGGCCACGGAAAGTGGCTGCTATTCTTGGCTTTGACTTATCGAGGTTAGTTATGTCATATTTCTAGCACTTAATACTCCTCATGACCAAGCTGCAAGTTGAGACAGGGTTTTTTGTCTTTCTGAAGCCATCGTATATCGCAACATTTCGGCCCTCCTTTCTACACTCCCAGCAGGTTCTACTCAGCGCAGGTTGCCCCCGTGCACAGGTTGAACCGGAGCGAAACTTTTTGCTGTATTGCACAGGCCATCCCAATAATACGTTTTCTGCGCTATCTATACGGCTTCTACGCATATTTTGGATCTCATCGGCAGATTCAAAAGCAGGAAGTAGGTCGAAACGAACCCAATAACTCCTGTTCGCAGTGTTGGGAACGGACGTTCGTGACGGTTTCTGCTCGGTTGGTGGAGCGTGAGACTCGAGACTGTGGTTTTGTCCAAGGACTGTCACCAAACAAACTTGCTCATTCCGAGCCTCACTAAACGAATTTGCGTCACATTTGGAAATCGGCACCGAGTCTCATTGTCACATTCGACTTCACAGCTAGAATATCGACAGCAACCTTCCGCAGCTAGTCATTCTGCGTTCACTTGACTCAATCCATCGTGTGCCTCCGCAAAGTCTTCTCAGAGGGCATCAGACAACTGGTCCTGATTCAAAGTTGGTCGAAGAATTGGAATATCTGAAATTGCGAGGATTTAGTTGCAATCTTGGGACTTGAACAGTAGGCAAGCTATACTTCGGATCTCACGAATCACGTCGTATTCTGGAAGGCTAGACTGGCGAGACGTACTGCGGTGGGTTCGATCGACGAAGACATTGGCCATCTCACAGTCCAAAACAGATTTACAGTGGGTCCCAGGGTCGTGAGTGCACGTTTGGAACCCGCCGTGTATCTCGGTCGTTGTTGCCCAATTCCCAAAAGTGAATACGAAGGCATAGGGGCAAGAGCTACTCGGTATTACTTGTTGCAACTGCGTGGCCGCCATGGATACTTTACTGTGAGCAAGCTCTTCCCTACTCAACATTCGTTATCCATGCTGCACCTTTGCGCCCCCCTTTCCTTTGCAGACCTCCAAAAATCAGCAATTGCTGCATCGAGACATCGAGGCATCCGTCCAAACCAGCACCGGTTTTTGAGAACGGAAAAATTAAAACCGCATCATGTCGGAGCAAGTGTGGTCTTGGAAACATACCCGAGAAGGCCGGTCACCATCGCCGGCCGATGCGTCTCGTGCTTCTCGTGTCAATGCCAAGCGCTACGGCACAGGGGATTCTCATTGTTATTTGCGACGCCAGCTCCATTTAGGAGATATTTGCAATACCCAGGACGAAACTGACGACAGCAGCACGGCAGAAATTGCGGCTAACGCCCCGCGATACCGGCGCAAGAGCAGCACATTTATTGATGGTATCCATGATGTCGCCGAGGAAGGTGACAGGGCTCCAGCCCAGCTGTACAGCACCATGTCAGGGAGACTCTTTCATTCTGGCCGTATTGCGATTGTAATGGTGGGACTTCCTGCTCGAGGCAAAACGTAGGTTCCCAAGCTGCATCTTGAGCACTTTAGCAACGAGCACTGACATACTACAGCCATATTTCCGTATCTATGGCTCGATATCTTCAATGGTACGTTGGTAGCGACATGGTGTTTTAGATACGCACTAACTCGGCGTAGGTTGGGAGTCAAGACACGCATTTTCCATTTGGGCGACTACCGACGCGCAACTGTCGGTGAAAAGGGGGACGTGCCTGAGGACTACTTCTTCCCCAATGCCTCTCCGGCTTCGGTCATGCTGCGTCAAAAGATTCTTAAGAAGTGCCGCGAAGACATATATGCCTGGCTGAACCACGAGAATGGGCAAGTTGCCATATACGACGCTGTAAACCCAACGGCAAGTGGTCGCAGGTCTCTGGCTAAAGAATTTGCAAAGCACGACGTCCAAGTGAGCCGTTCCGACTATGTCTGGCGCTCAATTCCATTTGACACTGACATATAATAGACCTTGTTCCTCGAATCTTACGTCGATGACGACAAGCTTCTTCGTGAGAATGCTCGAAATGTCAAGATTAGTTCCCCCGACGTACGCTGCCACCCCTTGTCTGCCATTTAGCCAGCACACTAACACGATGCAGTTCGATGGCATGGACCCTGATGATGCCGCCATGCTTTACCTTCGCCGCATCGAAATGAAAATTCCCACCTTCGAGACTATGGCTGAAAACGAGCTCAATTACATCAAGATGATCAATGCCGGTCAAACGTTCTTTTACAACAACGTCTCCTTTAACTACCTCTCTCACCGTATAGTGTTCTACCTCACCAATACTCACATCAAAAGCCGCACGACTTTCTTCGTACGGGCTGGCTCAGCCACCGAAGAGGACTCTTACAAGGCCGATGCTCCACTCTCCCAGGAGGGCGTCAACTACGCACGTATCATGTCGGACACCCTCCTCCGGCACCGCGAGAAAGAGCGTGCCGACCACATTGCTTCCGGAGGGCCCGATATGCCACTCAGACCCCTGACTGTTTGGACAAGCACTCGGCTGCGCACATTGCAGACGTCGGAGCCATTCAAAGAGCGCGGGTACAAGGTGCGCCAACGCAGCCAGATGTCGCAGATTAACCCAGGTGTATGCGAGAAGCTAGCGGAACGTGCAATCCGCCGTCTTTATCCCGAAGAAGTGGAGAAACACGGCATGGATCCATACCACCACCGCTATCCGCGTGCGGAATCATACCACGATCTCGCCGTTCGCCTGGAGCCCATTATTCTCGAGCTCGAAAGAGAGCAGAACGACCTTCTCATCATCGCACACGAGTCGGTGCTCCGAGTATTATATGCCTACTTGATGCACTGCAGCACCAGGGATATCCCGTCACTCAAGTTTCCGCGCAATGAAATCATTGAAATCATCCCGGCCGCGTATCAGAATGAAGCGAAGCGGATCCACATCCCAGGGCTGGATCCCAGGACCGTGGCAGGAAGTCCCGAAGATATTCGAATCCCGGTGGCCAGTATTCCCGGCAGTGGGACCGACAGCCCGGCGCCGTTTCCAGATGGACTAGGAAGTCCCGCGGAGCCTGTCGTCTCCATATACGAGAAGCCGCCAGAGAAGATTGTCAGCACGGCTGCTGATGCGGTTAAAAATAGACTGACGGATGAGGATTGAGATGAGGATTGAGACGGGGGACGCGGTGTGCTTGTTGTGAAGCAGTTACTTTTCCGGGTTAAAAGGGATGCTGAGGTCCGGGCGGTTGGAGGGTTTAAATACACATGGGATACGGACGAGGTGCATGGCATGGCTAGATTGTTCGGGTGAGTAATAACCCAAGGGTGGCTGGTGCGGTTCTCTAAGGGCAAAACATGGTTTATGGATCGTTCATTGGGTTTAGGACAAGTGACAATTTTGTTAACGTTTGTCGGAATGGGGCCTGATAAATGTTGATAACTTTTCTTCAATTATTGGTTTCGACATATTTTTTTGCTTTTGAAAGTGCCTTTCCCACTAGTATCACAATTGAATTTCGACGTGAAGCTCATGAACTGAAACAGTGTGTCCTGTCAATTTGAACAGAGGTTGCAAGCATAGATCTCTAGGGACAATCTTACTGGAGCGGGTGTTTAGTGGATGGACTCGCCCTGACCCCTTACTTTGCATATCATAATCGCATCAACGACAGTGCCATGCAAATGACTATCTTTACGCATTGTTTTAACAGGATGGCTGTGATCTTCTGCCCGGGTCATTCTTGACGGTGGTATTTCAAGACTCAAGATATGCTCGAATCGTGGAATCAAGCAGGTCAAGCCTTGCCACAATGTATCTCATCAACATCTTCGTAAGACACTCACCAGCTTGGTTGCTCGCATACCTGGTAAGTAATCACGAGGCTCTCTTCCCACCGGACTCCATATCTTTGAAAACGAGGATTACTGTATCTTTACGCCCCGATGCCGTCCCCATGCCCAAAACGCCATGCTACCTTTGTGAGTATATATGCTTCTGTTCTAAAGTACTGTCGTGTGTAACTGCAGGAAAAATTGCAGCAGTTTTTCCAGAATGGAGTTCTCTTATTCGCCTTTTGCCGAGCCGATGCAACCAGGGTATCTTTTATTCCAAAAAATGAACAGGCAAATGTCACGCTTCCTGTATCCCCTCCTCCCGGATACCATTACCATGACCACCATCTGCTGCCACCTCTCACATTAAGATGCACTCTCGATCTGGAATCTCCCCAGTCTTCTTGTTCTCCTTCCCCTTCCCCTTATCTGGCCGCGCTTTCGATCGCCCTCGCTTGTGACGATGAGGCGAGGAGTCTTTATCCTTATCCTTTCCGTTGGTCCCATTCGGATTGGCTGTCTCTTGGCCTTCCTCATCAGGATCCGTGGAAGTCGAGTCGCGCAGCGGCTCTCTACTTGCCCTCACCAACCCGCTCAGACGCGACATGGTGATGCTGATCCTTCCTTCCCCGGCTTGGCTGTCTGTCCGACTCTTGCTGCCACGGCTGAACTTGGCGGCAGCCCGACTCAATCGCTGGGCTGTCGTTTCATCCGATGGTGTGACTGCCGGCGAGTGACCTTCGACCGGACTGACGCCGGTGGACGTGTCGTACATAAGGCTTCCGCGGCGGGAAGCACTCAAGAAACCCTCATCATCGCCAAAGCTACGCCGAGATGGTAGCTCTAATTCAGACGAGAATCTTACACTAGCATTCGTCGACGGTAAGGTGCTCCAATTTTCGAAGTAACTGCTAGCTTGCCTCGACATAACGGGCCTGTCTTGTGCATGGTCCGATATATCCGAAACTGTGACATTCAGGGTTGTGTTGGTATAAGAGGGCGGTTCAAGTTCAGTCCCATCCGTGGAGCTGGCAGTCACGTCGACGATGGGAACAACTTGGTAGAAGAGTAGGTATGGCATCTCATCCTTTAGTGACTGCTTGATGTCGTCGACTGTTATCACGCGATCTTCGTAGCACAAGTCATCGAATTTAACCCACTGTGCTTCTTCGTAGTCCGGCGGGGGGTCATTGTCGTGCCGGCGGTTGTCAGTGAGAAGCTTGGGTGCAACGCGACAGAATGAGATGTAGTGGCCTGAGTGTAGAGAATCTCCTCGATGACAGACAACTGACTGCAGGATGAGCTTGTATTCTGTGCTTAGGCCATGCTCCTCAACATGTCGCTCGTCGACAATGAAGTGTGGTAGCCTCAAACTGTCAGGGATGTCGATATAGGTGTTTTGCCGCATGGGCACACCCTTATCGTTCATCATATACCGCTTGAGGCAAATACCGACAACCGGACGTTGGCTGAAGTGCCGCGCGACTTCTAGATCACTTCGAGGCTCCTCATTGGCTGGTGAGTGCCAGGGGATAAGCCTGAAAAATTGCCAAGCAGGAATGGTAACAGCCTTCACGACTGATACTGACCGCTTGGCTCGCTCGAAGAGACTTGCGGAATCCGAATCAAAGGGCCTTGCGCCGTTGTCGAGCACAACGCGTTGTATGATGCTTTCCGTACGGGACCTGTTAGGTCTACCCGACAATTGTGTTTCCTGCGATCCAGCGGGCTGCGAACCAGGGCGCTCCGTCCAACGTCTCTCCAACGGAGCCATTTCGGCATGTTCGGCGGTCGCTACGGGACCCGCCTCCTTATTATCATCTTCATCGTCATCTGAGACGATGCGTATTGTGCTTCGAGGCGATGATGGCGTTGCTGGCGCATCAGGACTTCTTGGCGTAGGCGTCAAAGTCATTCGTCTTTTTTCCTCCAGACTGTCCCTGTGAACGTCGACCTGAGAGTTGAAGTACTCCTCCAAACAATCTTCGAGCCTGATAACCTTGCCATCGGTATCTGGAGGTACAGCCAGGTTCAACAATCTCTCATAGACAACCTTGTGGTCCGCCTCGTCATTCTTGCCTTGGTGGAACAGGTCGACTTGCAGTGTCAGCAACGGAAGCTGGAGTGTCTCGGTAATAAATGCGAATGCTTCAGATGTGTCCTGCTGCTCTAGCAACTGCGCATCCCTCCACCCGCATGCAGCAAGTGCATCTTGAATGTGCTGCGTCATATCCGTTTGGATCAGCTTCCCGCTCCGAAGCATATTCACCCACAGTCGCAACAGAGCCGCGAGTCTTCTCTGTGGTTCTTCTGGCAGCTCCGTTTTGAGCATGCATTCGAATGCCTCAAGCTTGGCGAACATGGCGAAGAGCAGGGCGTCGAGGTAGCATGTAACATTGCCGCGATTCTCTGCACCGAGCATGCGAATATTGGGGTTGTAGTGAGAAATCTTGCCAGAAAAGGACGTCTTCTGCAATTCCATAAGCTCGACCGCCTTGTTGACGTCGCCGGCGGCGAATTTGGAGTGTAGCGCGTACAGGACATGGTCGTCGGTGACATTCGCGATATCCAATTCGGCCAGTCGTCGGCTCACTTCTTTGACCTTGGCAGCCTCCTTCTCCTCCTTTTCCTGTTCGGTTTCTTGGTCCTCCTCTGGCTTCTTCGCAGGTTTGAAGAGTGAGAAGAATGCTTCGAATGCTTCAGCGGACATGGGACGATGCTACCAGGCAAATGTGGTTAGTACTGTGCCAACTCCAAGAACCATATGGGGGCAGGTTATAATTCCAGCATCGTTTAAATCTGTGGGCAGGCTAGGCCCTCGTTTGAAGCCTGATATGAGCCAGCTCAGCTGATTGCGGGTTCTCCAGAGCTTTCTCCGTGCAATGGCCCATCAACAGATGTAGATTGCCCCGGGGCATTGCTTGCGGCATTCTTCTCGGGAAGTGTTCGGTTGGGAAGTGAGGCAGTATGTCCTTACCTTGGGGTCGGACGACTTTCCACGACGGTGACCGCTCTTGTCCCGCCGACTTAAGAACTTTTTGGGTAGACCAGGCGGCATTTTGCTGCGGTGGTTGAATCCAAGATGGTGTTTGGTGGGGTTATTTGTGCGCGATGATCGAGGGGTTCAAAAACGTGAAGCACCGTGGCCGTCGAGGTAGAGTCCCAAAGTCGCAACGTCGTAGGGTCTCAACGGATTGGCAGCCAGGTTTATGGCTGTAAGAAGTGGTAGCGGTCGCAGATTCGCATTGTCCGATGAAGTAACGAGCTTGCCGAGAGGTTGGTAGGATATTTCTTGAAAGTATCGGTGTCGAAATCGTGTAAATCAGTTGGGTGTTCACGTAGGAGCTACCAGTCCGGCCAAGAAAGGTGGGACACGGCGAAGTTTCGTCCTTGGAAGGAGCAGCGTGGAACTAGGCGCACCGAAGATCTTGAACTTTTACGGCACGGGCGAGATGTATCCTAATCTGGACAGTCTTGCAGTTTGCGATTTCCACAAATCTTCGAGCCGATAGGTTGGGGCAATATATTTGATGCGAGCCGGAAAATAAGAGGACGGAGTAGCGGAATGAAGCCAAAAATCGCTTCAGTAAAGTTTGAGCCTGACCAGCCCCCCGTTCATGTCACCGGGGCATGCGGAAGGTAAATATGCGAAAGTTGCAAGTTTGCTGGAGAGACAACGAATTTCGCAGTTCACCAGACATTTTTCCGCCGAGCAAAGGTTTGGGTTGTTAACCAGGTCCACGGATATGTTTGAATCTGCGTCATTTGGTTTCCATGAAGCCACCAATCGAAGTGAGTCCCATTCATAAGAGGTATGGTGATATCGTTCGACCCAGGCACCAACCACTAGGTGACATCCGCCTCGATAAAACCACTGAACACATTTAGCTTAGTCTCTTTGACCAATCAAGTAAACCTGCGTTCCTCGGAGGCTCAGCATCAGCACCCCATGTCTATGTGTACTACTATAAAACGAATGGCGTACACGGTTGCGATTTGAGAATCCTCGAGACCCATTTTCATCTCATCAGCAGTGAACCTTCTGCAGGGAGCTACTCTCTAGAGCCTCATGAGCATCCGTCTATGACATACAAACCTTCAGCTCAGCCATGGGGTCAAATTAAGAAAACCAACGACTCGAGAACACTTGCTGTGTCTGATTTTCTTTGTCTTACTGACTCGAAACTGGACAAAGCAACATCAGCCTCCAGCTCACACGAGCTCATTGTTCGTAATTTACGAGGCAAGCACACAACTCAGGTGATCTGCGGTGTTTTCCGCAGCTTGAAGCCTAGGATCTGCAATGGTTCCTAAGTCTCATGACGATAATGACATGTCTTTAAATCGTAGCCTTGACTTTTGTGCGGTGGCATTGATGGTAGGGTAGCTTATTGTTGACTTCAAGGACAAGGTTTACAATTGGTCTTCTCACGCCGGGGGTAAATCTGTCAACCAGAGTTGATGCAGCTCGACTCGAATTTCAGGGGTCTCAGCACAGACCATGTTCATGGCCCGGAAATTCAGAGACGCCGTTGTAACTTGAAATTTTATAGATAACTCGGTCTGGCGATAGCTTCAGATAACTCGGCCCAGGGGATTGACGGAAACGACAAAGCTGAGATTCTCGTACAGATCCAAATATTGCGGGTGATCTGAGAAATGTCTCTACGGGAGGTTCCTCGGTCTGCACGACATGTCCTGAGCAGGCTCTCGTGCTGGAAGCCAAGCGCGCCCAGCTTTCAAAGATGTGCCTCAACGACGTCATCCAATGAGTCGGCCTCGGGCATTGCAGACCTTGAGTCTGAGTCTGGATTGATGTCGCCTATTGTTCAGCGGGAACAGGTCTCAGTGATGGACCCAAGGAAAAGAGCAAGCCGCAGAATACAAGAGCTACCCCACTCAAGGTAAAGACGGCTCGCATGTTCCCCAGACGACCACCACTCTGCTAACGTATTTCTAGATACCGATACGCGCCTCCAAAATACTACAGAGGACCTTTGCATCCTGTCCAACCGCCGCCTCAATCCGACCCGGCAGCCCGCGACTTCGTACCTGGTCCCTTCAATCTCCCGCGCCTGAAGCAAACATTCCACTCCACCATCGCCTCCGACATCATGACCCTCACCTATAACCACGTCATTCCCGGCACGCCCGCTAAGCCCGAGAGAATCCGTCTGCGAGAATGGGATGATTCGTCTCCATACATGGTAAACCGACCCAAGCGTGGACCGCGTGGAGCTGAGGTCCTGCTTCCCCTGGAAGACGATATTACCTTCCGTAACATCCCGGAGATCAAGGCTATTCACCTGAACATGTACACGCCCAAGGCCAAGAAGAACCCGGACCATCTCCGTGTTGCCAGGGCAGTCATGCAGACCATCACGGGAGTCAGGCCCATTGTAACCGCCACCAAGACGAGCGTAGCACAGTGGGGCATTGTGAAGGGTGATCGGACCGGTGTCCAGGCTTCGGTGTATGGGAACCAGGCATATGAGTTTATAGACAAGGTCATTCATCTAGTCTTCCCAAAAATCAAGGAGTGGCAGGGTATATCAGGTAAGATCTTTCCGTGCATCCTGGCAAAACGACACCAAGACTAAGGTAAAACTAGGCACGACCGGTGACGGTGCGGGAAATCTGGGTTGGGGTTTCGAAAATACTGAGATGATGTACTTTCCAGAAGTAGAGGCCAACTACTCAATGTATCCCACCAAGGTAATCACCAACCCCTATTCGGCTGAGGACAAAGCTAACTGGTTGGACTAGATGATCCCGGGCTGTCACATCAAGGTTGAGACTACCGCTAAGTCTGACAGACATGCTAGACTACTACTGCAATCTCTAGGCATACCATTTTATGGTAAATTGGTGGACTAGACTACGCACGAATTCCTGACAGGAGCCGCTGTATATATAAGATTTGTAAAAAAGGGCACCAGTATAGAGTGTAAGCCATGTGTACAACATCTCAAACCGACCACGACTCATGTGGTATATTCTGTCATTGCTCATTGATTCTATAGCCTATCTCCAAGCTGCGTTCCTCACGCAAGATTGCGTGATCCCCGACCTTCCTGTATGATCAAACCAGTCCTGCCAACGCCGCTAATGCAAGTCACTTTTTGTCAAGCTTCCATGTCCACTTATGCACTCAAAGCCTTTTCCCGCAACCCGTTGATGACCACATCAACGGCATCCATATTCGTAGCATCGACCTGCCCCGTTTCGGCCGTCTTGCCCTCCCGCTTCGCCAGCTCCGACGAGAGCACATCCATCGCTGGCTGGTAATTCCTACACGCCGAGCTGAGCGCATACACCGCCTTCCGCCTGACGTCCTTCGTCTCGGCTGCCTTTCCATCTCCTTTAGCCTCGCTGCTCAGTTTCATCACGTCTCCATCCCCAGCCCGCTTCTCCATGCCCACGCGATCGCCGAGGGCCATGGCGCACAACCTCTCCACACCACCCAGGGCTACCAGCCGCTCCTGGCAGGGCTCGTTGTTCTGCACGGCAGTGCCGATGCACCACGCCGCCATAAGCCGCAGCTCCGCCTCGTCGTGACCCAGAAGCTCGAGCAACGGCGTCCACAGGCCCAGCTTCGCCAGCAGGTTCGCATTGTCGAGCGACTCGATCAACTGCTCTAGGTTGTCGAAGGCGATAAGCTTAGACTCGAGCGTGATTTCGGGGTCAGATGAGGTGATGTTCTCGACGGCGGCTTTCATGAGGTCAGCGTCGCTGGGCCCGCCCATGAGCGCTGCGAGGATTTCTTGGTTCAGGCCGTTAGGGGATGGATTTGCTTGTTGCGCTTCCGCTGCAGTGGTGGGGATTGGTTCGGTCGAGTTCTCGATGCCCCATTTCAGGAGCTCATTGAGGTTTCTGTCCATGGTGAATTTTTTGGGTGCTCTGTCTGGTGCCGGGTGGGCTTGTTCTCGGGCCGATGTGAGTTCTGGAGAGTATTGATCGATCTACTTCGTGGGTGAAAATCTAGATACAATTCCCAGTTATTCAGAAGAAACTGGATACGGATTATTGTCGTCTTCGAAATATCTGAACTGCTTTCGAGTCGTCAAAGGCCAGATGCAAGTTTCCAACTTCCAGTGCAAGACTGGTGATTGACCACTTTTTTTCACTTAAGCAATGAGAAGCTTCGCGAATGCACCAGACTCTCCAGCATAATCCCTGTCATTGATCTCGCGATAAACCTACCTGGGACTAGTGTGTCCATCACGTGGGCCTTATCTTTCTTCATTCGGTGACATCGCAAACCGTTGAGCTTTGCCAAGAGAGCGAGTACGGGAGTATGAACGTGGCCTTCGCCACAGGATTGGGATTGAAATAGGATGGATAGAATCTCACGATTTCGAGGGCCCTGATGCCGCTATTAAAGATGCATTCTCGGGTCTGCAAGACAGCTGCCCGCGACTGCCACCAGGACTGATGGGGAAAGAGCAGGTCAATATTGCCCCACCGCGGTTGCCCCTCGCCGCTGCTTTAAGAGACAGGGAGCTGACGGAGAGGCGGCGATGTGAGGTTGGGCTTCTAGTCCTCAAGTCCACTTGAGTCTGTGAGTCTATGGGACTGCTGTTATTGCCAGATGTCCCCCTTAATATCAACCAGGGTGCAGCTTGGGATGAGTCTGTTGGCCAGACCCAGTGCAGCTTCGCAGCGTCTTCACTTTTCTTGAGATCCTCGTGTGCGTTCTTTATCCTCTCAGAAGGCTTGGTTGGCCTATGCCCAGGTGTCTTATACCTGTCCGTCCGGTTGAAACAAGGCCGTCCAAACTCTACTCACCGGTAGCACTTCTATAGCAAGGAGCTAATATTAAAATGCTTCATCTCAGGTCAATTTTGATGAGATGAGATAGGCTCCCGAAAATCATCAAATGCAGATGCGGCCAGCGGGAGGCAAAAGCATAGCCCCTGCATACGCAAGCTTTGTTGCCTCATGGGACTGAGCTTCTAGACTTACGACGAGCTATATCATTCAAAATAGCGGTGCCTGCTTGGCGGTGAGTTAACTGCACAGGACTTGCGTAATTAAACAACTTAAGCCACAAGTCGGGACATCTTAATTACTTTAAAGTAGCATCCAGCATCTGACAGCTCCGGCGGAGGGTCCGTCGTGGGGTGCATCATTCCATGGGCGCACATGTCAGCGATGTTGAATCCTGCCTTGGCGGCAGTTGCATTATATATGTTTGTTTCGGAATCTCACGATGGACCATTTAGGCAACCTGATAGATCAGTATTCTGTAACCTTAGACAGGGAGATTTAAACATCGGACGATGACAAACGCGGCCGAGATATTCGAATCAGTAATAAACAGAATCGTGTTTCTGACTGCCTAAAATAACAACATTGACAATACTGACCCCAGAGTTCCATTCAGTCGGAGTCGAATAGATGCAACGTACTGCTTTTCTTACACTGCCTTTGGTAGGCAGGCTCATATCAGAACTACGACATGGAAACATTTGCATGGAAATGTCGTAAAGCCTTGCCACTTGGAGATTTTACCTTCAAATGCGTGCTGCCTGACAGTACGGGTCGCATACGTAAAAGCGGCGCGGGGATCCCTTGGCTGCCACCTGGGCAAATTTAGGCGCTGCTAATCGCTGGCGCTACACCGTTCATTGATTGAGAGGTTGCTTGACGTACTAAAGTACAAAGCCCAAGCCCACACCTGGTTGTCCCAGTCGCTCCTGGGAATTTGCAGCTGCTAGTCGTGCTCCCCCTCTTGCTGGTTGGCTCTTGTTCGGATGCCCACAAAATCGACCGCTCTTGCCTTCCACTTTCCCACATCAATTTCTAACCCAATCCACCCCGACCTACTCGACCTCACCTCAACGTCCTTGGTATCCCAGCCTCTCCTCCCACAGTCTCGACCACCATTGTGACATTTCCACCACTCAACCAAATCATTTTTGCTCTCGTCGATCTGGGAATCGCGTGAGCTTCAGCAACAACTTCTTTTCTGATATTTCATTTGACCCTCTAGTCATCTACATAATCCGCCACAATGGAAGGTAAGTCGAAACATTGAAACATCGATGGAGCATCACCGCCTCGTCAATGCACACATGCATCGCAACAGTCGTTCCCAACTGCTGCCGTACTTTATAATCAATGACTAACGCGTCGTTTTGATACAGAGGAGGTTGCTGCCCTCGTTATCGACAATGGGTAAGATGACATCTCGTCTCACCGACACCCCGAATCGCGAACCACGCGGTTGCCGACATGGGACCCTTCGCGGCCCAAATTCCATCGACGCCAACAGCAAACGTCCCAGTGTGGAAGATTGGAGCTAACTCGAGTATAGTTCGGGTATGTGCAAAGCCGGGTTTGCCGGTGACGATGCTCCCCGAGCTGTGTTCCGTAAGTCTTCCCTCGACGTGGTGTGACCCCGCCCGAGCCTCATCGCAATGGTGGTCTCGAGGTGTCCCGTAGACAAAACACCTGCTGACACGCACACGCAGCGTCCATTGTCGGTCGTCCCCGTCATCATGGGTGAGTGCTTGACCCGTTACGTCGAGTTGGACTACGTTTGCGCGCCCAATGGAGTTTCTAACAATGTACCAGTATCATGATTGGCATGGGTCAGAAGGACTCGTACGTCGGTGATGAGGCACAGTCCAAGCGTGGTATCCTGACGCTGCGATATCCCATCGAGCACGGTGTCGTCACCAACTGGGACGATATGGAGAAGATTTGGCATCACACCTTCTACAACGAGCTGCGTGTGGCCCCCGAGGAGCACCCCGTCCTGCTCACCGAGGCCCCCATCAACCCTAAGTCCAACCGTGAGAAGATGACGCAGATCGTCTTCGAGACCTTCAACGCCCCTGCCTTCTACGTCTCCATTCAGGCCGTCCTGTCTTTGTACGCCTCTGGTCGTACTACCGGTATCGTACTCGACTCCGGTGATGGTGTCACCCACGTTGTCCCCATCTACGAGGGTTTCGCGCTTCCCCATGCCATCGCCCGTGTCGACATGGCTGGACGTGACTTGACCGACTACCTCATGAAGATCCTGGCCGAGCGTGGTTACACTTTCTCCACCACTGCTGAGCGAGAAATCGTTCGTGACATTAAAGAGAAGCTTTGCTACGTCGCCCTTGACTTTGAGCAGGAGATCCAGACTGCCGCCCAGAGCTCCAGTTTGGAGAAGTCTTACGAGCTTCCCGACGGTCAGGTCATTACGATTGGCAACGAGCGTTTCCGAGCTCCCGAGGCTCTGTTCCAGCCTTCTGTCTTGGGTCTTGAGAGCGGTGGTATCCACGTCACTACCTACAACTCCATCATCAAGTGCGACGTCGATGTGCGAAAGGACCTTTACGGAAACATCGTCATGGTATGTATCATTGAAGGCAAGCTACTGCCAGGATGTCATTTGCTAACATGCCGCACAGTCTGGTGGTACTACCATGTACCCGGGTCTCTCCGACCGTATGCAGAAAGAGATCACTGCCCTGGCCCCGTCCTCCATGAAGATCAAGATCATCGCTCCCCCCGAGCGCAAGTACTCCGTCTGGATCGGTGGTTCCATTCTCGCTTCCTTGTCGACCTTCCAGCAGATGTGGATCTCCAAGCAGGAATACGACGAGAGCGGTCCTTCCATTGTCCACCGCAAGTGCTTCTAAGCGCCTATTAGCACTCGAGGATGCGATTTCTCCCTCTGCCTTCTCACGAGCTTACAATAGCCCCGACGAGATGGCGAACCCCGACGTAGAGCTCTCCGTGCCGTTGCTGAAATGGTCCTCGAGACGAGTCTCATATCTACGAAAAGTTCTGGTAATGGTGGAGAGATTGGGGCTGTTTTTTAGTCAGCTCCTTGAGAGAAAAGCGGATATGAAATGCTTTGTTTTCAGAAGGCCATTCATGCAGGGGATGAGGTAGACAATTATACTCGAGGTTGATCACATACTTTTTTTCTCATACCAAGTCTGCTTCTCAGGGTAAACCATGACAGTGAATAACGTAGGGTGAGTGATCAGGGAGATGTCCTACGTCATGTAAGCACAAATATAAACTTGCCTCTAGTGCCACCTTGTTGCGTCTTAACAATGCATCCAGCTGTAGGAACAATCGACTCGTCAGCAAGTTAAATGGGTACTCAGTACGTATAACCCCCTGAACGGTGATCGACATAGAAATCTGTTGGTGGAACTTGATGCATTTACACGATTTACATACACTCACTTGCTTCTTGATTATCTCGTCCGTGTCTAGCCTTGGGTCCGTTGCGTTTTCATTGCCTATGATGTTCAACTTCCACCTCTATTCATTTCCTTCAATAATCGTCTTCTTAGTTCCCACATCCCTCTCGCGATTGGGCTCTTCGAGAGGTCATTAACCAGATCCTTGAACTTCCGCTTCGCCCCCGCTCTATCTAGTTATTCAGAGCCCCTTGCAACTCGTCCTTGCTACCCTCTCTTGTAGCGTCCCCTCTACCCCCTTGACAGCCTTGTTCACGAGCGCGACAATCTCCCGCTTACGACAAGAACCGCATCCATGTTCTCTTTCTTGTCCTCCTCAATAGCCACCTTAGTAGCTACCTCAGGCGTCACCTCGTCAGTATCTGTCTGAATTGACTCGTCGACATCCCTCAAAACAGTCTCGTTCACATCCTCGCCTTCCTTCTCTTCACCCTCGCTCTCCTCCCCCTGCTCTTCTTCTCCTGCGAACGCACCCGCCTTCTTCTCGTCTTCAAGCTTCCGGTACTTGCGCCTGCTCTTCTTGGCAGAGCTGGCACGCTTCTTCCGCTTGAACTCGCTCACAATGGCAGCGCGGCTCTGGTCGCCGTGCGTCAGGTCATCAAGCTTGTCGGCCAGTAGCTGCCGGGCGATCTTGCGGTTCTGCGACCGCGAGCGCGTCTCTTGGCATTTGATGACTAGGCCGCTGGGGCGGTGGATGAGTTGGACGGCCGAGTTGGTTTTGTTCTGTGTATAACGGGGCGGGTGGTTAGTTCTAGATGGAACAAGAGACGCGAGGGTTACGTAGGGGAACATGAGGATGGAACTTACGATCTTCTGCCCACCCGGCCCGCTACCCTTGAGGAAGGATTCATCGATTTCGGTCTCCGGTGGGGGTTTGGGTCGCGGGGGATGGTTGACGCCCTTGGAGAGGAAGGAGACGGTTGAGAAGTTGCGCCGCAATGGCAGCGCCGGTACTGCAACGAGTTTCACGGCATGGCGGGCGGTCGAGGCAACGATGGCGCGTAGCATTGTCATCTACAGCAATTGACCTCCATGGCGAGGCGGCTGCAAAGTTACGAGGCGTCGTCTTCGCAATGCCCGTCCGTCTTGGTTTGACATGCAAGCCAATGGATAAAACAAATAAATATATCGGCCCATGCGATTCCAAGTTGCCGACATGGAAATTGCGAATGGACTTTGAGTGCACAGGCCAAGGGATCTTGGAAGACGACTCCTATTGGCCCTAGTGGGACGGGTCGCTTGAACTCTGGACGCGGTCGTCTCGAGAGTTGAGTTTATCTTAATTTTACTGACGTTGAACGACGACTTCCGCCTACGAACCTGCCCGTAGATACGAACACAGTTAAGAACCAAACGTATACTCCGTTTCCACCCGGTACCAAACCATACAATATCCATAAACACAATCGCAACCATGTCGACATCCCTCCAATCTCTCGGCCGCTGGCTCCGGCTCAAGCAGTATCAGATCGAAGTCACCTTTGGTGTCTATATCTTTACACCGATTGAGAAATTCGTCTTCTGTAAGTTACATATATCATGCCACCACCCCTTTCTTTTCATAGCGACAGTTTCTAACGGTCCTATGACCAGGGTCTGTCGTTTTCCTCCTCTTCAGCCTGACTATCATCGCCACCATGCTCTACCTCCCGCAACACATCGTCTTCGTGCTGAACCGCGCCCTCTTCTATGCCTACGGCGACGATAGCGGCGTCGAGCACGTGCTGGGTGGGCTGGCCAAGAACGGCGCTGTGGCGATGCAGCAGACGGTTGAGAAGCTGGCTACTTCTACGGCGGACAGCGCTGCGGAAACGGTGGAGGGTTTGGTGAGGGAGTTGTAATTAACGATAGGAGGGAAGGGGGTGTAGGGTACTTGTTCTGGGAAAAGTTCGATATGGAAATGAGCTGTTTCTGGGCGCGGGAGACTGTACAGATGACGATAAGGCCGGTGACGACTAATACTCACCCTAAACCTATGATGCATGTGCTTGAAATAGGCGGTGGGGCTATAATTGTTTGCGAACAGTGGTATGACATTGGAATGGCATTGAGCCGGCGTTCAAGGTGTAGAGTTCCGCAGAGAGATTTCGCGGGTCTGAGACGGGGACAGGAATTACGGTTTCCAAGAATAATGTCTATTTTGTAGCTGTTTTCACGTAGTGGTGGAAAACGAATACACCCTCAATGAGGCGTCTTCGCCCGCTATCGCTAGCTCATTGTTCTCAGTACCTGGTCGCCAGGAGAGCTGCGTTACAGCCTTTGCGAGGCAGAGTCTACTATCATGTGAGTATTGGGGTATTCAAAGCTAAGCGCATCGAAGGGATTACTTACTCCTGTTTCAGGGGCGTACTTGATATCACTTTGAGGCTTGCCGCCTCAATAAGATGAATCGAAATCTTCCCTTCTTCGTATCCAGCGGTGAGTACAAGCTTTCCGTCCTCGGTCTTGCGCGGCAGGAAGTCGACCGCTGTCACCGGATGTGTGCCCGGTATAGTAGTCACACAAGTTATCGTTGCGTCCGAGGCCCCCTTTCTCCATACCTTGATCTGCTTGTCTCGGCCCGCAGTCGCGAACACAATTGAGTCACTTGCCGGAGCCCAGGCGGCATCTAGGATCATCCTCGAGTGGCCCTTTGGGTTCGCCTGCAAGAGCTTATAGCTCGCCTTGTCATCGCCATCTCTTTCGAAAACAACCCATTGTCTATCTCGGCCAACACTCAACAAGTGTCTGTCATCGGCCGAGAACCTAAGACGAGTCGCGGTCAGAGTGTGTGCGGATAGGGGCGGTTTGACCTCGGTCCACCGGTCCGTCTCGAAGATCCTAATGACAGCGTGGTTGATGGAAGTCGCCCTACACGCGCTGGCTATTAGCGTGCCATCGTGGCTCACCCCCAAACATGAGATCTCGTATCCGTGGCCGTAGAGCTTTTCGACTTCGGGCCAGAGCGTGTGCCGCGAAAGGCTGTCCTCTAAGGGCGGGTGGTCGATTTCCAAAACGGATTTTCGTACCATGGACCCGGGGTCGAGGGCTTCGCGGTCTTTCTCGGGGTTGGCAGTTTGGATTTCTTGATCGTCGTCCACTGCCTCGATGGCTTTATTGGAAAGTCCCAGCACGGGCATGTTGGCGGCGTCGGGCATTTCATCGATGTTTGAATCGCCAATGTCGCACAGGCGGTTCAGGAGCTTCGCTACTGCCTTGGGCTCAGCAAATACGCGCATCAACTTCTCGTCGGCGCCAGAGACGAATTGCGACGATCCGATGGAGTCTATGCAGTTCAGATCGTAGCCGTGGATCTGCGGTCTAGCCATCTCGTGCCATGATTTGTTCCCGGCATCTGTTTTCCATCGCGCATGAAGCCGTGTTGTCTGGTCAGTACTCGTAGAAAGTAGATAGTCTCCGTTCTTGGACCACGCAATCCCCGTGACGGACTTAGTATGCCCACTGGTACCGATGTTTGGCATCCACTGGTCACTATTTCCGCTGTAGTCCCATCGTCTCCAACTTCCAGTCCGGCCCAGGCATACCACGGAGTTCCCATCGGGAGACCACAGGCCCGTCCAGAAACCGCCAGTGCTTCCTGTCGCGGTGGTGGCTCCCTTCTCTCGACTGATCTCCCCAAGTCGCACTGTAGTGACCCAAATCCCTGATGAGGGATCTGCTTCCCAAATTGCGAGCGTGTTATCTGCTGAAGTGGAGAGCAGTTGCAATTTCTCGCCATCGGGGTTTGAGAACCATTTGGCGCTGTATATCCAATCATCATGACCAAGTAAAAGCGCCTCAAATGTGACAGAGAAATCGTTGCCAGCCACCCTCAGGCGGTGAGCTTTGTTGGAGGGGGATTTGCCTGGCAGGAACGCACCTGCACCCATGGTTGGGTCGGCGCCGTTCGTCGGTGCTGTCGGCAGCTCCTCGCCCTGGTGGAATCGCCAGAGACGAACATACTTGTCTTGACTAGCAGAGGCCAGGATGAGATCGCTCTGGAGCCCACTTCTTTCAAAAATAAAGTCAAGAGATCTCAACCAGCCTTCGTGGCCTGAAAGTGTAGCTTGAAGTTCAAATTTGGGCGCGGAGACCGAGTCTGCGACAAATACCTGGACAATATCCCTAGTGCCTGCGGCGGCAAGCACCAGGGCATCGCCAGCTTCATTCAGGTTACTCAGTGCTATGCAAAGAGGGAAAAATTTCGGCGTCGTCCTGATTGTCTGTAAAAGTCGAGCCTCCCCAGCTTCAAAACTCCAGAGCTTGATTGAGGCATCGGCGGCTCCGGTGGCAAATATCCTAGGCTCTCGTTGGACACGGTCCCGCAAGGTCGCTATGCAGTTGATAGCCGCCGTATGTTCATGTATTGTCTGAATGCATGATACAGAGCCATCTCGCCCCAACTTCCAGACCTTCAGTTGCTGGTCATCAGCTGCAGTGAGGAGATATGACTCGGTCTCACCCTCTGCCCGAGGAAGGAATTTGACAGCTTTGACAGTTTCTTTATGGCCATTTAACAGACTTGTGACACCCTTTGGTACAGAACTCTGTGGACTTAATAAGTATCAGTGCTCGTTCATCGAAACGAGCTACTTACGCTGGGCTGCCAGAGGGCGACGTTCGAATCGGCGCCAAAGGCAACGATACCGTTTTCGTTCCAGTCGGCAACGGCAGTTTGCCTATTGGCACCTACCGAGAGGTACTCAACGCCAATACTGGCTTCGTTCATGATCAGATTGATTTCTTGTCATCGGGGAATGAATCTGGAATTTTTGGGTCATAGGAAAATGGCCGTCGTGATTGGTTGTCGAGCTTGCACAATTGCTTCGACCTAGAATTTGGTGTGAAGTATGACTGCCAGCTGCCAGCATCATTTGTCAGGTGTTCCTACTATAAACATGACTTACATGTAGATTTACAGTTTTTGTCACAATATCCGTTTTAAGAACCAGGCAAAGGCATGCACCTATATCATTGTGTTATCATGAGCATTTGGGACATAGACAGATGGCTATGTTGTTTCAGCTACTTTCCCCGTGTCAAGCCAAACACATGGCGATGTGAAATGTTATAGAGCCATGCATCTTTCAATCTACTGGGGAGGTGTTATGCTCGTTAAATTCATACACTAAGCATGACATCCCCGATTTCCTTGGGAAAGCCTCAGGGGTAGTAAAGGGAGATGGTGGGCTCAGAAAAGCGATTGAAGCTGCATTTCCAATACCCAAGAAGAATCACGTTTTCGGTACTCTAGGGAGTGTTGAGCGACTTGCCAGAACCTCAAAAGCCGTCAACAGTCTGCTTTAGTTTCGATCTGAGCTCCTCAACAGACCGTCGTACTCCTTTCGCATAGCGTTGCTCGAACTAAAAGATATTTCCCGTCTTTCGGCGTCAGATATCCGAGAAATTCAAGTCGCTGGATGGCTCAACCAGATGTCAGACTCCTCAAGGAGCAGAACACGGAATTGTACATCACACCACTGCGGCCAGTGCTGTTCGGCAGGAACCCAAAAGAAAAGGGCTGGCTAGATCAAGTAACCCATTTGAAATTCAGCTCATGCACCATTTCTGCTGCGGGAAATCCTCAGTTTGTCTCGGTAAGCTCTTCGATTGCGTCGGATGTAGCAAAGAACCATGCTGGTTCTGCGCCATGACTATCACCCGGGCAACACACGTCAAGATGACGCCCTCACATGCCCATGTCTATTGGAATTGGGCCATGCCACAGGAATCTATAGATAAGAACGCTCTCAAATAAACGTTATTCGACATACATAGGAGATGGCTCGAATCACCGATTTAACCGTTCAAGCCAGAAAGGTCGTCACTACAACTTTCGAGCCTGGACACCCGAGCAAACGGGGCAGGTTTTGTTCAAATGACAAGCTCGTGTTACTCAAAAGTCTGCTAAATGTGCGGTACGTTTCAGGCCTTTGTAAACCCGGGAAACGAATCCTACATGAGGTAAGAAGACAATCAGCTGTGTTTTATGTCAGGGTGAGAAGGTTGTACGATTTCCCATGCTTGACAGGAAGCATGCGTTAGTCAGAAGTCGTAGATTATCGAGTTGTGACGAAAGAACCAGATAGCATACTAATGCTGGAGCAAAAAGAATAAAAAGCACTGCAGGGATATTGTGCTACAAGGGCGGGTTTACGGGTTTATAAATTGTTGTGTAACTGACTTAACTCTTCTGAAGATCCTGCTACTCGGCCTCTTGGTGACTTCAAGGACGGACGAATATTTGGCCATCCCACCTAGTGAAGACACACCAGTAGTTTGTGGGAGGTTTGATCTCAGATATACGGAAACGAACCGCATGCAACACCAATATGGCATTTGAAGTTGGCTTGTGCTTTTCTATGCCGATACAAGGCATGTCTTTTAACATGATTCTCCTCGGTCCTGGCCTTGCTGTTAAGTCTATATGATCCGTAGGCCATGATGTTTATTTTCTGGGCTCCAGATTTTGGATACGAACGAGTTAACGATTGTAGGGATCGTAGCCATGACATATTCGAGTGTCTAAGCACACGCGAGGTCTGATCTAGGAAGGTTACACAAGTATCAGTATCAGTTGCAGAAACGGGCTGTAAATACCACCATTCCAGCGTAGATCGATACCGGGCCGCCCGGCAGTATGTGTGGCGTTGGCATAAAGACGAGGCGAACCGCGAAACAAGACGTTCTTCAAAGAAGGGGGGAAATGAGAAGGAAGAAACAAGCACACCCCGTAGAAATAGCAAATCTTTGCTTTTTCGATCCAACCTGCGTATGTATTTGTCGAGGAACCAATAACGTAATGGGCTATAATGAAAGCCCAGCATCCGCCTAGTGAGAGCCAAGTTAGCCCCGACCTGTGGAACGGTGAACGCATGCGTCAGTAAGCAAGAGCAACAGGCCCGACACAAATGGCAGCCCACATACCTATGGCATGAGACACACAGATATAGGTGCCACGACAAAATAAAAATGCCCAGACAGCTTCTCTTGCGGACCACTAGACGTCCAGTGGCGGTTCATATATAATAGTTGACCCGTCCGGCGTTCAGCAGATGACATGGATGCATATGCGTTCCTGGCATCAATGAGCGGCTAGAACTAGCCAGATGGCTCGCCAGGAACATGCAGACAATGACCAACCGTGGCGCCGCCGATAAACGAAAGAGAGACAAAGCTTTTACTGCAGAGGCTGGCTAGCTCACCCATTGACCGCAGCATGCCGCCCATACATATCACCTCTCATGCACCTGGCCGAATGGGGAAATCAGATTATTCCTCCTTTCCTTGTCGATAGATCTCGTGCCAACCTCTAAGGAATTATATGTCCTCGTATGTGGTAAGTAGAATTCGCAACCCCCTGACAAAAACAATCAGAATCGACGGAAGTTTCTGATATCTCAAAGCTCCCAATGCTCCATCCCTCATGAGAAAGGCTCTGCAGCTCCCTCCCGCATGTGGAAGCTGCCTTGAAGCTGGCGCTTGTAATGTAGATAGGTAGATTGCTACTTCCCCAAAGCCACTCGTAGCTCTTCCGTTGCAGCCGAGGTCGATCACCTGCGGTGCTGACGTGTGTGTCAGGCCAGGCCAGGACAGGTCTTATTGGCCATGGGGAATGTATTATTGTGAGAATGACTTTCTGATGAGGACGAGCCTGATATCCTGCTTCCCCCCAAACCAACGTCAATCCTAATAAGCAGTTTCCCGTGACATATAGCTCCGAAGATCCACAAAGTTATCAGATATCATATACGTAGTAGAGCCCCGCCATGTGAGGGTGCCCAAGCTAATTGAAGAATACCCTGCGAATCAGAGCGAATCTCGTAACATCTCTGCTCCTCTTTGGGGGAGCTCGGAAGCAACATTGACTTTTTCAATCACATATTAAAATCTGCCGCCGCTTGTTTTCCGGTGTGCCAGGCTTGTCGAGTTCCAATGCGTGCATGGTAATCTGGTGAAGAACGATTGGACTTAGAAGACCTGGGAATGTTCAAGATCGCCCAAATCAATTGGTCTACAATGACCCAGGGAAGTGCCGTGCGGTATAACCCCCGATATGAGGCCTGCCAGGGATGAGGTAGGAATGTCACGGTTCCTTGTAACCCATTCAGTTGTGGGTAGAGTTCGGATGGTTCCTCGCCAGGGGTGGTCAACCCTGGGTGATCGATGTTCTGAGAATAGCATCAGCCGACGAGTATAATTAATTAAATCAGAAAAGCTTGTATCGGCTATGTAGTACCATATCTAAATTTGTCATGATCACTGTTTCCACGGAATTCTCGATATTTTCATATCTCAAGCCATTGGACCCTGTTGACCAAGTTGGCCCATGGGTAATGATGGGAAGCATTCACACTGGGATATGATGGCCTCGTTACCAAACGTTCGTGTCATATATACAGTGATACTGCCGGGAGCAACGCGGAATCTTTCCACTGTTTCGACCAAACTCAATGGTGGCTAAATCGATCGAAGACCCAGAGGCTGTCGCCCTTCGATCAACGTCTCTCTTCATGACTCGAGCACCACTTTCGGAGGCCAAGCATAGTATTTTGAAGAATGTGACAAGACTTAACAACTTCTGGCGTTGTGGGAGTAACTAAGCGAGCAGCTTGAGGTGTGCGTTCATTGCATGCGGTGTATTTCACCTATTTAGAGCTCCTCGCCGGGATTGAAAAGTGTTGCATAGAGTGAGCTCAGTTGTCGATGGCCTTCCCGCATGCTGTAGGAGTAGAAGTTCCATGTGGTGCTGAACGCCGCCTTGTGTGACTGCGTTGTATTGAGTGGTAAATAGCGTATGCCACCTTTCGCCAATCCTACTGATGTCATACTGGTCACTCAAATGATCAAATACACATCTTCACACCAAACCGTCCATGGTTAGCCTGACAAGACAATGCACCTGAAGAGTTGTTTCGGTTACAAGCGCGGGGTTACACTTGAAAGTGAGACTGGGTGGGCAGCTGCAGAATGCCATACCTTCTTCGCAACACCTGTAAAGCTTGTTGTCTCGCTTATTGCGGTTGGTCTGTGGAATTAGGGCCATGCCGTCATGGTGGTAGTAGTAACATGACCGTCTGTGGGTGTCACGCAGGCTTTTCCTTCTCATTGACGAAGGAGTTTGCCCGTTCGGAGTTGTGTCATGGGACATTACCACCAGGAAGACAGAAAGAGTGAATAGAAGTTACAGTGGCAGCGGTAACACAGGCCTTGAGAGAGTATCATGCCACCATGTTGTATCTTGCATTCAAGATTTGTTGACGGTAGTACGAGGGGCCAATCTGAGCATGTGCAAAATTGATGCGAATATATAGCCCCATACCTGCAAACATTGCGAGACATCGGTCGATTACACCGAATTGACTCAAGTTGATCAGGGGCGGCTTTCTTATCCGATATTCCGTGTATGCCAGTTCTCTTCAGTTGGTCCCGTTGGCCTTTTGTGGCTCTAAATTTGCCCTGAAGTACTGAATTGGGACCAATATCCCAGGCGATACTCTGGAGGGAGACATCACATTGAAACGTGCCGTATGGAGTATCTGGTGAAACCACCGTGCATGTTTCTGTATATGGAAGCATGCGAGCATCCGAGAGGCGAGAGGATCCATTTCGCGTGGTTTTGACCTCTGGTAATAATCATCGGTATTGAATGTCGAATGATGGCCTTGAGGAAAGTCCCCTGCATTGCATCTGTTTAAAAGAGGTTATTATAATTCCATGTATGAAGAGGCCCACCGTCAAGGTCGACAGCGTCCGTGCGCCCATCGCTCGGCTGTAAAATGAAGTGACGACTCCGATCGACTGCATCTATCCGCCGGGCCCTCGTAATAAGTCAGGGTAGACTGAAAAGTCTGGCCCTGACCAGATCGATGCAAATTGCAACACGAGAAATAATATAA